TGTATTTTCTGTAGTTGTCAATACAATATAGGGTTCCCTCCCAAACACAAGTTTAGTGCTCTGCTAGTAGACTAACTGCTGGTGGAGATGTTTTCACCTTTGTCATTTTCCACAAATTGTTGATATTTATTATATCATTTTTCCTTTTGTTCCTCTAATTTTGAGTTTGTGAAAAATCTAGAAAAAAATTTAGGTCTACTTTCCTCTTTCATTCTTTTTTGTATTTTTAACCTCACCCAAATATTTCATAGAAAATACTCGTGCATCACATAATACCAAGTTTTCCCTATGGATCGACCCAAATCCACCATGCATTATAAATAATTGAAAGCATAATTTTCAGGGATTTGGCTTTAATAAATTTTAAAATTTATTACTTCTTAAAACAACGACTAGGGTAACACCAAACTACAATACCACAATATCTTCAAAATAGGTGCATGATGAATATTAGGGTACATGACATCATTATTGATAATGGTAATAGTGAGAATATTGTTTTCTCAATTATAGTTTGAAAATTAGGGTTCAAGACCAATGCACACAACATCCATATTGAATTGGCTAGAGAAATAAAAGATACAAAAATTACAGTTTAGAGAAACTTTCATATCTTTTTTATATGAAGTGATTTTAGCAAGAGTGATAGAAGCCTATTTAGAACATTACCTTCTTTTAGCAAGAGTGAGAAAAAAAGGTAATGTTCATCAATCAAAAAAAAAAATCCTGTAACCTTGATAAAAATTCTCACTTATTTGAGATTGTACAAAAGTTTGATATGTTGCAATTTGAAAAAGGTCATACAAGAACCTGCTCAAAATCTATGATTTGAGTTTTCTATTATTCAAGACATGCTTAGTCATCTTCCATCAATGGGATATATACATCATTATATTGACTTAGTGTTGGAAATAAGTTTACCTAATCAACCCCATTACCTAATGAGTTTGGAAGAAAATTGAATTTTTCAAGAACAAGTGGAGGAGAAAATTGAAGTTTGTTAAATCTAATGGATGGGTTTTTATTTCGAGGAATACAATTATGCATCCCCCAAAGTTTGTTAAGAGAAAAGTTATTCTGTGAATTATATTTTGTAGGTGTAGGAAGACCTATTGGTCGTAATAAGGCATTACACTTGATAAATGAATGATATAATTGATCAAAGATGGAGACGGATGTAGACAATTTTCTGCAAAAGTATATGATCTATCAAACTTACAGGGACAGTGTTAGAAGATCAGTTTATATATTCCACTACCAATTCCACAACTTCCATAGATAAACATTTATCTAGATTTTATTTTAAGGGTCCAACAAATGAAGATAAAAACAAATTATATTTTCATGGTGGTCCGATTTTTAAAATGAACCTTCTTATTACCAGAAAAAAGACAAATGATGCAAGTCAGGTCGTAAATAAATTTTTAAAAATAAATCATTTGCTTTCATGAAGTTCTTGAATCAATTATTTTTTATAGAGATTCAAAATTTATATCTCATTTTTTGAGAACACATTTAAAAAGATTGATACATTTCTGAAATTCAATTGTACCATCCACCCCCATATTGATAGCCAAATAGAGGCTATCAATATAACCCCTTGAAATTAAAATCTTTTGAATTTTAGTGTAGAAACCAAAGTAATGGGAGTGTGCTTTGAACCATGCATAGTTTTCTTATTATTCAAGGGTTAATAATTCAAATAAATAATCTTTCATTTTTATTAGTAAGCTATTTTCCACCAGAAGTTTCTTGTAGATCTGGTGCAGTTTCTAAGGCCAAAAAGAAAAAGTATTGTTGTAAATAATATGGTAGATCACATCAAGGAAATTCATGAAGGTGTCATGCATAATCTCATTACCAAAAATTATGAAAAGCATAAGAAAAAAAAGAAAAAAAAAGAAGATATTTCAAGTTATGGCTTACATATGAAAAGAACGTTTTCCCAGAGCATATACAAAAAGTCAAAATCAAAGAAATATGGACCATTTTGAGTTTTACAAAAAAGTAATGACAATGTACATCTTATTGAGCTTCCACAAACTATAGCTATTTCACATCCATTCAATGTAAGTGATATTTACAAGTTCTATGCTACCTCAAATGAAGACTCAATAATGAGTTCATCTGATGTATGGGTTTTTGATGTAGCCTAAAACCTAGAAAGTGAAGAGGAGTCTGAAATTAGAGGCCTAGTAACTTTCTAATTAGGCCACAAAGAGAAGAATGTTCAAATAGAGCTCGATAACTAATTGCATCAAACAAATGCATGAAAAGTTACTTTTGAAAAGTTACTTTATGAAAACTTACTTTATATATATATATATATATATATATATATTTTCTAGAAGGTGCTTTAAATGTTATTCAAATTCTATCACATGATATATTCAGGATCCTACTCTACCATAGTTTGTTTCAAGTCATTTAAGAGTCAATCAAACTTTCTTCCTAAGATCTATTTAGGATCCTCCTTTTAGAAGCAACACACCTCTTTTTTAGGCCAATATGAAGGCCCCCATTGTAACATGAAGAGAACACTTTTGAAGTATTAAGAGTTTTTTTCTCTTGTGAGGTTCTCATCTTTTCACTAGTGGATTTAAGCATTCCCATGTGACTTAAGAGTTTCCCATTGATCTTGTAGAGCTGAGTTCACTCATTTGTCAATTTGAGGGTTGGACACTCTAATTTTTTTGATTCAGATGGTTGTTTCTTCTTTAAGGTTCTTGCTTTGTGGATTTGATGCTAGATCTAGTTATCTTCCATGTTATTGTTACACCACCAATCAGCCAATCACAAATAAATATGATGATACAAGATTAAAAATGAGCACCACATAGAGGTTAGGATATCTAACACAAAGCTAATTTATACAATTGATGATTCAACTCTCCCTCTCTCTTTCTCTTGCTATGTCGATCTATCTATCTATCTATCTATGTTTCTTTCTTTCTACTTTTCTCTATCTCTCTCTTGGGCCCAAGAGCTAAATTCTTCTTAAGCTATTGGGCCATTGATGTTAGAACATTAACATCACTTATCTTCTCTTGCTGCCTATTGCTAGAGTTAATAAATTGATAGATAGTGAGAGAGGTAGTTTATTTTTTTCATAAATTTAAAGGTTATTTTGGTTAAAAGTGGTTGTAAACCAATCAATCTAGGACAAAGTCTCATCATTTCTCTTCATCTAGGAGCCTAATAATTATCCAATATTATGATTCAGTACCTTGGTTAGTATTATGTTAATTATGAATGATATTCCTTCAAAATATTTTTCCATTGCTCAGTAGATCAAAAATTATTTTTTTTCTAAAAGGATAATAGTACATGGAATGCATTTGTTTGTTGAGATACTTTAAAGACTAGTGGCAGAATGACAATTTATGTTGTGTATAAAAAAACATATGTATGACACTTATCATAAGTAATACATCACATTTTAATGTTGAAAAATATATAAAATGATAAAATAATAGTTCTACAATGTCAAATTGCATTTTTGAAAAGATTACTTTATCGGTGGCATATTATCTCTACCCTTAGGAAAGTCCCACGATAAGATAAGATTGGCTGAGATAAGTTTTAAGTTGGCTTATTATGTTTAAAGAGAGATACCACGAGAATATGGATAGGAGTATACAGGGAAATAGATAAACAGACAAAAAAATAAAATAATAGTGGTAGAGTTGCCCATTCACACATATGACTAAATGATAGACCATCCATTGCTGAGTTTTGGAGATTAATTTCTTGTCATTTAATGTTTCAGAAAGTAAAAAATTGATGTTTATGATAGGACTAGTCACATCATTAAAGGCCTATATGCTCTATGTTTTAAAAAATCTTTGACATAAATTACGCTTAATATCAATAGAATGGTACCATCATAAGCGATCACTACATACATTCAAGCCAATTTAATTTATGCCATTAATCTAGAAGCAAATGTTCTGCACATTTAGGCTAACCTAGATTTGTAAATCAAGAAATAATCATTGTTGAAACTTTGGGTAACCTAAAACCATGAAGCTATAAGAAGTGAGTTGATGCCCTAGTGTTTGACTCTTGGATTACTTTATAGTCAGCATAATTCAATGGGGTTGAACATTGAGTTTTGGCCTTTGACCCTTGACCTTTAAAAGAATGAGGTGGGCAAGATGTGTCAAGTCATTAGAGATCTGGTTTTGCGTTAGGGGCTAAAGCTATGAGTTCAGTTAGATATTTAGTATCATGGCCTGTAATTGCACTAAATATTACATTATCCCCCTCCTTGAATTTAAAAATAATAATAATAAAAATTCACTACATCTATAAAGTGTGTACAGTTTATATACACAGACTGAAAATGATCAATTTTCTTACATTTATGGGAAAATTAAAGTCCAAGGGGGAAGGAAGACAGCCCTCAGTATGAATAGCATTCGTTCTGCCCATGTTTGACTTTGAAGGATGTTTCTCACGGATGCTATGATTTATTTGAGCTACTTCTATTGTCGGTTTTTTGTTTCTCTAGCTTATGTTTGGGTAGAGAAACAAATTCAATGAGGAAAAGGATCTTTGCTTACATTTATGATTTATTTTGGTTGGCGATACATTCGCTCTTCCTATGTTTGCAATTAATAGTAAGCCCCCTGAATTTCCAGGAGCAACAAATTTTCAAACCCCATGATGCCCGACCTGACCCAATTCAGATAGTCAACTGTCCGATCCCCGACATGGGGCGTGTCTATCTGCGATCTACTTGCCATCTCATTCTCTCTGGTAGGATACGCCGGGGGTGTAGAGAGGGGGGATATTTCCGTCTCGCGTCCTTTTCCTCGCCACGTGTCCTGCGATCTACGTGTTCCGCTCGCTACGTTTCCTCGCTTGGGTGTTCTGCTCGGTTCTCGAAGTGTCCTTGTTCTTCTTCCCCTCGTCCTCTCGACCGTCTGGAAGACGGTCGTAGCTTCTCGGGTCTGATGAACCAGCAGTAGCGGAAGGGGAAAGCGACGGGGAGCAAGATGTTGGAAGACCAGGTTGCGTCCCTCCTGCAGAGGTACCTGGGGAACTATGTCAGAGGACTCAACAAGGAGGCCCTCAAGATCAGCGTCTGGAAAGGTTTGCGGATCCTGCTCTCCTTTTTCCGCAGCTCCTTCAGATCCTCCGCATTTCTTCTGTTTAGCGTAGAGAACAGCCTAGTAATTCATATTTTAGACGCCTTCTCGTAGTCGAGATATGCAAAGATTCACGGTATCTAGTGTCGCGTTACTGAAGATATATCACAGTCGGAAGCGTGGCTAATTCCTATGGTTGTGAAATTCTCGTTGTGGACATGATGAGGAATCGATAGCATGGTGTACTAGGACCAATTCTGTAACTGATCAAACGCCTCTTAATCATGTTCGGGAGAAAATTATCTAAGTTGGATTGGTTTCAGCACCAGACTAGCCTTACAACTTCCTCTGTGTTTTTCAAGACTCAAACCATGCCAGTTAAGAACATTTATGGGGCGAGAGGCGTCTGAATATTTCCATATGTTCTAGAGTGTCAGCTGTGCTATGACATGTTTGATCGTGAAGGTCGTAATTCCTCAATTTTTAGAGGATGGCTATCTCAGCATGGGTCACAGCGCCTTAGCACAGACTATGCAGACGTCATATGGAGAGTTTTGCTCGCACAATGTATAGAGCCATTCTATTCCTTCTTCAAACAGTATTTACTAAATAAATGGCACTGTTTGTTTAGAAAAAAAAACCAAAAAAAAAAATGGAGCATGATCTGAAAAAGTACGATGCTAGATTGAAGGGTACCAAGGAGGTTTCAGGAGAACCTCAATGTTCAAGCGGTGAAGTTCTCCATTACAATTGTTGATCTTCTTGATGAAGCTTGAATCCTCTATAATATACTAATCTGGTGACAGGCGGCCACTAGGATCATGCTTCCTCCATCAAACTCTCTCATGCTTCCTCCGACCTTGGTTGTAGGTTTGTGGCGGGTGGGGATTTAATATTGTGGAAAATGCTGTCACCTGGAAAAAAACAGCAAGGTTTTAGTGTTTGATATGAGATTTTGAGTGAATAAGGGTACAAGTCTGGGACACATTTTTTGGAGAAATTAGCCATATGTGAAAGAAAATGCATGAAAGTGATCATCCTTCTGGAAAAATGTGCTGCCATTATTGACCAGATGCAAATAACCAATGATCTGAACTTGATGAACATATAACTGCCCAATTTATTTTATTTCCTTTGTTTCGTGTGAGGCTTAATTGATTGACTAAATTTTTGAAAATGTTGGTTCAGGTGATGTAGAGCTGACAAACATGCAATTGAAACCAGAGGCTCTTAATGCGTTGAAGTTACCTGTGAAAGTTAAGGCAGGATTTCTTGGGTCCGTCAGAATTGAGGTGCATTTTAATCATCTGTCATGTAGGGGTGGTCTATCACTCATCTATTTCCTATTTATTATTCTCAAAGGCCCCTTATTGAGTGCGTACAGCTGGGATAGATGTTTAATTTTGTATTAATGTTCTCTCAGTTGACATAATTCTTAATTTCTTCCTTTTCAGGTTCCATGGAGTAGGCTTGGTCAAGAACCTGTCCTAGTTTATCTGGATCGAATTTTAATATTAGCTGAGCCTGCAACACAAGTGGAAGGAAGTGACGAAGATGCCATTCAAGAAGCAAAGAGGACGCGAGTACGGGTACGTGAAAATTTTAAATTTATCTCCATCTATGCAAAATGAACTATTGAGGTGGTTGATTTTTTAATCCATAGGAAATGGAAATGAGACTATTGGAGAGCCATCAGAAGGCGAAATCGGAAATGGTAGGCTTTCTGATCATTTGATTGGAGATTTGGTACCGAGAATTGGAGTTTTTTTGATTTTCTTTGAGTAATTTTCTTCATGTCCTTAAAAGTCTTATTGTGTTAGTAGAATTTCTGACAACATTCTTGCTATGGCATTGTGAGATGTTGTGAGGTTTCTTTCCTAGACTTGGCATCCTAACAGTTCCCTACAAATATTGCGGGGATGATTCTTTTGTCGCATCAGTTGTTGTAACTACATTATTTCACCTGACGAATATATCAGGACAGCTATATATATGTATCATGTTATGCCTGGAACCATTAATTTTAAAGAATACTTTGAAGATTTTATTAAATTATTATTATTTATAGGATACATATCCTTTGACTGGGAAGCACTTGGACGATAATATTTGGGATGAAGTGTTAGAGTAAGAACACTTGATCCCGTTATCATTTCTCTAACTATATAATATGTTTAAATAGATGGGTTTCAGATCTTAGAATATGGATTACAGATCATTCATGGTGCTCTTGAGTCTCATATTACTACTTATACATCAAGCATTATCATCAAGATCCATTAACTGTAGATTTCTGACTCCTAGTTTAAGGGTGCACTGAGTAATATTGCTGAGGGGGGTTCTAGTGAAATGGACCTCCTAGTTTAGGCTTTATTTTGAAACAACGAGTTCCTCTATTTTCTTTAATGGTTCCCATTTTACTTAATAGTGCTTGAAAACTTGTATGAGGGAACACTTGTTCCCCTGGTTTGTTTGTCGTTGTGGAGAGACATCAGGGCATGCCAACTTTTGTTTGTAATTGTCTCGAGGTTAATTAGAAGGTCACATTCTGTCCCATTTTGGATTTTAACAAACGAAGGAATGCTACTAGAGTGGTGATGGTAGACAGAATGTACATCATACATACATTGCAGCATTGCACCATTGAGATGCGATACTCTTCTTTTTTTTAATGTTAATAGATTTGACTATTGTTTAGATTGGGAAGATACTTTACAGGTATTGGTGGCTATCAGTTGACGAAACCTTTTCTTCTGTTTCCAGACTGGATAGTTTTTTTTAGGAATATTTCCACGATTTCACCTCAATGAATGGCTTCTGTTAGTTGACATCTGAACATTGAGAACTTAGTACTCCCTCTGCCACAACTTGGGATTGAAACAACGATTGGACTGTTATATTATTGGACTGTTCTGGGTCGAGTTGGATTTTAATTTCATTCTGCTTCTTGATTATTATAGACATCATCCTGGTTGGGGTCGTTCATCAACACCATCATTGGTAACTTGAAGCTCTCTATTACCAATATTCATATTAGATATGAAGATCTTGAGAGGTAAAATGTTTTTTCTACTTTTTTCCATTTATTTTACTTTGTCCTGAGGTTGTCTGTTCAAGTATGATGGCCTTTTTGCAGCAATCCTGGCCACCCATTTGCGGCAGGTTTAATGTTAGGAAGGCTGTCAGCATTTACAGTTGATGATGCTGGTAAAGAAACTTTTGTTACTGGAGGTGCACTAGACCGCATTCAGAAGGTAAATTTCATCACTCAACAGTAAATTGCCATTCATACGTGTAGATTGCTTCTTTTCCTTTCTGTATATTCGATACTTGCCTTCATTGAATATTATTCAATGTGAGACTATATTTTTTCATCAATTCATGCTTATCATTCCACAAAACTTTTGCAGTCAGTGGAACTTGAACGGTTGGCATTTTATTTGGATTCAGATATTTGTCCATGGAGTATTGAGAAGCAATGGGAAGATTTGCTTCCCTCTGACTGGAGCCAGGTTCGGTTCTTGAAATGTGTCTATGACTTCTGTCAATTGACCTTGCGATAACATTTGTTTTCTATTTGACAGATCTTTGAATTGGCGGGCAATCATAGTTATTCAGAAAAAGTTGCAGAAAACCACTGCTATGTTCTGCAACCTGTGACAGGGAATGCGAGGTACACAAAGCTGAGAACAGAGAAATCTAGGAACATGGGACAACCGCTGCAAAAAGCAATTATTAACTTGGAGGATGTGACATTGTGCTTATCAGAGGTTGATCTTAATTTTATCCCTTCTGTGAATCAGGATAATTCATTACTGATTTGGATTAACTTCTTGTGCTGTAGGACGGATACAAGGACATTTTGAGGTTGGCTGATAATTTTGCAGCATTTAATAAGCGGTTGAAGTATGCACATTATCGCCCTCATGCTCCAATAAGTGTTGACCCAAGATCTTGGTGGAAGTATGCCTACACAGTTGTGACAGATGAGTCAGAGAAGGCGAGGTACTGGAGGCTAGTCTACTTGGTATTTCTAAAATTTTCTTTGTATTTTTATTTTAATGATAGAATATTGTGTCGAGAGTTCACTTTTTCTTTTGGTTGTCTCTTTCTGCTATTGGTGTCTTATAGAGATTCAGGGTTTTGTTTCGTGTGCTTGAGCCAACATTGTTGGAACTAAAAATTGAAACTCTAAATATGATGTTTCAGGTTTTAAAAAAAGAAAACATGTATCTCAGTTTCTCCCATTTTACACTAAAAATATTCGACAGATTTTGAAAAGACTAGACTGAATCTATGAGCTGCTTGTCGCTTTGTATTACCCAATTACAGACATGTGGAACTGGATTTACAACATTACTGACATGGTTTTAATGAAACGACAAAACTTGGGACATATTATGTTATTAATTGGTTTCGAATATAAGCTTGGAAGATGTTATTGGATAAGTCTTGGGTAGCCTCATTTTTTTCTTATACTTCAGGCAGGGAATTGGCTAGTTTATTTCCCGATTCAAGATTTAGTGAATGAAAAGATAGAAGAAGACATAACAAATATTCAGTTAATGTTTCTACATTTGGCATGGAAGTCATTTCTGCACGGTTTGTGCAGATATAATGATAGGAACCCAGATCAAAGAACTATGAATAATTCCTATTAGATGAAAGAAATAATCTCTAGAACAGAAATACCAAAGATAAAGTACAGTAAAAGAACCTAGAACAAATGGAGGGTCGCATACAACCCTAGAACCCAGAATAGATGGAGGGTCGCATACAACCCTCCAACCCTTTCTCGTAGATGCATGAGATACTAACTCCAATTTTACTCCCCCTTCCTTCCTCATCCACCCATCCTTATATCTTCTCCTTTCCCTCTATTATTTAGGCAGTTAGTCTCCTACCATAACTGCTCTTGCCATAACCACTCTTTGCCATAACTGTGCCTTCCCTCAATTATGCTAACCGTTATTGACTTATTGGGCTTTGGGCCTTCTTCATTCTAGCATATGTGCGTGGAGCCTTATCATACAACTTCATATCATGTTCGTTACTTAAGTCAATTATGGAGTGTCTCAATTGGCTGATGTTAGGACCATAAGGTCATTTTTTAAAAATTTGTCCAAAATATCTGACATACAGAATAGGCTAACTTTGACAGAAAAATAATGGAGAGAATTACAACCCAGCAGCAGTGTATGCAGTGTTCATCAATTTACAGTGTCATCACTTGGAATATGTATCATCCACACACAATTCTAATAGTTGGTCTTTAAAAAGTCTGCTACCAAACACGTGCATGGTTGTATCCTGATCATGTAATCACTCGAGCATTGTGATGTTCCTGAGAAGCTATTGCTCAAGTTTTAGTAACAAATAATATTCTCATTTTTCTTAATGAATTAATTAGGAAACTAAATTATTGTCTTTAGTTGCCATGCATGTGCTTCACAGATTTCTTTTTGTGCTTTTTGGTTGTACTTGTTTATCTCTTCTTGACATGACTAGCATCACTATACGTATGCCCTTGAAGAAGAGTAATGCCTAGGATCCATGACACCATTTCTTTCTCTCAACTGGACATCAGTTTCATATATAATATATGTCCCATTGATTATAATTTCATGTGACTTTTCTGTCCATTTGCTCATAGGACGCACCTACTGGCATGCCCCACCTAAAGTGCATATTTGATTAAATAAAATAAAAAATTGAAAGAGGTAAGCATGCTTCCCAGGCACTTAACTGAACCAAGGATCTTGAAAGAAGCTACATCTAATTGTTTGAGGAAGTATATAAAGGATAAAATGAACTTCACAGTGTTGAAAAAATTAGAATGAAAATTAGAAACTTCAAAAATACTATACAGTTCGAGGAACATATCAAGCTTAAGATGATCTGAAAAATCTTAGTATTTAAATGAAAAATACTGGTAATGTTGGTGTTGGCGAATGTGCCAATCAAGTTGATGATGCAGGTAGTATCCGAATGTAATCTCAAGGAAAATAGTTAATATATTGGCAACACTAGATCTCATCACTTTTGTCGTTGGTTTAATCCTGATAACTTATTCCTGAATTTTAATTTCTAACTTTTTCACTCTGTTATGAACACGGTAGTCATAGTAATTCATCAGCACCAGCGGGAATGATCATAAGATGCTGTATTGAGAATCATTAAGTCTCCGATTGGAAAATTTCATCAGTTTCTTCTTTTACATTTCCTTCCTGCACATCTTCTTTTGGTTTTAATGGGAAGCATGATGGCTGGTACGTATTTATTGATTATTTTGTTATGTTCTTATTCTATGCTGCCTTTGAACAGTGGGATAGTATCATGGGACCAGGTTTTGAGGCATGCCAAGCTACGTAAAAAATACGTATCTCTTTATGCTTCTCTCCTTAAATTCAGCGCCAGTTGGTTGCTGGCACACGACAATGAAGACATTAAGAAACTAGATCGTGAGCTTGATATTAATGTGATTCTTCAGTGGAGGTAACATGTTGCCATAGCCAAGCTTTCTGTAAGATATTTCTGAAATACTTTTGGTATATGTGTGCCATTTGGAACCTCAATCTTACCGTATACATAAAAATATTCCATTGAATGGTATCTATCTGATAGTATGAGTATCAACAATCGAAGGAATGGTTCAAGTTAATTTATTGGAATCACTCACCATGTCCTGTAACATTACATACATCTGAATCTTGTAAAATAGAAAACTGGGGTGCAATTTCTTATGGAAGCTAGATGTGATATGTTTATGTTCTTGCTTACCTTTTTCTCTAGATACGCTTAAAGTCCACCTCCTGGAAGATAATCATGACCCGTTGCTCTGCTTCTCACTTGTGTGCAGAATGTTAGCACATAAATTTGTGCTGCAGTCAATAGATTCTGCTGTCTATCAGAAAAAACAGAAGAGTACACAATCGTGGTGGTCCTTCGGATGGTATTGTCAACTTCAAATATTTCTCCAGTTCAGAGCCCTATTTGCATTTTTTTGTGGGCCTCTTTTATACTTGTCTAGTGAGAAGCAATTGATCATCTCCCTGTAGTTCTTCTATTTGCTTCCCCTCCATCTTCTCCATGAAGCATGTGAGAATAATGTTATCAGCGTATATGTTGATTAGAATAGACCACTATGTTCTAATGGTGGTGAAAATAGTTTTCAAGCACTTGATTTTTTGGACTGCATCTGCCAGGACTGGATCTAGTAAGGAAGCAGAAGAAGAATCAGGCAGACTTATGAATTTTACCGAGGAAGACTGGGAACGACTAAATAAATTCATTGGTTACAAGGAAAGTGATGAGGAGGCATTGATTACTCAAGAAAACGGTGGTCTTCTCCAGTTATATTTGGAGGTTCACATGAAACATAATGCTTCTAAGCTTATCAAGGGAGATTACACATATCTTGCTGATCTTTCCTGTGATAATCTGGACTGTGCCGTAAAAATCTATTCAGAAGCAAAAATTTTCAACGTGAAGCTGGGATCATACAAGCTGTCATCTCCAAATGGGTTGCTTGCTGAGGTTCAAATCTTTAAACATGATAAATTATGTCTCTGATCAGAGGACTCGCCATTTGATTCTATTCAACTTTGCACTCATAACTTGCATTTTCTCTGTTGATGCAGAGTGCAACGGTTGCTGATTCTTTAGTTGGTGTCTTCTCGTACAGGCCTTTTGAATCTGAATTAGACTGGAGTTTTGTGGCAAAAGCCTCTCCATGCTATATGACCGTATGCTATTCAGAGCTTACTTCTAATTGAAATTTTGACAGATCAGAACTCACGACATCTTTTGTTTATTTGATGCAGTATTTAAAAGACTCAGTTGATAATATCATTTCTTTCTTCAAGAATAGCACAGCCATTAGTCAGACCCTAGCTTTGGAGACTGCTGCTGCAGTTCAGGTCTTTTCATGTCAATGTGCTATTTAAATGAATCTTAGATTCCATTCAATATCTTGATGATTGAAGATATGTTTCTTTTCTTTTGCTTTTTAGATGACGCTTGATGGAGTAAAGCGCACTGCCCAGCAACAATTTACTCGGGCGTTGAGGGACCATGCCAGGTTTCTATCATACAATTACTAACATGGACTCAAGTAATGATGTATTAATTTAATAAACCTTATATGTGAATCTTGTGCTTCAGGAACTAGTAGACAAATTTCATTTGATCATCTTATTTTCCTGTAATCTAAAAATATAAGCCTATTCAGGTCATGTTATTGGGGATCTTTGGTAAAAATGATTTAGAACATTTTTCTCTACTCATTATCATTATTCGTCCCTAACTGCTATTGGTTATGATGGTAGTAAACATAGAATCTGTTTCCCATTGTAGCACTTCATTTGATCCATGGTACTAATTGTTTTTGATGCACATGAAGTGAAGCACACAATTGACTTAGCCCCAATAATACTTGTGACAATTTCTGAATACTATTTCCCCCTGCATTTTCTCTTACATCTTTTCTTCCTAGGTGTAGCTTCTCAGCTGCCATAAAATGGAAAAATACTGATGTCCCTATAAGATTTGCATGTGGGTGGGCAATTCTCTTGTGAACGTGCTTCATTTGGATAACTGATGATTCTGAAATCTGCCATGTCTCATACTGCTATTTTATGGATTAATAGTGGATTTTGCTGAAACATTAATAAATGGTTGTCTAAATTTTTTTAAATGGCATTGATGTCATCTTAGCCATTCTCCTAGGAGTGGGTATCGAATACTGAAAGGCAGTGCCAACCGTTATGTCATTTCCCATCTTCCATTTCAAATGTTGAGGTTCTCATTCCTTGTTGTCTTGTCATCATGCTGACATGAATAGATACCTGCATGTTTATTGTACTCTCATGAGGCTTCTGTAGCCATTATTCGTTCATGCCTGTATTCTTGACTGCTATTTTCAATTCATATCGTGCTATTGATGCTTACTACTTCTTTGAGTTGTCTGTTCCCTTGTAACTGGTGCCATGAAATTCTGTCATGACTTTTTTTGCATTGTCATGACTTTTGCTGTTAATAAATGTTCTCCAATGTTCCATCAAAGTATCCAAATTAATTTTAGAATATCCTATGAACTCCTGTACTCGGTGCTCCTCTTTTATCTGATTTTCAAGTCATTCAACATTGCAAAGTTCATCTATGTTTTCCCTGCATGTAATGCATCAAGTATGCTTAATGTTAGTTATAGATGAAATTACAAGTATTTCTTACCTTTTTTTCGTCATTTATATGTGTTTACTCTGATTTTGGCTTCGATATATTGTCAACTGTTTCTATCTGTCTTCCTATCAGATCTTGTTTCATAAATCAGTTTGGCGATGATTCTTGTTTAATTGAAAGTGTTTTTTTGCTACATTTTCCTTCTTGTAGGTTTTTTCTAGATTTGGATATCGCTGCTCCAAAGATTACTATCCCTACCGAATTTTACCCTGAAAATACCTGTACTAAACTTCTACTTGATCTTGGACACCTGAAGCTCTCAACAGAGGTCATTTATTCCATTCAAGCCACCATGTAGCCACCATTTTATCTTTGTGCTTAGCAATGTGTAATTATGATGTAAAGTCTCTTGAAAACATGCAGGATGAAAATGAGTTGTCCTCAACTGAACGAGAAGATTTGAACTTTCAGTTCAATGTGGTCTTGAATGATGTGTCTGCATTTATGGTTGATGGGGAATATTCTTGGAGCCCAGCTCCTGAGATGCCTTCCAGTTCAACAGAGCTAAATAGTGTCCTCCCTGTGATTGACAAGTGTGGTGTACTATTAAAGCTGCAGCAGGTTGCTATTCTCTCTATATTTACTTTTTTTTAGAATTTAATTCTTAGCGTGAAAAATTCTATATGCTTATGTTTTATTTTGATTGATCAGATTCAGTTGGAAAATCCACTCTATCAAAGAACAAAGCTCGCCATTCACCTGCCAGTGCTTGGTTTCCATTTCTCACCAGCTCGCTACCACCGGCTGATGAAAGTTTTGAAGTTGTTTCAGGATGATCATACTGATGCCGCAGATATGATTCGTCCTTGGGGTCAGGCAGATTTTGGGGGTTGGCTATCTGTTCTATCGTGGAAGGTTTGCTCTCCTTTTCTTTTCTTTAGATAGGGTTCTCAGGTGACATTACATGCCAATAATCTCTATCATCTCCTTTGCTTTTTAGGGTGTAGGTAACCGAGAAGCTGTGTGGCAACGCAGATATTTGTGTATTGCTGGTCAATTTCTCTATGTGCTCGAAAATCCTACTTCCAAAACATACAAACAGTATTTCAGGTTTCAACCCTTTATTTTCTTAGTTCCAATGCCAGTTTTGAATTTATTTCTTGACAAGAGGTGAGCTATGAATATATTCTGAAAAGGTGGTTGAGTTGAAGTAAATTTCAAAGGATTTTGTACGCTTTTTTCTTAGGTTAGTAGCTTGAACAACTTAGTAAACCCTTTTTTTCATTCTATTACAGGAGTCCACTGTCTTAGTAATTCCTGAGTGCTTCTAGTTTCCTAACTTATCTTCATCATCAGGTAGTAAAGGGTAATCATGACCATGCCAAGTCAGTGGACTTCCAAGCTTTGGCTCCTAGTGTATGATGTGCTCAATTTTCCTGAAGGCGTTAAGGCACAACATATGCCCACCATTTATCTATAGATTATAAATCCGTCTTTACAGACATCTAGCCTCAAATCATAGGAAGTGCCTTTTGTGAGGCTAGTGCAGTGTACATTTGCCGATTGTGATGATCGTACCATTTAAAAGAGTATTTGAGCGAAGATTGAATATTATAGTACTTGGTGGTACACAAGTGGTTCAATCATTCTGTAGGAACTTATTTTAATCTGCGCTTACAACCTAATACTTTTAAAAGATGTTCTAAGTGAGTTCCTTAGGTTCCACGTTTTCTTTCCATTGTGTAAATTTCAAAACTTGAAATTTAGGGAATGCCAAGTTTTTTAGATGCTTTTTGAAAGTAACCGTCTTTGAGTTTGGAAGATGAAATCAGGTAATTTGTTCACTATTTGATGAAATAAAGTACGATCCTGACATGTGCTGTCTAATGGGAGCCTGACTGAACGTTAACCGAGAAAATTCTTGTGAACTTCTTATAACTCCCTGCTAACATAGCTATCTTGTTTTGAAGTTTGCGGGGCAAGCAGGTGCATCAGATTCCGTTGGAGTTCCTTGGTGATGAAGAGCATGTTCTTGCATTAAGTGATGCTAGTCAGTTGACCACGAAGGTTTGGCAAAATTTTATGCTCATGAATAGTGTTTAATAAAAATCTATACGGCATTGATTGTCTGCCATTCAGCAGGTTGTTGAAGATGCCAGTGCTATAATTTTACATTGTGACTCTGATGATTCTTGCAAGACTTGGCAGAATCGCATTCAAGGGGCTATATATCGTGCATCGGTATCTTTTCCTTCTGATTTATCATATTTATCTACTTGTAACCTGTTGAAGTTAACATGGTTATGCAACTCAGGTTTTGATCTTTAGCTTGGAGGCAGACAATGTAGTTTTTTATATTCCGACTCCACTGTATTGCATCTTTTACAGAAGTAGAATGATAGATCTGTGAATTTTAATGAATTTGAACCGCTTATGTTAATGAATAATCACATATATATAGATTTGAATGGTTTTTTAACTCATTGTTTAATGGGGTTAAGCAATATGAGGCGTAACTGAGAGTAAGTTCTAATGGAGGAAGTGTCATATACTCACAGTACCAAATTGCATATTAAAATCTGAGGGAATTTTTCTAGCTCATACCAGTCCAGTTTAACTGTTGTAGTGGCTACATGGAGGACCTGCACAGCTATGTGCCCAGTTGGCTAACCAATACTCAGATCAGGGCAGCCGGAGTAAGATCAGTTGCAATTCAGGCGGGCATAGTTTGACTCAACCGTACACTCTTATTACTTGGGCTCTATCAGACATATTATTCTGTCTGGTTAATTGTATTCATACAATGGGCTAAACCCATACGAGGGTAGTATAGGTCAGATTGTTATAGACCTCTCAGACTTACCTTTCAAGGATTTTTAACCCCTAATCTTATCTGACTATTCCAATCTTGTTGAAATGAGTTTAAGTTGTGGATGGATATGTTGAATTTTAGAATTGTTGACGGGACAGAATCCTGAGGATAGATGTGTCTAGAACGTTCTAGGGTCTGGTCATTATGTGTCTAGAATCTTCAAGGGTCCGGCATAAACACGAGACCCCTCTACCTTGTAACAGATTTTTTTCTCTTAGAATAAAAACATTTCCTCCATTGGTGCGAGGGTTGTTTTTCCAGTCCACTGGACCTGGTTTGATCTTCAACATGGTATTAGAGGAAATCCTGGTGAAATCGCTGCTTTTTTCTCTTCCGCAACAATCTATTCTTCTAAAATAACGGTTCTTGAACTATTTGTCCTCCTCTGAGTCGAGTATTGTTGGAGCTAAAGTTGCTGGGCGTATGTTTACTCTATGATGCTAATAAAAGAATTAACGATTCCCAGTCATGAGTAGGCCACAAGAAATGTTGCAGCTACAAAGGGCTTATATCTACAAGGATCTCTCATTCAACTATTTTATGCCAATATTCTTTTCTTCCTCTCTGTGATTGATTTCTGAGAATTATATCTACATCCTTTCCCTTCCACTAATTAATGTCACTTTTGGGTACATTCAAGAAGTACAAGATCAGGTATATATTTAATGCGGTTGCCGTTTATCCAGGGTCCTGCTGCTGTTTCTGGCTTGTCTGATGCTTCAACTCCAGGAATTCTGAAACAAAAACAAATGGAGGAAGAGATGGGAAATCTCTTCGATATGGAGAGACTGTTTATCACTGGAGTTTTAGATGAACTAAAGATTCGGTTCTCTTGCAACTATAATGTTGGTTCTCAAACTCGTTTTTTATACTAGTTTTCTTTTTTATGTTATATTACAAGTGTTATTAAGTCCCTAATTGCTTTGATTTTTCATTTCGTTAGACCAATCAGAACTTCAAAGTGATAATGCTTGGTAAAGAAAGTGGCTTGCTTGAGTTCAGAGCAACCGGTGGCCAGGTGATTTTCTATCTGGCTTTCATTCACCCTAGGTAAAATGATTTGTCTTTCCAACTGGATTAATCTCATTTATTGATGGAAACAGGTCGAGGTCTCTATCAGAGAGAATGACTTGTTTATTGGTACTCTTTTGAAGTCGCTGGAAATAGAAGATCTATTTCACTGTGAGGGGGTACCTAAGCCTCGATACCTTGCAAGATCCTTTATCAAGGATACTGATGACTCCGCATGGAATTTATCACCATTTTTCACCACTGTTGGTGACCAGAACTCTGTTAGCAGTGAACAAAATGAAACTGACACTGAAGAGAAATTTTTTGAGGCTTCTGATGATCTCAGTGACTTCATAGAGGCAACAATTCAACCTCAGGGAGTCATCCCTGAATTTTTGAGCTCTAGGAGTTACTTTCCACCTGAAAATTCTTCTATGAATGCTCCTAGTTTTAATCGTATCCCAGGTTTACTACCTGATGCCAAATCTTATGATAAGTCAGACTTTAAAGAGGCTGCTACATTGGATAATTTTGTTAAAGCTCAAATAATTATCTTTGACCGGGATTCTTCTTTGTACACCAGCATCGATAAACAGGTGAGTATGTGCTATTTTTATTCAAGTGAATTCATTTTTTATTTTTTAAAATTCTTCATTTAATTTTCATGTAAGCCTAAATTTATAGATAAATTTATATAATTTATCTTGTTCTCGAACTCGTTGTAGGTAATGCTGAGCATAGGATCATTATCGTTTTTCTGCCATCGTCCCACAATCCTTGCTGTCTTGGAATTCGTCAACGCTGTTAGTGCCAAGGATGACCAAGCTGTGCCTCAATATCCTGCTTCGGCTTTTGAGATAAATAGTTCAAATACTGTGCCTAGTCCATCAAACTCTGATCTTCCTCAAGAGCCTGTTATCAAAGGGTTGCTTGGAAGGGGAAAATCTAGGGCCATCTTCTATTTAATGTTGAACATGGCCAGAGCTCAAATTTTCTTGATGAATGAAAATGGAAAATGTCTTGCTACGTTATTACAGAATAATCTACTTATCGATATCAAGGTCTTCTGAAGAACCTTTCCACTTTGGTTAATTCTTCTTCTCTACATAACCTTTTATCTCATTTAATTCTTCTGCTTTCTTCCAAAGGTGTTTCCATCTTCGTTCCAGATAAAAGCTGCTCTAGGAAACCTGAAAATAAGTGACGACAGTCTCCCTTTGGAACATTCTTACTTTTGGGTTTGTGACATGAGGAATCCAGATGGAAGCTCATTTGTCGAGGTACTGTATGAATCATCCAAGCACATTTCTTTTGTAGTCTGAAGCTTATAATTTAATACACATCAAATTTTAAGGATATTTGTCTGTTGCCTTTGACTAACAAGTAGATACTTCTCAATTTTTCATCAAGCATCCTTGTTTTGAACCGGACAATTTTCTTGTTTGGTACATGTGGAAAACTATACAGTGATGCAAAGATGATATACAGTGGGAATAAAGCTCTATTTGTTATTCATGTCATAGATGGCTGCTTGTTATATAGAAGTACTACTTGCATGAAATACACAATGGTTATGATGGAAAACCACTTTGTAATGTAAATTTGAGTAAGCTTTTGGATAGACACAAGATTTGTGTACATTCTAGGGATATGAAGAACATTTTTTAAGGTCAGTGAAGGACTTATTTTAATGTCTCCTTCACCTACTACTATGGTCAAAGAACCATCTGTTGTTAATATTTTCCTTCTGGTTTGGACAAGGAGAGTATGTGAAGAAGACATTTGGTAAGTGGGTCATATGGTTGGTAGCTTCTGAATCAATGTTCCAAGAATTATCGGAGGTTGTATCTCAGGCATTTAATCTAAAGAGGATGGAAACGTGAGTGAGTATGCCAATAAACAAGAATCAAGCTTGTTAATTAGAGTTCTCACCCTCTTGATCTCTTCTCGGTTGAGGTCACCTCTAGCCATCATCGTCAGGCTGTTCATGCTTTGTCATTCAAGCCTCAAGCTTCTTCTGCTTTCCTCTAATTATGATATAGCTGTCATCTCTACAATTTCTAATATTTGTAGAAAAACTGACGTCTTTTGGTGTTTAAGGCCGAGAGGATATTGACAAATAAGGTTGATGATCAAAAGAGGTTATCAACTGTTGGTGTTTAAGGAAATATTGTAAAAGACTGAAGGTATTTTGGGGTAGTTGTCTAGGGTTTCTCCTTATATAAGAGGTGTTAGAGGTGAGTGAAGAGAGAGGTGGCTGTTTGGCATTCTCCCCTGTTCTTTGTGACAGAGGTTATTCTCCATGTGCCTACGTTTCTCTACATGGTATCAAAGTTGGTTTAGGGTTTCAAACACCTCTTTGGCACTGTCACAAGTTAACGCCACCATTGCCGACATCTTTCACTGCCTATGCCGTGGTTATTAGTGCTGTGCTGCTTTTTGGTGAGGTCTTCTACCTCCACCAAGTATCTTTCCGGTGAGAGTTTCCACCTCTACCGTGCTACTTTCCAACAAGGCCTTCCACGTCTGCCAAATATCCTTCCAGCGAGGCCTTCCACCTCTGCCATACTACTTGCTGGCGAGGTCTTCCACCTCTATTGAGTAGCTTTCCAACATCATTTCTATGTAGTCATCTGTCAGTCCAATGTCTGTCCTCTGTCTGGTGATGTCCAACACTGGCATTCTCTACTAGTTTCGTCCTTTGCCCTCCTCAATCTAACTTCTATTCAGAAATGTTCTCAATCAAGTGCCATCTTGAGCGTGTCAAGGTCATCTGACGTCATTCAATGTCATCATGCATATTCCCTCGTAGTCTGACAACATCTTGTGTAGTCTGGCATTAGAAGGCATCATTGTCCTACAAAGTAGGACTGCAACATCTCATCCTAATAGAAGATGAGCTTTTCGACACCATCACAAGGGGAGTTACTGCCACAACAGGTGATTGTCGTTATAAATTCGTTTTCCAACAAGTGAATGTTTATCAGTGGCTTAGTCAAGATGAAGTTTTCCAAAGTTCATCTTAAAGGGGAGTACTATAAGTGCTAGGTTGTAAGGAAATACTGTCAAAGACTAAGGCTATCTTGGGACAATTATCTAGGGTTCCTCCTTATATAAGGGGTGTTAGAGGTGAACGAAGAGAGATGGTTATCTGCTGTTCTCCCCTGTGTCCTCCATGACAAACGTTATTCTACCTATACCTATGTTTCTCTACATCAACAATCAAGGCTAAAAGGATTGACAATGAAGATCAGTGATCAAAAAAAGGATTGACGAGCAAAACTAAAAATGGAGGAATTGACGATCTGCAGCCTCCACAAAAGTGTGTCGTAAAGTATGGAGTGCTTTGACAACAACCCCTAGGATGCTCTCTCACATCCAACACAAAAGAGGAGAGAAAAAATGGCACAAACATGGCATTTGCTGCCTTTGATTCCGTCATTAGTTCTTCCCTGTGGTCAGGCGCCCAGAACTCGAGATCTCCTAGTTGTATGAACAAAGTGGCCCTAGACTAATCTAAGTACTAATCAGAGTAAACCCTAGGCTGTGGCAGAAGGCAGGAAGCAAACCCCAGATTTTCTGGAGGCCTGTGACTACAAACTAGGCTCTGATACTATGTCAAAAACTATACAGTGACACAAACCCTGGGAGGATATATAGTGGAAAAAAAAATCTCTGCTTGTTGTTCAGATCATAGATGATTGCTAGTTATATATATAGGGACCATGAAACAAAAAACTATCTAACAAAATAAGAAGCTGACAAAATAGGAAACTGACCAACTAAGAGCTGAACTCCTAAATATATGTTCTTTTCCACACTAGCTCACTGTCTCTCTGGTGGGGTTGACATCCTTATTGTTGATCATTTGGGGTACAAAGGGTGGTGTGAATTTTCTTACAACCTACTTATTGTCTTTTGTGAAGAATATTCTAAATCCTTTTATATCTTACCGACTACCTTTTCACTAGACTTTGTGATAAGACTATTTTTTACATGTCTTGTTGATAGATTGCCATAAATGGCTGACAGCCTACCTACACTCCTTTCAGCAAACTACCATGAACCAAGTTCTTGTATGTTTTCTTATCTTGTCATCAGGCTGGCTTGAACATATGCCTTCATGTTTATTGTCCTCTCATGAGGCTTCTGTTGCCAAGATTCTTTCATGCCTTTATTCTTGACTGCTGTTTTCAACTCATACTGTGCTACTCTTGCTTCTTTTTTGACTTCGTCTGTTCTCATATCACATTTACTAATTCACACCTAACAAGGTTTTCTTAAATGAATGCTGTTCCAAAAACTGTATGAGAATTATAATTGCTAGAAAAAGAAGAGTAGGAATGCTTTTTAAAAATAAGGATGATCATTACAGGGGTATTACGGTCATTTGGAATATCTGTTGCACAATAAAAATAATCAAGCGTTTGAGAAAGAATGGAAAAGTTCTAATAGATTGCTTTATACTATTTGAGTGTTCCGTTCCCAATGAAAGCAGCTGCATTAAGTTCAAGAGAACGTCAAATATTTTTTTATTCGAAGCTTTACCGGCAAGCTCATATTAGTTCATAGTTTGATTCCATGTTCAAGTACTGAATTGCGCTATTTTCTTAAAAAATGAGAATTGAAAGAATCAGATACGAAAACTTATCAAGAGTAAATTGGGTTAACATCTACTGTGTATGTGTTTTGTTGTAATTGTCAGGCCAAAAATCTGTCAGAATTAGTAAGATTGGGAATAGTTTTCCAGAATGATTGGTGATTTTCTGGTAAAGATAAAGAGTAAATGGTTTGAGTGAGGTCAGATATAATGCTGCTATTTCCTTTGACTTGTCACTGAATTTTGTATTACTGAGGCAAGTTGTCTCTTATCTGAATCTAATGAAGGATGATCTATTTAACGTCCTCCATTTCTCCTCTGCCTTTACCCGAAGGACCTTGAATTTTAGGTGTCCAAGTTTTTTACTTGAGAGGGCCGTCATTTCTCAATGCGAAAGAGCTTTTATCATTTCTAAATCCTCATTGAAGGGTGTTATTGGTTGGAACTCTCTCATATCTCTTTTATCATACCTCATTGAAGGGTATAATTCATATACTATATTGTTCAATTTCAAAGTAAGCCTCCACTTTTGGGCTCTATATTAAAACGTATGTTATATTTCAAGATTATTGTTTTTTCCCACATTTTTAGTTATATTTTTCGTGTTGCTGAGTCCTTTGATATGCAGCTTGATTTCAATTCATTTAGTGTGGATGATGAAGACTATCCTGGCTATGATTATAGCCTCATTGGAGAGCTCTCAGAAGTACGGATTGTATATTTAAATCGTTTCGTCCAGGAGGTAAATCATCTTAAAATATGGTAAAATCATTCTTATTTCTGCAATAGTTTGTTTCTTCCTTTCCATGAACTGTAATTTATGCAGGTTCTTAGCTACTTTATGGGCCTTGTCCCTACCAGTTCGAAAGGAATTGTTAGACTCAAGGATCAGGTGTCTGACTCAGAGAAATGGTTTACAACAACTGAAATACAAGGATCACCAGCTTTAAAATTGGATCTTTCATTGAGCAGGCCGATTATACTAATGCCTCGGAGAACTGACAGCCCTGAGTAAGGAACCTAGCTTTTTATCTTTTATACTGTATTGTCAATTATATTATTTGTGTTTATATTTTGATATTCATTTATACGTCCTGTAATTATTGCGTACATTTTTCTTCAGCTACCTACAGCTTGACGTGCTCAAAATAGCTGTCCACAACACATTCCAATGGTTTGGGGGTGACATGAACGAAATGAGTGCTGTCCGCCTGGAAATATTGACTATCAAGGTTCCTTTCTCTATTTCCTTTTCAATGTGATAATATCAGTATACTAGCCGAGTGGCTAGACATTTCTTTTCTCTTGTAGACTGGTTTTGATCTATCTTTTTAATGGTTATAGGAGCCGGGTCTTAGTATTGGCTATCTTTGTTGTTTTATGAACAAATTTTCTGGTTTTCTCTCCGCTCTATATTACGCTACTGTGATTGAGCCTTGTGTAGCACCAACTATATAGCGTTTTGTAGGTTTTCACACCCCTTCATTAACTCTATAAAATGGTCGACACTGCACATCTTTTCAGTAAGAATGTGACTCTGTTTTGCTGTGTTCATACTAGAATGAGTAATTTTATGGATTGAAGCAAACAAAAAAAACGAATCTCAAGAAATTTAGAGCCTTGTGACATTTTTATGGAACAGAAGTTGACGTTTCTTCCAGACTAAGAGAAGGATGTGCGGCCCAACTTAGAACCTCTTTAAATCAATTACTTTTTCCCCCAACTCTTGAAGCTCACAATAATCAAGAAACAGGGTTAATTTTATTTTCTTGTGATTGTACTCATCAGAATAAGCCTATCGCGATGTAGTGAATATTCAATCCTAGGATAAGAAGCGATGATGGATCCTTTTCTTGTATTATTGACATTACTTCCATCAGTTTTAGTCATTCTTTCTTGTATTGAGGCGACATGTGACATAGAACGTTGAGGAGTATTAGTCCTCTGAGGAGAGGTCCGAAGATTTAATGACTTAAGAATCGCTCCAGCAACGGCAGGACATACTCAGAGTAGTGCCTTGTATGTACAACTGAGCTACCCGGATGGCGAAAGTAGGTTAGAAGTTTTAGAATGTCCTGTCATATTAGTTTTAGTAGAGAAATCCTCAAAAGTGGGTGTCCCTGAATAACAAAACAATCAACGTAACCATGATTGTCCCTTTGCTTAGTGACCTTTCTTCTCTATTTTGAATTTTCATGGCTTCTTAGAATGTTAACTCCTATCTATTTTCAGCTTCATGATGATGTTTTTTCTATAGTGTGTAATTCCTGTCTTTTACCTTTCTCTTCGACTTGACTTCTTGGTCCCCTTTCCTTGTTAATAATATTCGCAAAGGTTGAATACTCTCCCACTTAAGAACAAACCCATTTTGAGTTCCTGTCTATCACCTTTCACCCATAATCTTATAATGCACATTTTCTTGTAGGGGGATAGAGTTAAAATTCAAGAGTTGTGCTCTTAATGTGTTAAATACACTATTCTGTCCTATCAGAAAAAACACATCGTCCTCAAGAAGGTTCTTGTGTCTCATTTGATATTCAATATAAGATCATTCCTTTATGCAGAAGAAAATCTAATTCACAATAATCCTCTTCAAGACAATGGAATTACTGGTAATAGACATCAAATCGTTCTTTAAGTTATGATATTCATGATTCAGTAGGTAAATCTAGACAGTATCTTTCTTCTGGCTAAAATTTCCTCTTATGCCTTGCACCTATCACTTTCCGTGTTCTTACTCAGAATCAGTTGCTGTCCTTTTTGTCATAACATCTAGTAACCCAAATATGAGTAAGCTATTTTCAGCAAACAAACCTTCTATTGGGGATCAGTAATAGCAGGTTGTCAGTTTTCCCATAAGATCATTTGGTTGCAGGATCCAAGATAAAGTTTTATTTCACAACTCAAGATGCCGAGTTTTGGTTAATTTGTTTGCTGACTGTAATCTGCAATGTTGAGGCTGGGAACCAATCCTTGTATCAGCAGTCAGTCATAATGATCTATTTGGTGGCTGTGATCTGTAAGGTTGAGCGTTCTCCCCTCTCCTAGCAAAGGAGTTTGTTAATACTGTTGGGAATCGACCTGACCCAATGTCCTTCTCGTTCACATTGGTTTCCCAGCGAAGAATCTGGTTTTTTCCTTGGGTAAAATATTCTTCTTTACGTCTTTCTGCTGCTGTCGTCACAGTAGGGGAGGTTGAAGGGAAGAGACTGAGTGAGGTGGGCTAATGAGTCACGTAGGGCGCAACTCTCTCCTTCGTGTGTCTGTGGCCAATGACAAGGGGCCGGCTTCTCATGTTTCTGCACGGGGGAGAACAAGAGATACATCCTATTCCCCTTCCCACATACCTGGTAGTGCCCGTCAGTCATGGTGGCTTGTGTTAAGGATCAGTGATAGACCCCATCCTTATGCAAGTATAGATAATGCATAATGGGTGTACCTGGTTGTAGGATTCAAACTAGATGTGGGTGTCAACGCCTATAGATACGTGGAATCCGTATATAATCAGGGAAATCGGCAATATTTGGGTGTACTGTTCGTATTCATATGGATTACCTTAATTTGGTACTTACTGATCCAATCAAGGGTGATGTAAAATTCGGGCTATACCTGTAAGCTAGTAATATCTGTACTGAAAAATTGGGAACTTAACCAATTGACAACAAATTGAGGTTGTGAACCTGAAGATGTGCATTGAAACCTTGGCAGGATACGGATCATTCATTTCCATGGTTTAATAAATGAGTATTTATTACTAATGATTGTTTCCAAAAAACTGATGGTTGTATTTCTTTGAAATTTTTTGATGAAATGCTTTGGAACTGGACCAGAGAATAATGAATCAGCAAAGTTGTGTCCTGGTATTTCCTCACTACTGTTTTCTCGACCACAATGAAATTTTCAATTATGATCGCCATATTTTCTATCAGGTCAAGGACCACTAAAGTTTTATTCCTATCATTTTCTGGAAAGTATGAATAATTGGCTTGTCTTTATGTTTCTTGATGAAGTATATTTTTGTAACTACACTTCTGTGCGATGTTTTTTATGGCTTTAACAAAAGCAGTAGTCGTTTATATTTTAGAAAAGCTGTATCACAGGTTAGCTTCCAGACAATTTATTTCAAACTTGACATCTAGAAAGCTTATATTTTGAAATCATTATACCCAATGTATATGTATACCAGGTGAAAGACATCAACCTGACCATTGGTACGGGAACTCTTACTGGCGAAAGCATTATTCAGGATGTGAAAGGTCTTTCTATTATTATTCAGAAATCTCTCCGAGATTTGTTGCATCAAATTCCATTGACAGAAATAAATATCAAGGTAGTGTTTATGATTAAACTTCACCGTTCGACTTCATCTTTTAGGTTTCTCCATTCAAGATGTTAAAGGTTCTTTTCACTATTTTTTTATGCTGTTGTTCATAGCTTTTCCGATGAGGCATTTATGACCACCTTTTTCAATTGCCAAAATTTATTTCAACTTTAAATTCAATCCAGGATCTTTCTTATTTCTTTTTGCTTGCTTATTATCCAGGTTAAAGAGCTATCCGCCTCTTTATCCAATAGAGAGTATGAGATAGTTACTGAATGTGCTCTATCCAATATATCTGAGACCCCAAATTATGTGCCTCCTTTGAACATTGCTTTTCATACTGCTGCTGAGGATGAGGGTGGATCACTAGTTTCTCTTGCTTCTGACTCTGCTGAAGGAACTATAGAAGGAGAAGCATGGACAAAATTTAAAATAATGGTTTCTATCAGTTTGGTTAAGCTATGTTTGTATTCAGGTATAGCAAGGGATTCATGCTTGGCGACAGTGCAGGTATTGGAGTATACTTTTTTGCAGATAATTCTTTAATACAAGTTTTCTTGCAGTCATTATGAGATTTTCATGACTCTAAATCTCTGTTCTACGTGATGTGTTTTTATTCTTCATGATTGTTAGAATAGTTCCATGTCAAATGACATGAAATAGATCACCAATATCCGATTTTTTTTCGGTTTTAAGGCCCTTGAGTCTCCTGCTTTGTATCAGAACTTATGGTTATCTACCTCATTTATGTTGTCCGGTAGGCACATAAAGGATCCATGTTAGAATAATCCCACGTTGACTGTGATAAATTAGACGTGTGCTTAAAATATAGGAGTATATTCCATTCCTAGTCTATTTTATTTAGTGTGGGCTGATTATTTTCTATGTTCGTAAAAATATCTCCCCCACAGATAGAGAGAGATGCAGAAGAAAAGGGAAAAGAGAGGAAGAAAGGGATGTGCCGAAATTTTACTTGGGATATGAACTCCTGGGGATAATCTTTCTAGCTTTCCTCCACTGCATAAGAATGGGTTTTTATATTAATTGAAGGAATTGCGGAATCCAACAGAACCCTGTGGATAAAAGATAATCATAAAGGGGACAACAGAAATCTTAAATAGAACCATGATTTGTCAATCTTTACAGCGGCCAATCCTGATTTTAGACTCTTTTTCTTTCTAATATGTAGGGGTAAAGGAAAGTCCTCCCTTGAAACTGCGTAATATGCGGTTATTTCCATTTCAAATCAATAAATCTTTTTACGAAGGAAAAAATTCCTTTCAATTCAGAAATTCTTGAAATGTGGAGATAACTGTGTCTGTGGGGCATCGTACTCCATTTTCTGAATGCTACCTGGCTCAGATCTTGAGAGTGTACTGAGCAACTTACAATAGTATTCATCAAAAGGTGTACACACTAAAATTTAAAGGAATTAAACTTTTACTTGTCCGTTTGTGGCTTGTTTTAAATTGCTGTCAGTCATTGTGTTCCATTTTCTGAGTGCTATCAGACTGATGCCTTGAGAGAGTAGTGAGCCAGTAAGAATAGTTTGCATCCAATAGAGATGCACTTAAGATTTAAAGGAATGAAAGTTTTAATTGTCCGTTTTTGGCTAATTTTGAATCATTCGAACACTTTCTATTCTAAAACATATGCCATTGCCCCTATGATACTCCATTTTCACGCAGCAAAATCTGAAGTAACGAAGTTCCATAAAATAGGATACATGTTCATGTTACTTGTTAATCGATGCGTCCCTCTCTTTTATTCGTGAAACAAGCATCTTGGCTTAGTTTGGAGCTCAAAAGGTTCGAATCACTTTCTTTTTTGTACTCAGGCTTTAAACTACTTGACCTCCTGTAATGATTAATTTCTAACAATCTGTCCATGATATCTCGGATATAGGCACGTGGAGCTTGGGTTCTTTTCAAATCTGATTCAATTGGACAGGGGTTCCTCTCATCAACACTTACGGATTTTTCTGTAATTGATAATCGAGAAGGTACCAAGCAAGAATTTAGGCTTGCGATTGGAAAGCATGAAAGTGTTCCAGAGGAGCTTCTTAGCTATGAGTTGGAACAAAATAGCAAGGTCACTGGTTTTAAAGAAAGTAAAGAGAAAGAGAAAAATTATGCAAAATCAGTTCCGGCAATGCTCATTCTTGACGTCAAGTTCAAACAGTCCTCAACAATTGTATCTTTGTGTGTTCAAAGACCACATTTACTTGTTGCCCTTGACTTTCTTCTGGCAATTGTGGAGTTTTTTGTCCCGACAGTGCAGAACATGCTCTCAGATGAAAGAGATAAAGATCATTTGCGGTTCATTAATGCAATAATTCCTGATCAGCCAATTTATAGTCAACCTTCATCAGAATTTTCACTCTCTCCGAACAAACCTTTGGTTGTTGACTGTGAGAAATTTGATCATTTGATATTTGATGGAAAAGGTGGCAATCTTTGTTTAGAAGATAGGCTTGGAATTACACTCTCCAACCACAGCTCTGAGGCTATGATATTCGTTGGAAATGGGAAAAGATTGCAATTCAGAAATGTTTATGTTAAGGTCTTTCTCGTTCCTTTCATCTTTGATGTGTCAATCCTATGGCTATTCCTAACTTTCCTATGTTATTTCTGCTGCAGAATGGCAAGTTCTTGGATTCTTGCATATTTCTAGGAACTAATAGTAGCTATTCAGCTTGTGAAGACGACAATGTCTTCTTGGGGAATGACGGTGAAGATGTGTCTCTTGATGCTCCACATCAAAGGATGACAAAAATAAATGATCCAAAAGCTCAAGTTGGGGCACCTTCTAAAATACAATATGTTCTTGAGTTGCAGGTCAGACATTATGATACTTAATGAATCATTGGCATATATGATGACCATCAAAGATGCTCATGTTGATAGTTACAAGTCATATGGAGCCGTATTCTATTTAAAAACTTAACCTTGTGGTATTTATTTATGGGAGCATTAGATATAAAGTATTTCCTAAAAATCACGAGTCTTAAAGAGAAGTATTTTAACTTACCGTAGTTGCAAAAGTCTCTCAATGATGATTGTTATATTACGATGTAAATCTTTTTACAAACGCTCTTCCTCAAATCCATTATATGGTACTATCTCGTTGATAACTGATTGCCTCTGTTGGAACTAAGTCCTTCCTTCACTCGAGGAAGATCCACAAGTTCCCTTTGCTTCATGTCATCTTACTTATTTATCCATTTCATGTGACAACTTTGTATCCTCTTAGACCATACAAGGGAAGTAAGGGTGCTGAGAGAAGATGAAGCAAAAACAAATGTGCTATATCAAGGTGAAGTGAGTACTAAGAAGATACATAGACGTAAGGTCTCTGGTAGATGTTATGCTTACCTTTCTAGCTGAAAGGTAAATATTATCAAAATTTATAGGTTCAATTGGATATGATGGCTTACTATCACCAAGAGACTCTATTTTCTTGTGACTGATTGGAAATAGGAATCATCCTGCACTTTCATTCCAGAGTAGGTCAACAATTTAGCCTCCTTAGGATCATTGTCAATTCCATCACCTCCATTGCGGTGAGATATTTATGAAAATTGAGATTAAAATGAGCTAACTAGAAGGTATAATACGAGACTTGGAAGGTAAAACCACAGAACTCTTTCTTTGCAGAAAAAAACTGTATAGGTGGATAGTAAGACTCAATTTCAGCATAAGGAATATTTTTGGAGATATTTCTTTTGTTTAGATATTATGAGTTTCATGCACTTTCTTGAGATGATAATAGCCTAGGTAAACCTATCGGAATGAATGAAGTTTAATTTTGAGAAAATAAGGTAAAGATCATGAATAGGAGCAATACATCTAAGCTCAAGGTAACCGAATCCTAGTGCCTTTGATGACATTTGGATGACAATCTAAACCCTTTTTATTGATGGCTTCATTTTAAAATTTTCTTTGGACAGTGTTGAAATAACAAGGCTCTAGTTATCTCACAAAAGATTACCGCTCTTTATCTTAACTTCTCCATTTGTTGAGAGTCTACAAAAGAGGTTTTATGCAATACTCCATGATCTTCAAAAAATCTGTATTCTTTTCCAAAAGTTCCTTGGCATTATCTAATTTTTATCGTTTGATACTTCTCATAAATTGGATTTCAATCTTGTAAAACTCCAATAATATCATAAACTTCCCCTTAAACTTCATAAGATAAGTCTGTGTTTAAATAATGTAGTCAGCAAATGAAGCTTACAAAGTTTTTATAACAGTTATGAGGTCAGTGAGGGCCCCATAATAAACAAATTTAAAATGAGACCTTCTCTTACTATTAGACGAAAGATGTAATGGTTTAGGATGCTTAGTCATGTAAGAAGCCAAGTCTGACTAAACATGGAAGGGCTAAAAAAAATTCTAAGATTAGAAAAGGCCAACACATATCATATAATTTGTTAAAAAAAAAAACTGTTTTTCAAGAAAGTTTGTATTCTTCAGTGTGGAAGAATACTAAAAATCAGATAGTGTGTTTCAGCTGATGACGCAGTTGATAGTCTTGTTCTTTTTTGTGTGTTTCTCTGGGCTTATTTGTATGATAGTGGCCTTAAATTAGTAAGCTTTTTTTCAGGCTATCAGCCCAGAACTTACATTCTACTGCACATCTGGAGATCTAGAGGATTCACAATTTTTTTCAACAAAGCTACTTCATGCGCAATTTGACATGTTTTGCAGGTTTTTGTTCTTCTATTAGTTTTCCAATTATGACTACGTTTACAATTGATATTAATATCATTGCATTTAAATTTTTCCATAGTTTTAGTTATGCTTCTTAAGTTAACTTCGTATGTAGAAAAGGCATGACCTTTCCCATGTCAAATAACTAACACTGGAAAAGGCTTCCTCTGCATCAACAAACAGTATTTCTCAAATGATATGATCCTCACAGCCAATATTTTGACTGGAGCTGTCAGTGAGATTTGATCATTTTCGTTGAAATCGTAGAATATTAAAATCTACCGAGAAATGATCTACTAGATGCCATGAAATTTAATGCATGATGTTTCTAATTGTAGAAGATTGGGAAATTAGCCATTTAAATGGCTTAGTGCTTTGCCGAGGGGTTAAATTCAAAGGGCATGTGTGAAAGGCTGGGATGGGACCCTCCATAAGGACTCAAAGACAGCCATGTGCCCCTTCTATTCTCACTAAGAAGCAGATAGGCACCACTTCTCTAATGAATTAGCTTAGCTTGGTGTGGCATTGTTCCCTCATCAAGACATTGCCCTATTTGTTTCCTTGTTGTTCTAGATATCCGTTTTGGTTATTGCACAGGGAGAACATTTCTATGCGCTTTTGTTTGTTCATATGTAATTGAGTTTCCTTCTATCCTCTTTAGACATCTCCTGATCTCTAGGTCTGATGTGGATACGTTAGAACTTTTGAGTTGTGTTTCCTGTCAATGTGAAAAATCTATTTTCGCCATCTAAATAAACCATATTTTTTCATCTTTTAATTTCAGAGCCCTTATTTCCATGATCTCAGAAAATATATTTTCTTTTTGTGGGATGTTCTGTGAAAGATTGGGTCTTCAAAGTGTATGAGTGCACGCTGAGAGTTCTCAGGGGCAGTTTGTTGTTATCTACCTGCAAATTGGCATGGTGTTTTACTAACTTTCGCCAATTACAATCCGAATCGTTTTCAGGGTGAAATTTGATCACTTTTGAAACCGGAAAATAAAGGAAAAACTAATGTAATAGGCCAAAATCGGGCATTCTCGTATTACTTGATGTCGGATGAAGAATCTGACAGGGTAGTTCTCTTGACTGCACTGGCACTGAACACTACCAAGTGGTGACAGTCAAGGGCTGCAAATGGCCCTTGGTGGCATTTTCTTCACATTTTCTGACGCTAAAAAATTGTTACATTTGTTACGTTTATTACCATTCTCCATAAACTTTCGGAGGGAGGAATTAATGTCACCATATCCAAGACTTTTCTGTTCCATCCACTCCTAAATACATTAGACTACTAGCTCTCCCAGCGCAGAACTGAATTGTTGGGAACTTTTCTTTTGTATGCCGTTTTATGCATCCCTACCTTATTAGTGTCGATGCTACTTTCATCACATATTGTACATGTTCATCAAACTTTTGGGAAGCTAGCTTGTGCTGTGCTTAACTTTGGGCATCAAAACAGAGGGCCGTTGCCAAAAATGTGTTTAACTTGTAGCTCATCCAATTCGAACGTGATTATGCCAATAATTACATAGCCTTACTGATGCCTGCTGTGGGCAACAACAGAGTAGAATTCTGTAGAAAGTTGGTCACTTTCAATTGATATCTCCAGTTCTAATAGTAAAGCAGGCTTGGTCACTGATCACCAAGTACAACCCTAATGTTTTTAGATGTATACGGAAATTCTCACGGTGTCGTTTAGCTTAAGGACCCCCTTGCAAAAATGGAAACCTGGAAGTTGTAGTTGTCAGTTGTCCTGACTTCCAGCAGATTACATTTGAGACCATATTTCCATTAATAATGACAACATTCATTCTCACCTCCTTCCCAGAAAGTCGCATCCCTACTTAAAAATAGAAACGCATTAATATTTTTTTGTCTATTTTCTGTTGTCAAGACTAAAAGTTGTCCATTATTTGACTTTCTTTATTTTATTTTATTTTTGTTAAGTAGTTTCACATTTAGTCTTGCGAAGAACACTTTAGTGTTGCATGATTGCACATCAATAGCCTTCCCTCATTTCTTAACCAAATATATTTGTTTCATATTTTTAAAATTTTGGTTGATATATCTTAACATTAAGCCACCTTTCCCAAGTCTGACCTTTTCTAGTGTAAATAGGAAAGACTGGCAAAAAAATTGAATATAAATTCATTTTACCACATTTCAGGGTTGCTTTGAAGGATGATTCCATGGAGCTTTATGGTGATGTGCTCGGATTGAAACTTGAGAGTAATGGGATCAGGGTCTTAGAACCATTTGACACACGCGTAAAGTTCTCAAATGTCTCGGGCAAAACAAACATTCATGCCTCGACTTCTGATATATATATGAATTTCTCCTTCAGCAGCCTTAAGCTGTTCTTGACTATTCAGGATGACATATTGGAATTTATGAGGATGACAACCAATAAATTTTCAGTTGTCTGCTCACAATTTGATAAAGTTGGAACTATTCAGAGTAAATGACATTGACCGTTTAAAACTTTTTCATGGACCCATTTTGTTTTACCTTGTTATTCTGAAATTTCAGGTTGAGTGTCAGTAACCAACTATTCTTATATCGTACAGCTTGTCAGAGTGAGCAAACATATGCATTCTGGAGGGCACGTGCACCACCTGGTTTTGCTGTTCTTGGGGACTGCCTGACACCCCTGTATGTTTAACTTTTTTGAGCTTTTTCTCTCCGTGAATTATGTTCCATATTTTTTTTTCTGTTTCCCACTTGCTGCACAAGTATGTCTTAATATTAAGCCTCTAACTACTTACATCACTCTTAGAAACGAGCCACCTTCAAAAGGAGTCACTGCTGTTAATACCAGCTTCGCAAGAGTGAAGAAACCTGTATCATTCCGACTCATTTGGCCATGTCCGGAAGTTGATAATGTTCAGGAATATAAAGGTGAAGGTAAGGGAAATAACACCCCAACACGCTCAGGCTCAAATACTGACAAAAGCAGAAAAGAAAGTGGCTGTTCTCTTTGGTTTCCAGTTGCACCCGAAGGTTATGTTGCTGTTGGATGTGTGGTTTCAACTGGAAGAGTCAAGCCATCATTGTCATCCACTCTGTGTATCTCGTCTTCTTTTGTCTCAAGTTGCTCTCTGAAAGATTGCATTTCTCTCCATCTGTTTGAACCGTATGTTACACGTGGTTTCACCTTATTCATTTTTTATGGTAATAATTTGACTTGAAACTGACTCTTGATTGCTATCCATTATGTTCAGGCTCTCAACAAGTATTGCATTATGGAGAGTTGACAACTCCTTTGGTTCCTTCTTACCTACAGAGCCTAATAATATGAGTTTGATTGGTAAAGGCTATGACCTTCGTCATTTGTGTTTTGGATATCCTGAGTTTCAATCTAAGCCATCAATGGGTTCAGACGTGCAACCTGACTTTCAGTTATCCGAACAAATGGTTCAATTGGAAAGATCTCCATTGCAAGCATCTAGTCAACTCTTCGAACCTATTTGTAGCTTTAGATTAATCTGGTGGAATCAAGGTGCTCCATCCCGCAAGAAGCTTTCGATTTGGCGCCCAGTGGTACCCCATGGCATGGCTTATCTTGGTGATATCGCTGTCCAAGGGTATTTTTTTTACTAAATCTTCGTTTTTGCTTTTGTTTCTCTCTTGTTGTTGTAGAATTTTTCAAGTATAGAAATCAACCATTCATTCGCTTGTAACTTCAGGTATGAGCCCCCAAACACATGCGTTATTCCTCGTGATACAGGAGACAGTACATTGCTTAAACCTGCTTGTGGTTTTCAACTTGGTGGTCACATCAACAAGGAGAAAGGAGTCATAAGTGTGTCTTTTTGGTTACCTCAAGCTCCCCCTGGCTTTGTTTCCCTGGGGTGCATTGCGTCAAAGGGCTCACCAAAACAGGATGATTTAGGCTTATTAAGATGCATACGCCATGACTTAGTAACTGCGAGTGCTTTCCCTGAAGAAAGCATCTGGGATTCATCTGATACTGAGAGAGCTGCAGAACCATTTAGTATATGGGGTGTCGGTAATGAGGCATGCACATTTTTTGCCAGAAATGGACTTAAGAGACCTCCAAAAAGATTTGCTTTAAGGCTAGCAGATCCAAGTGCATCTAGTGGCGCAGATGATACTGCAATCGTTGTAGAAATGAAAACATTCTCCGCAGCAGTTTATGATGATTACGCAGGCTTGGTAAGAATCTGAATTAGAATCCATTCCATCCCAGATTCACTATGTTTATCTATAATTGAATTTGCGTGTGTTACGAAAGAACATCAGTTAATTGCAAATCTTCTGTATGTAATGACTCTTTTCACTGACTGTTGCGCAGATGGTTCCTCTATGCAATATTGGTTTCAGCCGAATTGGGTTTAATCTCTGTGGAAAACCTGGCTTTGTAAATTCAACTTTGAGCTTTGCCTTGGCAGCAAGATCTTATAATGATAAGATTGATTCCTGGGAGCCGCTTGTTGAACCCATTGATGGAGTTGTAAGGTGAGGGCTCACTTATTATTTATATTTTCCTTAATTCGTTCCATGAGTTGTATATAGTCCATCTCCTAGTTATGTTAATGTAACTAGTAACCGTATCATCTTACATTTTTAATCTGACAATGTCAAAATGACTGTAACTTAATTATTTTGTAGATTGGAAAACGAGGTACCAAAAATTTGTTAGAAATGATTTGGCTTCCTTGTTTTCGTAGGGGAATCGTGGTGGATTAATTATTATAAGGAAAGGTTCAAGATAAGCTCAGTGCACTAGTATCACAGGGGATCCAAAAGTTTTATTTTGTCATAAAGTTAAATTTTCTCTGACATGAATTCTTGGAACACTCTTATGACAAAACTGCAGGTACAAGTACGATTCGCATGCACCTGGTGCCTTTCCCCAGTTACGCATTGTCACTACCAGGGATCTCAACTTAATTGTATCTGTTTCAAACACTAACATGATTCTTCAGGCTTACTCGAGTTGGAATAGCCTAAATAGTTTCACTGGTCCTAAGAGAGTATGTCACCTCTTTAGACCCCTCTGGTTATTAGAACGCGTATTGTATTATGTGTCAAAAAACCTTATTTATTCACTTGTTTCATTATTTGCAGGCAATAATTTCTCCAACATATGAAGGGAGATCTGTCATTGATTTTCGTCGCAGAAGAAATTATTTCATTATTCCTCAAAACAAGCTTGGTCAAGACATATATATAAGAGTTACTGAACGTAAAAGGTTCTCCGACATTATTAAGATGCCCTCAGGAGATAACAAGCTTGTAACTGTACCAGTATCAAAAAATCTGATGGATTCTCACCTGCAGGGAAAGCACAGTCAAATATCCCGTTGTTTGGTGACAATTATTGTGGCAGATGCTGAGGTTTGGAGGCTAGCTTATGATATTTAAAGACGACTTATTTCTTTATTTTGTTGTGGGTTTAAACCGTACTTACAGATATTCATTGGTCGAGGCTTGATGATAATCATTATTTATTTGTTCCTTTTTACCGCATTATAACATAGTTATGAAATCTTGTCCAGCAACCTTATTCAATAAGAGGGATAATTTACTAATTTTTTTTCTGAAATATCGTTGAATTCTGGAGATATTTCTTCTTTGTCCATTGCAAATATAAGAAAGGAAGGTGACTTTTCACGATTAAATTTTTGAATGGTATTTAATTAGTCAAGATTTAGCAAATTTAGCTATGATTAGGTTTGAGTTTTCTTAAAAGTTGAATACTGAAACTCTAGAGACTTAAGCTGAAGGAAAAAGGTATGTTTCTTTATTGTTCACTGCCTTCAGTATCCTTAATTTATCTGAATTTTAGACTCACGAATTTTCCTGATTTAATGTTGGGCTCAATGAGAACGTTAATACTTGATTATTTTGGCAGGTAGTCTTGGTTGAAGAGATATTCATCCTTTTTTTTTTTCCATGATGGAAAATTTGGTGGTCATGGCATGATGCAAAAGATAAATTTGCTAGAGATATGGGAGAAGAACTGGTTAAAAATAGTTATTGAAAACCTGTGTGATATGAAGTTTGTATCCTAGAATGTAGTCTGTAAAGAAACCAAACGAGAACAAGGACCATGGATGTGAAATGAGATTGGTTTCTGTATTGTCAGGAACCAACCCACATTCAGATTAGATGGGATCAGATCAAATAGGATGATCAAAAGGGAGAAATTCATTTGATTGAAATTTATAAGGATTTGAAGTGTTTATAAAAAAAGAATACCTCTATCTTTGCTACCGAAGCAAAGTGAAATCAGCTGAATCCTAGCTGATTTTTCTCTTTTCCTTGAATTTCAAGAGCCATAAGTTTTTTCCTCTATTGAGGATACCTGATTTTGACCTGAAATGGTTTATGTAGATGAGAACCAACTTCATCCCTTAACCATGGATGAGAAGGGATGGATATTTATGGGCCTTTAAACTTTTAAAACAAGAGGAAAATGTGTAGCAGTATGTTATTTCTGCTATATCATTCTTTAAGTGGCACAAGGTTTGTGATAAAGCAACATGATAGGGGGTCCATCTTGTAAGCTAATGCTCAACAACGTGGTCAGAATAAAAGACATTTGGTAAACTAACTGTAAATATGGCGGAGCTTAGTGTGTATCCATGAGATTTGAACCAGTGAGAGAGAAAAATCACTGAGAAAAAGAAATACAGTATTAATAAACTGAATTTAGAAAAAAGGAATAGATCAAGTTTCCAATGATTAAGGTTCTCTAGGAGTAAGTCGAAGACAGTCATAGTGTAGACACCTACATCTCAACGACAGAGATTCAGCATAATCAAGAGACATTGAAAAGACCTTATTCAAAGAGATGAACCATTGAAGTACGTACACTTAATTCTTATGCAAGATATCAGCAGGAAAATTTTAATCTCTGAATGGAAGTAAGACCTCCAGTTGAAGGTGAAACCTGTTGTTCTCTTTGATAGTACAAGGATTTTTTGCTCCAGCCATACGTATATCTTATCACTACTGTGAACTCACCAATTGAATTCTCATTTGTTTCCATTATCTATGAAATAGAAATATGTGATCAAAAGTTTCATACTTCTTACTTAGTTACAATCCGTTCTTAATTCATAATACTAACATACTTGGTCCTCTCTTTCCATCCCCCTAGACAATGCTTCATTTTGAGAAGATATTTTAAATGCATCTGTCCATCCTATCTCTTGCTGAAGGTCACATAATAATGGTTGTTTTGTTAGCACAATATAAATTTAAGGGAAGCCAAACCTTTAGACCAAGCTCTTGAAAAAATATTGTTGACCATAAAAGCTCTGACAAAGTCATGGCCATTTGTCTTTCACTTCTCTATGTTACCAAATTATTCCGAAGTTGTGCAATATCCAATGGTGGATGTCTTGTCATCCTGGGACTTTGTCCAAGCTACATCTGTATAGCCTAAATTTTCATATTGTTATAGTTGGTATATAGAATCCCTTATTTGGGACATGAGTTTATATATATTAAAATGAGCTCTAAAGACTTCATATAGGGTGTTCTTGGTATGGTCATGTGCTGATTGACCACACCTGCTGCATTAGTTTTTCAGTTCTTGTGAATGTAAGGTATAGCAACTCACAGGCCTCTGCTATTTTTCTTCCTTTTTCAAATGGGCGTTTTCTTTCTTTTGTGATCTCCCCGTAATTCATTTATATTGGTGTATTACTAACTTACACCGTGATTTTCCCATTTCTTTCAACAAATCTATGGTTTCGTCATCTAGCATATGTAGGTCCCCTATACAAACAGGGCTCAAGAAAGCCCATTGCTGGTAGCATGAGAGAACAGTTTTAAAGTTTTTTATGTTACAATATCATGTCTAGTAAAAGAACTGTTATTTTTAAAATCATTCTTGCCACAAATCAAGAAGGCATAATCTGTTTGTATTATAAACTTGTTAAATAGACAGGGTTTGGCCGTTTCTTCGCCAGCTTTTTAAGGCATACCTCACCCCAGGCTTTTTAAGGAATATTTGACGTCTAATTTTCAATTACAAAGCTTCTTCTCTTCTTCCTTTATACTTGCCACACCAAGAGAAGTATAACGTGATTGACATCATGGAAACATTGGTAGGGAACTCTGCAGAAATTAAACCAATATGGGGAAACTCTGCAGAAATTAAATAGAGATTTTTGGGTTATCACACTGGCTTTCATGATCTTAGCTTCCCTCGGTTGTACTCTCCAAAAAAGCCTTAGATGCCTCTTAAAGAGCTTGGACGTGTCCTTCTCTCCTTTGACGCCTTAAGTTCCAAGAATCCTCAGGTACATGATCTCCTTTTGACGATCTCAAGGTTCTTTGGTTGCAATATCATGAAGAAACATCTGGAGAATAAGAAAGAGAGGGAAAACAAGAGAGAGATATGTAGAGATTGAGAGAGAGAGAGAGATGTGTTATATAGGCCCTTAAGATGGAAGTTTCGGGTTCAGCCAAGTAGGAAAGGTTTCGAAAAACCTATTTATTGTTCGTGTGAACACTTGCATCTCATCATCAGCTAATTGAACAATGTGTTTTATTAATAATTATTTTCTCATACAAAGCTATTCAATTAGTAACTATGCTTGCTCATTTATGTTCTTGAAATTATTTTCGTTATAAGGACAAATTTACTCTAATATGAAAACTTAGATGACCATCTAGAACTGGAATCTATTCTCAGATACAAACGTTTCTTCCTTACACAAAAAAATTGAATATAATGAGTTTCTAGCTTATGTCTGTTGCGAGTCTAGCGATACCAGTGACAGAAAATAAAATCCATCAAGAAACAGAACTATGTGGAGATGAGAAATAATTTTTGATTTGAAAAATCTGACTCACTTGGCTCATAGAATCCAGCCAATATGGCCTTCAAGATTCAATCTCTCCACCTCTCTAATTTGACTCTACAGATCCGACTAACTGTCGATCTCTTTTGTTGTTCCTCCAAGAACAGCCAAGCTCTGATTTCTTTCACTGTTCTTCCGAAACAGCCAAGCTCATGTTTCAGGTACCTCTGAGAACAGCCTGACTCGAGCGCAAGAGGAGACAACAAAATATTTCCTTGTGTTGAAGATCAAACTAGATCCGGTGCGCTGGAAAGACCACCCTCACGCCTGTGGAGAAAACTTGAAGTTCAAACAGAAATGACATTTTCTCACCTTCAAAGGATAGTTTACAACGTGGAGGGGTCTGGTATTTATACCAGACCCTGGAAGGTTCTAGACACCTATAGCTGAAAACAGAATAAGGGATTCTGTCGACATGACACGTGTGAAGGTGTAAGAGGAACAAGAGGGTCTTCGGAATGTTTGACACAGCCATAAGTGGTATCAACACATTCCTCAGCAAGTATCCATAATTTCCAAAAAATAACCAGCTCTCCTCGGCATTATGTCTCCCGTCAACTCCTTGCAAGAGAAGGGGGAGGAGACAACCACCAAGAACAGGGCCACGAACAGAAAGAGGGAAAACAGAAAAAACTGTTTAATTCGAATGCCCTGTATTGGGCTACACAACTGAATTGTTCTCTCTCTCTTCTGACAAGAGAATTACAGAAACGCCCTTTTAAAAATGTCTAAAAGATATCTCACGTTTGGAGCCTTCTACTCCTCTGTTATTGGGCCTGTGCACAGCCCAGAAAGCCTCATACAATCCGTTTCGTTGAGCCTAGTTGAGATATGACTCAGATCTCAACAATGTCATCAAATTATATTTTAATACAGTTTATTCTTATGATCCATTTCTGTTCTTCAAATATTAAAAGCATGACTTATTACCTTCTCAGTTGATTGAAATTCCCTCATGTTCACTTCATGATTTTTTCTCTGTTAAAGTGTATAGTTCCCATTAAATTAACATCGTATTCAATTTAATTATATTTCGTGCTCTGTGTTAATATATGAGAGCACAAGAAAATATTTGCTGTTTCACGCAACCAAAAAGTACCTGGTTTTAGCATTACCATGTCTTAGAATACCTTCGTATCTGCTGAAGATTAAACATGCCACTCTTCCTCCGTGCAGTTTCCTTATGTTGAAGGGATAACCACTGGAATATATGCGGTATTAGTCCGAAAAATTCACAAAAACCCAAATGAATCATCATTGCAACAACCAAGTGTCAGAACATGTGGTGCCATGTCAGAACATATTTCATCTGGGCTGGCTTTGGTGGAATGGAATGAGGTCTTCTTTTTCAAAGTTGATGACGTGGTAAGTGACCATTTATTTCATTTTTTATTAAAATAAACTTTATGCTCCTCGATTTGATTTTTTGAGATATGGTAAAAGTCTTATCCCTTTCTTGCAAGGAGACAATTAATTTATGAGCAGCTAGACCACCACACTAGTGATCAATGTTGGATGTTCTTCATATGCACATTTCAGGTGAAGTCTAAAAATGTTTATAAAAGAAACCCATTATGTGGGAACTTAAAATCCAATGCTTAGACTCGGTGCTGTCAGTGAAGATGTGCTTAAACCTTGGAAACTTAACCGAAGTCTCAACCCAACAAAGCGACCCACCCATTTCAGTTCCTAGATTTTATTTTAGGAATAAACATAAATTTGAATATGTTTGTGATACATCGACAAATAGTATGATTCTTTTTTAAATAATTGATCCATGTTCTTTTTTCTAATCTGAGGTATTTTTGAATACAAGACTAAGACTATTTTTATTACAGTAAAGTATTCAACAGTTCCAGCATAACCTATTCTACGACTAGATTGTGATAATGCGAGAAAGATATTGTAAAAAAAAATCTTCCTTTGTGCGTCTTCCCTTCTTTGTGAGTTGCATAGATATAGAGGTTAGACATTATGCATTTCGTCCCTAGACTCAAGCTACAAACTCTGGCTGCTTAAACGAGGGTACACTCTCTGCTTAATTTAAATACGTGGCTTCAATTTACAATTTATCCATGTGCTCAAGAATTGTCTTTGACGTTATTTTGCTCACATCTTTCATTTTTCTCAGTAGGACAGATTATTACATTTTTCTTTTATTTTTTGTAGAGAGATTCTCGCATGAAATTTTTAAACATACTGTCAAACTTTTCTAAAATTTTAATAGATGCTCTCTTTTGCAACAAAGTAGTTTTATTAATTGGATAGTCCTTCCTCACCTGTAGTCACAGAAACACATCAAAGTTTGCCCCCTGAGTTTGAAATTTTCATGCTTTTCCTAACCTTGAGGCTTTATTAATTGTGTTCCTCATTGCGATCATTTGTTTTTATCTATCCCTCGTTATTTCACCGTTTTTGTAGGTGATAAGCATATTAACTTATTATTTATTACCAAAATTCGAATGATAGTTGTGACCTTGACTGTTTGATCCCTAGTTTTCATAAATTCCTCTGCTCTCAATATTTGTGGCAATGATATCTCATGATTCTGTATATTGGAAACAGGAGCAGTACATGGTCGACTTCACTGTCATTGACATGGGAAAGGGTATCATATTTACATTTTCGTGTGTTATATTTTCACTCATGCGTTTATTTCTTTAACCTTTGCTTAAGAAACACACCCGTTAATGTCAGACGAACCTGTTGGATCATTTTCTGCCCCTTTAAAAAAGGCAGCGCTCAAGCTTCATCCCAATTCAAGATTACGTTGGCCTGATAACAGTTTTCACTGGGGAGAACTCTTTTCCAAAAAGACAACGGTGAATAGTTTTTCCTATTGTGTAGTATTTTTATTTAAACATGGTTTCCTGCATCGGTTTCTTTTCATGCCTTCATTCAACCTATAATTCTGATTTCATGTTCCATCTATATTGGTGAATGGAAGCTACATATATTTTGATGTGATTTGGCCAAAAATATTCTCTAGAATATATTTAAATTATAATTTTTTAAAATGCCATTCTCATCTTGTTTCAGGTTTCTGATTTGAACAAAAATTTGAAGTCATCTGGGAGGATAAGATTTAGCGTACTCCTCCAAGAGAGATCTGAAGTTGTAAATCATGGAAAAGGCACTAGCAGTGGCAGTAATGGCTTTATACAGATCAGTCCTACTAGATATGGACCATGGACAACTGTAAGACTGAATTATGCTGCACCTGCAGCATGTTGGAGGTTGGGAAATGATGTCATTGCAAGTGAGGTAAACGTCCTCGATGGTAACAGGTATGTGAACATACGATCCCTTGTCTCCGTCACTAACAAGACAGATTTTGTTATTGAGTTCCGCCTGAAGACTAAGGCTTCTGGTGAAGATCTTGTAACATTAGATACCAGAATTGAGAAAGATCAGGATTCACGTCACAGTGTCATACGTGAGACCGATGAATTATTTGAAACAGAGAACTACATATCATCCGTTGGTTGGGTTGGTAGTTCTAGTCAGATGCCATTTTCTGATCAGCCTACACAGAGCGTTATGGAAGTGAGTTCTTTGGTATTATATTATTTTCCTTTCGAGCAGAATCAATCCATTAAGTAATAGACAGATCATTGAAATGTCAGTCATATTTACTTTGTATAAATTCTCGAATTATCATACTTATTTAATATTCAACCTAACTATGAAAAGTTCCATGGAAATAATCACATGAATTAGAACTAGGTTAGAAATTATTATTAGTTTCTATAACACCATATTGAAATTTTTATTTAAAACTCTTTCATCAAGCTTCCCTTTTTTGTTGTAATTATTCAGATCATTATGTGTGGTCCCATCAATCTCGATTGTGTTGGGCTTCTAGCTACTGGCGCATTGCTTGATATAGTAGCTCTGATAGTCTGTGTTCATACATTCTTTCCAGCTGTGTTGCGAGTTAAGAGGTCTTACCATTTATAAGTGTTAGAGTCTAACATTCAATTGTATTTAATTTTGAAGATGACTTTATCTGTTCCTGGGCTATGCATCCTGTTTTTGTTGTCCATGACTTCTTAAAATAGGTATAAATCGTCATTCATGAAGTGAAGAGGCTTCTTAAAATACCCACACATTAAAAGGGACCAAGCAATTTTGCATCTATATACTTGATCCAATTTTTAGCTAATGATTAGTATACTTCAAAAAAAAATCCATTAATTGAAAATGTGTGGTCTATATTAAAATAATTGATAACTTAATAGCCATATGTAAATTTAGTGGTACATTCCGAGTACTGTGTTCCCCAATGCTTTGTGAGAAATTCAGAAAGATTTTTTCATTTGTAATGCATTGCATTGGAACGGTATATTACATTGTATATCATGTAAATGGCAGCACATATGGAAAAGCAATGTAGTACGTAGGTGGAACTGACTGATCACAGATGAAGGGAAGGACTAATACGCAAACACTAAACATGCCGCTCATTCAGTCTTATTCATCTTGCCTGTCAAATGTGATCGCCACCCAACTCTTTTCAGTACCATTTAAGTTCTAGCTAAATAAACAGACTGTCTTTCCTGGTATAAATAATTGATGCATCATCATACTGATGAAGGAATTTTCTTAACCATATTTATAAGATTATGATTGGGTTTTCTGGGTTCATGAGACGACCTTAGAACACGTGGCAGTTGAAGCTATGGAATTTGGTACTAAATCCAAATACGGACTCAGTTGCAGGAATGGGTATTTGATATCATTCTATAATTTAAAATCTACAAGGGACTCAGGTGATATCATTTTGGAAACTAAAGTTACTATTTCTATCGATGATATTGTAAGAGAAGACGAAATTATGCTAGAGTTTTCTTAAACTTATTATCCAAGTTTAGATGTGAATATCCTCCCATGATAAAACGTTATCGTTAAATCAATACTTTATTATAAATGGTTTGATTTCAATGGTTCCTATTATTCAATGATTTTCTCGAAATTGTAGATTATTTCATGTCTATACTACATTTGCTTGTGAGTTATGAACATGATAGAAATGTACACCTGTTTTTAACTCCAAAGTTTCTGTGACATAGGAAATGTTCACTGTGGACTTACCAGCTGGATGGGAGTGGGTTGACGACTGGCATGTTGACAATTCATTAGTAAGTAATCCAGATGGGTGGGTTTATGCTCCTGATTCGGAACATCTTAAATGGCCAGAGTCTTTCAGTCCTGAGATTTCCTCAAACAATGCCAGACAAAGGAGATGGATCAGAGATAGAAGAACAGTTTCAACTGATTTACAGACTTTTATGTTACTTGAATTAGTGAAGCCTGGCGAAACTCTTCCTCTTCCTCTTCAATGCCTGGTTCATCCTTTATCGCCTTATCATTTGCAGTTAAGGCCAAAGGATTCCAGTGATCTGACTGAATATGCGTGGAGTAAGGTATTGAGTAAATATGAGCATACTGAGAGTGATGGAAATAAAGAATTTTCAGAAATCTGTGTCTCGAAACTTAATAAATCGGAGGAACTTTTGTACTGCATGCCAACCAGTGGAAATTCTTCGGACGGTCCTCAGGCTTTGTGGTTTTGCTTAAGCATACAGTCCTCAGAAATCAAGAAAGATATTCATTCAGAACCAATACATGATTGGAATCTAGTGGTCGATTCTCCACTTTCCCTCACTAATTTTCTTCCTCTTTCTGCTGAATATTCGGTTCTCAATGAGGAATCAAATGGCGATTTTGTTACACGCCAGCGAGATACTTTTAAGCCTGGTGAAACTTCCAAGATTTATAATGTTGATCTAAGAGAGGCTTTATATTTATCACTCGTTCCACGAGGATGGGAGCATATAGATGTAATGTTTTTCAATTTCGTCTTTAGTACATGTAGCTGCTTTAGTTCAATCTCTTGAAGTGTGTTTACCTCTTATTAATAGTTCCACTTTTCTAGGTTCCTGCTCTTGTGTCTCACCCAAACAGAATCCCAGCCAAAACAATAAGTCTAAGAAGTTCCTTCTCTGGAAGGTGATCATTTTCAAGATTTAAATAATACTCTGCTTTTTTAATTCGTAAAAATATGTTCACATTCAATTAAATGATACTTTAACTGTACGACAACTTTGAAAAATCCACAGGGTTGTCTCAGTCATTCTTGAGCAAAGCCATGAGAAAGCCCAGCTGCAATCAAGGCTGATTAGATTATACGTTCCTTATTGGATTTCAAGTGAACGATGCCCCCCTCTAATTTATAGGATCGTGGATATATCAAAAAGAAGAGAAAGAAAGCTGTTTACATTTACTTCTAAACAGGAAAGTGAGAAAGTTGTCTTGCAGATCACAGAAGAGGAACTGGATGAAGGAGATACTATCAGTGCTCCATTAAACTTTCAGCGCCTGGGTCTATGCCTATCGCTGGGAACACCAGGCAGAGAAAAATTTGGGCCAATAAAAGACCTGCTTCCTCTCAGTGATATGGTAAATGCTTTTTAGCCATTTTTTCTCCATTTTTCGAAAATGGACTCAGAATCATCTCTAACAGAAGTTCTTGATCAGGATGGTTCTGTAGATCTTTTTGCGTATGACATAGATGGAAACTGTACTAGGGTTTTGATTTCCTCAAAACCATGCCGTTACCAGGCTGTTCCTACCAAGGTAATAGAAAACCAATATTTTCTGGAATATCAACAATTCAGGATATATTTTTCAGGAAATTATAATAAGTATAATTGTATTTACTTTCTTTTCAGGTATTGTCCGTACGTCCATATATGACATTCACAAATAGGGTTGGTCAAGATATTTTTATAAAATTTAGTGCTGAAGACCAGCAGAAAGTTTTACATGCCTCAGATTCAAGAGTTTCTTTCATTTACTCTGAAATGGGGGAAGCAGAAAAGCTCCAGGTAATCCTCAATGATTATTGATCTTGAATATTTGTTGCCCTTACTAGATGTGCGAAAAGTTGTCTTTTCATAGTACACAACCTAGTGAAAAATAGATTATATTTGGAGCTACAGTATGGAAGAAAAAATTTTAAAGTTTCAAACATGTTCCCGTTACCACTATGATTGAGTCCATAGTCTTTAGGTCACACACAAGTTCTCCACGATTTCATTTCTCACCATGTTTTAATGCGCAATAAATGAGCCAATTAGGTTTATGTCACCACGAGATTTTTCAGCTCTGTACGTGATTAAAATTATATTTTCTTTCAAAGGTTCAATACGAAATTATTGTTCAGTGTCAACAGAAAAACTGTGTGGTTTATGGTGTTAATGTTTGCAGTTCATATTGAATCATATCCTGCAATTATCAATTATGAGCAAATAATGTCATCGGTTGGCAAGAATTTTTCAAACGTTGAAGTTCAAGATCTAACGTGATTAGATGTTGTAAATTTCATCACCAGAACTATTGCAATTTGTGCCTTGTTTTTATTAGTCAGTTGGGCAGCGTAATATTGAATATTGATGATATGGAGGAGGTTATGGCCATTGAGAACGTAGGTTATTACACTGAATTTGGTATTTTGATAAAATCATAAAATTTAGAGGTACTTTTATCTGCAAATAATTCTCTAGACAACAGCCAACCAGACGAAATTTATTTGTGATTCATTGTTTTGTAGAGGTGTACCAACATAATCTCCCAGCTTTTTTATGAATGGGCCATAGGCCCATCTAAAGTTGAATCAGAAATGGGTAGCTACTTTTGCCATGAGATTTGAATCATTTATTAAAGTTGGAAAACTAGAGCTACCCAAATCCATATTATTTTCCAGATGGTTGTTCCAAAGGCCCATCTAATGCCATTAGTAGCCTAAATGTCGTAAATATTCTTCTACTTTATTTTGTGTAAGAACTAAACAACGGGCCACCATTGTTTCAGTAAAGATCTCTAATATCTGAATATCCATGGAAATCCTTATGTATACATATAATTATTTTTTTTATGAATTATAGGTCCGAATGGAAGATACAAATTGGTCCTTTCCTGTGGAAATTCTGAAAGAGGATACAATCACAATAATGTTGAAAAATTGCAATGGTGACCGGAATTTTTTGAGGCTTGAAATACGTGGTTATGAAGAAGGATCACGGTTTCTAGTTGTGTTACGTCCTGGGTCAGCTCGCTGTCCAGTAAGGTATTTTCCCGTTATTAAAAATACCTTTAAAAGTTGTTTTAGGTCACTGTTTGGTCTCAGCCGCCCACAGTAAATAATTTAGATGCATATCCATTAGTGGCGCTATCATGAGCATTGTTGCAAAATTAATATGGGTTTTCTATTTTCCTGCTTGTTTCAGGATTGAAAACCGGATAGCTAACATGAAGATCAACATTCGGCAGTCAACCTTGGGTGATGATGCATGGGTCACAATATATCCGCTTTCATCTATAAATTTTGCATGGGAAGTTCCTTATGGTCCCAATCTTATGGATATTTGTTTGCAAAATGGAAATAATATCATTTTTCAGAATATCAGCTTGGAGAATGCTACAGAATGCTATGCTGATTTACGTAAAGAAGGCTTTGATTTTCATTTTACAGAATGTGGTGATATAAGGAATGTTCGCATAATAGATATTAAAAAGGATTTAACAGAGCTTTTGGATGAACAGCCTACCAATGACTCAATCAGCAATGGAAACGGTCCATCCTTTGTCGAAAAAATGAAGACTACTGCCCCACCTGTAGAGCTTATAATTGAGCTAGGCATTGTAGGCATTTCTTTGGTTGACCATAGACCAAGGGAACTATTGTATCTCTCCCTGGAGAAAGTCTTCGTTTCATATTCCAGTGGTTATGATGGAGGAACTACCAGCAGGTATAGTTTTTATCTATTTAATCGATATTTATTTTATAAAAATGGACATTTAAAAGCATTTATGTTTATTTACTGAGTGTTCAACGAAAGCTACACAAACAGAAATCTTTTTAAACGGGTACTCTCGGTAAGTCCCTAAAGCTGATTGACAAGCCTCTCTAGTTTTTTCACCTATTTTCATATATCCCCGAAACTACTGAAGGACTTGGTTTCTGGTCGTGTTCTTAATATCAATAGGTTACTCTCATATTTCCATAGTCAAAACTCAAAAGAAGCTTGCTTATCTGCAATAACTATTTGTCTCCAATGTTAAAAAAAAATTCTCCATCACGCTCTCCCTCCCTCCTCAAGTGGGCTTCATCCCCACATGGCAGCCCACCTATGCGCCTCCCTCCCTCCTTCCAATCTGCCCGCACCACCTGCTACTTCCCCCTTGTAGGCTTCACCCATGGTGACTCCATGCTTCCTGACCTCCTCTGCCCCACTTCCCTCATGAAGTCCCCACCCCTTCTAGAAGCCTCCCTCCTTCCTCCCTGTATTGTGGGAACCTTGCTTATCTGTAACAACTCTTCGCTATCATCAAATAGTACCCCTTCCCAACCCCACCTCTTGCCTGCAAGCCTCTAGCTGCAGATTGGTGGTATTCCCGTGGTTGGGTGGGTCAGTCTCATGTTACACTTTGGCTAGTGGTACTGAGTTTAAATCTCGAGGAAAGGAAAACAGGTTGTCGTTTTCTAAAGTATATTTAGTTTAATTTAAAAAGGTCAAATATTTAACTTGTTTTCGGATGGAACTATAATCAGAGTGCTAATAAACCAAGATTGTAGTATTTTCAAATGTTTTATGACGAAGTTGAAAAACATAGGGAATGTGGAGGAAAAACATCCCCACACTCGGGAACAGAAGGGTTTTATGTGCTTCAGCCATATGCCAATATCCATGGCTGTGCCAAGGTTATCTTTTAGGTTTACAAAAAGGAGGAACCCAGGCCACTTCTGAATAAACAGTGATTAAGAAGTATCAGTGTCCCCCAAATGACAGGAACACCCTACAGACCGTGGGTAAAGGTTATGGCCCCAAAGCCGAAATACTTGCCAGAGGAGGTGGTCTCTATGTGATTATTTGTATCCATTTCTATTCGAATGAATACCTGATTATTTTGCTTTCTTGCATACGCCGCATTGGTGTCTCTTAAATTTTTTTAGAGAATTTCACTAATTATTTTTGCTCAACTCCGAAATATGACACGTTTCACGGGGTTTCACTGCAATGTGTTGATTTTTTTTTCCAGGTTTAAGCTCATTGTTGGTCAGTTGCAGATAGATAACCAGCTTCCATTAACTGTGATGCCAGTTTTTTTTATGCCTGAATACACGGCTGATGTGGGCCATCCTGTCTTCAAAGCAACTATAACAGTGAGCAATGAGAATATCGATGGAACTCAAGTCTATCCATATGTATATATTCGGGTAATTCTTGAAGCATCAGATCAGTCAAGCCATCGTATTTGATAATCTTTTTCGCATCAAGTAACATCTATTTTTTTGTTTAGGTGACCGAAAATTACTGGAGAGTTAACATTCATGAACCTATAATTTGGGCGTTAGTTGATTTCTACAACAATCTCCAGATAGATCGAGTCACAAATGCTTCGAATGTCACTGCTGTTGATCCAGAGATACGTATAAAGTATTCTACTTCTTACCTTGGAACTGACGTTCACTTACCAGTTTATCTAGTTCATGCATCATTTACTACATTTATTAGTTAATTGTCTTCCAATAACCAATCATTTATATTGCACTGGTTTACCTTACAATAAATCCCGTAACCATGCTAATGCTGGTAGATGACGAATCTCTTTTGCGAGTGATTAATAATGATTTTTTTTCGGAGAAGATAAACAGTCTTTTAAATGTCTTTATCTTTTCCACGGCTCATATCATCATGCATAGTGGAATGTAAAGTGGAATCTTTCACTATCAGTTTTAAAATATTAGTTCAGCATTGCGATCTTGATTTCTACCAGCATAAGGCTTCTGTAATCGAGATGTTAAAGAGTTGTAATTCCTTTTAGCGACACTCCGATCTTGACTTGCCTCCCTTTTTATTTCCTTTCAGCCAAATAGATGTCTCAGAGATGAGATTCAAGGTGTCACTAGAGACGGCACCAACCCAAAGACCACATGGTGTCCTTGGCGTGTGGAGTCCAATATTATCTGCTGTTGGAAGCGCTTTCAAAATCCAGGTTACTACCATCTTCCCTCTTCACAGGCTGAACGTGGTTTTTAAGGCTAATTGTGAGGAAAGTTGTTTAATAATTTCCTGCGTCCAAAATTGAAAACCACCATGGATCTTCTTTAAGCGTCAGTATATGCTTTATTTAAACAGAAGGAAACTTACCCCTGTATCAGTATTGTACTATTTTCAGTTCTTTGGTTGTTTCATCAACTTTAATGTCTCGTTTAACTCGCACAGAAACAGATTTCTGTCAATTCACCGGACAAGAGATTTCCAATATTTAGAAACAATGTCCAGCCATGCTGTTAAAACGATAGACTAATATATGCACCTCCAAGCTTGACTTATTTTTTTATCCTGGTCTTCAGATCCGTCTTAGGAAAGTCATGCATCACAACAGGTTCATGCGCCAAAGTGCAATCGTTCCCGCCATTATCAATCGTGTTAAGAGGGACCTCATCCACAACCCTCTACATCTAATACTTTCGGTTGATGTTCTTGGCATGACGAAGTCAACTTTGGCATCACTTAGCAAAGGTTTTGCTGAGCTCTCGACAGACGTACAGTTCTTGCAGTTACGTTCAAAGCAGGTAATCATTTCCCATCTCTCATGTACATTATGTTGGTATTTGAGTCAGGTATTGAACAACTCAGAAACATGGCAAGCCCTGTTAAAGAAGTTTGTACTTGTTAATTTGTTTTTTAAGTCACCATTAAATTTTTTCATATTTTAGAATTATTTCAGATCATATTAGCAATAAACCCATGATAAATCATTCTTCCTGATAATTCAGTGATTCCCAAACCTAAAAATGTGGCATAACCCTGTGAACAATTTTATCTGACTCTTCTCATGTTTTCTTTAAGGTTTGGTCAAGGAGAATTACTGGTGTTGGTGATGGAATCATCCAAGGGACAGAAGCTCTGGCACAGAGTGTGGCTTTTGGGTTCTCTGGCGTCATAAAAAAACCTGTGGAAAGTGCAAGAGAGCATGGTGTACTGGGACTTCCTCAGGGCCTCTTGCGGGCCGTTCTAGGTGTTGTCGTCCAACCGGTTAGTGGTGCGCTGGATTTTGTTTCATTGACTGTTGATGGGATTGGTGCTAGCTTCACCAGATGCCTAGAGTTCTTGAGTAACAGATCTGCTTCAGAAAGAATCAGAAACCCTCGTGCTATTCGTGCCAATGGTTTACTTGCAGAGTACTCTGAAAGAGAAGCAACCGGCCAGGTATTATTTTGTTCCACGCGTTCTATTATTTCTTAGACTGATAAAAAAAATGTGTTCAAGGCAAGATTTTTACCAAGTATTATGATAAACTTCAAATTGAAATGCCTAATTCTTTTTTTGAGTATAAGAGATTATGCACTGAAGACAACTTTTTGCTAAAGCATTAGTAAAAGATTACGATTTAAATCTTATATTCTTATTTAGACTGATAAAAAAAGAATGCCTATGCGCTAGAGTATGTCTATGCACAAGAGACAAGATTTTGTCTTGGGTACTAGTGAAAAAATTCCACTTAACCACTGTATGTCTATGCTCTTCCTAGATGATCCTGTACCTTGCTGAGACCAGTAGGCACCTCGGTTGCACTGATTTATTCAAGGAGCCGTCAAAGTACGCCTGGTCTGACTTCTATGAAGATCACTTCCTTTTGCCTCATCAAAGGATCCTTCTCATCACAAACAAACGTGTCATGCTATTATTGGTAAGATAATGGTTATCCTAGTTTTGATTCCATCCATCACTCCGATTTAACTCCATCTGATTCCCCATCACTTCAGTGTCTGGATCCAGAGAAGATGGACAGAAGGCCCTGCAAGATAATCTGGGATGTGCAGTGGGAAGAACTCCTGGCCTTGGAGTTGGCAAAAGCCGGCTGCCCAAAACCATCACACCTGATCATTCATCTCAAAAACTTCAGAAAGTCAGAGAGTTTTGTGCGGCTTGTTAAGTGCAGCTTTGACATCGAGGACGATCAAGACCCTCAGGCTGTCAGGATCTGTTCGGCGATCCACAAGACATGGAAAGCCCATCAGCTGGACATGAAAACCCTAACACTGAGGGTCGGTTATGCTTTATCCATTCCCAATTTATCAAATTTAGTGTTGTCTAAAAGGGTCTTCCCTGTTCCGACAAAACAGTCTGTGACATGATCTACTATAGGTTCCTTCAAGCCAGAGATATGTGCAATTTGCGTGGGATGAATCAACCGGTGGGGACTCTGAGAGACGAATCAAATCTGCGGTCAAGACTAGGAGACTTGTCTCCTCTAGTTCTTTCCTCGATGAGAGGAGGTTTGTGAAGCACGTTGTGAACTTCCAGAAGATATGGAGCAGTGAGAGGGACTCACAGGTCCGGTGCATATTATACCCAAAACAGGTGCTCTGTCAAAATCCTCAAGAGTTTTCAGTCTTGCCTTTAATGAAATTACCAACAATTCCATGCTCCTGTAGGTCGCGGATGATGCTATGGTTTGCACTCTCTGGAGGCCAGTTTGCCCTGATGGGTAATGAGCTATTTCTACAACCTTTTGTCCGCATTTAGAAATCCATATTTCCAAGTACATGTTAGGGTTATTGGGCCATCCAACTGAAAACCAATTGGAAATGGATGGAGTAGGCCCATGCTTATGATCACAGGTTTATTTATATAACAGCTAATGTGGGAATATTCTTAAGCACTCCCGCTCAGTTGCAAGCCAATTCATTGAAATGTGTCATGCATTCAGCCCATAGGCGATCATGAACTGTAATACCGCGTTACAGTTATCATGCCACACACAGCTCAAAACCAGTTGCCCATGAGTGTAGTAGGCTCGTATTTAGAGTGGCAACTTTATTTCTACTTTAGCTAATACGCGACCATTCTTAAGGGAGCATTATCGTTGTTCTGGTTCGCAATATATCGTAAGATTACTTACTAATCATGTAGATCTTCTGACATGGGCGACTAATTTTCAAATAGGTATGTCCCTATTGGTGATATAGCCCGGGCCGGAATCCATCCACCAACCGTTGCTGCAGTATACAGAGATTCAGAAGGGAACTTTGCTGAGCCTATGGGTTATGACCTGGTAACAATCCTAGTCTTTGGCTCCTCATATTATGTCTTTGCATAACTTCCTCCTGAGAATCATGGCTTTCCCAGTCTGAATCGTCTGATTGATACTTCACAATATAAGCTAATACCATGTGGAAGAACTCTGAACTAGATATATAAAACGAGAAAGCAGTACGTCAGCACATGATCAGTGCGCTTTTTTCTGTCTACCGGCATCTCAGCTAAGTAATCTAGGTCGAAAAACAATGAATATTCTGCTTGTTTTGAATTGCTTCAGTTGATGACTTCTAGAGTAAAAGTTATTCGAGTTGAATGGTTTTTTGCTATATTCGCATTTCAATTCCAAGCCACTTTTTTTTTTTTTGGGATATGTTATCATCTTGATTGATAGACCACCCCTCACAGCACCTGAAAAATCAAATGAAAATTGAATACTCTTTTCTTTGTGAAAGAGATTTCATAAGATTCAAATCGGCCAATGGAGGGTAATTAATGAACACGTATCTCCAGACTATTGAAGGTGAAGGAAACCATGATTCCTTAGAACTAAAGGATACAACTCTGTAATCCAGGCATTGAAATTGACTGACTTTCATGGTTATTAAAGGTTCGAAGAGACCCTTCTCAGATTAAGAGGAACAGCTACTTTCTCACCCTGGAGCACAGAGCAATGACTACCCTCTTTCTATCTCTGGAAAACAGCTCTGCTGCCCAAAGATTCTGGCTAGTCCATTCTTTGACCTAACCTTTACCAAACCTGAGCATCTAAATCCATTCACCGCCAAGAACTACCACAAACCAGCAATCTCTGGCCTGGCCCAATTCCAAATTAGCCACTCAAAATGACCAATTGTGTGTATTTTTGGCAAGGAATGGTGCATACATATAACGGCATGCCTTTTCCCATGAGTCCACAGGTTTGGAGAAACTGCGCTGAAGATTATGTCACCCCTCTGTCGATTTGGAGTCCAAGACCTCCAGAGGGGTTCGTTTCCGCTGGGTGTGTTGCAGTGGCGGGCTTCGAAGAGCCCAGACCGGAATCCGTGTACTGCGTGAGCAGAAGCCTCTCTGAGGAAGCTCCCTTTGAGGAACAGATGGCGTGGGCTGCCCCAGACTCGTATCCCTGGTCATGCTACGTTTACCCAGTCCAAAGTGAGGCTCTGCATTTCGTCGCCCTGCGACAGCCCCGGGAGGACTCCAACTGGAGGCCCATTAGGGTTTCAGAGCCACCAGAAGAAGCCCGGGAGCCTGGCAGCAGCCGGAGGGCAGAGAAAGCCGAAGAGAAATCATCCGCAGAATCTGTACATGATTTTGATGGACAGATAAACCCTCTAAAGACGTCTCATTAACGACTTTGGAGAGAGGAGCGTGTATTCAACGGGAGAACGGCTCTCTGAGCCTGTAAAGATGTCGATTGTTTCACCATCACTTCATGACGTGACTAGTGGCCAAATCCAAAGTGCAGGGAACTTTCCTTTTGCATAGGAACCTTGCAAACATGGTATACTTTGATTTACCATACTTTATGTAGTAATCTTTCGAATGATATTAATGTAATATTTAATACTAAGAATATCATTCTTTACTTCTGTGATATTAATTTTACCCATATGACAGCCTTGAAAATCTCGTTAGAAACCAATATAAATCTTTTTTTTTCTTTTTTTTTCTTTTTTTTTCTACAGTGTAAATTAGAGTTTCACACAGGTTGCCGTAAGTCCTGACTCCAAATAGCCTCCCTAGGGACTTTGCACAAGCACACAAGAATAAGGGGAAGGCACTCTACTTCACAACCAAGAAGTACAGTAGAGGGATGAATCAACAAATAGCCTTGGAACATTGTCAGGGTTCTTCTATTTATAGATATATAGTGGGGAGAGTGGGTTAGGCGAGACATTTCACCTTCCAACAGTTGCATCTCATGTGCTAGTACATGTTAGCATATGTTCATTTGTGTCACATATGTTCATATTTTCTGACACACGATCGACATACTTGTCCTTTATCTTCATAGATTTTTAATTTAATTCTGGTGTTTAGGAGGGTTGTTGCCATCTCATGTGATCAAGACATGTAAAGACATTTTGGCATCCAATGGGCTATGATGGATGATAAGAAAATTTGATCTATGTGCAATTGTGGACGTAAGTGGTTTTTATTAATGATATAAATTGAGTGTGTTCTTTGTTCTCTCTATTCTCTTCTTCTCCCTCTCTCCTGTTTCATTTTACATCAGACTTCCACTGTGTAACCCCCAACAATAGCCACAAGTGAAGCACGTTCTCTTCGTTCGGTCTTGTCATGTCAAAATAGACTTGGGTCCTGTTTAGCCCCCATTGGGCCATGGCTGGTGGTTGTCATTGACCTCTATCCATCCCATTGTTTGGTGACTCAGCGAGCAAGAGGTCCTATAGCCAATGAGGGCATCATCAGCCATTATCACAATTGTCTGCACACCCCCATATCTGCAGTCATGCCATGAAGTTAAGCAGCTTTTCCTCATCGGACAAGTTTTCAATATCTAAAGAATATAGTGAATTGCTTCTTGTGCTCCCACACTTCTAGAGATTCTTTCAATAAATCAGAGAAGCAAGTACCTAATGGTACTATCTTCGCCTAACCCATGTCTCATGTCTGATGCAATAACTATAACGAGAGTAACTAGTCTATTCGTAAGTCTTGTTGGTTGAAAGATGGGTATATAATCTAAGCACTCTTGGTTGGTAAACAAAGGCCTCACAGGCTAGCAAGCATGACCTTCATCCATATCTCATAGAATGTTGCCACTTGCCTGTGGCAACGTTCTAACTGTTGTGCCGCATAGATTTGCACCCATTGACATGCTGATCATATGTGTCGCTGTTGTGCTGCTACCGTGCGACCATGCACTTGCATGTGCGCGATGCCCATCCATGCACGCCATGTCATGCCATCTTATACCTACGCTGAGAGTGAGGTTCGTGCGGGGCCATGCCGTGCCATCCTAGATAACCACGCGCCCCACGCCGCAATTATGTACACACATACCTTCGTCATGCGTGCCTCGACGCTCTCCCATGCGTGCTGCGGCGACACGGAATGCATAAAACACCACCCAGACTTGTGCCAATGGCTTGAATCCGCTCTGAGATCAGGGGGGGTGGCCAGGGACTTGGTAGTGATCCCTTGAAAATGGGCACAAAAAAACTTTTACTATTACTCTCTCTCTCTCTCTCTCTCTATGTTCAAAATCTGGTTCTTTCTTCTTTTCATAATCACGCAGTGGTTATTTGTTTCTTTCTTCGAAGTATTTTCACCAGAGAAAGAAAAGAAAAAAATGAAGAACAAACCCTCCTCCAAAGTTGATGATTCACTTGCGTGAAGAAGAAGCGAGCTTGTTTAATCAAGAAACCCTGCGTTCTATCTGTTACCTGTTCCACTGAGCAGGACTGAGGGATGCAGAAGGAGATTAGGGTTCCCGAAGAACACGCCGACGGTGACGAAGCTCATTAGCCTTGCCTTCATCGAACCCATCCACTTGCAGTGTCCAACCGGGAGGACCGAGAGCTTCCTCAGCAGCACAGACCAGGCAGAACCCAGATGGACCAGGATAATCCATGGCGGGAGCTTGAACTCGGAAGAGAAACCCTCTCAGAGTCGGAGCCTCCTCCCATGCGGAAGACCTTCACTCCCCGCTCTAGGGGAAGATGGTAATAGATGCAGTTCCCCTCCCCTCCCCATTTACTAGGGCACTCGTCTGTAGTACCAGATCCAGTGGGAGTGATGAAGATCGCTCGATCTCCAAGGTCTTCCACCCTCGCCCATTCTCCATGATCCAGCCGGTAGACCACAAAGCCGTCTGCAGATCCACCTAAAACTGCCATGATCTCTCCTCCGGAGATGGCCAACCAGACGCTGGAACTTCCCGGAAGAAGATCCTTCGCCCCCAGTCGGGAAACTCTAGGCCCGGGAAGGAATTCAAATTTCAGCAGCTTCCCGCTGAGAGTACTCCGCCCGTAGACTGCCCCCTTTAGAACCACCGGGCATCGACTGCAAGCTCTCTCTTCCTCCGTCTCGCACCAGTAGATGGACCAGCTGAGATTCCCGGGACGGCAGTAGATGATGGTGTGGTGGCACCACGCCATGATCAGAGACTGTGGAAGATCTGGAGGAGCAGTCATGGCGGCCCACTCCACAGAGCAGGAGCAGGGGATCGGCGGGAGGAAGGTGATCTCCTTTCCGGTGAAGGGATTGGCGAGCCATATCTTCCGGCGGGGGCCGCTGTGCCCTAGAATCAGGTAACCATGGGAGAAGCCGAGGACCACGGAGCTTTTCCGGCGCAACCCGGGGAGGTTGCTCCGGTGGAATCTGTCCTGGGAGAAGCTGTAGAAGTGGTGGCCGCCGGCGGAGCAGAGCAGAGGCGGCTGGGACGCCATGAGATTCGCCAGGACGGGGTTGGAGATGGAACGCCATGCCCTACAGACCCCGCCGAAGGCGAAGAAGTCCCTGAAGACGGTGAGGCGCTGCAGGATGGAGAAGAGGGCGGAACTGGGGAGGCCTGACCAGTCCACGGATTGCTTCCTCTTCCTCCGCCCTCTCCCCTGCTCCATCTTCTTCCCGCCATCGTCCTCCACCTCCCCCACCCATTTATGGGTTTAGAGAGAGAGAAAGAGAGATGCGGGTGCATGCAAAGGAAAACGAGATAAAGCCAAGGTCTTTTTTACATAAACGGAAAACTCTGGCAGAAGACAACCCCATCCCGGTGGGCAAGGAGCCCTTTGACTTTACTGGCTAATCGAACCAATGCAGCCAACCCTCCACCTGGTCTTCCCCGTCATCACCTGCATATCAAGGTGTGGAGGTCAAAACCCTAATCTTAGGTTTGACCCAGGAGGTGCATGCAAAGGAACACGAGATAAAACCAAGTTCCTTTTTACATAAACGGAAAATTCTGACAGAAGAGCAGCCCATCGCAGTGGGCAAGGATCCCTTTGACTTTGCTGGCTAATCGAACCAATGCAGTCAAACCCCCACATGGTCTTCCCCATCATCACGTACATATCAAAATGTGGAGGTCAAAACCCTAAGCTTAGGTTTGACCCAGGAGGTGCATGCAAAGGAACACGAGATAAAGCCAAGAACTTTTTTACATAAACGGAAAATTCTGACAGAAGACAAGCCCATCGCAGTGGGGCAAGGATCCCTTTGACTTTTCTAGCTAATGGAACCACTGCAGTCAACCCCCCCCCTCCCCCACATGGTCTTCCCCATCATCACCTCCATATCAAGATGTGGAGGTCAAAACCCTAAGCTTAGGTTCGACCCAGGAGGTAGATGGGATATGATTGACAGACGATGAAAAGGAGGATCACATTCTCCTGCTTCCGATGCCGATTCAAGGCCATCCAAGGAATCACATCTCAGTAGCTTGAATCATTGCTGATGCACTTTGAGGGCACTGCAAGAAGAAATATTGACTCATGAATAATTCATCCACTCGCATTTATGATGAGAAAAGTGGTTCATCTTGTTGAAGATTTCTGATCACCAAGAACTGGCGCCATTGAAATTCCTTCCAATCCGCTCCTGCAATCCGCCATTGAATCTCCACTCCCTCATTTAGGAGCACATGTCTGGGGAATTAATCTCCAGCAATGCTGCATCATATCGTCATCTATGAATGGCCTCAGATCCCACATGAGACAGTAGCCTTCCAGCTCCTCCAGTGATGAGCTGAAACCTAAAGAGAGTATAATCCTTTCCTAAAATAGCAGTTTCTATGATGTTAGCACTGGTTACGATGATTCGGAAGCCCATCAAGGACCATAAACATCTCATGATTCTGCGTTACCTGCATTTCGTAGTCACATTTCAGCATGCTGTATGTAGCCCTCATCAATATTGAAGTAAGGAGAAGACTCTCAACAGAAGGAAGTAGGGCTCCAGTTTCTTCCCAGGACCATTCAGCTTGATAATCCCCAATCTCCGATCCCTCCTGTAAAAAGAACTCTCAGGCCGATAATTATCTTAGACTAATGAAGGCTACGAACAAGATCTCAGGGCCAGATCAGTCTCAATCCGTTTCAATTAAATCTGAGACAGCATTTTCGACTTTGTTTCCTTGCAACAGTGCCCGTCTTGGACATGGTAAGATTATCTTCAAAGCACACGCAATTAACAATGAGATCCGTATTTTCTAAAATGATTTAGATTAATTAAACCAAAAGTAGTTAGTATCTAATCAGGCATACTGAACCAAAATGAACCCATTCATCTAGAGAGAGAAAAGGCTCCAGATACACCAAACACACCACGCGGATGGTGAAATAGCCGTCAATAATTCAGAGTAATTTGCAATTTGATATACTTATCGATGTTCCAAATGATGGGGAAATGGCCACACAGCTGCAAACCACAGTTGATCGGCATTATTTTCATTTTTCCCTGATCTAAAAGAAGATAAACCCACCCATTCCTACCCCGTTAGCAGAAAAGAAGAAAACCTCATGGTTTTCTGTCACTTGGGTTTTCTACCGTAAAGAGTTTTTAAGTTGAAATTCAAAGGGTAGCACATATTCATAAAATATGCATAAAGAGTTTCATCCGAGAGATACAAGAATGAAGAAAAAAGAATTTTCTACAACCATAAAGGTCAATCTACCTCTTGATTTATACGGTTGGCAGCAAAATATTTGTCAAGGACGCGTAAAGAGTTCCGATTTACAGCTTGCATTGTAGCAAGACCGTCCTCTAATAGAGATCCAAGTTCATCGAGAAGAGGTTTCACTGAAAAAAGTAGGAAATAATCCACATTCACGGAATAGAAGAAAACAATCAGAATTTCTATCAAACCTGAGAGCAAGGGTATCTCTGTTCTATAGTTCGCAGATTGAACGTAAAGAATAGCTGCCTAAACAACCAATATTATTGTGGTGATAGAAAAGTTTTCTTCACAATGCTCTAGATCTCGAACAACAAGCCCATGTCACGATTAATTTTGACTTCAAATATTTCTCTAAACGAACAACAAGCCCATATCACAATGCTCTAGATCTCCAAACCAGGTACTTCACAGATCCACCTAGTACATGTAAAGGAAAAAATAACATGCAAATCATCAATAGATGCTTGCCATTATTTGGAGGGGTGTGCTGTGGGGGGGAGGGGGGCGTAGGGCGGGGGGGCGTGTTAGAAGAACTTTGCTAATCTTGGCTCCGTAAGGTGAAGTTTCATTTAAAGTGGAGCGCACCGCAACCATAATAAGTTTGAACCCTTCATAAGATGTATTTAATTGATAGCAATAGCATAGGTTGAAACAAACAAGAAAATACATAGGCTCAGTCATAAATGTCTTGGAAAAAGGACTAACAGTTTGTACAGAAATTTAATTAAATTACGCAGTTGAAATTGACTTATCATCATATTTTTAATGTATTATACATATTTATGGTACCCATCAATTTTTTAAGAAAATGGCCTTAAAAGGAGTGCAGTCGTCAAATAAGCATGAGCAACTCAACAAGGAATAGTTTCAAATAATGACATTTCTGGGATCGAAACTTAGCTTGTCTTCACTGTCAAGAAGGGAAAGAGAAAAACTTACCTTTATTCAAGTGACCCTGAAGTCCCTGCTGGCACAAATTTACTGCCGCAGACAGATCCATGGAGACAATCAAACACCATTTTAAAAAATCAGGTCATTATTTGTAAAATAAAATTAAAAAACATCATAAACGCACCAAGTGCATTGTTTAATCAAGAATCAGCTACATAAAATATCAGAACCATTTCATGAACGAAAATTAACATATGTCAAAACAAGACTTTCATCAACAAAAAAGATAGTAGTATGTAAGACGATTAACCATTCGACTGTGCTTTCTACAAGAAAACTTTAAGAAAGTTCCTTGATTGCAACTGAACCGGTATAACTCTTCCAAACTTATACTAACTTGTGCTTCAAGAAGACCACAAAGAATCACACTGTAAAATGTGACAAATTTCCCGTGTTTCAAGACAAGAAAATGTTCCAGAAATAAAAAACAAAAACAAAAGTATTCGACTTCTCTAGACATGTCATCATCTAGACAATTTTTTATGCAGATTAAACACACAATTTTTCATAACTTCTTCCGCTTAGGAGTACTTACACTTGCGTATGTTTCGTGCATCCATATAAGGATGTCTGCATCCCGCTTCAATATATGTCTTCAATCCACAAGTTTGGTTACCCTTGATGACATTCTGAACCACCTTAGATTCTTTCTCTAGAGGAGGTCTTCTAAAAAATCCTGAGTCAAAGCAGATGTATTACTACAGCTTTTAAGTAAAAAGTTGATGAAACAATTTCTATGTACATAGAAGGGCTGTTTTTGGCACTATGGAGAAAAAACTTGTTTCTACAAGGCAAGTTTTATAAAGAAGTATAATGAAAACAAAAAATATTCAACAATTTTATTGAAAATGTTAGAATGAATAAACAGAGATTCTAAGAATCACCTACATATTATACATCCCAATGTAATCAATTTTTCAGGTCTCCAACTCAGTATTTGTATAGATTACCAACTCATCTTATTACCCTTCCCACTGAATATTATTTTTCCTTTCTATGTTATGTAAGATTTATGTGAGAAAACCATGGAATATTCTGTCAAAAGTATGTATAAGCCAGTCTATTATTTTCTTATCAAACATGGCACGTATCATTGCATCACTAATAAAGAGAACTGGGAAGAATGTGCTGACACAACAGTAAGCAGATTTTTGGAAAAATTGCTGCATCTAGAGACGTGAAGAAAAAAGGTGGAGCATGGTATTGAAACAGATTTTCCGAGCTTTAGCAAAGAGAATAAAGCCATCTATTCAAGGAGCATTTCAAAAGCTCTTGAATATGTTGACAAGATATATTTGGTTTTTGAAAGAGTAGTTCGTTTGATCTGTTACAGGAAACACACAGTTATAGTGCGGTGTGAAGAATAGCAAACGAGAGCCCCAGGAAACGGTCAACCAAAGAATCAAAAGAGAGCGCACAGATCAGAACTCAGATATTAATTATATGATTATCTCCTCATTTTTTTATGACTACAATCATTCATGACGGCCTCTATACATATTAGGAAATGAAAGAATCCCTTCATGAGAGTTTCTGGCCTAGGTGGAACGAGATAGGAAGTGAAGAAAGAAAGTGCCATCGGGTGATGAGAAATAGCAAAACGCCATCTTTATTTTAAACCAACGACATGAATATATTTGAACATGAGGCACTGAGTAACACCCTTAGAATAAAACCATACTATCTCGATCAAAGAAGTTGTTCCGAAGCGAAGTGAATGTATCAGCATCGAGAAAAAAAATGGAACAAAGTACAGAGGAAAGGACTATATTTGATTTGAATTTATAATTCATGCAAAAAGTGTCTCCAATGAGAGCCAAGGTCCGTTTATAGGAGAGTGTAGAACCTAGCTGATGAGAAACCCTGAAGAAATAGAAAATTGAGTTTCTCAAGACAAAGAAAAAAATGACCCTTTAAAGAAGAGTCAATCAACTAAAAAGGAATTTGTTAAGACGATTGGAAGTTGCCCTCTTAAACAAAGGTCAATCAACTAGAAAGGAAACTTCTAAGAGAGAAGTATCAGATCTTCAAAGCATTGAGAGTGGCACCGCTGATTGCACCGGATTTAAGCACAAAATAAGTAGAAACTCCATTTTAGCTACTCATGAGCAATGAGCAAGTTAATCTTTAGCTACTCATTAACTGATTATTTTTAAATGATTTTTGCTTATGTTATATTCATTCGAGCCTGGTAGTGTCGTCACAAATTAGATTTCATACTCTTCTGTTTTCCCTTTGGACTTCAAGTTTGAAAAAATGCTTTTTTTTTTACAACCTGCATCATCATTGTACACATTTCAAATCTGACGTCTATAAAGGATTCAGATAGAAGCTAAAATGGATAAAGGAGCTTATTTTGGGATTAAAATTATTGCATATAAATGCTGCTCTTCCCTTGGTAATATACCGTATAGGATAAAGTGCAAAGCAAACAAACTAAAAAGGACAAACCAAGCTCTCGATGGAACTCCACAAGCAGTTGATATCCTATGCTCCTCAGCTCATCGATCTTCGCAATCCTGGATCCATAGGATGGCTGAGCTTTTTTAGAAACATATGACAGGTTGATGAAAATAAATATGACCATAAAACAATGGTCTCTATGCCCATCTACTAACTTAATTTTAGTGGCACAAAGAAAATCAATGAGATGAGTTTATCCGGGACTAAAAACTAAAATGGTGGATCTCAGGTTCAACATAGAAGCTGTAGTAAATAGGCAGGACAAATTAAAGATCCAAAAACATTTTTTTATCAGCGATTAAACTGCAAGGAGACCACCGCTTGCTGGCTTTAGTACCAGACTCTTTTTCTTTAAACAGATAAGAGAATGAAACTTTGGGGAATTATAGGGGTGGCTCAAAAAGGATGCCAGATGAACGCAAATGATCTCATATTAGATCTGGATTGCACTGCTGAAAGCTATTATAATAGAGAATCCGTAACGCAGCAAAAGACACATCATCACTGGCCAAAAAACGGTTTATTAAACATCATATTATAAAGAAATCAATATTCAGAAAAAAATGTCTTCCAAAATTAAGAATACCTTGTCATGAAATCACGGAAAACATGGGAAGCTTGCTTATCCAAATCTTTAAATGAGCTGTCAAATCGAAGATCCATTCGAAAGCCTGGTAGAGAGGACAGAAAAATAAGACCATTGGTATTTATACAATCTACAAGAGAAAAGAGTAGGCATCAAGGTTCCAAGTAGGGGCATTAATCAATAGCCTGCCCCGGTCCTTGTGAAGTCTAGCACGAGATGGGAAATATATTTCAGGACCCAGGCCCAGGCCTAGGGCCCCTAACTCCGTACTATCTGGTCCGGTTTTACAGCCCGTCCGACTGTTATAGTATCTGAGCCCTATGATCCTCAAGGGTTTTCACGCCAACAACCACCGCCGCTCTCACACCTGTGGCGACGCCGACTGCCGCCGGCCACCTCCGTTTACCCTCAAACGCCCACTGTCAGCGGCACCGTGCCGCCACTCCACCCACGTACCTCCCGCACTCCCTCTTCGGATTCTGGTCGGGATGGAAGACGCTTGGAAGCTGGGGAATTACCTGGTCGCCGAGAGAAGGGAAGAGACGGAGGAGAGAAAGGAAGGGAGAGAAAGAATGCGGGGGAGAGTGAGAAGAGCCAAATATCGGTTCGACCGGCCGAGTCAGAGATTTTTTTGGACCAGACCGGTTCGGTCTAACCTACGAACCGGTGAGACATCGCTCTCGGTTCCTTGTCGCCCCCGGCCCATAATTAATATTTGGCCAGCATGGGTCAAACTGGGTCCATTTGTACAGTTGGGCTCTTCGTAGGCGTCTAGTTCGGGGCCCATTTGCAGATAGCTCCGCCCCTCATTGGACAATAAATTTAAATAATAAAAATTACCCTTATTAAGTATATTAAATTGAGGATTATGATGAGAATAATCGTGGGTAATAATTACATCTAAGAGGGAAAATAATTTATAAAATTTATGTGCTTTATCAATAAATGTGAATGAGTAGAGAGAGAAAGGAGGAGAGAGAGAGAGAGAGAGAGAGGAGGGAGTCCTATCTCTCACCTAAATGAGGTGAGGTGAGATGTATACATCAGAAGTGACTAAAAGCGGGGCTGATTGAGGAGAAGAGAGAAAGAGAGAGAGAAGGATGGTGGTGGCCCTGATTGGGCCGGGCCGGGCCCGGAGTTAGTCGGCCCGGAGGCGGCGTTAATCGGGAATGATAGTCATGGGTGAAGGGTAGCAATCATGGGGCCCACACGAAGACGATCTAAAGTGGAACTCCCCGGGGAGACTTTGGAATGGTTAGATGGGCGTCATGGATAGCTAAGACAACGGGCGCAGCAGAAAGATTCCATTTTTACACGGCCACCCCGCAGAGCGATCCGCTCAGCACCCCTGCCCCACCCCCCACGAAGCCCTCCCATGTCCTCCCCACTCCCCCTCCTCCCCTCTTCCTCTTCTTCTTCTTCTTCTTCTTCTCGTCTGTATCTCTTCTGATCCTCCAAGTGTCTTTGCTTGGGTAGCCCCGAGTGTGTTTTCCGAGGGAGTGTTGATATAACCAGCGGGGTGTTACAGTGGTCGGTGGGGGGGACGGAGGCGGCGGATCGTGGAGGAGATCGCCGGAGAATGGTTTTGCGGGGGCGGTGATCTTCTAGTGACTGGGGAGGGGAGGAGAAGAATGTCGGGATGGCCCAGCTCAGGCAATCGGGGACGGAGAGAGTTGCAGGCCGATCCACCCTCGATTTTCTGCACGGAGATGGCGGCGGGGATGGCGGCGCTGACCAGGTCAGCATCAGGATCCCCCAACGGCACGGCGGCGGCAGGACCCGCCGGCCCGGCCAGAAGGGGGGCGGCCAGCGGAGGGTCTCCGTTTTCGCCATCGCTATGATCCTCGCCCTCACCCTCCTTATCTCTGTCTCCGTCCTCCATTTCCTCTTCCGCGACAGAGGTACCAATGCTTCCCCCCCTCTCTCTCTCTGTTTCTCTCTCCACACCTTCCTCCGTCCCTACCCAGTTCATTTTTTCTTGTCAAGTTTACGGCATCTGACGTATGAGCGGGCGTTGATTTGGGTTTTCTTCGTTGAACTGAGCATCGAGGGACGTCGAATTCTGCGGTTGTTTAGTCTTTGACGTTGACGTTGAGATGAGGTTGCTTCCTCAGAAGTGCAGGGAAGGTTGACCGAGGATGGGGAGCTGGACAACGAGACGAATCAAGAAAGTGGGTCTGATCTTCGGCCGAGACTGAACCGCTCCATGGCATTCAAGGAGCTCAGATTCGGCAAGGGCTCCACCATGGTCGGCGGCGATTCGAGGTACTGGGACCGAGATGACAGGCGGAGGGACGAGGAGTACGACGAGGACTCCTCAGAGCTCTCGAATGCAGCGGCGGATGAGGAGGGGAGGAGAACGGAAGAGGACTCGGCTGCAGGGGAGGAGCAAGAAGGGGCTTTCGACCACAAAAAGAGCAGCGGCAGAGGACTGTACAATGAAGCTGGGCGCACAGAGCTTAAAGAGTACGAGGAGATGTTTGAGGAGTCTCTGAAGAGGTCCAACGAATCTGCAGAGGAAGGGAACCCAGGTGAGGAAACGAGCTCTGGCGATGAATATGATGATGGTTTTGAGATGGAGGAGGTAGAACCCGAAAACGGGGGGGGGCACCCTCATGATCATGACAGTGGACATCCTCCGAGGGTCTCCTCGCGGCAAGGGATCAAGCGTTCTTCCAAGAACAAGGCCAGCAAGAGTGCCACAGGAAATGCACGCACTGGTCTTCAGGTGTTAAAATCATCCAGATCTGGGAAGAAGATGAGTGGTGCCAGAGGAAGCCCAAAACGTCGCAGATTTTCAGGTAGCAAATATGCATACATATCGTAATTAATCTGACTATTATTTTTAATGTTAAGATCCCGTACCTTCTGCAGAATTTGCTGAAAAGATATTTATATCACAATTATTTTTAATGTTATGATCTGGTGAATTCATCTTTGGATTATTCTCGGATGGGCTAGAAACATGGTCTCTTGCAAAATCTAGAAGAAAATGAGAGCAATGGTATTCCTGGAGTTAGCCAAAAGTATGAGCGGGGTAGTTAGCATACTTGAGCCAAATGTTTCTGTATGTATTGATCAAATTGAGAAAAATAAAATGTCATCATTCCTATGATCCAGGATTTTAGTTATGATTGGCCTCTGTGATTAAAGCATGACTATGATTACATTAGATTTTTCCAAGGATTGGAGATAGAATTGCCTTCTTGCGAAACTAATGAGATGATAACCCCCAGGTAGGGTGGTTGTCTAGCAGGGAGGGGAGTTTTTCTACGAACCAAAGAAAAGGAAAAGTGTGAAGACCAAGAATCTGATCATATTAAATATTTTATTCAAATTACTTCCATGGTTGGAGAATTTAATCTATCAAAATTCTTATGATGCCTGACAACATTTATGGCAAAAAAAGGCTTTTGTTAGAGATCTAGTGATGTAACTGATTATATTTATCGATCCAATCCTTTTGAATCTCTTGTTTTATGTTTTCCTTCAGGGGATCAAACTGATACTTCTCAATCATTTTTATGGTTCATTTTTGGAATAATTATCTCCTTAGGTCACTCTAGACACGTCAGGATCTTTTTCATCGTTCTAGTTAATATCATCAGAATCTTCTATGATTCAGAACTTTGCTTTCTCCGTATCTATCATTATGATCATTGCCATTAAAGCTCTATTCTCCCGATTTCTTTCTGTAGCTTATGTGCTTCATGCCACAGACCACGGAGAAAAATGCAGCTGTTTACCCATTGATCCTTTCCAGTTATAGAACCATTGATAGCCTAAGCTGCGCTGATGACATAATCACCAGCCTTTTTGTTTCTGTTGGCGGGTTGATGGCATTATTGTTGGATTTCTTATTTCGGTCATATAATGCTGTTATATGGGGGAATTGAGAGGAAATGGAGGATCTGGAGGCATTTTTTATGGTTTTCTTATCTTACTAGACTGCTTTTATTTGATGCCATTGTTTTCTTCTTAAATTTTCTGCAGGGTGTGAAATGAAATTCTTAAATTCGACGGATTTACTTGTGGAGCCCTTAGAGAATAAAAAGTTTTCAAGATTTTCATTACAGTACACAGATGTAGAGGAGAGGCCCAGCAGAGTAGACGGCTGGGAACCCAGATTTTCTGGGCATCAGAGCCTCCAAGAGAGGGAGAAGTCTTTCTATGTCCGTGATCAAAAGCTTAATTGTGGTTTTGTTAAAGGTCCCAAAGGATCTCCAACCACTGGGTTCGACTTGGCAGAGGATGATGCTAAGTTCATGGCCAGTTGCCATATAGCTGTGTCCTCTTGCATTTTTGGAAATTCAGATCGATTGAGGGCACCAAACAACAGAATGGTAAATTATCTGATTGCTTTTTCACATGATCCCGTGTGTGAACAGTATTAGTAGCATTGAAATCCATCACTTGGTTTTCTTTGAATCTTCATTTGATACTTTTTTTCAATCCATCCGCCATTTTCTTAAAGTTATTTTATACTTTTGGCATCTCCAGATCATATTTTGGTCAACCCATCCATGATATTTTTGCCTTCTTTTATATCCCATTCCTAAATTAAAATGCCTTTTAAATTATTTCTCTGGTGAAAACATTCAAAAAAAATTCATTTTTGGAGACTGATGGTAATTTTTAATGGTGGAAAATATTTGACTGGAAAAGGTTTCCTTCAATCAATCATTGGCACGAATATGCATAATTTTTAGCTGATCCAATTAGAACTTCTGCCTAATCATGTTTTGGCCAGTATATATTTTCTCCCATCTGGAGGGGCACTGTTAATCCACAGCCTTAACATTTTACCTCGGGCTACTTCCAGCCACTTCATGGTCAATCCTTGGAGTCAGAACTAGATCTTGATCTGTTGCGGTCTGTATCAGGATCAGGTGGGTTGTATTTGTTGAATCAATCCATTTGAGAAAGGGAGAAATGAAAACCCTTGATTTGCTGCTTTCTTTGAATGAGAACTGTAAACTAAAGCTACATCTTATAAAACCAAAAAGGATCTTATGAACCAGAGGTTATCCCAATATGTGTCTCCTCGATAGCTGTGGGAAAGTGAAGAAAGGGATGCTGCAATGAGGAACCTTCCCCTAATTGGACGAAGAGAAAGGCACCCACCCTTAATATGCATCTTCAGGCAGATATAGTCGCAGGTTTTCACTTCTCAGTGAGTGAAAGATTTGTCCCCAGATCCATGTTTTCTTCATCTTCCCCACACTTTTCAGGATCAATGTAGCAAGCAAACTTTGCAACTTTTTCTAGAAAACTTATTTTGAGACAGGGAAATTGGCCCATACGCTCAGTATCATCATCATCATCATCATCATCATCATCATCATCAGCAGCAGCAGCAGCAGCAGCAGCAGCAGCATCTATTTTTTTTGAGTCATGATTAGAAGCCATCTTGAATTGGATGATCTTTAGTTTATGTTCTTGTCAACTGCAGATCAAACGTTCATCGAGGAAACATGTCTGTTTTGTAATGTTTGTGGATGAGATTACCCTGAAGACGCTATCTGACGAGGGCCAAAAGCCAGATGGAATGGGGTTTTTCGGTCTGTGGAAGATCGTTCTTGTCAAAAACTTACCTTTCACCGATATGCGAAGGGTTGGAAAAATTCCAAAGTTTCTATCTCATCGTCTATTCCCTACTGCAAGGTATCATATCTTCATTGCCTACATAACTCATATCTCCCAATTTTTAACTTTTATTTTACATCTTTTTTATCGTAGATTCATCGCAATAACCTCAGAGCTATAATTTTGTCTGACGATTCTGAGGACCCATCTGAAGTTGCTCATTTGAAATGGACAGGTATTCAATCTGGCTGGACAGCAAGCTGCGGTTGAACAGCGATCCCCAGCTTCTCCTTGAGTATTTCCTCTGGCGAAAAGGGTACGAATATGCCATCTCCAACCACTATGATCGCCATTGCGTGTGGGATGAGGTGATGCAGAACAAGAAGCTCAACAAGTACAACCACACAGTCATAGACCAACAGTTTGCGTTTTACCAGGCCGACGGATTGAGAAAATTCAACGCCTCAGACCCCAACAAATTACTCCCAAGCTGTATGAAATATCCGGAACTTTCATCATCAGCTTCATATATACATATATATATGCTCTGTTATTGCTTTCAATATCAGATTTTTCCTCAAAAATTAGTCTTATTTGGTGAAAATCGAACCACAACCAATTGCTCCCTATCTGTACAAAATGCCCCTAATTTTCGTCATGTTAATGCACAAATATATGCTCCATGATTGATGTAAATATGTTGACCTTACCTATCTTATTGTATTATTTGGTGTATATGCATAACTATGCATACATGTGCTTTTTTACTGCTCTAAATATCCTGATATTTCCCCTTTTGATGTAGATGTTCCTGAGGGATCTTTCATCATGAGAGCGCACACACCTATGTCAAACTTGTTCTCCTGTCTCTGGTTCAATGAGGTCGATCGATTCACTCCTCGTGATCAGCTAAGCTTTGCATACACATATCTGAAGCTGAAAAGGATGAACCCAGATAAACCCTTCTATCTTAACATGTTCAAGGTGCCCCTGAACTCCTCTCTCTCTCTCTCTCTCTCTCTCTCTCTCTCTTTCTCTCTCTCTCTCTATTTATATCACTCTCTCACAGTGGCGCAGTTTCAGATTGGGCCATTTCAACTATTTTTTTCTCAAAATTTCCGGGCTGTGTTTTTTTGTATTCCAGGATTGTGAGAGACGGGCCATAGCAAAATTATACCATCATAGAGGCGAAGATAAGAGGACTCCAGCACTAGAAGAAGGGTAGAAAAAAGGAGGAAAAAAAAGATGTGATGCTTACCCAATCTTATTTTTTATTCAGCACTTATTCGTCTTAATTCCCTTGCTGTGTTAAGGGTTTTCCTTTTCTCTTCCATTCCTCTCTCTCTCTCTCTCTCTCTCTCTCTCTCTCTCTCTCTCTCTCTCTCTCCTTTCATTTCTCATTTCATGTAGCTCTTCTGCTCATGGCAATTATAGAGCTCGTCCCCATTGTATTGACTTTCATTTCTAATTAAAGTGGAAATTTTAGGTTGCTTCAGGTTCCCATACCTATTTCTCTTATTTCCCATTGTATTGCCCTTTATTTTTCTCTTATTTACTATGTTTTAGGCGCTCTTACCTATTTTAGTTGAATTCCAGTGTGATTTCAGGCATGCGATGAATTTGCCATCCTTGGGTCCCATTCTCCCCTAGATTATCCTACGTGTTACATCTCTACACGCCTTTACATCTTTGAAAGGGTCTTACACACACAATGCTTCTCTACTATAGAATTTGACCCATAATCAAATAATTTCAGATAGAGTCAGTATTACATCTATCATCGCACAACGAATCTAACATCTTCCTTTGATGGTGTTCATCAAAGTATTTATCTTGTCAATTAGGTCCTCAAACTATCACAAGTCAATGTCATATTCTCACAATGCAATCCTATGTGGGTCTATCTCATCACTTAACAAAGAAGTAGATGTGATATTGTGTCCTAAATTGTCCACTTCAATTATTTTTTCACATGTTGAAAGATGGCTTTTACTTTCTCAATGAATTAGTCATACACTATTAGTGGTGCTGACTAAGGACAATTTCACTGTACATCCTCTTTCTACCATGCATCAATCAAGTGATACATAGAAAATTAGGTTAATTACTACTCTTCTTGACACATTGAGGTTGTAGGCTAACATTAGACTCTATGTGCTTTTTCTTCATCTCTTATGCCACTTGTGTAAACTGCTTCTCATCTATGCTTTTGACAAGTGCATGTGAATATATGCACTAATAGATAGTGTGTAAGCCTGAACTACTTCACAACCTCCAATGAGGTCAATAGTTGTTACTTTGTTAAAATGGAAATTTTTTAATTGTCAGACTTCAATCAAAGTTATAGCAAAATTGTGTGACATAAGTTGTTAGTAAAGATGTATGTGACATACCTTCAGTAGTTCAATGATGAAGTAATAGGTTATCTTGACATGTTCTTTTTCTTATTAGAGTAAGCTCAGATACTAGATTCAACATCTTAATTAATGATGAGCTAATACAACTTGCTGGAAAGTAATACATACCATCATATATTTATAAGTTATTGAGCATGCAACACATTGTGTCTCACTCAGAAGGCATCACCATTGCCATCCTCTTGTTTGACATACTGTCATTGCCCACAAACATAGACATGCTCATCCTCCACCCAATAGTGGTATGCCATGTGTAGTCAATTATCTGCAATATGTATGATGCCTCCTAGTCATCAAGTGGTGTGGCATAGGTCTCTCTTAGGATTATGTCATTTGATGCTGACAACAACATAATCAATAGTGCCAATGGTGCAAATGTGTTCCATCTCTAACATCCCTCTTAATTGTTGACATAATTTCAGGTATCCCAATGACATGTTATATGGCATGCATTGATAGGTGCATACCCAGGATGAGCTCAATTTTGTGGTCTATCTTGTGTCCAAGTGAAAGTTGAGTTAGAAGATCTCCAATAATCACACCATGGGCTTCATCACCAAGTGAAAAAGTTGATACTCTCCGAAGAGATGTACCACACTCAATTAGAGCTCTAATGGTACATTGGCCTTCATCACCATGCATGTCACTATTGCATGTGCACTTGCTATGTACACCATGTATAACACCATGGGCTCACTTGGCGGCATGGGTTACTAACACCTCATGCTTGTCTCCTTTAGTTCAGAATATAATGGTGCTTCTTCCCAAGCTCCCTAGTATCATAGAGAAAAGTTTTATTGACATTCCTTGGATTGTTTTGTAGCTACATTGCTGACAACAATCAATATAACCCAAATTGCAGTTGAGTTCTATGCATTCCACTGGTCATACTACATTTCATCAAGTCAACAGCCTTCATAGGATTATCTTATCTTGACAATCTTAGTTCCAAATCAAGATGCTACTATTTAGCCCATATTTAGCCATCACACAAATGAGTCAACCATTGATTGCAACCTCTAGATAGAGCAACCTATGAGATATCTTTAAAGATATGATTACTATTGAATGCATTAAGGTTGGCCTTACCCACTTTAGAGAGGAGAAGTGTGAACTTTAGGATGACATGTCTATGCTTTAGAGAGAGAGAGAGAGAGAGAGAGAGAGAGAGAGAGAGAGAGAGAGAGAGAATCTTTCAAATGGGCCTGTCCATGGCCCTCAAAACCTGGCTAACATAAGCAGACAGAATAACTCCAAAATAAAAACTGCAAATCCCTCCATTTAGTTAATTTAAAACCTTGGAAAACGACCAGCGGGCGCACATATTTTTTTTCTGCAAAAAAAAATAAAAATAAAAATAAAGATTACAAAAAATTATGATGATGGGAAAATGGGATTATTTAAAAATTGGAAAATATGATAAAAGATAGAGAAAGTAAAATAAGCAAAAAACTCATATTCTCTTCCGCAATAAATAAAGTAAAATAAGTAAGAATTCCATCGATGGGGGATAATAAGAACCTATTTAAGAATAAATGAAATAGGGTCAAAGAATAGAAATTACCAACCTCTATAGTTCGTCCTTCGTTGAATCATCTTGTGCTGGTGCACCCTTATTCTTCTGGATGAAGGAGACGATGTCGTCCTTTGTCCGGTCCCCTTCATAGGTCAAAAGATTTCCACTTGAGGACCTGAAATAGAGGGTTGGGTAGCCCTGGACCTCGAAGCCACTTGGTATGTCATTAGCAGTTGCATCCTGTAAATGGAAAGTGGAGGATATAAACTGTTCAGCCGGTAGGAGAAAAATGGAGAGATTCAATTGAATGGATTAGCAAGGATGGGTCACCAGAAGGGGAATAAAGCGATGGGTAGCATAGAAGAGAGAGAGAGAGAGAGAGAGAGAGAGAGAGAGAGAGAGAGAGAGAGAGAGAGGGAGAGAGATAGATAGATGGATATATTGATATATATATATATAGAGAGAGAGAGAGAGTTCAAGGGCTTTCAAGCTTTGTAACGGGGACAATGTAACTGGGTTGCATTTGGCTCAAGAACAACCACTGGTTCTGATACCGTTGATGGAATTATTGAGCCATCCAATCAAAATCAAATCAGGCACCCTTCTAGTCACAACTTTCATTGATAATATATCAACATGGGATTATTATGGACGGTTACCATTTTTGCGATGATCACATCGGAATCACTCTGAAGAGACACAGCTACTTCTTCTAAGATTGGAGCAAGCTTCTGGCAATGCCCACACCATGGAGCATAAAACTCAAGCAGGACTGCATATGAAGATCATGAGCCTATCAGAAATTAATTTAGGCAACAAGAGGGCATACACTGAAGAGAAATCTCTGTCAGTTCTAACATCTCAATCATAACATGTACATAAAAGAAAAAGGCCCAAGTGGGTCTTATATCAGGTAACTATGCCGGCTGCCAACATAAAGTATATCAGACAAGGTTAAATACCAGGAACTAGTATCAACAATCACCATGTGCCAATTCATTCATGCCCCGACTTCAAGATAAATTAAATGTCTGTAAAGAAACATGATGAGATAGAGAGAGAAGGCTTCTTGCATGCAGATGTCTACATCTCTACATAGATCTGAGCAATGTTTCTGAGGTTTTGCATTGCATTCACCCAACGGATCCACCCAACTGATGACAATGAATATCAAGTCCATTCAGAAATTCGGCTACAGTAATAGAAAAGACCCTAGGATCTTCAAGGTGGAATAGTCCAAAATTCATTGAAAAAGGTAAAAATTAGTCATAGATAGGTCTCAGAACAAACCGTTCTTCCCGGAGTTGAAGACCACGTCTTGCAGGCTGTCAGCCACAACGACCTTAACTGGTTTATTGTTCACTTCGGGGATGGGCTCTGACTTTTTGAAGGGCTTTACATTACCCTCCTGCAGATACATGTTTACGTTATGAGAGATTTGATGCCATCATGTTCCCCCAGTTACCAAATGTCATATTTGGCCGGAGCATTTTCTTCTCAACAATATTATGTGGGTACAGAGCTCCAAAAAAATATGTCAAACAGATATTTACCATATAATCCTTTATCCAGGATGCAACCTGAAGAGGCTCCAGATGTTCTTTGAGATATTTTTTCCCATCGTTATCCTGTACAATAATGAGAGGCGCCTGGTCTTCCCTAAGGCCAAAGTACTGCAGGAAACCGTCAACATAAGAGGCCACACACGAAACTGATGGCAAGTTAGGGTATAGAAAACATATGAAGAGTAAGTAGGAGATAACCTGGAAAGCACCTTGACTAGCATCAAGGTCACCCATCAAAAAGCTAATGTTCTTTCCCTTATAATCTCCAGCAACACCAGTATAAGCAGATTTGAATGCTTCAAACTGCTCACTGCTAAAATTCAAGAAGAGCAAAGCCTGGCCATTCGAGCACCAAAAACAATTACCATGAGACGAATATGCATGAAATCACAGGGTTAGATAATGTTATTCATCACATTTGTATGGGATAAAAAACCAATGAAATGGAATCATATTATTTCAATCAGCAATAAATTGACCCAACAATAAAACAACAATAATTTGACCTCTTCACATGTTTACTTGCTTTTCATATGTTTTCTATAGCAACTCGCACATTATCAGATAGACAGAATAAGGTGAAAAACTCGTCCAAATATAAATAGGCATTACCTTGGAATTATCTTTGTTGAAGAATTTTATGACAAAAGGGTGATTGTCAGGGTCTTTGTTAAACAAAGTCACAAGAGGCAGACTTGATTCCTCAATGAATTGCTCTATAGCATCAGCATGAAAATCCTGCGTATAAATCAGGGAGAAGGGAGATTTAATTTTGATACAAATAAATGATTTAAAGAAATTAGAAATGAGGGTAAAACGAAACCTTGAAATCTATAAAGCGTTCATCAAATGGCTTGAATAATCTAATGATGGGTTTTGCTACTGTAGAATCTCCTCTAGGAAGAATTTTTGCATCCAATGTATGACCAAAGTCATAATCTGATCGCAACTTGTCAGCAACAGTGATGTAGGTTTCAAATTCTTCCCCAGAGAATTCAGAGAAGACTCCCACCTACATAGAAACTTAGTGAAGTCAGGGATGTGAAGAACCACAAATTGGTCACATGAAAATTGAATGAAGATAAGAAAATCGTGATCTCACAATGTAGACTTTCTTGTCATTAAAGAGATTCCCAACATCATCAGAAGATTTAAGTTCACTGGATGGTGGACCAGCTTGTTTCTTCAAATAAGCAACTATTCCTTCAGCATCTCGAGGGCCCTTGTACTCTTGGATGGTTTTCCCTTCATTTCTCAATATAATAAGCGTGGGAAATCCCTTAACCTCGTACTTGGAGGCAAGTCCTTTGTTAGACTCTTCGTTGGCATCAACCTTTGCAAGAGCGATCGGATAATCATGGGTATTTAGTATAGCCGCAGCCTTCTCATACTGCAGGACAAAAGGAATAGCCAAACATCACATGGAGGAATAAAGTGCTGACGTTATTGGTCGAATAACTGTCAAAGATGCGCAAATCTCGAAATATGACTTGATTTGATGGAGATTTTGCATCAGAATATTTGTTACCTCGGGAGCAAGTTTCTTGCAGTGTCCACACCTGTAGAAGAAACAAATATTTAGAGAAACGTGCACGTAAAGCTTCTTATGTTGTGGCAAACAGGAAAATTCCTCATTTGAAGTACTATCCTATAACAATTTTCACGGCCATGTTGTTACTCAAATGAAAGTAAATAGTAAGCAAAAATGGGCTGTTATCGTCAAAATATGTATATGCCTGCAGTAAGCTTTATAATCTGGATGCCGACAAAAGAAACATTTTATGTGGGTTTTCTGACCGTGAAAGCATATAATTCGAAACATATGCAAAACAAACACAAACGGTAAAAATGTTCATGCCAATTAACTCAAGGAAGAAAATTTATCTTTCGATACACAAAATAAATGGCCTTCAAAAAAAGAGGAAAAAGGCGTTCTGAATACCCAAACATCATGCATATGTTTTGCTTCAAAAGGCAAGTTATTCATCAGCTTAGTTACGGAATCGTTCATCGATGCAGAATGAAAAACGTGAAGAAAAAGAAGACCGCAGATCAACGAAGAAACAAGTTACGGAATAAAAAAGTCTATGACCAGTCAATCTCCCCAATTCATTAACAGATTCTCAGTTGATGTGAAAACAGTACGTATAAATCAGGCAAGAGATGCAAAATTCAAACACGGATATCCAAGTCTGACAAGAAACTAAAACAGATCCGAGTAGATCCGGGGTGTGCGAAGAGAGGAAAACCGATGATCAAACCGGCGATCTACCGAGACTGCAAACACAGGGCACTATAATCAGCAGGGAGGTTGATAATCACGAACAGCGACTCACCAGGGAGCGTAGAACTCCACGACAATGAACTTATGCTTCTCTACGGTCTCGGAGAAGTTGGAAGAGTCAAGGGTGAGGACGAAAGATGTCTCCTCATCAGCCGCTGTTTCCTCCGCCCCACAAGAAGCAGGGAATGAGCAGATCAGTAATACAGCCGCCACGAGACCCACCCACAGCCACGCCTTAGGGGGACGCCGAGAAATTCTCCGAGCAGATGCCATCGATCTCTCTCTCTCTCTCTCTCTCTTGTTTCAGCGACTCTGACTGAGGTTGCCGTCGTCTAAGTCTAGCCACCTCGCCGGCTTTATATACCAGGAGATGCGACGACGGGACGATGAACGCTCGATTCGGAAGCGTATATGACCTTTCTATCTCTGCTTATTATTTAACCGTTGGATCAGAATCTGATGGTTATTACTTAATGGGCGACGTGTACGCCCACCGTTTCTAGGACACGTGGGCGTTCAGAGTTATGGTCACCCCTCGCGGTCCCCCGTGAGAGCCTTGACTAGTCCGGGGGCTGATGAGGTGGAAGCAACCCTATAGGAGTAACTCCGGTGACTGTATCCTCCATCCATCCCATGGCGAAGAAGCCGAGCGCAACGATTTGCACGCGGAAGGTGCGAAATATGAGAGTCCCTGACCCCAGCCTGCACCACATGACGACAAATAAATTAGGGTCACATCATCAGTCGTCCATCTGGTGTCGCTCTCTTCCTTTCCCATCGATGCGTATCAAGGCAGAATTAATGCATCACGTAAACGTCATTAGCGGGGTTTAAGGATTCGTAACGCACGAAGATTCCATACATACCCAAGAAATTAATACAAATTAAATAATTGCATTAACTCCCTCAAGATTCTCTCTCACTCTCTCACTCTCTCTCTCATTTCGAGCACCGTCACCCAAAAATTACGTATTTTTTGGCGTATTTTTCTCATTTGATACCATCCCAACAAAAATATGCAAAATTAAAAATATGATTATTTTGATTATTAAATGCAGGCCCTCGTTGTGAATGGTTGAGGTTATAATTCTGGCCCAGTTGCAAAGGTTTTTCTCCGGGCCTCGGGCCGGGCCTGGCGAGGCCCGGTCCCAGCCCGGAAAGATCCCCAACCATTGACTAACGTACTGAGCATCAAACACACCGCCTTTCTCTCCATCCACACCATGCGTTCGCCAGCTGCAAGAGAAAACAAAAGATTGTATAAATATATTAAAGAAAAATATATATATACTTTTAAACATAGGGTTGATTGAAATCCCGATTATAAGTTCTGAGCCCAGATGGTCAAACGATTCAATCCAGCTTCAGACGATGAACCCCTGAGAAATGGAGCCATATCCTTTCTTTGGTTGTAAACCTAATAATCCAACAATCCAATAATGCTCTGAAATATATTCTTACAGATATATAATTGATCTGGAGAATATACTGGATTAAAAACGAGCCAATAAAAAAAGCAAAACTTTTCTAACAGCAATGATGAATCCTTGCAGCCATCTCGTTCATTTTTATCTGAATCCACAAGGCAGATTATCCAGTTCATATTGTCAATGAAACTGCTTGATATCTCAACCTTCACCTGTCATGTTCTCTCATCTTCATTGTTGTTCATAAACATGACGCAAAATATACCTAAATGGCCATAAATGTCTTTAGAATCAGAAGAGTAAAGTTGCCTCAATTTCAATCGTTACATGATCATACCGATTTCCATAATCAGGATTGCCGATTGCCTAAGTTCTTTTACTTCTCCATCATGAGAAAACCATTGGTTATGCTTAATTACGGTCTAAGATCAAGAGGACACTTCAAGAAACCTTAAATTAGTAGCATTGGGACGTCTAAGACCCACAAGTCAAATGACTAGTCCAACGATTTTGAAGGATTTTGGAACGAACATCATTTTTTGGAAGTTTCAAACCGATCAAAATACTGAAAAGCATAAGATATGAAGTTTTCAATAAATCAAATCTTCAGCATGATTTGATTGATCTTATCTGCAAGGGTAGATAGATGCATATGCCAATAGATACACCTCATTTGGTCTTGTGACTTTTTCTTTTTTCTTCTTCTCCCCAGTGCACTTTTTAGTGGTAGAAACAAAAATCCTTTGCCTAAAGATCATGAACAAGACAGTTGATTGATAAGAGCGAGTTCAAATAGTCTCTCCGATATAATTAAATCCCTTTGGGTAATTCCAAACATGCTGGTAGTTTAGAGGTTTCCCACGATCATTGTTGGAAACTGAAACTTCAATCACACCACTAAGTGGCAGGACCATCTCCTGTCTTCTTATCAAAAACTCCAGGAAGAGTTTCATGGCGGCCTCAAATTATCCATTCCCAATCCATTAATCTTCCGCAGTTATGGGTCTATCTCCCATTGTCACCTTGGGAACATATGTGCAAGACAAAATCTCCATGCGCGGACCAAGATACTGAATGGCATGTTCATTCTCTATGACTCTAAAATTCTCTGTTGATTAAGCTTCCTAAAGTTCATTGATGCCGTAGATGGACAAAATAATTCAGCACCCTCTTCCTGTTATTGAGAGTAAAAATTGGGGGTAAAAAACTATGTTTCAAGTGTTTTTCATGTGAGCATTCACACCTTGCAACAAAATATGGGCGCTCTGCAATACCTATTTTCATTTTCCCAGTACAAAGTTCTGTATTGGGAGCTTTTCCCCTTCATAAAAAGTTGACAATCATGCTTCATTTCAGGTCTCTGATGCAACAGACCATTTATTAATCTCAACGGCAGTTTTGTGAAGAAAAATTAGCACTGTTTTAGGTATTTTCCTTTTTGGATAGAAAGTAGGAGTAAAAATTGTTCATCTCACTGGAGAAATTGCAAACAGGAAACAGAAGCAATCAGAAACAAAATTAATACAACGGCGACTATTACTTGATCAAAAAAAGAAATTGAATGATAATGCACGTGCATAATAATGGCCATCAAATCTAAACGATGCCATCCATCTTCCAACCGATGAATTGAAATAACTACAGAAGATTATCCCACGCTTCCAGTGATATCTCATACTTCCCCTATTATCAAAGATCTTGTGAACACGTAGATGTGAATTCCACACAAACTTCAGAGAAGGGAAAACCCTTGACGACTCCCGGACCCATGAAAATTCGCAGCATCAACCAACTCCAGAGGATCGCATTCCTCACCTCACCATCGGGAGCAGGATCAATGCTCAGAATGGGGAGCACCTTCCACGACGCTGGGATCGTCACCTCGTCGGAGGTCTTCGATCAGGCCCCCAAGTTCCTTACGGGCAGACTCCCTCCCGAACATGAATCCGTACCTACAGGCTCAATTCCAGACGAGTAAACGAACGAATACTAGATGGAAACCGAAACCCTAAGATCGGCACCAATCCTCGAGACGGTTCTCGAGCTCTACCAGAACGACACGGCGGAGAAGACTCCCGCCGTGAATACTGTCTGCACCAGTGTCAGCTTCTTCTCCATCAGTTCGCCGCTCGCCGGCAAGAAGAATGAGAGACTTCAAATAGGGAGTCGAACAGTTGGATTTATGCAGATAACTTCACCGCGAGTGAGTGTATTCAATCAGCACTATGCCAGTGGACCTCATCGGGCCGGCCCAGAGGCTAGGCCTGTGCAAAAGCCCCAAAATGGGCTCCACTTGTAAACTTTTTGAACAGTGTCCTGTTTTTAAAGTATGAAATATTAATATTTAAATATAGAAAAATATATTTTAATACTTAAAGCCCCTCAAGTTGCTTGAATGTTTTAAAAGTGCAAATATTTTTGATCTACCCTTGATATTTTTTCAAATTTTATTAATTAAAAAATAATCAATATGGAGGAAAAGGCCCATTTATGGATGGGATCCGAGGCGCACTAGGTGTGGATACCTGAGCTGGACCCTTATTGGGCCTCCAAGATACCTACATTGGGCCCCAGATAATTTGTACATACTCTGAGGATACTTTTGAAAGAGGTTTTTTTTTTTTCAGGGGTTAAAACGGAATAAAACCAGTTTTCAAGGCCTAGTCGGGAAAAAAAAACCGGGCAATTCCCCCTTACCCTAAAGTTACCGTCGGTGCCTGAACTTTATCTGGTCAGTAACACACCCGAGAGAGAGAGGGAGGGAGGGAACGGTGGCGGCGCCGTACCAGAGCTCCTGAGCGGCGCCAATGCCGACGGCAGCGGCCAGCCCACCGCCGCCCGTCAATGGTCACCGCTGTACTGCGACAGGTTCCCCGCTTCACCGGCCTTCAAGGCTCACCTCGAAGACTGCTTCTTCCCAGCTTCCTATCCCGAGTTCCGGTGGTCTACAGCTTCAGAGACCTATCTACCTCCGCACCTCAGGCCTCCGATCTCCTCCTCGGCCAGTTCTTTCCTTCCGGGGGAGACTTGCCGCAGCCGTCGCTCTTGAATCACCAGCGGCGAGCGGTGCTCGTCGGTCTAGCCAAGGCCATCAAGACACCGGGATGGCTCCCTGCCCTAGGAAGCTTCTCCCTCGGCTTCCATCCCCTCCATCTGGCCAGGATTTTGGGTTCCTTCGCCGATCACCGTGTCGCCGTAGCGTTCTTCGGCTACGCGCTCCGCAACAGGTCGGCTTGCACGGCCCGTGCTTGCTGCTCCGTCGTCCGCCTCCTGCTCACCGAAGACCTCGGCGGCGATGGCTCCCGCTCCCTGAAACCGCTCGCCGAGGAGATCCTCTCCTGCGTGATCAGGAGGATGTATTCCCCGCGCGGCCTCCCGCTGGTGGATCTCGCCTTGGAAGACGACGCGTTCGGCTCCTCGAAATACGCGACCCTCAATCTGTTCCTCAGGGCCTTCGTGAAATGCGACATGGTATTGGAGGCAATGGAGGTGTTGGGGAAGATTAGGAATAAGGGGCTTCAGCCGAGCCAGGGAGCTTTGAGCTCTCTCACAAAGCTCTTGTTTCAGAAGTGTCAGCTCAGAAGCATATGGAAGCTGTTCAAAGAGTTGATGCGTGAAGGGCCATGGCCGAGTGTGCGATGCTTCAACGACATGATTCTAGGGTTCTGCCTGAGGGGAGACGTCCGTATCGCAGAGAATCTCTTGAAGATAATGCACAAATTCCACCGGCAACCCGACGTCTGTAGCTTCAACATCGTGATCAAGGCTCATTGCATGTACGGTCGATCATCGGACGCATTTGGGCTTCTCCGCATGATGCACGAGGAAGGCTGTTCTCCCAGTGTCGTCACTTTCAATATCCTGATTAATGTCTTGTGCAGAGAAGGGAGAATGGGAGATGCACAGAGGCTCTTCGACGAAATTCCCAAACAGGGCGCTGGCTTGAACAGGATCACATTCAATGTTTTGATGGATGGATATGTCAAAGCCGGACAAGTTGACAGGGCCTTCTCAGTGTATGAGGAGATGATGGCCAAAGGGTTGTCTCCTGATTGCTACACCTTCAACATTCTCACAGCAGGGGACCTCAAGTTTCGGAGGGAGGGTGAGAGAGTGATGAACCGTGTTCTAAACGTTGAGAACTTCTCCATGAATTCTGCGTTGGATATAGTGATCTCAAGATGTTGCTGGGAAGGGCAACTAAGTAAAGCTAGGGAGCTTCTTGACAGTGCGCTAGAGGAGGGCATCATGCCGACCATTGTAGCATTCAATGCTGTCCTTGCTGCGTACAGTAAGGCTGGTCTGGAGGAAGAAGCCTTTGAGTTCTACCACCTCATGAGGAAATTCGGTCTTGCAGCTTCAGCATCCACATGTAACTCTCTAGTTATGTGCTTGTGTGACCAGGGTAGAATGAATGAAGCCAGAGAGCTGCTTGACAAAATGGTGGAAAGGGGATGTCGTATAAACAAATCTACATTCACACTACTCTTAGATGGGTTCTTCAGAGAGGGTGATGCTGACGGAGCAGGTAGAGTATGGGACAGCATGAAGAGTTATGGGATATTGCCTGATGTCATTGCTTTCTCAGCCTATATTAATGGTCTCTGTATATCAGGCTCCATGGACAAGGCATATGAAGCTTTCCTCGAGATGCACCAGAGGCAACTAGTTCCAAACAATTTTGTTTATAATTCTCTCATGAATGGGTTTGTAAGAGATGGGAATCTGTCTGATGCATGGAATTTGGAGAGGAAGATGAAAGAAAATGGGCTTACTCCTGATGTCTTTACAAAGAACATCATCATCAAGGGATTATGTGGTGAGAAAATAATGGACAAGGCAAATGATGTCTATATGAGCATGTACTCCTGTGGCTTAAAACCTGATGTTGTTACATACAACACTTTAGTTGGTGCATATTGTAAGGAGCGTGACCTGAGGAGTGCACTGAATATCATTACCAAGATGACATTAGAAGGCTGTGACCCTGATATCACCACATATAATATATGGATTCATGGGCTTTCTACAGCTTGCAAGATGAACCAAGCCTTGAGAGTAATAGATGATATTGTTTCCAAAGGCGTCCTTCCAAACACCGTCACTTACAATACTTTGATGAATGGCATATGTACTGAAGTCTGGCATTGTAAAATTATTCAGGATCGCGTACTTATTATGACCGGGAAGCTTATCAAGATGGCCTTCTTCCCAAATGTTGTCACGGTTAATATTCTACTCTCTCACTTGTGCAGACAAGGGCTGGCAGAGAGGGCAGTGCTGTGGGAACAGAGGCTCAGTCAGGTACCATTCCCTTTTGACATCACTACATGTAACATATTAAATTGGGCCAGACGTTGTATTGAACATGCTGAGACCACACGGCCAGATCAACAAATTAGCTTGTTCCTGGAAGCTCTCATGTATATTGCACTTGATTCCATATGTCGAAATAGATCATCACATTATAGACCCGTAGTTGTCACCACAATTCTGGATCATTGTTCTGGCGAGCCTCCTCAAATGGTGCAAATTTGATAACTTCTTCCCCTCATGCGCGACTTGCATTTGTAGACAACAGTAAAGCGTATCCCACTTGGATTGTCAGTTGTTACTTGTAATTTGAGATCTGGTGAGTGCTGCTGTAATATTAGAGGAAACCAGATGGATCATGATGTGATAAGTTCTACCATCTCTCAGAAACAGCCACCAGGTTCTGGTGCCTCAGTCTCCAAACCAGGTTTCAAGTACCCTGCAAAGAACAGTGTTAAACTTTGAGATCCATTTGAAAACTTTTTAACACCACAAACACTTGCCATATGGCTGAGTTCGCATTGTTCTGCAGCAGTCTTTGGGTTTCTTCGGTAATGATTCTGATATTGCTTATAACAGATAACTTTCCACTGTGTACCTCGCAACCGTTTATGAAAGCAAAAGAGACAGGGTCCATATTAGGCATGTCCACTCGTACATTTTGTTTCATCAAAGGAAAAATGAACTCGACTCCAGGTTATCAGGAGAGCAATTGTTACTTCTTATTCGTTATGCCTTCAAATGTGATATATAGAGTTGCATTTATTTACTTTTTCTTTTTGAAGGTTTTCGGTGGAAACTTGTTTTCATTAGGATTATGGACTGCCGAATTACATATCGCTATGCAGTTCTGTTTTCCTGCTCTTTTATTTCCACGTCTCGTCTTGCAGAATAAGATATCTTCTTTCCTTAATCTACTCGATTGGACATGAATGTTAATATTGTTTATTATCTTGTTTTGGTGGGGCTCAATATTACTTAATATTCACAACTTTTGAGGTACCTAGGGCTTGGATAAGAAAGCCATAGTGAAATATCATCCTGCAGCTGCCGTGACAAGAAAGCCATGATATTTCGTACTTTATCCTCAGAAAGTTTGCGGCTAACGTATGAGATGGTTGATGAGAATGGTAACTGAAAAACCTGACGATAGTTGCAAAATTTTCAATGTTTATGGACAGATACACACGAGTAGAAATTAGTTTTAAGTCATTGCAGTGAGTTGGAAGGTTTATCTTATCCATTATCTAAATCAAGTAAAGATAATTTTTTGCACATTAGTTTGAAGAAGCGTTGTTTATTTCAGTTCATACTATGCTTTCAAAACACACAGGAAAGAAATCGTGTCAACTTTATTAAATTTTGCCCAAAAATTCGATTTTTCTATTTTAAGGATAAAAATGAGGAGAATACACCCAAAAAAAAGTAGCATTGTCTGAAGGGATAGGATGGTTGGTTGAACGTACGATAGTTTTTTCTTAGAATTAATACAGTGAATCTTATTGAACTTTGTCACTCACTTTTTTTGTATTCAAATTATTTGGTACCACTAATTGAGGACCCCTGTTTCATGTCCATTTATTATAAAAGGAAATAGCCCTCATATGGAGAAAGACTATGAAAGATCTTCACAGGATACATTGTTCAGGCAAATCTTTACAATTTTTGACACACTCTGGCATGGAAGACCACCTCATTCCTAAGAAAGCAGTGGACTTTGGGAATCGTAGAACAACCCACCAGAGAGAATCAGGATGGTTTCAGAGCCGTTGACCTGCCCAGTTAATGATTCTCCGTTGGAGAACCTGCGTCAGTAGTAATCTGGATTGCTTGCGCTAGAGTTTCAAGCACCTCGCACATGCTGGGACGGTCTTTAGGGTTCTTGAGGAGGCAAGAGTTGGCCAGCTTGGCGAGTAACCTGGCGGCAGATATCGAGTACTCGTTCCTGAGCCTGGGGTCCATGATCTCACTGAACCTTTTGCTCTCTATGGGGATTTTCTTCACCCAGTCCAGAAGCTTCTGCTCAGGTTTAGGGCGGGTTTTATCTAGTGTTCGTCGGCCTGTGAGAATCTCATACAGCACCACTCCGAAACTCCACACATCACTTTTGATCGTGAGGTGGCCTGATTTGATGTAGTCTGGGGCTGCATATCCATAGGTTCCCACAACCTGAAACAAAGCAATACAACTCAGAAGATGAGAGATTTAACTCCACTGGAGTGATTCATAAAAGAAAGAGTAAGTTCCCCCAAAAAATTCATAGTATTTGATTTGATTCACGTCTCATATCAAACAGCAGCACAACAAGGTGACTTAGATTAACGAGCCATTCTAGGGGCCACACCCACAGGTTACCACTACCTGTAACAGGTACTAGAACAGATAAGTTGGCCAGCCTAACTCCACAGGAATGATCCCAGAAGACAATAAGCCCCAATATTTTTTTTCATAGTCTTTGATTTGATTCATGTCTCATACAAAAGGGAAGCACTAAAGGGTCCCCTAGATCAACTAGCACAAATTCAAGAAGGACATTTCAATGGGGTGTTACTTGTATAATGAGGGAAATGAGTTCCATAGATGAAGAAATGAGATGAAGGACATAGCTGTAGTATGTCATAGAAGGTGCTTTCAGTGATATCAGACGTCATTTTTCCAATTATAGCAATAAAGAAAAACTTTCTCATTAAGTCAATGCCAAAAGAGTAGATGGGCTGAAAAGCATGAGTCTATCCCAATGCCTTGATGCCTCGTCCAATATTATGATACAGTCGAACCACAGGTTCAGTCCTTTGATATCATGTCTAGCCTTCTGTTCAAAGTTCAATATATTTTATTTATGTGGATTGCACAGTAGATGATTAATTTCACTGCATATATTTATTTCCCTCATCATAATAACATAAATATACCAACTAAGTTGGGATCCTTTTCCTTAGTGAACACGTTTCTGCTCCAGTAGGTTGCGTCTTCTTCGATAGAAGCATATAGCAAAGTCGTATACGGTTCATCAAGATTAAAAAAAAAATCAACATTTTCCATAGTTCTGGATGAGATCACACAATTTAGCTTCAGGTAGGAACTCCACAGGTGTACCTACCGCGGTGGTAACATGGCTGCGCCCATCCGAAGGTCCCTGCCTCGCCAAGCCAAAATCGGACAGTTTGGGGTTGAACTCCTTGTCTAGAAGAATATTCGATGCTTTGAAGTCTCGAAATATCACCTGTTAAGAGCATAGTTTCAACAGGTTAGTAAGCACATCAGATGAGAAATGACCCATGCAACCACGCCAAGTGCAGAAGAACAGGCTGAGAAAAGAAAAAAACGTATGGAACTGGCTCTCCAGAATCAGTCAACTTCTATCAAAAGGATGATCTACCCAGGTTCGATCTGGTAACTTTCCACCTCAAGGTAATCACTTAATAGTAAGGTTATAGTGTTCTTGTTGCTGAATGCTCAAGATCTGACCGCATTCTTGTTGGCGTATCTGAAGGAAAAATGCTCACCATTTTTCCTTTTTGAGAAAATCATTCCATCGTGGCTATCTAGACTGTTCAAAATTTTCACCTGCAAGCCTCTGCAGACTCTCGATCTCAAAAGCTGAAGTCTATAGGCACAATTTATGATTCATTTCATCCTCTTTCATTCAGGACAACAGAAACCAAGCCTACTAGGAGCATTATGAACAGTGAGTCATATTGACAGCCTGATAGTGAGACTATCAGTTATTATGAACACATAACAGTTAGATTTGGCCAACATTGGTTTCTCCATCTTGGTCTTTTATATTCGATATCAGTTTCCTTGTCTAGCGTGCAGACCGAGTAGAGAGAGAGAGAGAGAGAGAGAGAGTACTGAATACACCCTGAGCATGCAGGTAGCATAGCATCCATTGTCAAACAAAGAAGTGGGTGAGAGAGATTTAAAAAGGACCTGGATCTCCAACCCTTCATGCAAGTATCTCAAGCCCTCTGCTACCCCCATGGCAATCTTCAGTCTTCTCTCCCATGACAGAGCAGGATAGGCCCCGTTGAAAAGATGCTGCTCCAAGCTCTTATTCGGCATGAACTCGTAGACCAGCAACCTCTGGATTTCCTTCTCACCATCTACGGCGCAGTAGCCGATAAGCTTCACTAGATTTGGGTGGTCAACAACACTGAGGAACTGGACCTCTGTCAACCACTGTTTATGCCCCTGTAAGACGAATTTCACCATTTCAGTCCACAGAATCAGCAAATATATGATGAACTTAATAGATAGATCGACTCTGCAGGATGTGGTTTCGAAGGGAGATCCATACACAAAAAACCCACTCAGTAGATTCTTCCATTCAAGTTCTTGAAGATCCTTCACACTCTTTTGTGCAAATATTACTTTTTTCATGGAAATGAAGCTTACTAGTTTACATGCATCGAAGAGGCAGATCAGAAAAAAAAACAGTAGATTCTTTCATTCAAGTTCTTGAAGATCCTTCACACCCACTTGTGCAAATATTACTTTTTATAGATATGAAGCTTACTAGTTACATGCATCGAAGAGGTAGAACAGAAAAAAAGGGAGGAGAAAAAGCTAGAAGAGATTAGTCATCTCTGTCCTTGATCAAGTTCAGCTAGTTAGCTTGAAGGGCATTCCCCGTGACAATCAGTTGTAGGCAACATCTGCTTCCTCTGTATCCCGAGCTCGACTGGTGCCGCAGCAATGGCGACACGGGTCACACTGTTGCTGCCGCAGGCAGCTTCTTCTTCTTTTTCTAGGGCAATTCTGGGCAGCACAAGGGGGAAGATAGGGAGAACCAGATATGAAGAAATCGCAGTAATCGGATCCCTTAGAAAACTCTGTGCAGTCGGTTTTCAGCGGAGCGATCTTCAGGGCGATAGTTTGGAAGAACACTAAATGATTCTAGAAGATGAAGGGTTGGTGGCGTACCTGCAGGCCCTTGGAGTTGAGCTTCTTGATGGCGACGGTGGTTCTGTTGCCGGCGCCGCCGGGGGGGCGGATAAAACCCTTGTAGACGGCCCCAAATCCGCCCTGCCCGATCTTCAGCAGCCGGCTGAAGTCGTTGGTGGCGCCTCGGAGCTCCGAGAGGTCGAAGACGCGCAGGGCCCCCGCCTTCTCCTCGTACAGATCGGAGATGCTCCGCGGAGAAGACGACGGACAGGAAGGATAGCTCGGCGGCTTAGCGGCGAGCTTCGCCGGAGCGGCGGAGCTCCTTCCTCTGGTTCTCTCCCTGAAGAACGAGAAGCACTTCATGCCGGATCTGGCGGGGGATCGGCTCCTCTCAGTTCTCGCCGGTCGCCGGAGGGAAGGGAGGAGGAGAGGACGGAGGCGAGCGGCGGGTCATGAGGGCGGCCGGAAAGAGGGGTGAGGAGGGAGAGAAACCAGTGAGAGAGAGGATTCAAGAGAAGCAGAAGGTGGAGAAGGAAGAGATATTGGAGAAATCAAGTAGAAACTAGCAAGAGGATTAGGGAAGCGTTTGAAGGCAGGAGGTAACAGACTGGGGGCCTAAGAAGCCTAAACGCTCTCTCTCTATCTCTCTCTGTCTCTCTCATACGCAGTTGTGCTGACGCTTCTTCGTAACAGAGAAGCTGTCGCTTCTTGAGGTCTGCGTCACCTCACCTGCCACAGAGAGAGAGAGAGAGATTACTTAGAATTATCCTCTCGCATCTCGAGGCCAGAAAGCCCGCCGTACGGCTTATTTAGTCACAGGAAGACGAAGACCACCTAATAGCAGCCACTCTCTCTCTCTCCTGAGTCGATTGGCAGATGTGGAAGGCCATTTAGTCGCCTCATTGGGCTCTTGACTTAATTAGATGGCTTGGAAGAATAGTTTGTATTTGCAGTAAATCTAGAGAGAGAGGGGGAAGAGACGTCGCACGTGCGGCAAGTGTACGAGGTCTCCCCTCCCATTTACTAGGCACGCGGAGACGGACATTCGACGACACGCTTTCTGGAATGCGCCATCGAACACGTGCGTTCGTTGGTCAGAATATTCGGGCTCCCATGTTTTCGACGTCTATTGCAAGCAAGGGTGCGGACCACATGGCGCTAAAAAAAATCGCCACGGTCCGTATATGAGCCACATCATGGAACCAGGCGGGCCCATTAACTTCCCCGGTTGGGCTAACTACGGATCACGTTGCCTGAGCCATTTAATGGGCCGCCCAGGTAGATCGGGCTAAATACTATCCAAAATGGGCTGGACATATCATTGATCCTTGGTCCATCTACTTTCTGGGCCAGCCTGGATTGTTCTCAACGCTCTGTAAATGGGCCGGAGCCCAATATCCTCAGGCCCATAATTTCCCCATCAACAGACACCACTATAGCTACGAAAGCCTTTAAAGATTTAAATAACCCGACAAATGAGGCCCGGAAGCCGAGCCAGAGAAAAAGCCCGAAAGTGGGCTCAGGCTGGGAAATTTATGTGGACCCGGAAACTGCTCATGATGGAAAACTGAGCCGGGCTTCAGGGGAAAAGCCCGGAATGGGCCCAAGAGAAGCCCGAAAGTGGGCTCAGGCTGGGACGATCATACAAACCTGGACCCAGGTCAGTGTGGGAAACCGAACCGGGATTCCGGGATTCCGGGATTCCGGGATTCCATGCGGAGATTGACCTTCTCAAAGTGGAAAACAGGAGGAGAATATACAGAGAGAAAGCACGCAAAGGAGAAGATTTCTGGTCAATCTTCGGCAAAGTACCTCTCCTCGGCGTCCTGGTTGGACTCCTTGAGCCAGTGGTCATCCAGCCGCTCGTTGTTGTCGATGCTCGAGTAGTCCAGGTACTCGGAGTCTTCTCCCGCTAAGAACTTTTGGTGCATGATGTGGGTGAACTGTTCCAGCTGATCCCTCAGCTCCACAGTGGACACGGCTCGGCAGGCGCCCGGCAGCTCGGCGATCTTCACCCCATCATCACTGGCATTCATCTGGACACAATTCAACAAATAGGTCTTGAGAGAGAGAGAGAGAGAGAGAGAGAGAGAACTGGCAATCCCTCATTCAATGATGGATGAGTATAAAAGGTTGCTAATTTATAACTTTGTTTATTTTAGATGGCTGGAGTAGAGGAAGAAGATGGGAGGAGAGTGAGGGAGGAGGGCGCCTAGACAGACACCACTCTGCTGCTGCTGATGCTGCTTCCCTTTTCCTTTCTTTGTCTGGTGTAAGCTGAATCTCCCACAATTTCCTCTTCAATCTGCAAATGGGGATCAATGCCGGTAGAAGATATGGGTTTTACAGTTCTTCTCCTTCTTCCTCCTTCAGAGTTCCCCAATCTTATTCCCACATTCTTTCTTCTCTTTCCCTCTTCTCCATTATCTAATTTTTCCCTTTCTTCTTCTCTTCAGTTCTTCACTTTTTCCTCAGCGTTTTTATAGTGAACACTCAATTTCTGGTCCAAATAGGGAGCCAGGAGCCAACCCAATCCCTATTATTTTTTATCTATTAAGGCTTACTAATCTTGTCTATTGATGATTACAAAGTTGATAAAATATATGGCCGCTAATATCTGATCCACAACCTCCAATCTCAAGGAAATCATAAGAACGATTAAAAGGAAGCTTTAACAATGGTGAGGAACCTGCAATGCTATGAACCATAAGTTAACAAATGAGCTCCGATCTCTCTAGGATTTGATCTCGAAAGGTTTGCAAATCTTGTCTACTGAAGATTACAAAGTTGATAAAATATCTGATCCACAACCTCCGATTTGAAGGAAATCATAAGAATGATTAAAGGGAAGCTAAAACAATGATGAGGAACTTGCAATGCTATAAACCATAAATTAACAAATGAGCTCCCATCTCTCTAGGATTTGGAAAGTATGGAGATAGGTTAGCATCTAAGAAATCTTGCATTCCTTCCTCTATTGAGGAGATCCAACCAAGTCTGATGAAATTGTGTTGAGTAGTGTGAAACTCCAATCGGTTCCTCACTGGGGTATCGATGTTGAACAAGGCGGACACTAGATTTGAGAAGAGAAAGCAGGAAAAAACACAAAAAGGTAGCATAACATAAAAAATTTGCATCAAATAATAGGAATTCCGTGAAGAGCATTCAGAAAAAGATGTCATTCACCATATCTTATTATACGATAGAATATTAAATAACGAGAAAGTGCATACCTCAGATTGTCCGTCCCTTTCTTCCCTCGTCACACCCCCTTCTTCATCTTCTATTTTCTCTTCTTCCTTCTTCTTCTCTTCTTCCTGCTGCTCCTCTTCTTCTTCTTCTTCCTCCTCCTCATCTTCTTCTTCTTCCTCTTCCTCCTCTTCAACCTCTTCCTCCTGATACTCCTCGTTCCCAATCCAATCCTTCCTGGCGACACCCAGCCTCTGTTGCTCTGTCCTGATTTTCGCCACTATAATCGCTTCTTCAGATCGCCGCATTAGCGTCTCCGACCACCGCTCCCCCGGCCGCGACATCCCCCTCCCACTCGGATCCTGGAACCTCCCGACGTACTCGTGGTGCAGGTAGGGTTCCCTCTCCCTCATCGCCTCCTCCGAGAAATACACCCCACCCCGGATGAGTTGCTCGAGGTACGCCCGCCGCCGATTCTTCACCGCCGCGGACCGCAACCGCGTCTCCTCCGCCGTGGGGCTCCTCGAGATCCGGATGCGGTTCAAGTGCCAACTCACCTCGTAGTCCTGCTTGAGAGCGTCGAACTCCGAGAGCTCCTCCACCGTGAGCTCTCCGCCATAGCGTTCTACAGTGAGGAGGGTGATCGGAGATGAGAATTCCTAAGCAAAAGCTTACAGCGAGGGGGAAGAAGGGGAGCTTTGTCCCCCGAGAAGCTTCTTACCGAGGAAGAGCGGCGCGTCGCGGGAGAGGAGATCGAGGAGTGCCTTCTTGCGGACGGAGGAGTCGGAAGGAGCCTCGCCGGAGGAGAACGTCGAGCGGGGGAAATAGAGATCCTCCACGCCTGAAAGACGCTCTGAGATGACCTCCATGGTCGAACGCTCCATCGCCGCCCCTCTCTCTCTGCTCCACGCATGTACCTGAACCTCTGCTCTTCTCGACGGGTAGCTTCTATTAATCGCGAGGCGGTGACGCCGAGTCGCCGCCAGTAAGGCCCAACTCGGACACGACCCGGTGCCGACTCGTCCGCTCCGAATTTCTTAATCAGTATGCACCTTCAGTGATAATGACAAACAGACCCTAAAAGTATCGTTTTCGTATAATGGGCTTCTTTGAAAGGGACGAAAGACGTAAGAGGATAAGATATAACCTGGGAAGTTGGGCAAAATCATAAATGTAGTAAACTTGGGGGGGGGGGATGGCCCAAACATCGAAATGGCGTCCTGCCCTGCACCCGAGTAACCACGTTGTAACCATTATCTATTAATTCGGCATGAAAAAGAATGATTTTTTTATGGAGAAAATAAAATATTAAATTAATATCCATTTTTAGAACCACGATCATTTAATTGACTTCGTTAAATATTTTCAGAAACGTAGAGTAATTGGAGATAATTTCCAGTCATTTATAGGAATTTTATTGTACATTTTAAAGGGACTGTTTAGCTTATTATTAAAAAAAATCCAAAACACGGATAATAAAAAATAGAAAATTTAAGTAAATAAATATCAACATTTACTGAAATTATAATTTAATAAAACGTAATAAAATTCTCTACATTTTTCTATTAATGTGAAAAATACTTATTCTTCAGTAAATAATGATTTATTGGATTATTATAATTTATTACTCATTCCCTTTCTGAATAGCCTATTATTGACTGAATATATTACACTGTATTTAATAATTTTTATATTTTAGCTGTTTTTTTAATCCTGAAGGAAAAGTCGGGGACATTTTAGAATTTTTTGTCGCGCATGGGAAGCTGTCTGATATCGAGTTACAAAATAAAAATAAAAATAAAAATTGGGTTGTGATTAGGAGCGCCAGCATACTGTGTTGGCCAGACCACTGACGAGGCAGTTCACCATACTATAGGGACTAAACTATAATTTGAAAAACTAGCAAGGGGTTAACTGGAAAAAGATTGCTTTTGACCGGACGTTGTGCGGCGGGATTGGGGCAAAAAAAATATCATCACCCTGCGTCGGCGCCTTCGCCGTCGATTTCTCGGTTCCGCCGCCAGGAGCAGCGGCGCTCTCTGCCCTCCAGAGGGCCCCGTGCTGCTCCTCCCTGCTACTTTGGCTTCCTCCGACGGACCATAGAGCCGAAGCTGGGAGAAGGAAGCCGCTTGTTCCCTTCCGTCTCCGCACCTTCCTGGTCTGCACGAAACCCTAAAGTTTCCCTTCTGCAGCAGCCGCCCTAGCCGCTAATCTCACGTTGAAGCCGGTTTTCCGTTTTGAGAATCTCTGTGGAACCTTTCGCGGTTATAGTTCTTGGGAAATCTTGAGATGGTTTCGGCTGTTTCCGCCAGCGGATTCGTGGTCGTCGAGGTATATCTTCTTTCTGCGTGCCGCACCTGGCTGGTTAGAACCTGAGAGGAAGGGGAGGTGGAGGGGAGGAGCCCTGGTGTTCTTGGGAAGAGGAAGAGGATAAGGAAAGACGACATGTATCGGGATCGAGGTGGGGTGTCGAAGTCCGAGATTCGGTCTCTTGATCGGAAGCGTATAAATGATACCCTGGACAAGCACCTCGAGAGATCATCCCCATCCACCTCAAAGGTGACGTTAGGGACGAGCAGTAAGGACAGGGACCGACTCTCTGTTCCGTCCACCTCCGCGGGGAAGCTGTCTGACCAACGGCCGAAGAATAAGTGCTCTGGTTTGTGTTATTACTCATGCTGGACTTGATTCTGCTTATTGAGGCTTTATGCTTGTTTCTGGCACTTTTTCAGTAAATTGAACACCGCATAATTCAACAAAACTGGGGTCAGGTTTCGTTATTTGTGGTACTACAGTTAATGCATATTAGAACCCTAGATTTTGGAATGCCCATTGCCAGAAAATTGCAGTGTTGGTGCAGTTAATGCATATCGAAACCCTAAACGTTGCTTTCCCATGTCAATTTTTTTCAGTTATTTCATATTCTTGTTCTCTACAGTGGTGTTTACCAGTGAAGCGAATCCACCAATGAAGTACAACTTTACCTGGTGCCTGCAGACAACCAAATGATCTTTACGTTTTATTTTTTGTTATCTTTACACTTCTGTTTAATTTACGCTGAAAGATGCATGTGACCGTGAATGAGCAAGAACCATGGCTAAAAGGCAACCTGTTTTTTTGTGGACTTATAATGCAGGTCTTCTCATTTATGGTTTTCTTTCAGACGAGGCATCTCACTTGTAACTGTGCCTCAAACGTAGCACCTCTACGAATTATTTTGCTAGATTGGTGGCCATGAAATCGAAAAAAGTTCGTTTTGGTTTCTGGTCTACATAGCACAATTCATGTATGGATGTGTCCCTCTATTTATGAATGCTAGCCATAGCTTCCTCGAAACAACTATACTCTAGATTTTACCCTTCAGGTTATATTGCCGTTTGTGAAAAAAAAATTTACTTGGAATATTTAATGACCTTCTGCTTTAACACCGCTACATATCTTTTTTTTTAAATGATACCAATGGGCAGGGATCTGCTCTTGAGAATGGTGGGGCGGGGGTCGGCTGTAGGATTTTTTCTTTCTTTCTTTTTTCTGGGTGGGGGAAGGATGTGTTGCAGCCTGCTTGAGGGTAGAGTTTGGTTTGGGGGAGCTTGAACCAGAGATGGACGATCGAGGCAGTTAGCAGGGAGTGAGAGAGAAATGTGGATGGATAGTAGCCACCTGCCATAGGAGAACTGTTGAGGTGTCAGGGAGCTGTGCTGGTGAAGGATTTGGGCTCTGGGGCTCCACAGTGGTGGGAGGAGCGATGAAGAGAAGAGGTTTGGGGGGGGGGGGGCAGCTGTATAGTGAAGGACAGGGGGCGTGGGTACATGTAGAGCAGGATGCCACATGTATACGATAAGGCCTGGTTGGAGTTATGGAAGATAAAAACATGCTAAGTAGGGATGTTATTGTCATTTTAGGGTATAACTGTGGTTAATGTGAAGTCATGCTTCAAATTAATTGTGAAGTTATTAATGGAACGAGTTGGCAAACGGATCGTGAGTTTGGAAAAGAATTATGCAGAAGATATACAGAAAGGAGAAACCTTTGGCCTATTCACGCTAGATGAGCAGATTGAGATGGAATCTTTTATCCAGAGGAAAGTGAATAGAATCCACAATTGCAGAAAGTTTTAATGCAGGTTACCGTTTTGGGGAGTTGAGGGCTAGTTAATTGGATACTTTGTGATTATGTTCACTGAAGATGGAAGAACAGTTTGATGACAGAATCTAGCCTAGTGCTAATTCTTCTGCTCAATGTCAAGGATTCACGTATCTGCGGAACATCAGTTCAGAGAGACGGTTTCCTAGCTTCCATTCATGGTAACGTGATAACGCCTTTAACGCTAATAATGATTACATGAAGGAAGCGTGTGTTTTGCTTCTGTAAGAAGATGTATTGCTGACGGAGCATGTTTGGCAATGGACCATATTAAGGTTAGGCTTTTAAGAAAATGGTTTCTGAAATGGACATTGTTATAGGAGAGTAGAAAATGAGGAGAAATTTTTGGTTTTCTTTTTTCTCTTTCCCCATTTTAATTCCACATGGCCTCTTTCTTTTCCTTATCACAAGCTGGTGGGAAACTTCATTTGTTTCTTTCGTATCAAACGACCGAGATAAGTTGTTTTAACGATTTAATCGTCTGAAGGATAATGATACATCGCTCTTTCTTTCTCTTTGTCATGCTAGTACCAAATGCTCACAGTTTTATTCATGGAATGAAGGTGGGTTATTTTCGAGAATTTGGGTCGAGAAAAAGGACGATGCTAAGCTAGTTATTTTGCCATTTTAAATTTCTCTGTTTATCTCATTGCAGAAGAATCTGATACAGACAGTGAAGAATCCGATGTCAGTGGATCAGATGGCGATGATACCTCTTGGATCTCATGGTTTTGCAACTTAAGGGGTAACGAGTTCTTTTGTGAGGTTGATGATGATTACATCCAGGATGATTTTAATCTCTGTGGGTTGAGCAGTCAAGTTCCATACTATGATTATGCTCTTGACTTGATTTTGGATGTGGAGTCATCTCATGGTAAGCTTTAGTTTCGGTACTTTATTTCCTACGTATTTTAGGTTATTTAACTTTGATATGTCTCACATCTTTAGATAAGCATTTGACATATGAAACATCACTGTTGAGCTAACCAGTAATGAACAAAAACCTTTAGTTTTTGTTACTTTGCACGACAATTAGTTGTCCTGAAATTAAAATCCCCACTGGAATTACCAGAATATTGGGGTAACAAAACCCCACTCAGAATTATCTGATCTGCTTAATTATGAATTGGTCCTGTCAAACTCTGTTTTGATTGGGAAATTAGAAATGGCTGTGCAAGCTCATTTATGGAAGCTAGCTTCGTTTTGGCATATGACAGGGCATGATCCCGAAAGTGCTTTTCGTTTCTCAAGATAAAGGTGGTTTTTCTATGATCAAATCAACATGGCTCTTTGCTTGCGTGGGCTTAATAATGTTGGGTGCCTCTTGGTTACGGCTATGGATGTAATTGTTATCAGCAAATAGAAGTTGCTGAAAATTGAGTCTTTTTGCAACTCTAGAAGACTATTCGTGACAAGGATTAGTCTGTTGGTTGATATCCTCTTCAGCTCTGGTCAGCATCATTACCTAGGCCATTTTTCTCCTGAAAGAAAATTGGATCATGTCCGAATTTGTCGTTTTTGTGCTGATTGGTGGTTTACACCGCTCAGTCCCAAATTCATGATCAGTTTCGAGACCTAAAATGGATTTAAGTCTGGTGTTTAGAAGTCATCTTGAGTTTGGTTTATGCTTACTTTGTCCTTTCTACCACGTGGTTGAACAAGCTTTTGTCATGAATTCAGTGCACAACGCCATCATATTTACATTAAGAGACTGGTCTGTTGATGAGACGGTGTATTTTGCTGTAAATTCGTATGGATACAAAATTACCGGAAAAATATCGTTTTATTCCCATCAACAAAGAGGACCTTTGAGAATCTGCCAGTATCAAAATCTCCTGTTTATCTTAATGATGGAATTTGCAACTTTTGGACGTTTAATAAACGAAAAGCAGACCAGTGACATATTGGACTCTATATTGTTTTCCCAACCACTCTGATTTTGTCTCCAATTATGTCCTCTGGGACCCTGTGCACTTTCCTGTTACAAGGGGGCATTGGATGGCTTAAGTTTGGAGGGAGATTTTGTGTATTGACATCTCTTGTTCTTCTCCTCAGGAGACATGGTGCTGTAGCTTGCTACCTGAGAGGGTACCCTGTGTGCTTCCACAATGAGACATTTTACATCGCATTTATCAACTAGTTTTGAATTAGTTGTAATAGCCTAGCTGAGATATATAAGCTTTATTAAATGTTACCAAAGGCTACCCATGGCATTGGGAGGATTAAATTAAAAGATTTAATGTGGAGGATCACATTTTCTTTATTAGAGCGTACCTTTCGATAATAACAAATGAACTTACCATCATAATCCAGCCTTCTGGGAGTCAGTGAATAAATACGCAATTTCTAACTCTCAATGGATTCATCTCTTCTTTTGTGGCATTTTTTATATAAAAAAATTGCGCTAAACATGTTATTTTTTCCTCAGGTTATATAACCTGCGTACTTAATTCATATTTTCATGTGTTTACGATCAGGGGATATGTTTACTGAGGAGCAAAATGAGTTGGTTGAGTCAGCTGCAGAGATGCTGTATGGTCTTATTCACGTCCGGTACATATTAACCAGTAAAGGGATGGCAGCAATGGTGAGGCTTTTCATCAGTCTATCCTTTTTAATTAAGTTCCGCCATGCTTCACCCATAAGTTTATGATGCATATTCAAAACCCCTGCAGCTGGATAAATATAAAAGCTACGATTTTGGAAGATGCCCCCGAGTCTATTGCTGTGGGCAGCCTTGTCTTCCTGTCGGCCAGTCGGACATACCACGATCTAGTACCGTGAAGATCTATTGTCCAAAATGTGAAGACATTTACTACCCAAGATCGAAGTACCAAGGCAGTATCCTTGCACATTACAAAATCAATATAATTACTGACTCTTTCTATTTTCTTTCTATTTTTATCACCATGATCATATTGCCTGCTGGTTATTATACTTTCTGATGTTTTAATAGAGTTTAGTATCTGAGAGCATTGTTTGGTTATGAATCTTGAACATTGGGTCGATGAACATGTTTGTGAGTATACAGGTAGGGAGGGAGGGAGGGAGGGAGGTGACGGCATGTTTGAGTATGCTGTCACCTACCTCAAAATGGAAGGGGTTCATCCAATAAAGCATGGAAAATATCCTTTTTTTATGAAAACTATTATGGGTAGTGTGGTAGATCTCGAGCTTAAGGGTAGAAATGGGATTAGAGATCAGATGTTGTAGTTTTTTGGAGATGGTGGCTCCTCATGGTACTTACCATAAGCATGATAAATATCCTGGGTTGGTAAAATAATTATGGGTGGTAGAAGAGAAGATCTCATACCTTTGATCTGACACGGAGATCAAATGATGTGGTTTTTGGAAGTAATGGCCTCTCTTCCAAAGTCACTTAATTATAGTAATCGATGCTACTGATTCATACCATCAGTGAAGTTACAAGAATTTGTCTCTGGATCTCATCCGTGGAAGAGAAAAATTATAGAATATCTGAATTTATATGAAAGTTACTAATAACCTTGACGTTCTGAGAACTTCGATTTGGGATTGTATACTGAATAACTTCATAGTGCAAGGATGATCTTTGGATTCTTGTTCCCGAAAGAGAAAAAATATGGAAGATATGTACAAGGTACCAATAACCCTGAATATCTACCAATTTTATTTCATAAAGCTTCGATTTTAGATTGTGTGGAACAATTTCGTACATGAATTTATGCTAAATCTGAAAAAGAATATCATGAAACTACCGCATATCCTTCTATAAAACTACAGCGTTTCATCTCCAGATTCTCATCCTGGAATGAAATAGCATATACAGAATATCTCAATTCTCTACTCGAGCAACACCCTCTGATGAACCATGACTCTGGAAAAGTTTTGATGTATTATCTTTTACTTTGGATGGTTCATCTCCGGATTCTCATCCTGGAATGAAAAAGCATAGAGAATATCCAACTTCTGTACTCGAGCAAACACCCTCCGATGAACCATAAATCTGGAAAAGTTTTGATGTTTGATCTCTGGATTCTCATCCTGGAATGAAAAAGTATACAGAATATCTCAAGTTTTTACTCGAGCAACACCCTCTGATGAACCCTAAATCTGGAAAAAAAACTATGTATTAGCTTTTATTTTAGATGTTCCATCTCCGGATTCTCATCCTGGAATGAAAAAAGCATAGAATATCTAAATTCTCTACTCGAGAAACACCCTAAATCTGGAATTTTTTTGGTGTATAACTTTTATTTTTTTAGATTGCATGCCGAATAAAATATTATTTTGGTCGGTTGATAGAAACTGGGGGATCAGAGATTATGTGATCTTTCTTTGACTCGTAATCAGACGTGGATGGAGCTTATTTCGGCACGACATTTCCCCACCTGTTCCTGATGACTTACGGGCACCTCAAGCCCCAGAAGCCGTGCCAGAGCTACGTCCCCAGGGTGTTCGGCTTCAAGCTCCACAAGCCCTGATCACTGTAACTCAGATTCCAGCGAACCAGAGAACTTCCCCTCTCTCTCTCTCTCTCTCTCTCTCTCTCTCTCTTTTCTCCTGATTAAAGGGCAAAGAGAGAGAGAGGGGGAAAAAAAAAGAAAAAAGAAATCCCCTTTCCGGATATTTCCTCAAGAATATGCTCATTTTTAGTATATTTTCCTCAAGAAAACCTCCTCCCCCGTAGCGTTCTTGTATAATTTTATAGGGGTTTTGGGGCAAGACTCCTGGACTGATGCTCAGATGGCGGCGGTGGCTGTTTGTTTCCTGTGTTGCTGGTGAAATGCTTCTCTTGGAGGGTGATTTTGGTGGTTGCGTCAGGAGGGGGGGAGAAGCAGGAATGCCATGGGCTATTTTTGGAATTTGTATTTTGATTAATTAATCGTCCATAAATATTAGTAATGATTTGTTTTTAATTAATAATATGAATAGGATTCCTGTTCATGGGAATAGAGGAAATTAGGTAAAAACTCCTGCATTAATGAGACGGTTCTTTACTTAATGATATAGATGTATTTTATTTAATTAATCGTCAGTAATTAATTAATAATGGGAATGGAAATCCTGTTCATGGGAGTAGAAGCACTACAAATTCAGGTAAAAACTCCTGCATTAATGTGACGGTTCTTTATTTAATGATATATCTATATATATATATATATATATATATATATAGAGAGAGAGAGAGAGAGAGAGAGAGAGAGAGAGAGAGGATCTGCAGCACAGCTTTTAGACGTTATCACCAGGCTTCTTCTTAAAAGCGTGGGCCCGGGCTGGGATTTAGAAGGGCCCAGCCATTAAGGGTGGCTCATCCAGTATGTGGGCCCAACGCGTTTGGTGTCAGCCTGCGGTTTTTTGACACGTGGCGCGATCCCACGGGGAGCTTATAGATAATGAGGAATTTTCCCCCTCATTAGTCTTGAAAAACTGGTTCCAGCTCTGGAAGGATGATTGAGCGAAAGCCCTTTGAGGGAGTTATCACCAAATAAGGACATATTTGAAATTTTAGTTAAAAGTGGGGGGGAGGGAGATTCGGAGGAAGAAAGAGGACGACAGTAGGTAATTAGCGAGAGAGAGAGAGAGAGAGAGAGAGTCAGCAGGATATAATTATGGATTTCCCCTTCACTAGTCTTGAAAAACTGGTTCTAGCTCCAGAAGAAGGATGATTGTGAAAAAGCTCCTAAGAGAGTAATACTAAAACGGATATAATGCTAAAATTATAAATATGGGATATAAAAAAAACCTTTGAAATAAAAAGGATATATCTAGAAATGAGGAATTTTAACGAAAAAGAGGAGACTTGGGGGAAGGAAGAGGACGGTAGATCATTAGAGAGAGAGGAGCGGAGTCATCAGCACAATCAGTGCGCGAAGAAGAAGCCAGGAGCAAGTTGCAGGGAGTAGCTGTCGTCGCTGTGCGGTGGCGCCGGAGTATTGCAGCAGTCAGCTCGCTCTATGATGGTGATGGTGTGTTCTTGTGGAGGGGGAGGATCCCTCACCCGCTTCCCTCGTCGATAATGGTCTGGAGGCGCCGGATCAACCGTCGCCGGAGCTAGATTAGATGCATCAGAAGAAGTCGGAGCCCCAGATCGGGAAGGATAGCGTCGGCCTCTCCTCCGATTTCCTCCCCCTTCCCCTCCACCATTCGCAGCCAACGCCCGCTGGATCCGCCGCTGGAGTGGCCGCAGAGAACGGGAGCTTGGTCCAAATTCAGATCGAGGTCGCCAATTCCGGCCATGGCGCCCGCTCCCTGCCGTCTTCCCCACGGCAAAACCCTAACCTCCCCACCGCTCCGCACAAACGCCCCGTCATGAACTCCACCCTCTCACATTCTAAAACCCTCCACTCCCTCCATTCCCCTGCGCAGAACCGGTCCCCGTCGCCATTCCCTGCACCCCATCCCCCTCCGTCGGCGACCTCCCCGGCAACCCACCGGGCACCGCATAGCCACCTGTGGCTCCTCCCCTACGCCGCCGCCTCCACCACCAAGAACGCCCTCTTCCACATCCGCCGTCTTCATCTCCGCTTCCGCATCATTCTCCTCCTCTCCTTCCCCTCCCTTTACCTATTCCTGTGCATCGGCGTGGGCGGGTGGAGTGAGGGCCGCTCCCTGCTCGTCAACTTCCTCTACGCCCTCGTCTTCTCCTCTGCGGTCCTCCTACTTCTATTTGTCTCACTGAATCTTCTACCGCTCCCGTCCCTCCGCCTCTTTCTCTCCCGTTCCTCTTCCTTCCTCCTTCCTCGCTACCATCCTCGGCAGTCCCGCCGCCGGTCTCCGCCGCCTGTGCTCTGGTCCATCGGCTCTGGTGCGAAGCCCAAGACGGACAAGCAACCCATCTCGGGTTCCTGGGTCCAGGTCTACAGCAACGGGGACGTCTACGAGGGCGAGTCCCACAATGGCAAGTGCTCTGGGAGCGGAGTATATTACTACTACATGAGCGGGCGCTACGAAGGCGACTGGATCGATGGAAAGTACGATGGCTACGGCGTGGAGACCTGGGCCCGAGGGAGCAGATATCGAGGGCAGTACCACCAGGGCCTCAGGCACGGACTGGGTATATACAGATTCTACACAGGCGATGTTTATGCCGGAGAGTGGTCAAATGGCCAGAGCCATGGATGTGGTGTTCATACCTGTGAGGACGGGAGCCGCTACGTTGGAGAGTTCAAGTGGGGAGTGAAGCATGGCCTTGGACACTACCATTTCAGGTGATATATATTCTCTTAATTCGTGTGTTCTTGGTCAAGCGCTTCTTTTTTTTCATCTTGAGCGTATCTACCGTCAAGCATCTATTCCATCAATTATTTTGAACATTTTTTATGCCCATCTCACGCCTTCTTCCCCTCATTGTTGCGAGGAACCACGGCCAAATGCCCTTATGTATATATATTTTGTTTATGATAAACTACCCTAGAGATTCAACGCTTCCAGAACAATAGAATACATAGAAAAACTTCAAAGGGTGACAAAATCTGGGCCACGTTAGAAATCATCTTCTGGTTTCTTTTCATCAATATATTATGTTCATAGTTTGTAAGTTCTCATGTTGCATTACTATAACATTTCGTGCTGCCTGGTTTCAATTAATCACGTTTTTTCATTCAGATTTTTTTTAAAATCTACTTGGGATGTGTATCCATGTTGCAAGGATTAGATGCTCTGGGCAACCAGGAATTTGATCTAGACTTCCTGTCGGATCGGTCCCGTGTACTCCAAAATAAGAATCACAATTACTGTCCAGCCATGAAAGGCATAGCTGAGACAGATACAGAGTGTGATATATATATATATATATACGAATATATGGTTCATTATTTCTGCCAAGATTTCAAATTGTTGATGTATTGCTGATGCCGAGTTAGCATTGTTCTTCCTTTTATTCTTTTTCGTCGTTACTATGATTACACTGGTGCCACTGCAAGAAATATTTCTGGCACGATTGTGATTGATTTGGTACTGTTTCGTGGAATAAGCTCAAGGTTGAATTAATTTGTTGACATATGAGCTTCTGGGCTATTATCTACTATGGATCTCTTTTCATAAATGATTTTATTTTTTCAAAATGATTCCTTTCTTCAGCGCAAGATAGGCCAGAATATTTTCAAAAAAAAAAATTCAATTTTTTTTACTACAAGTGCTCTCGAACTGAAAATCTTACATGATTGTATCGTTACCATATTAGTTCTGGATGAAGAAATTTAATGTCGTGAAACGCATGTCAGGCTAAACAGGAAAAGAAGAAGTTAGCTAGAGTTTAACGCAGTCAGGAGATGATCAATGCAGACGGTCAGAGCAAATAATAGTTTTTACTTGTAGTTAACTGCGTGGGTGATGAGAATCATGATTGCCAGTTTTGGGGGGCACAGAGGGCAGCTCAAGAGTCGTTGTGCCCTTTCTCATCCAAAAGGTGGAGTTCTTAGTATTTTCTATCTCCCTCTTCTGGGCTTAGCGGCAGTGGATTCCTGGGGATCCCTTGGTCTCAGGGTACTTGGAATTACAGCTTCTGGCCTCTAGGATTCCACTAGGGCCCTATCTAAACGCCATGCATGCCACTTATTATGAAACCCTTGTCATAGCTTGATTATCTTCGAAAAATTGGATGATTAAAACCTATGGTCTACGCTTTAATGTCTCTGCAAGCTCTAGGCAACTTTGTTGGGCAACTCGTCAGCATGCTCTCTCTCTCTCTCTCTCTCTCTCTCTCTCTCTCTCTCTCTCTCTCTCTCTCTCTCTCTCTCTCTCTCTCTCTCTCTCTCTACATTGATCTGTTGACCTGAATTTTTGTCTCTGAATTCAGAAATGGCGACACATACGCCGGGGAGTACTTCGCAGACAAGATGCACGGCTTCGGGGTCTACAGGTTCGCCAACGGGCACTGCTTCGAGGGCGCCTGGCACGAGGGCCGCCGGCAGGGCCTCGGCATGTACACATTCCGGCAGGGGGAGACCCAATCGGGCCACTGGCGGAGCGGCGTTCTCGACACCCCCAGCACAGGGGATTCTCTCTCTACTACCCCGGTGGCGATCAACCACTCCAAAGTTCTCAACGCCGTCCAGGTCCACCGCCGCTGCCAAAATATTATCTCTCTCTTAAGTTTTCATATGTTATTATTGAGTGAGTTGACCGATCCCGCCGCCGATTCCGAGAATCGTACCTCCTCACGATGGGTTTTCTCGTCTGTTTTCCATTTCAGGAAGCGAGAGGAGCGGCGGAGAGAGCGTTCAATGTGCCGAGGGTCGACGACAGGGTGAACAAGGCAGTGGCGGCGGCTAATAAGGCGGCCTGCGCCGCACGGGTCGCCGCCGTCAAGGCGGTGCAGAAGAGAGTTCCTGGCTCCGGTGGGGATCCGGCGGCGCCGCTGGTTATCGTCTGAGCTCCGGCTCCGAGCTGCAGAGCGCCGCCCAAGCCTGTGACTTTTTCTTTCTTCCGTGTTCTCCCCGATCCCCTGAGCATGTATGTATGTACGTAGGATGGAGCTTTTTTATGCAAAGTCTCCGCCGGCGATCTTGTCGGTGGTCCACTTCAGTCCATGGTCAGCGGTTGGAAGAAAAACTCCATTCCAAATATGGAAACCTCCATGGCCCCTCTTGTAATTCTAAATCATCCGGGCGACAGAGAGGATGAAAAAAGATGGCCGCTTTGCCCCCCGCCACTCAACAGCAGCCTAAATTTGGGCGTTCCCAAGCTACAAAGTCTCTCTCTCTCTCTCTCTCTCTCTCTCTCTCTCTCTCTCTCTCTCTCTCTAACTCTCTAATAGGAAAGGGAATAAAAGAAGGGAGAAGAACATGGACCATGGACCACCCCTATCAGCTGCAAAGCCATGGACCATAATAAATAAAGGCAAGCCAAGACGAACCAGATGATCAAATACCTCTTCCCGCTGATACTAAAATTAAGATGCCGGCTCGGCGTCCTTTCCAATTGCCGCCGACGGAGGAACGACACCAAATGGGGGCAATCCAAAAAAAAGGCAAAAAGGAAAGAAACAAGAAGAAGAAGAAGAAGAAGAAGAAGAAGAGGAAGAAGTAGAAGAGTGAATACTCCCACCATGTAATGGAATGCAGTGCCCTAGAGAAAAAGGGAAAAGAAGAGCTACACATTGACCTCCCCATCTGCTCCTTCTCCGCCTTCAGCTATGGAGGAACGGCTCCAGCTTCTGCGACCGGAAGGGATGTGGCGGCCGGAAGGTCTCCAGCTGAATTCCGGAGCCCAAGCAGGCCTCCTTTGCGTACTCCTCCCCCTTCTGCGCCCTCATCATCTCCAAGGCGGCGCCGAACACATCCCCCGCCAGGCCGACCTCCACCAACCGGCCCGGCTCCTCCCCGCCTTCCTCGATCAGCTTCCCAACCTCCGCCAGCGACATGACGCCCTCCATCACCACCTTCGCCAGCATCCGCCCGAAGAACTCCCCGGCTCTCGGCGCATCCGTCGCGGTGTCCTCCAGAGAAGACAACACCCTCCTGAACCTGCTCACCCATGAGCAAATAAACCAATCAACGTTATAGATACTCGTGTATGTATAAATAGGAAAATCTTGGTGAATTGCAGAGTTGTTCATTATAGATGTGTGTATAAATGGGAAAACTTTGGTGGTGAATTGTAAAGAGCAGTTCAGTATAGATGGATGGGTATAAAAGGGAAAACTTTGGTGAATTATAGAGTGTTGTTCACTATATATGTATACGTATAAATGAGAAAACTTCGGTGACTTATAGAGAGCTCATCATAGATGAATGCATATAAATCGGAAGAATTAGGTGAAATATAGACAGTCTATTATATACGTATGTGTCTATAAACTTTGGTGGAAAACTTTGGTGAATTATGGAGAGTGGCTCATTTTAGATGTGGGTATAAATGGGAAAACATCGGGTATAAAGAGATGATCATAACGGATGAATGCATATAAATGGTAATACTCTGGTGAATTATAGAAAGCTGTTAATTATAAATGAACGCTTATAAATGGGGAAACTTTGGTCAAATATAGAGAGCTGTTCATTTTAGATGAATGCACTATAAATGGTCACACTTTGGTGAATTATAGAGAGTTTATTAAAGATGCATGCATATAAATGGAAAACTTTGGTCAAGTATAGAGAGTTTTGTACCCTTCGGAGAGCTGGGTCTGGGAGAGGAGGCCGTGGTGGGGCTTGGAGAGCTGGACGAGGAGCTGGGAGAGGGAATCCCGGTCGCCGTCCTTCCGCTCGAAGGAGTCGGAGATCCACAGCGAAACCACGGAAGGGTAGGAGCTCGGGGGGCTCAGCTCTTGGACGCACAGTGTCAGCTCCTTCTCGTCCTTTGCGCTGCAGAGACATGAATTTTGCAGAATCGTGGAATCAATTGGAGGGTAGAGAGAGAAACTAAAATGGCCAACTTTACATTCCAAGTAAAATAAATAAATAAATGTAAAGTAAGATGAAATATGAGTCCCCATTTATTGGCGACTCCTCTGTTTGCTGCTGTCTGGTGTGACCCGGCTGGCGGATGCAAACCTTGAATGATCACAATAAATAGATGAATATGCAACTATGTTACCAAGACTCTGCTTACAATCTAATCACAGGGGTGGGAAATTCGAAAGACTTAAAGAAAGTTCCCCATAATGCGCAGAACTTTATGAATAATCGAGGATCCGAGGATCCTAAACTTCCTTTTCTAGGTAAAAGATGCGGATCCCTTGATGATGAACTTTTGGAGGACCGCAGGATCATCAGCTAGTTCAATCTACACTGTATATTGGAGGCCCTTCCTTCCCTTCCCCACCTCCCCTCTCTTTCTCTCTCTACAGTGAGAAAGGAGCGAGAAGGTATCTAAGTTATCTTCTGGAGTGTTTAAGGCAAAGAGCAGGTGAGACGAAATTTATGAAAAAAAGGGTTACGTGTTGGTCTGAAGGCTAGTTCAGCAATTCTAAGCAGCCAGCTGCGAGAACCACAGAGCAGTAGCTCTGATTTTCTAAATGAATCATATAGGAAGATGAGCAGAGCAAGAACTTCAGGCGAGGGATCAGGGCACAGTACCTGTAAAATTCTCTTATTGCTGAGATGGATTTCTCTCTGAGGTGTTCTTCAGACAGCGGTCTAGATTCAGAAGCATTATCACTCCCAATCGAGCTAGCCTGTCCGGGCCCAGGAGGTCCGGCACCTAGAGAGGGCCTATCAGAAGGAGCATCCGCGCTGATGACGTCTCTGCTACTAATATAGGGGCCACGATCTTGGACGCCCGTACTTGATAGATCGTGCAGTCTTCCTGAGCTTCTGTCTTGCAGGTGCCGCGGCAGGGGCTCATCTCTTGACAAAGGACCCCCAAAGCCATTAGAACTGGAAGCTGATCTTCGAGAATCTATGGCGCTTGAAGGAGCATTGGGTGAGGGGGCAGTCGACACGAGGGGCTGCCCTCTGTTCGACATCCCCCTGGCGAGGCCTCCTTGGGGACCAAGGGTAATGGAGTCGTCACCGGTGGGTCTCTGTGGCAATGCTGACAAGGTCCTGGCCTCATAAGGATGGCGATCGTCCATTCGGACATCTTGGTTGGCAGAGAAACCACGGCTCTGAGGTGGGAAAGCACGGCCACTGACGGACTGGGAGCCTGGAGACGGGAGTATATTTGGTCCTCGTTGACCATAGTCAACAGGTGGTGGGCCCCTTCTTCCGCTAGAACCCATGCCAGGCCCACGAGACAACCTGCTTGTCTGAGCATGCCGCTCCTGGGCTGCGTCCCTGTGCACCTCCTCAATCTTCTTCGGCCCCTCTACCTTCCTCCTCTGCTGCCACTTGTTCTTCCTGAGATCGATCGCATCCCTCAGAAGGAATCTCACTCTGGACGATAGTTTCTGGTTGGTCGACAGCTTCGCCATCATCTCAAAATATGCGTCCATGTGGTCCTTCGCCTTGGGATGGTCGATGATCTCTCCTATCGTGCTCATCAGCTTGCACAAGGCCTCTATATCTTCCTCATCCGGGCTCTGATACTGACCCAGCAGCTTCTTTATGCACTCATGCATGATCCTCTCGGTGAGCATCTTCTTCTTGTACAGCTCACCAATCAAGCGAATGTTCCCTAGCATTCTTCTGCGAGCTTGGACCCTCTTCTCCTCCCTTTCCTCTGCCGATCGTCTGGTCTCACCATCTACGTCCCTGCTAGCTTCATCCTGCTCCCTTTCTCCTCTTTCGAATTCCTCCTGGCACTTGTTGAGGAGAAGCCTCTTGAAGGTAATCTTCTCATTGTCCTCACAGAAATCAGGCAACTCACTGGCTAGATGGAAACAGAAGTTCGCATACATCTCACAGAATGTCGGCTCCATCAAAGCCTTGTCGAAGATCTGATTTATGACACCAGTGAGAGTGCCTGCATTATCGATGTTGACTTCCTTGACCTGTTGAAACAATCGGTCAAAGTTCTGAGGGGTCAACTTATTGAGAATTCCTTTCAGTTGCCTCTGCTTTCCCTGTTCTTCATCGGACACCTTGCCCACTTCATACCTCTTCTCAGCCTTGTGCATAACTTGGGATGGAGCCTGGGGGGACGGGATCAGACCCCTCTGGATTCCAGTTCCACGCTGCCACCTGTCAGAATCGGAATTGACCCGGGAAATACCTCCTGAAGATGGAACGGCCTGCACAGGGGCGGACAGAATCCCACCAGGATAAGCATTCGGCTGCACCCGAGGATGTCTTAAGACACCATGGCCGACTTGCCCAGAGCGGAAGTTTCCAACATCGACTCGAAGGTCGCGTCCAGAACCATAAGGTCCAGAGCCCCTCGTCCACTTGTCGTCATCCAGATTACTGGAAGGCCGACGGTCCCGAATAGAAACAGAAGGCCGATCTATGATCCTTCCAGGGCTTGGAAATGGTTCCCGGTCATAGATGTGAGGAGTACCAGCCTGGCCAATCATCACAACATCGGCGATATCAGCCCCTATCTCAAAGCCCATTGGAAGATCAATGCATTGCTCCCTGAACGTTAACAAAAAGTCTCTGGAGTACTTCCTATTGGCGCCCCCAATTCCACCATCGTCAAGGACTTTCTTTCCACGGCCCGCGCGCCCATCCTCTGATGTACTCAAATTTGGACTGGAGATGTCTACAGCATCCTCCCAATCATCTGGCTCTACCTTGCTCTGCTCATCTTTCTTACTCAGCGAATCATCCTTCCCAGGGTCAACCAAACCCATCTCCTTGGCATCCTCAACTGTGGGAACGCTTTCAACAGATGCTGAGGTGGCGTCAGTGGCTCTTTTTTCTTCTGGCCCCTTGTAAGCCATGTACAAATCAGAGTTGGTACCAGCAGCATCAGCTCTCGAAAGAACGTCCTTCATCCTTTTCTTCTTCGCAGGGGTAGACTTTGATCGGGTCAGTTCTTGAGTCTGCTTTTCCTTTCTTTCTGTGGAGGAAGCAGAGCCAGGGAGGCCGCTACTTGACATGTCTGCGACCTTCTCAGGTTTCTCAAGTGAACCTATGGCAGAATAAGAGCCCGTCTCAGAGTCTGCCACATTCAAGTCGGTTGAAGAAGCCTCCAGGTTGCTTGTCGTTATATTTTTTTCGTCAGTGGCATCTAAAGTTGAATTTCCATCAACATCAGAAAGTTGATTTGAAGATGTTCCATCCAAATCAATAGACTCAGGCTTCGAAACTTCAGTGACTGAATCATCCACACAACTAATTTTAGACAGGCTATCAACTAAACTCTCCACTTCCTCGTTGACCTCTGAAGCATCGTGAGTTGTTGTTACACCCACCACCTCAATCTGCTCTTCCTCCGTTGGTTTTGACTCACTTGAGTTGTTGTTACACACAGCTTCCTCTGCGATATTATTCTCTACTGCGCCTTCGGATAAATCTTCAATTTTATCTGTGCTAGCAGAAAGCTCAACAGGCAAGTCCGGATGTTCTTCTGCAACTTTATTGTCTTCAGAGGAGACATCCGATATCTTGGTTTCCTTGGGCCTCACGACTAACACAGGCTCTTCTTTACTCTCAGGCTCCAGTTGAGACTGATCACGAAGCACCTCAGAACTCAAATCCTTGGATATATCTACACCTGCCTCAACATCACAAGACATTGATGCCTCCAAAGGAGCATACTTCCGAGATGGCGTATTGTCACTAACAGTTTCAGATGCATCAGAAATTGTAGGAGAAATATCTTCCAACACTTCTTTTTCCACAATGATAACAGAGGAGTTTAGAGACTCAGAGATTTCTTTACCGTTGCTAACAGCAAACGCATCAGCTTCTGAATTACTGCGTTCCTCTCTTGGAGAAGAGGAAATTGAGGTACCCATTGATGTTTCGTCCGGTTTTTCACCTGTGCTAACATCGTCAGGAAATTTGACTGAGGAACTAACATTTGTCTCTAAAGGAGGATCCTCTCTGTGGGCTTTCTGGGACTGCACTGCTACAGAATCTGAGGCATTGGTCTGCAGTAGATCAACAAGGCAACATACTCAAAAAAAAAAGAAAAAAAAAAAAAATCTTGCTGCAGAGAAAGACTTTAGTCATTCAGAGGAGATGAATAGCATACCTGCTGCTGTTGTTGTAACTGCTGAATGTCCTTCTTACTTGGCTTTTTCTGGTGATCCTTAAAAGGATCATGTTTTTTAAATGAATCTCTCTTTTTACCATCTAACTTCGGTGCATCAGACTGAGAATCCGTCACAGGAGCAGCTGAAGTGCTGACCTGGATCCTTTGTGTTAGACCCACAGAAGACTTTGAAGAAACATGGCTTTCCTTCTCTGACAATTTAATGTCAACAGAAGACCTAGAGGCATCTTTCGATGACTGAACATAGATCTCAGAAGTGCCCTCTGGTTCCCCTGTTTGCAGATGGATAGGAGCACCTTCCCCAGGAGGTTTGGGTAAACTGGGTGTCTCCTCCTTGTCAGGGGGTTTACTAATAGTTACTAGAGGGACCCCTGACTTATCCATAGCTGAGCCCGTTGGTGGCTTCACCGTCACCTGAACAGGAGCTGATGGCACAGAAACTGAGATAGCAGGACTATCATTGGAGCGATCGAGGTTTATTGATTCAGAATTGGTATGTGGCTGGGATCTTGCCATACCAACAGACATATGATTTATAACTGGTGGATTCATAAATGGAACGGTTGAACCACTCTGACCTATTGGGTAATTATACCTTGCAGCCTGTGTACCGCTTTGGGAGCTTGTCAAAGCAACAGAGGCTGGGGTCTGCAAATAGTAACCACTAGGGTTGAAAGAACCAGGCTGCAGGGGTTGGTAGTAATTCATTTGGTGACTAGGACCAAATGGGGAAACATTCTGGGTCTGAGATGGGACATTAGAGTGCTGTAGCCTTTGTCCTGATGAAACAGGATCTACATAGGAATCTGTTCTTTTGTCAAGCCTCAATTCTTCATGGGTATCTGGATGAGTTATTTTCACAGGGTTCTTGCGAAGCCCCACAAACTTTCCATCCTGCTGTGGTGCATATTGCTGAGGCATACCCACTCTCAGGTTACCCATTTGGGAAGCAAGCTGAGGGGCAATCTGTGGAGGGAAGCCAAGCCCTTGATGTATCCCTTGTTGATACGTATGTGGTGGAAAGCTTGGCACAAAAATCTGCGGTTGAACTGTTTGTGTGTTTCCCATGGATAATGATACTGGAATCGGTAGCGAACTACCTGCGACGCCTTGAGACTGCATCTGGGGAGTAGGGCCACCAAACTGTATAGGAATTTGCGCCTGTTGATATCCCCCCGGCAAAGACATTCCAGGCATGGGCACCACAGAGGACTTTTGGGGGCCCAAGGAGGGGGCTCCAGGTACATGCACAGGTATGTCTCTCTTTGCCTGAGTGGGAGGATATGAATCTCCCACAGCACTATGGTTAGCAACCACATCCTTCTTAGGCTGCTGATGCTGCATCTTAGGCACAGACGGTATGGACCCTGAAGGCACCTGAAAAGAATCATGATTAACTTGAGTTACCAACCCATGCTGATTCAAGAAGGAAATGAAAGAAATTCCGGGGAGAAAAAATGCCATCCAAATCTCCAGAAGCCTTAAAAATATTGATATGCAGCAATATTGATACGCAAAATTCCTGGTCTCTCACGTACATAGGGTTTCGGCCTAAATATTTGTACCAGTAATATGCAGTTAAACTATTGACAACAGGTAATGGGTCCAAACAAAACCAATGACGTTGGGTAAAAAAATCATGAAAGAAAATAGTTACAAAGCAGGCATGCCGTGGAAGAATAAAAAAATTAAGAAAAAAATGCCCATTCCAGTATCCCACAAATCATGTCCTCGTAATATATCTAATTCTATGTTAACGGCTGGTGCTGGCCCACACTTGCGAAAAAGTTCAATTAGGATGAACCTGGTCATGTTTCTGCTCATCTAAATTGGGCGGAGCTGAGCTGGTACGCACCGGAATCTGCATGAACACAAGTTTAAAACATTTTAAAAAATCTAATTAGATAAAAATGGAATCTAAATATGGAAAATCTGTGGACAACATCTCAATCGAAAATTTAAGAGAAAGATAACCTGCATCCCGTTGACGAATCCCGGGCTAATCGATCCAAATTGAAGAGTAAATCCCTTTGACGCATCTCCTAATAAAATCAAACAAAGGCAATTAGAATACGTGGTGTCCAACATGCATGTAGTTGAAAGGAGCAGAAATAACAGCAAGCATAGTCAAGTTTCAGAAACTGCAAGCACATATGTTCAACAATTAAGCGGGATGGTAGTTGAGCAAACCTTTGGCTGGGGTCATGTGTTTGGCAGAATCCGAATCTCCAGCTGAGGATTGAGGTGGTGGAGGCCTTGAGTGCCCCCTGGCACTGCCCAAAGCAGATGAATCTGCTGGCTTCGCAGCATTGTGCCCTGGAAAAGGCGGCGCCCCTAAATAAGAAAGCATAATCAATCACCACCCCTGATATCTTCGTACTCAAGCTATAATCCAAGGATTTGACGGCTTAATATTTTTGCCGATGCCAAAGTTCCGGCGCTCCTAAATCTGAAGAAAATCTTACATCATTTGAGATATAAAAAATCCATACCATGAGAAGAGCCTCGTGTGTGACCACCATCTCGAGCACCATGGAAGCTCGAAGAGACAGGGGCAGCAGATCCAACAACCTCAGAACTCATGCCACTGGGATTCACCCTAGAATGCCCTCCATGTCCACTCCCAGACTTCTTGACGCTGCAAACACAATCCAACCAAGGACGCACACAAGAGATTGCCAGAAAAAACGCAACTTTCAGAGATCCCTAACAGCAGATCAAACAAGAACTGACGACAAAAATTTTGCCAACAAGCATTCAGCGCATCACCTCCGATTCGGCAACAAAGGCGGTTGGTTGAGATGGTTGGACGAAGACGAGGATGAGGAGAAAGAAGAGGGCGGCGGAGCGACGGAGCCGGCGCCGCCGCCCCTCCCTGTTGCCGCAGGGAATCCCCTCTGGTTGCCGGAGCTTCCAAATCGGCCGGCCTTTCTCAGATGCGTCTCGCTCTTCTCCGCCCGGGACTGATTAAGGGACATAAATCCCGACCTTATCTGCTCTCTGAAAAACGGGCAACTAATCAGCGAAAACAATAGCCGATCCTATCAAACCCCCACACCGACAACCAAAAAAGAGGGGAAATCCATTAAAACGTGGGAAGAGCTCCCTCCGAACGCAAACCAACCGATAACCTAGCTTCTTCCCCTTCCCAGTACCTCAGGGGAGGAATGTGACAGCAGGCAAAAGGCCGGAAGATCCGCCTACCTGCAAGCGGCGCGGTTGGGGAAAAGCGGCAACAGACGAGATTAGGGTTTTGTGTTCCTTTCTGCTCCGTTCCCTTGATTCAGAAGTGGAGCAGAGATTGGCGGGAATACTCCCTGAGGGATACAGATAGCGGATGATAGAGGGGAACAAGATGGAGAGGACGGAGAAGGGGTGAGAGAAAGAGAGAGAGGGGAAGGGGGGGAGAGAGCAGTCGAATATGGAGAGGTCCTCGTTGAGAGGTTATGTAAGAGAGAAAGAGAGCTGGGTTCCCAGTCAAGGCCCCTCTCGGGTGAGCCAGACTCGGGGGGTAATTAGTCATTACACAACCCCCAAAAAGCCCGCGTCAAGGCCCTCCCACGTCAGCAGTGTAGCAAAAGGAGCGGAACAGAGAGAGAGAGAGAGGGAGGGAGAGGTAGAGGTAGGTCAGTAGAATCTGCAACAGTTATTTAATTATATATTTATATGAATTCTTATTATCCATTATTATTTGAAAATAGGTAGCAAAACAACCACGTGTTCCCTGAGAGAGAGAGCCCGGAGAGGAACACTAGTCGCCATTTGCGGCGGATACGTGACGGGAAGGGGATAGTCCAAGGTAAGCCCACAATCATGGGCCTTCTTGCCGGCCCAAAAACAGACCCCTCCTAGGCCCGTCGGCCGAAACGCCAACAGCGACGGTGGCGGAGGGAGGGAATCCTGCTGGCGTCATGTTGTCAGGCCACGCGTCATCACACATGCGTTCTCGTCCTTTTTTCAACGAGATATTAAATCTAGTCATTATATTTTTTAAATCCGATTTCGCTTATAAACGAGTAGGGCGTCCATGGGTGGAGGCGGAAAAGCCCAAAATGACCCGGCCCCTTGCGTTTCTACCCCATCATTTTGTATTAATATTCGGCCCTACCCCTCTCCAAATTATCTAAAGAAAATACTTTTTACTAATCCCCCCACCAAATCTTAAAAAAAAACCCATCATTTATTTTAATTTCGCTCCTCCCCCCTCTGGCTGCAGGATTTGGGCGCACGCATAGTTTTATGCGTGAATTTTTATCCTATTGTAGAATAATTTCGCCTCCTTGACTTTCACGGTCAAAATACTCATATCGGGCTGACTTGAGTTTATATCGATCGAATCCGTCTCTAATGACGGTCTGATTATCAATGAGCTTCGTACCGAAAATAGCAAATAATCCCCATCTTTTAAAATAATTTATCACCCTTATCTAATCCTCGCCCAGACGTAGAAAGTGGCCGTACCGTTTCTAAGTCCGTTATAGTAAACAGACTCCACGTCTCTTGGGTGGTCAAGAACCGCCTCCCTCTTTCTCGCACCGCCCATCTACCACACTCTCTATATAAGTGCGCCCCTGCCATACCCCTCATCCTCACTACTCTCTCTCTCTCTCTCTCTCCCTCTCTCTCTCTCTCTCTCTCTCTCTCTGTCTTTTCTCTCTGTTTCTGTTTGTTTGATTGTGGCGATGGAGGTCGAGATCTCGCCTAAGGAGTCGAGGAAGGCGTACGGCGGGGAAGGTGGAGAGTACTATGCCTGGTCCGCCGGCGATCTGCCGATGCTGGCGGTGGCGGAGAAGGGGGCGGCGAAGCTCGTGCTTGGTAGGCGGGGCCTCGCCATGCCGAGCTACTCGGACTCCGCGAAGATCGCCTACGTCCTCGAAGGTCAGTCAGTGAATGATCTGTACCTGTTCTCGCAGGGAGGCGAATCACTCCGGTGATCGCCGCCGCCGCAGGCGGTGGGATATTCGGCAGGTTGATCACCGATCCGTTCTCTGATGATGGTGCTGTGCGAAGCAGGAAGCGGCAGGGCCGGAATCGTGCTGCCGGAGGCGAGTGAGAGAGTGGTGGCGATCAGGAAGGGCGACGCCATCGCGCTCCCCTTCGGCGCCGTCGCGTGGTGGTTCAACGACTCCAGCGAGGCCGATCTCACGGTCCTCTTCCTCGGCGACACCTCCAAGGCTCACAAGCGCGGCGAGTTCACCGACTTCCAGCTCACCGGCGCCAGCGGAATCTTCACCGGCTTCACGGCCGAGTTCGCCGGCAGAGCCTTCGACCTCTCGGAGCAGGAGGCCTCCAGGCTCGTCCGGAGCCAGCCCTCCGGCGGCATCGTCAAGCTCAAAGAGGGTTTCCAGATCCCCGAGCCCTCGGAGATGGATCGAGAGGGCCTCGTCCTCAACTGCGAGGAGGCCCCCCTCGACGTGGACGTCGAGAGAGGTGGCCGCGTGGTGGTGGTCTCTAGCCAGAACCTCCCCCTGGTAGGGGACTGCGGCTTCGGCGGCGACCTCGTGAAGCTCGACGGCGGCGCCATGTGCTCCCCGGGCTTCTCCTGCGACTCCGCCTTCCAGGTGACGTACATCACCAAGGGGAGCGGCAGAGTTCAGGTGGTGGGGATCGAAGGCAAGCGGGTCCTCGAGACGGCGGTGAAGGCCGGCTCCCTCTTCATCGTCCCCAGGTTCTTCGTGGTCTCCAAGATTGCAGACGCCGGCGGGATGCAGTGGTTCTCAATAGTCACCACCCCCAAGTAAGCTAAACCCTACCTTCTCCTCGCCGCCATTTCAGTAGACCTCCATTGATTGCTCTTTTACTGATATCCCACCTCATCTTCTTCTTCGTCTCTCGTCTCTCTCTGCTCAGCCCCGTGTTCACTCACCTCGCCGGGAAGACCTCCGTCTGGAAGGCTCTGTCGCCGCAGGTCCTGCAGGCCTCCTTCAACGTCTCTCCAGAAACCGAGGAGCTCTTCAGGTCCAAGAGGACCTCCGACGCCATTTTCTTCCCTCCCCCCAGCTAACTGCAACCCCCTCCGCAGAGACCGAATAAGACAGCGTAACGTGAGGGAATAAATAAAGTTATGTCACGGCTTTTAGGTTTTTTCATGGGAGTTGACGCGCCTCTTCTGGCGGTCTCTCTCCTCTGCTTTCTTCCGGGTGGGTTCCGCCACCTTTTCCTTCGCATTATTTAATCTCACAGCTTTTTACCCAGAATCATTACTTCCAATTCTCTCAACGTGTGAGAGATATATCGAAGGTCGACGGGAGTATGGAGATGAGACAACTCGACAGAATTAACAAGAACACCTCATCTCAATCAAAATCCTTCTTCCTTTTAGTTTAGATAATAAAAACGTCATTCGACATCGATAGCTGAGCGTAAAGCAACGCGTTGCTCCCCCCCGCATAGATTACGAGAGTAGAATTCTCTTCTCAAGGGCTGATTGGCCATCGGAAGATGTAGGCGTCGACCGAGTTCTAGTCATTGGGGTGGTAGAAGGTTCTCTCCTGAGTTGATCATGGCCGGCCATCTCCTTCCAGCTCTTGTCTCTCCTGAGGTGTCCTCGCTGCCACTGTTGGCCGTGCTCTGATCCTTTGGCGAGAAGACCAGCCAAGAGAGGCGGTCCTCCTCCACCAGCCGCAGTACCTCTCCCCCCTCCCAACTTGGTGGTGATTAGATGGTAGACGTAGATGAGCCTCTCCTGCCACAGCCAGCGGGCCCAGTTGATCGCCTGCCTCAACTCGATATTTCATAACGTTTATTCCTTCTCATAGATCAAACCCCTCACATGCGAGGTGGCATGCGTGGGGCTAGACTCCCTCTCAAAATGAGATGTAATCATTCTTGATATTAATGTTGAACAATAAAGGGAAAAGTCGATTGGCTATTAGTGCTTTGTAGAAACTATCAATTAGTTGATGGTATGATCAAATTGGCAGAAGTTTAATGAATCCATTAATAAGTAGGTTATAGAAAAAAATACAAGTGATGACTTATTAGTTATTGTGTATTAATAAGTTTTAATGAATCTATTAATGAATCTATTAATAAGTAAGCTATGATCAATTAGTCTTAATGTGTATGGTGTGTTCATGCAAGATTGAATTAGAAGCAATACAAGTGATCACTTATTAGTTATAGAAAAAAATAGTTGGAAGGGGTTTGATGATGCAAATATCTTAGAACTATTACAAATTGATAAGTCTTGCAGGATTAGTAGTTAATCCTTGATATTCAACTTCAACATATCATCAAGATATTGTTGATTACTTCTTGGCCTTCTAAAAAATTAAGAAATCTCCAAGAAAAATGTAACACCCAATGACTAATTTTCAGGAATTATAACATGCGGCCTGATCAAGATTAAAAGACACTAAGTTGTAAAAAAGGTGAAGCATAGAAGAATAATCATTAACCTCAACTTGACTTGAGATATCGAAGAAAACAGCATGCAACTATTAAAATGTAGTTGTTGAGGGTGAACCATTAATTGATTTAACTTGTGAATTGTAAAAATGATAGTGACATCATCATTTGGAATCTTGACACCAATATCACTGCCCCCATGTGCTTCTTTCTTGATTCTCTTCTATCCATCAATTTAAAAGTTGTGATATGTCAAAATGATAGAGTCTCTCAATCAATTTGTGATATTATCATGCATCTTCAAGCAATTCTCTAGTGGTGCCATCAAGATAAGGGTAGGTTTAGAACTATGAAAACTAATATCTTCAAGGAACAATTGAATGTATTGGCATGATACAGAATAATTCATGTTGTAGAATGTGTAACTTCTAAACCAAAAAATAATTTAAAATTACCAAGATGAATTTAAATTAGTGGTTCAAAAGGCTTTTAGTATATTAATACAAATAACAAAGGGTCCAACTATTATAATATCATTAACATATATGAATAAGGTCACAAATGAAAGATTAGAGACCATGTAAATAACAAATAATTATATTTTGATTAATTGAACCTAAATATAGTGAAGTTTATAACTTGAAGTACTACTGCTTGGATGCTTACAAAGTCTATAATTATATTTATGTAATTTACAAACAAGGTTAACTTAGTATGCCAAGAGTTCCTCATTACAATGATAACCCAAATATAAGTCTATGCAACTTTTTTGAATGAGTCACCATTTAGAAAAATATTATTAACATCTAGGCATACAAATGTGTTAATTTTGTTCAACTATAGTGATGTATATAGTAACAAGATAAAATATATATTTTTAAAATATTATGTTATCATATATAATCTCATTTTATATTTTTATAAACCCATATATATATTATTCATTTATGTGATCATTTATTTTACAAATCTATAGAGAACGAATAATATGTCTACAAACTAGTAAATAAATAACTAAGTGTTGGTTGACGCCCAGAAGTGGGTGAGTCAACACCCCTTCATCACCATGCCATGAGGTCCACATGGCACCCATCTCTGAAGAACATGCTAAGAGGCACCACATGACACACATCTCTAAAGAACCCCTACATTGGAAAAAAAATGAGCTGCAAGACACTATATTTACTTGTACAACGAGACACTCAACTCCAATCAACATGTCACAAACACTCAAATTGAACCAAGTGTTGTCAATTCAGATAAGTTGCTCGGACTAAGTGTCAAGAGGCACTCTTGACCCAAAGAATGTGATGTGACCTCTAGTGCTTGGGTGTGTGAAGTACCAAGATGAGTGACTTCCCAAGAAGTTTGACCAAAGATAATTATTAGGCTGATGTAATAGAATGTGTGAAGTACTAAGAAGGTGACCTTCAAGAAATCCGGCCTAAAGCACAAAGGCTAAAAAAAAAAAAAAGTAAGTGTTGGTTGATTTCATAACATCTAATTTATTTTTCATTAACAAAAGGTCAATAAAGATAACTCAATATGATAAAACTAAGATTTATAGTTTGATAAAATAAATAGAAAAATTATCAATAAAAAAATGATAAAGAAACAAAATCTAATGTAGGATATGAGATTGTGTTCTTTTGGGATGATGTTTTTATTAAAATATTATTAAAATAAAATTATTATAGTTACAAAGATGTTTATGAATAGGAGTAGAGCCTCATATTGATATAAGTGGTTGTAAGGATATTTTAATAGAAAAATTTATGAAGAGAGAATTTATAATAAGAAGTGAAGAAATGTCAATTGTTATAGTCGGAGAAACTAAATCAAAAAGAGATCTAATTGTCAATAGTTGTTATTCAATGAAAATGAAAGATATTTTCATGAGAAATGATATCATGTAAAAATAATATTTGTTTAGTTTTAATGTCACAAAATTTGTATCATATCATTTTAAAGGGTAACAAATGAAGACACAGTCACATACTACATCACTCGCATCACCTCTTTATCATTTGATAACATGGTATAAATCTCTTCTAAGATGATACTTATCATTATAGAGATGGTTGTTATGACAACCTTTGATTTGTTGTAGTTGAAGGCATTGACAATCATGTTAGCACACCTTAATTTAAATCATAGCTCAAAGTGATAATTTATTAAAAAGTCATATCATATCTTACTTTGGTGTAAGTTTGTATTGCGTTACAAAATAGTTAGTTACTATATTATGTGTATACCACGAACAATGCATTGAAGAGATAGTGGCACCACACCCACATGTCGTGGACTACAATTGTCATCTTCTTCTCATGTATAAATTATTATTACTCTATGTCATTGAGCTTCTAACTCTTGAAGGCAGTCGAATGTCTTTTATACATTAGAATACCACTAATTGTTAAATTCAACGTGTTTGTGTGCACCTTAAATGACTCATTGAAGTCAGGCAAATATAGCACTAACTCACTTTTCGTGACTTTCTTGTTGTTAAAGGTGTGTTAACATTTTCTTAACTAATGTTAGTGCACACCCTTCAAAAAATTCATCAAGGGTGTCACCTATTGCAAGCATCTCATGTCAAACTTTTTGTACTTATTTATTAACTTAAAGAATGAGTGAAGTTTCAAAACTCTAGAAGGGATTGGTCACTTATTGATGGCATGGATCTTCTCATGATCTATTTGTACACTATACTTTTTGACAATGTGGTTGAAAAAGATGATCTTCTCAAGTATATATTCACACTTCTCTAATTTAAGTAGAGTTTGTGATCTCACAATTTATATAGTACCAATCAACAAAGTACTATATATTTGTTTAAGGTTAAAATTCTCATGTCACTATACAATGATATACTTGTTGATATAATCCTTGAATATGACATCCATTAGGGTGTAAAACATCATTAATGCATTTTTGAGACCAAAAGACGACTTTGAACTCAAACATTTTATATAAAATCACACACGTCATCTTTTACTCATCTATTTGATGTGAATTTAATGTTAACTTCTCTTTATGTCCATCTATAAGAAGTACTAAAGTTTTTTCAAGTGATCAAATAATTCTTCTACATTAAGTATCAAATATTTATTATTTATGATTAACTTATTTAGTATTTTGTAATGTATGCACAATTGTAGAGATCTATCATTCTTCTTCTAGAAGAGGATGAGGACACTAATGTAATTTTAAAATAAGAGATGTCTAACCTTCAACAACTCTCTCAATTATCAATATAGTTTCTCAAGGTATGTCAATGTCATCTTCTAAAGGTCACATGTTGGTTGTCGCATCATTATTAGTTGTTCAATTTCATGGTTCACCTCTTATCATAATGAGAGTCAAGTTATAAAAAAATCTTGCATCATGCTTAAAACTCTTTCAACAAATGTGCCACTCTTTTTGACAACTCTCATTATGTATTAACAACAATGTGTATATTGTCACATGATGTGTGGGTAAGTAGACTTAGGTTTGTGTAGGGTGAATGTAGATGAACCAATCTTGAAATGGCTCAGGTCATGTGCTTTACCAACAAAATTGAACTAAATACTAATAAATTAGGTGGTCTTAAAAAAATATTAGTCATGAACCAATGTGGGAGTTTTAGACTACACAAAACTTGGTCCTAGAGAAAACCAAAGAGTGAACAAAAGTGTTTTTTATTGTCCCATCTAAAAAAAACAGAGTAGTGCATTTAAACATAGTTGGTTTAATATTGCAATTTATTATTTCATCAATACCATTTAACTTTTTTATATATATAAAAGAGAAAATGTAGACAAGTTTGATCTATCTTTAATTATGACGTCTTTCAATTATTTCAGTCTCATAAAGAAAGTTTCATCTTTTTTCTTTATCTTGTCTTGTTACTATAATATCAAGAATAATTCTAACTATTATCATGCAATCTTCATCGCTTACACAATAATAAGTCAATCCCCTTACTAATAGAACTCCCCACCATTAAATAATTGATTAAGATGGTGATAAAGTTATCCATAAGAAGGTTAATGAACTCATTGACCTTCTCATATTTCAAGTTATAATTGAACTTTTCATATTGTTCTAATTTGGGTACGTGCTGTTAAGTTGATAGTCTTGATGTGGTCATCTTTTGGTGATAGCATTAGACCAAATTGAATAATTTCATTGATTACAAGAAAGTTGTGAGTCACCTCATTGTTGACCATAGATGAGGCATCAACTTTGAATCTTCTTTAATTTTTTTGTGGTTATTTCACTTTATTGAAATCATGACAACTTTGCTTGCCGCTTTAATCATAGCTATAATCTTTACCGTGATTGTCCCCATAATTACAACACCCTCTACAGCTTTTTTCTGAGTTATTTTGCTACTAATTATCATTAATGTTGTTCAAGTTGTTAGTGACCTCATAATTTATGAATATATTATCAATTGAAGAGACATCTTTTGTTCTATATCAGTGTAACTTCACTAATGTTCAACTATGTAATTTAGACAAAGTTAAAGAGTTATCTTCATTTGACATATTCTTGATGTTTAGAATGGTGAAGTAAATTATTTCACATTTTCCTACATAAATCTGGTGTGGTGAAGTCATTAGAGTGCCTCTAGATTTATTCGTGCACTACTCGTCAAAATAAATTACTTATTCAATTCTCAAACAAAGTTTTCTCATGATTTGATAATCGGTCTAACTAAATTATTCATCTTTATACACCACCACAACTTTGCATCATTGGAGATAAACATACTTGTCAATGTGACTTTCTCCAAATATGATGTATGTATTGTTCAAAAATAATATTTTAACTCTCAAAATAAGTTTTGAAACTCTTTAACATTTTTAACACCTCCAAAAATTATGAGTTCAGAAATCTTAGTTTGAGATGCACTATTACTCTCTTACATTTTCAGTAAAATATATTTCAATAAACATGTCTACTATCATAACTTCAACAAAAATCTTGAGTTATGCCGCATCAACAACATGAACCCAAAATGTTTTCATAAGACATGCCACCTCCGTTGCTATTGATTCCATCATATCATGATATTTCTCAACAACTTCAACATTTTCTTTTAAAGATTTAAAATGAGTAATCTACTATAATCAAACAATCATTTACCTGTTGGTGTCACTATCTCTAATAGTAGAACCTTCTAATGCCAAGTTAAGGACTACATTCACCTCTCAATTGAGATCTCCTTGACAATGACCTTTAAGGATAGGTATATCAAATGAGGAGAAAGTTGCCACCCCTCTTGTGCCACTAATCGAGTTTTGTCTTGTGGGTTAATGATTGTCAACTAGGTCCTCTACGTGTCCAACAAGTTTAAATGTTATCTTATTGATAGGGAGGATTGAGTCTTGTAAAAATGTGACATCAAATTTCAAATGTTTCAAATACTAGTGGGAGAAATTGATACTAATAATTCTATATCTCACTCTTAATTGGTATAAATTCTCTAAATCCAAAACATAAAAGATCCTATCTAAATTTTAAGAACATTGTGGTAGACATATATATATGTCTATGAATATGACTCAACTTAAAAAATTGACAAGTTTCTCACTTTCCAAGAGTCAATCCTTATCTTGAAGCTATCTTCTAGAGGCAACTTTTCAAATTTCTAATAATACAGTAATATTTTCAAATCAATCTTTGATTGTCTATGTTTTTCTTGTATTTGGATATCATAAAGCATTCGCATCTCAATTCTTGAATTCTAAATTCATTCTTATTTTTTAAAACTCAAAATATATGACTTACTATTTTAATTCAAACCAATTTCTATATCGTTCTTTAGGATATCCCAATTATCCTTATTCAATATTCTACTTCTACAAAACATTATTATTCAAGAACTACCATATAAATTTCCTTACATTTGATGAAAAATAAATACTTTAGGAATAATATAAGTTGGCTCTAGTGAGATAATTTCAACCTTTTTTTTTATTTCAATCAATTTCTTACAAGTTCCTCTATTTGTAAGTCTACTATGAAATTCTAAAAAAAACGTCAAAATTTCATTCTTAAGAAAGCCATATAACTTCACTTTGTCATAACACAATGCAATTCTATCATGAATTGGTAAGTTTGTTTTGTAATACTTCTTATATGTTAAGTGAAAAATTCCTCGCTTTTTATCATATCATTTTGTAATACTTTTTATCATAACACAATGAAATATTCTAGTCATGATTTATCATATCATTTTTAAGATAAGTACTAAAACATCAATAATGTATAATCAATATGACCTCATTTTCAAAACCAATTCAAAAATGTACATTTCAATCTCTTCATTTTCTCCTTTATCTTGTAAACCTAGTTCTTACTCGTATACAAGATAAACGTTTGAACATTGGGCCTCTTTTACCTCATATTATAGAGATAACTTTCCTCATTTTATAGTATAATGTTGATTTTCGAAAAGACAATAATTAGAAAATTCTTCTCTATTTAAAATAATAAATTTTAAATACTTTGCCCCAAATCTAATCTATTATTTAATCAATTTATTTATTTTTCCTTCAACTAGCATATTAATTCTTAGTTTGAGCATCTCGTAAGGCTTATTGAGTATTATGTTTGATTGAGCTTCATATTTTTCCTTATGGCAAAAAGGAGAGGAAAAGTATAAGTCTCAAAGAGTAAGTATGTACATCATGGGGAGTTAAAAATTCAAGAGAATAAATCACAAGTAAGGGAAGGAAATCATAGGTAATAGCATACTATAGAGAGTGAAAAGAGCAAATAAGTTCTATACATTCTAAAAACAAGTTTTTCAAAACTTTGATGGGATAGTGTTTCAATGTTAGAATAATAGAATAGTGTATAGATGTATTATTTCTTTGCATTAGTTAATGATTATTGTTATGATCTTAAATTTTATTTTTTATAATGATTTTACTTGATAATAAATTTTGAATTAATACTATTTTGAGAATATTACTATCATAAACTTATTCTAGAACCACAAATCTGATTTTCTATTTAGTTTTTAAGACAAGAAAAAAATTATTTAAATCTTCAATCTAATATATTACATTGGTGTATTTGAATTGATGTTTAAATTTATTTTGGAAATTCAACAAGTGTATTGTTAAAAATAAAGTTGAGATAAATGTTGATGATGACTCTTCTGAATTTAAATGATAAATATTCTTGACTTGCTCTTATGATTTTGTCATCATAAAAAAATATAGATTGTTGGCCTCAAGATCATTAATAATTATATACAAATTTGACGATGTTGTGTGTTCACGTGCTGAAATTCTAAATCTTGTATATGTGAATTCACAGTATAATGATGGTTATCACAAAAAAAACAGATGTGAAAGATTATTACAATATGAATTCACAATGTTATGATTTCTAGTCATGATGCGTCATGTATTGGAACTCACATTGTAATGATGGTCATGATGAAAACTAGTGAGTTGATGATATGTTAGGAAAGATTATATAGAGTTCTCTTCTTATTTAAGGGGGTAATAAATGCTGATGAAAAGTGATATGGTTTCCCCTTGCTCTCCTTTGTTCTTGAGATGAAAGAAAGTTACTCCTCTACATGTGAAATACATGTGAATAACTTATACATAGATGTGTATTGAATAAATTAAGTATAAATATATAGTTAGTAGATATTAATAATGTCAAGTATTTTTAATATATTTCAGGCAATATATTTGATTTTCATAGTTCGAATTCTATGATTATGATGAATTTGCCACTTGAAATTATAACTTTTTTTAATAGTATTGCTGAAGCTATTAATTCTGAAAATTTATGATGTAAAGTTAGTTGATCAAATTCGAATTGTTTAAATGACTATTCAGAAAATTCTGAATATTATTGAGTATTGAGTGAAAAATGTTGTTGAGATATCATAAGTCACCAAAGTAATGATATCATAAATCATAGTCATGGTTTAGTCTACTTTATTACTTAAAATAATGATTTGTTAAAAGCACATTTTATTTAAGTTAAATTGGATTTAATTCAATTATAAAATTATTATTTTATTCAATGATTCTTACTAGACATACTTGAACTGATAATTTTGGATATATCCAAATTGTTAAAAGATACATCATATTGATTTCTAACTGTTCAAATTACTATTAATTTTAAATGAAAATTAACAAAAGGTTACAAGTCAAATTTCTCTAAAAGTTATAAGGGATTATCCTTGATCATTCCTTGCTTTCAAATTTTTTCCGACCAATTTTGCAGCGAATTACGTGAGAATTTGAAGTATTTGAAGTTTGATCAAACGTCAAGATCTTGAGTTGAGAAGAAAATTTCAATTCAGACATGATCTTCTTTAATGTGATTCCAATGACAATGTTTTCACCAATCAGATAACTTCCCAACGTGAAGAGAAAAAATTAAATCAAGCACAATTCATCTCATTCTTGACCAAATTTTTAGATATAATTCAAGTCTCGATCAAGTAGAGACAGAAATTAGGGCTGACCTTCATCGTCCCCTGGTTCTTCGTGGTCTAAAAAGTTGCAAACTGCGAGATACACTGGTTCTTGATCATCACCACACCAAAGCATGCTATGCAAATGAGCAAGAAATAGTAAATGTAAAATTCTATTGTAACCAGGACAGATTTCCCTCTAAGGTGTTCTTCAGGCGGTGGTCAAGATTCAAAGGGATAGCTGGAACTGAGAGGACCAACACCTCCAGAGAAAGCCTATCAAAGGCAACATCCGTGCCTCTAAGGTTTCTACTACCAAGATACGGGCCAGAATCTTGGATGCCCATGCTTGACAAAGGACTGCCAAAGGCATCTGAACTGGAAGTTGGTCTATGAGAATCTATGGCGCCTGAAAAAGCGTCAAGCGATGGTGCAGTCAACATGAGGGGCAGCCCCCTCTATGAGGCACCCCACTAGCGAGGCCTCCTTGGAAACCAAGGGTAATGGAGTCCTCACTGGTGGGTGGGTCTCTGTGGCAATGGAAACGGATAGGACCCTCCAATCAGAGGCCTAGGGTGGCAAAGAAACCACCAACTCTGAGGTGAGAAACCACTGCCGCCAATGAGCTGGGATCATGGAGACGGGAGCATATTTCATCCTCGTGGAACATACTTGAAAACTGGTGGGGCCCTCCTTCCACCAGAACCCATGCCAGGCCCATGGACAACTTGGGTGCCAGAGAAACCATCACTCTGATGTGGGAAACCACGACCACCAATAGGCGGGAGAATATTTGATCCTCGAGGAACATACTTGAAAACTGGAGGGCCCCTCCTTCTGCCAGAACCAATGCCAGGCCCATGAGACACCCTGCTTGTCTAAGCATGCTGCCACTGGGCGGCGTTCCTATGCACCTCCTCAATCTTCTTCGGCCCCTCTACCTTCCTCCTCTGCTGCCACTTGTTCTTCCTGAGATCGATCGCATCCCTCAGAAGGAATCTCACTCTGGACGATAGTTTCTGGTTGGTCGACAGCTTCGCCATCATCTCAAAATATGCGTCCATGTGGTCCTTCGCCTTGGGATGGTCGATGATCTCTCCTATCGTGCTCATCAGCTTGCACAAGGCCTCTATATCTTCCTCATCCGGGCTCTGATACTGACCCAGCAGCTTCTTTATGCACTCATGCATGATCCTCTCGGTGAGCATCTTCTTCTTGTACAGCTCACCAATCAAGCGAATGTTCCCTAGCATTCTTCTGCGAGCTTGGACCCTCTTCTCCTCCCTTTCCTCTGCCGATCGTCTGGTCTCACCATCTACGTCCCTGCTAGCTTCATCCTGCTCCCTTTCTCCTCTTTCGAATTCCTCCTGGCACTTGTTGAGGAGAAGCCTCTTGAAGGTAATCTTCTCATTGTCCTCACAGAAATCAGGCAACTCACTGGCTAGATGATAACAAAAGTTTGCAAACATCTCACAGAATTTGGGCCCCATCAAAGCCTGGTCAAAGATCTGTAATACGACACTAGTGAGAGTGCCTGCATTATCGATGTTGACTTCCTTAACCTGTCGAAGCAATCGGTAAAAGTTCTGAGGGGTCAACTTATTGAGAATTCCTCTCAGTTGCCTCTGCTTCGCATGTTCGTCATCGAACACCTTACCCACTTCGTAGCTCTTCTTTGTCAGAACCCTCAGCATCCCAGTGCGCCGCTGCCGCCTGTCAGAATCGGAATTGACCCCTGAAATCCCACCCGGAGTAGCATTTAGCTGCCCGATAGGATGTCTAGAGGCACCGTGCCCGACTTGCCCAAAGTGGAAGCTTCCAACATCGCCCCGAAGGACACGTCCAGAAGGACGGTATGGTGCAGAGCCCCTCGTCCTCTTGTCATCATCCAGATTGCTGGAAGGTCGACAGTCCTGAATAGAAACGGAAGGCCGATCCATGGTCCTTCCAGGGTTTGGAAAAGGTTCCCGGTCGTGGATGTGGGAAGTACCTGGCTGCCCGATCACCGCGACATCAGAGATCAATTCATTGTTCCCTGAACGCCAACAAAAAATCTCAGAGATACACCCTGGAATGAAGGAAGAAGGAGAAAGGAGGAGGAAGAAGGAGATCCCTAACAGCAGATCGACGGCGCATCACCTCTCACTCGGCGCAGAGGCGGTTGGTTGAGAATGTTGGACGAAAATGAGGACGAGGAGAAGGAAGAGGGCGGCGAAGAGGCGGAACCGGAGCTTCCAAGTCGGCCGGCCGTTCTCAGATCCGTCTCGTTCTTCTCCGCCCGGGACTGATCAAGGGACATGAATCCCGACCTCGTCTGATGTCTGGAAAAATCCAAACTAATCAGCGAAAACCAACGCCGATCCTGTCAAACCAGCCAAATCGACAACCAAAAACAGGGGAATGCCATTAAAATGGGAGAAGACCTCCCGCCGAACACAGACCAAACCGGTAACATAGCACCTTTCCCTTCACAGTACCTCACGGGAGGAGAAAGGTCGGAAGACCCGCCTACCTGCAAGTGGCGCGGTTGGGGCAAAGCAGACGCAGACGAGATTAGGGTCTGTGTTCCCGAAGGCGGAGAAAAGATCGGCTGGAACACTCCCCGAGGGATACAGAAAGCCGACGATAGAGAGGAGGAAGATGCTAAGGACAGAGAATATGTGCGTTTGTGCGTGAGAGAGAGATATAGAGAGAGAGATAGCAGTGGAATATGGAGAGGTACTCGTTGAGAGGTTAAGAGAGAATCCTACTCACATACTGTAGTCAACGTCTCTGTAGCACCCGGATTTTGACTTGGACGTACAATTATGGCAGACTGACTAATATCGATCCGATTGTCACTCAGATCCGTACCAAATTTGGCAAATAATCTTGATTTTAAAATAAGTCTTCTTCTCAGATCCGTACCAAATATGCTAGTAAACTAACAGTCTTCTCCCCTCCAAAAACAGACTCCACGTCTTTCGCCTCCCGCCACGCGGGCGGTCATAACCGCCTCCCTCTTTCTCGCACCTTCAAACTTCCTCACTCTCTCTATATAACTGGCTCCCCTCAACCTCGCTACCCTCCCCCTCTCTCTCTCTTTTCTCTCTGTTTCTGTTTGTTTGATTGTGGCGATGGAGGTCGAGATCTCGCCTAAGGAGTCGAGGAAGGCGTACGGCGGGGAAGGTGGAGAGTACTATGCCTGGTCCGCCGGCGATCTGCCGATGCTGGCGGTGGCGGAGAAGGGGGCGGCGAAGCTCGTGCTTGGTGGGCGGGGCCTCGCCATACCGAGCTACTCGGACTCCGCGAAGATCGCCTACGTCCTCGAAGGTCAGTCAGTGAATGATCTGTACCTGTTCTCGCAGGGAGGCGAATCACTCCGGTGATCGCCGCCGCCGCAGGCGGTGGGATATTCGGCAGGTTGATCACCGATCCGTTCTCTGATGATGGTGCTGTGCGAAGCAGGAAGCGGCAGGGCCGGAATCGTGCTGCCGGAGGCGAGTGAGAGAGTGGTGGCGATCAGGAAGGGCGACGCCATCGCGCTCCCCTTCGGCGCCGTCGCGTGGTGGTTCAACGACTCCAGCGAGGCCGATCTCACGGTCCTCTTCCTCGGCGACACCTCCAAGGCTCACAAGCGCGGCGAGTTCACCGACTTCCAGCTCACCGGCGCCAGCGGAATCTTCACCGGCTTCACGGCCGAGTTCGCCGGCAGAGCCTTCGACCTCTCGGAGCAGGAGGCCTCCAGGCTCGTCCGGAGCCAGCCCTCCGGCGGCATCGTCAAGCTCAAAGAGGGTTTCCAGATCCCCGAGCCCTCGGAGATGGATCGAGAGGGCCTCGTCCTCAACTGCGAGGAGGCCCCCCTCGACGTGGACGTCGAGAGAGGTGGCCGCGTGGTGGTGGTCTCTAGCCAGAACCTCCCCCTGGTAGGGGACTGCGGCTTCGGCGGCGACCTCGTGAAGCTCAACGGCGGCGCCATGTGCTCCCCGGGCTTCTCCTGCGACTCCGCCTTCCAGGTGACGTACATCACCAAGGGGAGCGGCAGAGTTCAGGTGGTGGGGATCGAAGGCAAGCGGGTCCTCGAGACGGCGGTGAAGGCCGGCTCCCTCTTCATCGTCCCCAGGTTCTTCGTGGTCTCCAAGATTGCAGACGCCGGCGGGATGCAGTGGTTCTCAATAGTCACCACCCCCAAGTAAGCTAAACCCTACCTTCTCCTCGCCGCCATTTCAGTAGACCTCCATTGATTGCTCTTTTACTGATATCCCACCTCATCTTCTTCTTCGTCTCTCGTCTCTCTCTGCTCAGCCCCGTGTTCACTCACCTCGCCGGGAAGACCTCCGTCTGGAAGGCTCTGTCGCCGCAGGTCCTGAAGGCCTCCTTCAACGTCTCTCCAGAAACCGAGGAGCTCTTCAGGTCCAAGAGGACCTCTGACTCCATTTTCTTCCCTCCCCCCCAGCTAACTGCAACCCCCTCCGCAGAGACCGAATAAGACAGCGTAACGTGAGGGAATGAATAAACTTATGGCGCGGCTTTTAGGTTTTTTCATGGGAGTTGACCTGCCTCTTCTTGGTTATATTTCTCTCTCTCCTCTTTTTTCTGCTTGCTCCGCCGCCTTTTCCTTCGCATTAATTAATCTCACTGCTTTTGACCCAGACTCATCACATCCAGTTCTGTCATGGATCAAAAAAACAACGGTCATTTTATCTCAATTAAAAAGATAAAACGCACGATCGATATCCTGTACAAGAAGATCCGATCGCAGATTCTGTGAGGCGTAGAATTCTCGCTCCTCAGAAGGCGTATGCGTTGACCGAGTCCGACTCCTTGGGGTGGTACAGAATCCGCTTGAACACGCCCTTGAACCGATCGTGCCCGGCCATCTCCTTCAAGACCTTATCCTCCTCCTCTTCCTCGCCGTCGCCGGAGCTGCTCCGATCAGCCTCCGGCGAGAAGACCAGCCGGGATAGGCGGTCCTTCTCCACCTGCCGCAGGTACTTGTCCCCCTCCCTCGATCCGGCGGTGATCAGATGGTACACGTAGACCACCCTCTCCTGCCCCAGCCGGTGGGCCCGGCTGACCGCCTGCCGCTCCACAGCGGGGTTCCACACCACGTCAAGGAGCACCACCCTCGAGGCCCCGGTGAGGCTAATCCCCTCCGAGCACGCCCTCGTAGACGCCAGCAGCAGCCTCGCCGAGCTCTCCTCGTTGTTGAACCTCTCGATCACCGCCTGACGGTGACCCGACCCCATCTTCCCGTCCATCCTCAGCACCTCCTTCCCCTCCTTCCACCCGAATATCGCCGCCATCTGCCTCATGATCAGCTGCAGGGGCTCCAGGTACTGCGCGAAGACCAGCACCCTCTCCCCCACCGCCCCGCACAGCCGCACGAGCTCCGCTACGAACCTCGTCTTCACTCCCTCCCCTGGGTCCAGTCCTCCGTCCCCCTCCGCCACCAGCGACGGGTGCACCGCCGCCAGCGCGCCACGGTACTCCGCCGCGAAGCTGGAGGCGCCGCGGCCCCCCTCCTCCTCCGCCGCTCTCATGGCCTCCCGTTGCGCCGGCGGGGGGTCGAGCACCACGAGGCAATCCCGCAGTCCCGGTAGGCTCTTCAGGCTGCCGCTGCCGCCGTGGACGTGGACGAAGGGCCGCATCATCGAGCGGAGCTGCTCCAGCGCCTCGCCGGAGATGGCGACGTCGCTGGTCAGCGCCGCCCACCGGTCGCCGGAGAAGAAGGGGCGGACCAGGCGGAGGGTGTTGTAGAGCTCGCCGAAGTTGTTCTGAAACGGCGTGCCGGAGAGGATCACCCGCCGCCGCGTCTCCACCAACCGCAGCGCCTGCCACAAGCGGCTCTGGTCGTTCCTCGCCGTGTGGCCCTCGTCCAGAACCAGCAAACTCGGCCTCTGAAGCAGGAGCTTCCCCCATCGCCCGCCCCCGGCGAGCTTCGCGAACAGGCAGTAGCTGACCAGGAGGACGCCGCCGCCGCCGCTGGCCCACCGGTCGAGCGCCTCCCGGCGGCCGGAGAGGGGGGCCTCGTTGAGGAGATGAACGGGGATGTTGACCTTCCATTTCTGGAACTCCATGCTCCAGGTGAGCAGCATCCCACGGGGGGCTATCACCACGGGGCGGCTCTCTGGGAACACGCGCAGGAAGCTGTGGAGGAAGACGATGGCGAGCCGGGTCTTCCCCGTGCCCGGCGCGTGGGAGATCATGCAGCCCCCCGAGGCGCCGCCGTCGCCGGAGACGGTGGCGGTGGCGGAGTCGTTCTTCTTCACACTCTCGAGGGAGAGGTCGCCGGCCATGTTCCGCCACAGGAACTCGAAGGCTTCTTGCTGATGAGCGTACAGCGTTGACTTCACTCCGGGGATGACGTCCCATACGGTGGCCCCCTCCGGGTTGACTTCGAATCCTGGGGGGCTCCTACTCCCGAGGAAGTCATCCGGCAGCGGCGGCGGGCGGTTCTCTCTTCTGACGCCCATGATGGGTTGACCAGATGGTCCTCCACTGCGGCGGTCAGCGGCCTAAAAGCGGAAATAATATTAAAAGAAGAAGAAGTGGGCAATCATGATCCCCGGCGACGGAGAACTGAGCCAGCGGTCGTGATTTACCAGAGATGGAAGGATGTATTTGATCTCCAGCTTCACGTCGGGGCATTGACTGCATCTGATTCCAATCTGCTCGTCGAGAATAAGTTGGTGCCCGCCCCCGTTACAGAGGGGGAAAGGGTGGCCCCTCCCCCCCTCAGGCTCCTCCGCCTCTTTATGCTCATTCTAAGAAGATCAAGAACACATGATGCCAGTTGAAGCCAAGCCCACCAAAAGTAAATTAAATATATAATAAAAAAATAAAAAATAAAATAAAAAAGAAGAAGAAGAAGGAACATGATTGCCTTCACTGACATCAAGATGAGAATTATAAAGTCGTGAAACCTATCCAAAAAAAGGAAATTTAGGGTATATAATATAAGAAATGAACCTTTTTCTCTCGTCTGGTCTCCTTCTTTGACCATGGGGAACAGCTATGATCCTGGTCGTTAAGGTTTCAGAAGACCCAATCACGTCATTTATTCATTAATTTCGACGTGAAATTATTCTAAAATGTCTCATCATAAGTCAACTATGGGATTTCTTTCCAATTATCGGGTCCAATACCCTGTTGAAGTATTGCGTTGACCGGAGCAATGCATTGACGAAGAGGGACATTTAAACACAGTATCTTTATTCCATCCTACTGGAAAGTGTTTCTCTTACTGGACAAATATGGGTTTATGCCAACTGATGTCGGCAGATATAATCCAAACAGTCCAAAAATGCCCATCCTCTGGCCCATTTGGAAACGAATAGATGAGAGCTAGATACGAGGGAAAGAAATAACAAAATCAAGAACTATGGCTATCTGATTCATATCGGGATCAAAGTGTCAGCTTTCCAATTGCCTGATCCAAGGGAGGAGCCCGACTTGGCAAAAAAGAAAATGAAATAAAGGGTTATATTAAAAAGTTTATTAAGAAAGTACATATAAAGAGAGGGAATTGGATTCACTAATGGTATAAAAGCGATCCAATCTTGGTAAGATTTTTAAACAGACCTCAATCTTCAATAAATATCCCAACACCCTGTCTAAAACATTTTCGGGGAATGAACAGAGGTGGAAGCGTGGAGGCTGCGGAAGGTGTGTGAGTTGTAGACTGGAAGAGGCACGTGGTAGCAGCTCAACTGATCAGCAGAAATTGGCAAAAAAGCCAAATCATCTTGTTTTCTCTTCTATTTTTTTTATCCTCATGCTCCACCCTCCGCTAGAGAACAGCATTTTCCATAGTCATCCCTTTATAACAGCACTGTTGTTCGAATACCACAGATTTGAGTAAGATATCAGGCCAGAACAACCAGACAGTGGTCAAATCCCCACAGAATTGGCAGATTTCATGTTGCTTCAGCTCGAATCGGATGTCTCGACGGACTTATTCAACTTTTAAAAAATCTTTTCTGGAAAAGGTTGATTAGAATCGATTCGAAGCACCATTGGGTATCTGGGCCCTTGAATGTGAAAGTGTTTTATTCCAAACCAAAATCCCTCTTCTAACCAGCTTTGTGGAGGCCATGCAGACGATCAGAAAATATGCCATATATAGTGCATTTAAACTTCATTCGAGAAGCCTTATCTAATCGAGCTTTACAACTCAAAATCCCCTATTTTATCTGTTCCATTTTATAAACAGGTGGAAAAAGGAAAAAAATGCAAAGGTCAAAAAAGAGCATGAAGCATGAATAAATCGTCTTTCCTTCTCAAGCTCACTCATGGACTCAGACCATGAAACCTCTAAAGAAAAAGCAACGAAGTACCAGAGTAGAAAGACAGACAAGCGAGGGAGATCTTTTTCCTGAATTGACCTGACTCTGGAGATTCTCTATAGGGGCGTACCTTGTAGGGGCTGTAGGAGCCAATATCGTTTGAATGCAGAACAAAATCAAATTCAGCCCATAGCTCATCCAATTTCCTTTCATACTCGGGCTTCTCAGCCGGCTCCAAGTTGTCATCTCCAAAAGAGAATATTAAAGGGAGGGACTCATTATTCTTGGTAGTAGGATGACCGTGCGGAAATGTCCCAGTTTCTGGCAATAACTCGTCCAGGAGGTTGCCCACGTTTCCCCGGAGGGAATCACCTTTTAGCGTCTGCTCACGCTTCCTCTTTTTGGATTTGCCGAAACGAAGATCCTGCGGCTTGGTTGCAGGGGACGTTTTTATTGGGACTGTTGTTGCTTTCCCTTGAACACGACCCTCAGCATCTAATACATTTGATCTTGCTGACTTACCCAGGGTTCTCCTGCCACTATCTTCGTTTTTTTCACCATCAGTCTCAGACGATGATGACGATGACAAATGTGATGAAAAACTCGGAAATGTTTTCTCACCATCTGAATCGTCTATTTCTACGTACACCATATCTGGACTCTCCAACTTTTTGAAATAAACAGAGTAATCAAACGCCTTGCACTTGTCCCCAAAAAGTTTTGATCTCGTCCTCATCGCTACGCAGTTTTTCATCACATGACCGGAATGCCACATACCTTTTGCTGAACCTGAACAAGTATTTGGCTTGCTCATCCGTCTGCTAGGATTGGTTTCAGCATCTGCACTCCTATCAACAATGGGCTTTTCAAAGACAGGAACCCCTTCTCCTGGAGGAGGAGACTCCAGACAGGCGTCATCAGATTGTAATCTCGACCTTTTCGCATTAGCCTCGAAGAGAAAGCTTCTTCCTGATTCAAACACATCTTTGGCCGCGCCAACATTTATGAGCACACAATCATCCGAAGAGACGCAGTGGGATTCATCAGAATTATGATCAGAAACCACCCTGCAAGAGGAAGACGCCGCCCCGCTATCCTCGACAGATCGATCCGCAACATGGACGATCCAAGTAGTATTCGACCTGTCATCATCGGATAGCTCGAGGCTTGTACCCTCGCCGGTAATCTTGACAGAACCCCAGCGACACAGTGAAGCAGTATTCGGCCGATCGTCTCTCTTCCTCAAGCCTTCCGAGACCGATGACGACGAGACGCCGGCTGGAAGAAGAACGAGATGGTTCTGAGATAACATCCTCGACCTGGTTCTCGCTGCCACCGGCGTGGACCTGCCGTCCGATCCCTCGCTCTCTCGCCGGCGGTTGCTCTCGCTCGCCGCCGGCGCTGCCGCTATTGCACCGGCAAGGGCACAGCGCCTTCTCGTCCTCGCCACCACGCTCCGTCTCCTCTGCATCGCCGGAAGACGTGGAGACGGAAACCACAGAGACAGAGAGAGAGAGAGAGAGAGAGAGAGAGAGAGAGAGAGAGAGAGACGAGTCCCCTCGTAGCCTTGGAGGAAAATCCCGCCAAAACGCTCATGCAATCGTGCGCCATCCGATTGAACCCGCACGTGTGTAAATAAGCTGGGAATATTATTATTCGCATGCATTCCCAATAACATCAGTTGATCAACAAAATTGTTCCGTAGGAACACCAGAAACCCGTTATACGTCTCCTTGAATATATGTTCCTTGCAGGGCTGAGATGGGCCAATCTGCAGCCCAAGCCGTAAAATTGGGCCTCAAAGTTTGAATATGACTTCATTAGGCCCATTTATAAACGGCCCATTTATTCTATGGCCCATTAAAACCGTGGGGCCCGCTGAGAGTCAGAGAGTCAGCATCAGCATTAATCTTAAAAAGGGGGATTTTTTCTAAAAAAATAGCTAGAACAGATAATTATTGGAAGATTGCACCCTTGACGTGGACTGCCTCGATGACGTCTCTCGTCCTCGTTCTAGCTTCCTGCGCAAGTAACTCTTCTTCTTTTCCCCGATCTCCCTCTCTCTCTCTCTCTCTATCTCTCTCCTCTCTACCTCTACCTCTACCTCTACCTCTACCTCTACCTCTCTCTCTCTCTCTATTTCTCTGCCTTTTTCTCTCTCCATCTTCATTGTCCCCCATCGCCATCTGTCGGCCTGTCGCCTCTGGTCGTGAAATCAGCTCCGGCAATAAAAGCTGGAAGCGAAAGGCGATTGAGGGAAAGCCAGAGCCTCATGGGGCAGCTGCGAGCAATCAATGCGGAGAAGAAGACGGAAGAAGGAGAATAGGGTTATGTCGTTTTGGGGGCGAGTACTCAGGCGGTGGTGGACGAGTTCAATACCCGTCCATCGGTCGACCGTCGACCGCCGCCGAAGAAGACGAGAGAGAGAGAGAGAGAGAGAGAGGGAGAGGAATAATTTTCTCCTCTGAAAATTTATGGCAGATTTTGGAGTTTGACTCGGCAGGGGACCAGAAGTCAATGGAGGTTTTCTCCCAAATTAGCCGAAGTTGGACGATGGAATCGGCCAATGAGAAGGACGAACCTGTTATTTAGTCAAAGTACGACTGAAGCGATGGTAACAAGAACCCACTGTTCCGTACACAAGAGAGAGATATAGAGAGAGATAGAGAGAGATATATAGAAAGAGAGAGAGAGAGAGAGAGAGAGAGAGCGCGTTGAGGTGGGGAAGGGTTTCATGGTTGTTGTCTTTTGAGGCACGCATCCTGCGGAAGAGACGAGGAAAACTTGAAAGCTGTCCCCTTTTCGGGGATACGGTCTTCCTAGAGGCACCGCGGTCTTGTATTTTTTCTATCTTCTGCTTCGCCACCGTTGCTCAGATTTATTCCCTTCAAACGCCAATTTCTGCTTGCCGTAGACATTTTGTTCAGGTCTTCCACTCCATGCTTCTTCCCTCTTTCTATTTCCGGCGGTTTCATCTGATCTCTCGGTGAATCTCTCAGATTCTCGCGGTTTCGGCAGGAATTTCATCCCCCCACGCCTGTTGCTGCTCCATTTTCCCTTTCCACCTGATCTTCTTCCCTCCGATCCTAAAATCTCCCGGTCTGTCTCTCGCCCTTTCTGCTCCGTTTTCCTCGTTGTGGCCTGATGGGAAGAGAAGAACTGGCTCTTCAGAGTCACGGAATCTGAAGGTCGCACTTCGCCTTTCATCTGATCTGCCGTGAAATCAGTCATGAAGTGCTTCCCCTTCTTCAAGGAGAAATTCCGAGGCTTACCTTCGGAACGAAGATCAGCCCCAGCTTCCATTTCCAACTCGAAGCTTGTGTCCACATATGGCACTGGAACCAGCGCCTCCTGTGGATCAGAGACCAACAAGAACTCATGCAAGTCTTCAGGCTCAGCGTCTTCAACCCGCAGCATACCAGCCGTGTTTGACGAGAAGGCCCACAACCTGCGGGTCTTTGATTTCAAGGAGCTCTCCAATGCAACGAATGATTTCAGTCGGCTGCTGAAGATCGGCGAAGGTGGATTTGGGAGCGTCTACAAGGGCTTTATAAAGTCCCCCGAAGCTCCAGGGAGAAGAGCCACGGTGGCCATTAAGACTCTTAATCAGAACAGTCTGCAGGTGAGAGAAGAAGAAGAAGAAGAAGAAAATTCCCATCTTCTTGGACTCATAATGCATCCATCGTGTGCCCACCATTTTGGATGAACTGAGAAGTGATTAATTAGGTGGATAGCTCTTTTCAACTGGGTTTTCTTTGTGGTTGGCTACCCGAGTTTTAATCAGCTTCAGCTGATTTTCAATTGGTTTCTTAGATATTTAGATTTTCTGCTGGGGTCTGACAAATTTTCTCCAAACTGCTGATCCCATTATTTTTTTGTGCACATTGTGTGGATCTTTTCCCTCTGGGTAGCATGCAAGCATGATTTATTTATATTTTACTAAATATCCATTGCCTTTTTATTATTTTTTCAGGGGCATAAACAATGGTTGGCAGAAGTTCAATTCCTCGGTGTTGTTGATCACCCTAATCTGGTAAAACTCGTTGGATACTGCGCTTCAGATAATGAGAGGGGCATCCAGAGGTTACTGGTCTATGAGTATATGCCTAACAAGAGCTTAGAGCATCATCTCTTTAACAAGGCTTATCCTGTTTTGCCCTGGGATAAGAGACTGAAGATAGTCGTGGATGTTGCAGAAGGATTGAGATATCTCCATGAAGGGCTGAGTATCCCGGTCTGTTCTACAACCCTAAGACTCTACTGGTGCCTCTTTTTTCCATAGTCATCTTATTTTCATTTCCATATACTTTTCTTCTAGTTTTCTTGAGGAATTAAATCTCCTCAACAGTCATTTATGCCTAAATTCAGACATTTTTTAGATCGATGGGTATAATAACCCATGCAATTTTATGATGAACAGCAGGAGATCCGGAGTCCTGCTCGGGCTTAATCATAATAATTAATTATCTAGAGCCTGCAGGTTCTGTGTCATGGTTCCTGGGCTTTAGTGGGTTGCAGGGTGCCCACCAGGTCTCCTTACCCACGAACTTAGCAGTTTTCACTGTTTCTTTTTTATATATATAACGAATTCTGGTTTCATCTCCTTCCAAAGAGGATTCTCTCCTCTAATTCGGTTCAGTTTTTTATTATTAGGTTCACATTATTCTATTTTTGGTACATTAATTCAGTTTATGATTCGAGGGAATCTGGGGTTGACTTTCTTGAAACCAAATCTCAGAGTCTGAGAAGAATGCTCACATTCTGATTTTACAGTCTGAAAAGGGCCGGGATGAATCAGGGACCTAAGCTCATGCCCAGAGCATGGAGAAAAACTGATCACATCGTCTAAATTTAGTTCATTTATGATTGCCCAGAGCATGGTGAAAAACGGATCACATCGCCTAAATTTTGTTCATTTATGATTGCCCAGAGCATGGAGAAAAACAGATCACATCACCTAAATTTAGGGTACTTATGAGTTGACTTTCAACCTCAGTTGCGATATATATATATATATATATATATATATATATATATATAGATAGGTTTTGCTGATTGTCGAGTGGAGGATACCCAGTTGACTGATTGGCGGCTGTTGAGCTTGCTTTCTTGCTCTGAAATCTCTGTGGTTGATGAGCAGGTTATATTTCGGGACTTCAAGGCGTCCAACGTGCTGTTGGATGAGAACTTCAAGCCAAAGCTGTCGGACTTTGGGCTGGCCAGGGAGGGACCTTCAGACGGGCGCTCCCATGTCTCTACGGCGGTATGCTCCTTGCTCATCTTGCAGAGTATTTTCCCCAATTTGCTGTTCTACCCTAGAACCAGGAAGAACCCTAGAGAAGAGGCAGCCTACACTGGAACAGAAGAAAGTTCTCAGGTATATTGAGGAAGATCATTGAGGGGAAGGGGTTTTTTTTTTTCAGAGGGATGGAGCCCGTAGAACTAGGAAGAACCCTAGAGATGGCAGCCTGACCAAGAACAGGAAGAAGTTTGTCGAGCATAGTGAGGAAGAGAATTGAGGGGAACGGGTTTTTTTTTTCAGAGGGATGGAGGGGTTGAAGCTTGGATAGAATCATTCTGTTCTTTGGGGGGTGGGAGTTCTTGATTTCCTTGATTAGGGTTTGTTTTTTCTTTAATAGAAGGAGAGAGGACCTCCCTGCCTGCCCTCTTTGGCTTTTCCTCCTCCGGTTCCAAAATAGAACCATAAGCTTAGGTTCCCTAGAGAGGAGGAATAGGCGGGTGATATTAGGATCTCTCCATGCCAGACTGCGGCTGGTTTGCAGATCCTCTCGAGGAAGTAGATCACCTCATGGCTGCTGAATCTTCAGGCCTGGTTCTTCCTCCTCCTAACAAGTGGAACACAGGATTTGTAATCAGGGGGGACCAGTCTTCGTCTCCCTCGGCGCGGCGCCCTTCTGGAACCCTAATTTTATTAGGATCTCCTCCATGGTAGACTGCGGCCGGTATGCAGATTTTCTCGGGGAAGTAGATCACATCATGGCTGCTGCATCATCAGATCTGGTACTTCTTCCTAGCCAGTGGAACACGAGATTAATGAAACCCTAATTCCGCAGGTGATGGGAACCCACGGGTACGCAGCCCCGGAGTACATCGAGACGGGGCACCTGACGACGAAGAGCGACCTCTGGGCCTTCGGCGTCGTCCTCTTCGAGATACTCACCGGCCGGCGGGCGCTGGACAGGAACCTACCCAAGCCGGAGCAGCGCCTCCTCGACTGGGTGAAGAAGTTCCCTCCGCGGAGCCATAGGTTCGCTGCTGTGATGGACCCCCGCCTGGAGCAGCGCTACTCAGCCGCGGCGGCGCGGATGGTGGCGGAGCTCGCCAATGCCTGCCTCGCCAAGAGCCCCAGGGACCGCCCCGCCATGGGAGAGGTGGTCGAGAGCCTCCGCCGGGCCCTGGAGGTGACGGAATCTGGCGAAGAGCCGGAGGATCAGCCGGCGGCGTCGCCGCGGTCGAGCGACGCCGCCGCCGGCGGGGAGGAGCAGGAGGGTGGAAAGGGCGCCGGCGTCGCTGCGTCTACGAAGAGGCGGCTCTTCCACCTCGCCAAACTAGCGGAGACCGCCAATGCAGAACACATCAGGAGGCTCTACCCAATGCACCGGTTTAACCGAGGCTGACGATCGACCTCACCTTCTGGTCTTCTCTCGGCTGCCTGTAACCAGTGGGTATTCTTCTGACAAGCTCTCTCTCTCTCTCTCTCTCTCTCTCTCTCTCTCTCTCTCTCTCTCATGGACTGGTGTGCATTCTTCTAAGAATGCCCTCCCACACCCTCCTACATTCCCATGTTGACCGAATCCATCCGCTACGTAGACCCAAGCTTGGGGGTATTCATTAGACTCTATGCAGGCCTTGGAACGACACTCGAGTCGACCCAACACGTGGTGGCAGCTGGTGCTAACGATTTGCTAGATGATTGACAGTGCGCAAGATTTCAACTCAGCTTGCACGCAAAAAGTCAATTTGAGCGTAGGATTTTGCTTTCCAGACCCTATAGAAGATATTATTGCAGATGAACACCAGTAAAAGTGTGCCCGCTCTATGATTGCCGAGTAGAGAAAGATAGAGAGAGAGAGAGAGAGAGAGTGCGAAATAAGCTATCATTATCAATACAAGCACAAATGAATTAAGTTTAATTCAACAAGCAAGTTTATAATTACATGTTCTAGAGAGAGAGGGAAAGAAAGGAACGCTGGGAGTAGGCAGACGATTGCATCTATCTAGATGCGGGCAGATGTCTCTCTCCTCCATTCCAGCACTTAGAATCTGCCACAAGGCCAATGCTGACACTACCACTCTTCAAACTACCATCAGAACGACTAAATCTCAACACAAACAGCCCCAACCGAGTGAAACTGCACAGAAATCATGCACCAAACCAATGTTCTTCCAAGCAGCATCAACGGGCACACTGAAAAGGCCAGATACCACTTCTCTCTCTCTCTCTCTCTCTCTCTCTCTCTCTCTCTCTCTCTCTCTCTCTCTCTAAATAGAAGATTATATGCATGAAGGCATGGTATAATTAAATAACTGCGTGGTTAATATACCCCACTCTCAAGAAATGATAGAGAGAGAGAGAACTGAGGACACAAGAACGAGGATTTCCCATATGAATGTGGGTATCTACTTACTCCTTCCTACATGATATCGCAGATCATGCCATGGATAGGCATCGATGATAGACCAAGGGAGGGGGGTGTTCCTATCAATAGGAATCTACCTATTCAATCTATATATATATATATATATATATATATGATCGGACGAAGTCTTCCTTGCTAGATCACCCCATATATGGAGATCTACCTGCTCATCACTACATGATAGAACAAGGGAGGATTCCACCGTATCATGATATCTTATATAAAATGGGCATCTCGACGGTCGAACAGGGGAGGGGCTCCTAGTATGTATGGATATCTATCTACCCACTTATCACAACATGAAAGGACGTAAAAGGATCATTGAGGTGCGTGCGAGAGTAGGATCTGCTGCTTCCAGTTTAGGAGCAGGACCCAGAGTTCACTATCCATTGTGATAGCTAGTGGGTGAATTCAAGAACAGGTTTTGCTCACGAGATCATACGAGATATCTCTATAAATGGGCATTTGTTGTATAGACGAGGGAGGGAAGCGGTTCCCAATGTATATGGATATCTACCCACTTATATCACTGCATTATATAACATGTCACTAGATCATGTATAGAATTATATGGGCATCCATTCCCTCATCACTAGGAGATAGATTGAGCAAGATCTTGCTTCCTGGATCATCCAAGCATGGAAGGAAAGGTGATTGGAGTTGCAGAAAAGATCTCACCTGAGATGACGTGACAAAGATTTTTTGAAAGAAATCGTTCTGATTTCTTTTGATAAAAGCCAAAAAAAAAAAAAACAATCGTTTTGATAAGTTTGATTTTCGTCCAAAAAACACCACCTCTTCCACTGGTGTCTGGTACCCATCTTCAGAGAAGAAGAAACCAAAAAGGCCAAGAGCCAAGCTGACATCTATCTCTGTTCCTCGATGTGCTCTCTTTCTCTAGTTTAAGGGTTTCCTGAAAGATCACACAGGCCATGAATTCCCCATTATATCATATCCATCTCAAGGAACTAACACCAAAAGGGGTTGAACTTTGATTATCTTTGCTACGATTATTGTCAGCATGAGATTCTATACATGCAAAACTAGGGAGCAAGATCTCGTAGAACTCCGTTACAGCATAAGAAAATGCCTCCAGACGTTAGCTTCACCGATTTTCTTATACAATATGTGCAGTTTTAATGCAGATAAAAGAGTTCTTCTCAATGTGCATATCACCACACGTGTGACATGAAGTGTTCTCTATTTCACTAGTTTCAGGTTTCTTGCAGGATTCCATACGCCATTAATTCCCAAATAAATCCATCTTTGTCATGATTGCTGTCCGCTCGAGTTTCCTTAGAAAGCAAGAACCGGAGAGCAAGATCTCATCCTACGACTCCATTATTAAGCAAAGAACTCCAAGTGTAGTTTGACAGGTCAACTCTTATACGACAGGTCAACTCCATTACCCAAGGTGATACAAAAAAATAAGCACATGATTCCAAATCCCATCTCCCCACTAACCCCCCCATCCAGCTGCGCATGTCCCACTCACTGCCCCTGCAGACACAGTCAAATCCATGCTGCCCACAAGATAAATTCGAGAGTAGAAGTGAAGCTCGCATGTCACCAGCTGGATACATATTTTGAGAGTATAAAGAGAAATGGAGGGCATTTCATGGCGTCAACAGATTCCATTTGTATCAAAAAATTGGGCCATCCAATCAATTTAGCATATTAACTTTCCTTGTATAGATCCATCTCAGCCAGAAAATTGGGTATCTAAGTTAGTGATGTGATGTGGGACTATAATTCTTTCCAGTTAGGAAAGCCACGTGGCAGTACGAAGCTCAATGCAAGCCACGTGTCCAAGCGCAACCTTCTGCAAAGCCATCATTTGTTACAAAAGTTGAGCCACCTGAGACTCCTCTTCCAAATGATAGCATAACATCTCTGGTGATCGTTAGAGAACATATCCAAAAAACCCTCACAGAAAAATTTTCAAATTAGCTGGTATTGACAGCAGAGTTTCTCTCTCTAAATACCAAATGATTTTTACTCAACAGAAGCGATTGAAGCATAGACCTTCTCCGTCTCATGGAGTTCTCAACAGAGATAGAAGAAAACATGTATTTCACACACAAACACCAAGCCATATATATTGGTGTACCAAACTCATGTGCTGCAACTTGGTCTTTCTTACAGAGAAACTGAGTCAGAAAATCCAAAACATTACCGTCTGCTCTCCGTCTTATAACTGAACTTCTTAAGGGCTCCCCACAGTTACTAACATGCGGTCAGTCCAAAGCATGTAGGCATCATATCCAGAAGCTCCACACAATCCAAGGCCTACAGCACTTAGGGGAGGCGTAAAATCTGTCATAAAGACAAATCCAGATGTGAACATGAAGCAACATGCTTCTGGCTCTAGATAAAATGAAAGGAATGCCTCTTGCAAGCAAATGACTACCAGCGAAGGGAAGGGAAGGGAAAGGAGATGACAAGCACAACCCACTCGGTCTCTCTGATGAGAAGTACTATCAAGATGTTAAAAGTGGGAGTAAACTTGTCAAAGAGAGAGAAATGTGCACCTCAGTAGTAGGATCCTGATCCGCTGCCACCGAGATATCCACCGCCACCCATCCCACGGCTAGAATACAAGGATGAATAAGAAGAGCCCCCTCCGATCTGGGATGGATACCAAAACACGTTGTTGACATCACGAGAATGGATAGTATATCATATCAACATTGATATAAATAAAGGATAGAGAAAATTACTTGAGACCGAGATACGTAAGAATTGTCACCGTAACTAGAGGAGTGCATTCCTCCAACATCACCACTTCTTGCAGAACCTGAAACCAAAACAGCAACAATTAAATTTACAAAAAAGATATTTGGGGAAATTAGATGATAAGATCTTAGAGCCTTGACATACCCCCAGAGTAGTTCATACCATAACGACTGCTACTGTACGCAGAATGTGATTCCTGACCAGAAAGAGAACTTCGATTGCTGCCATAGCCAGCATGGGATCTACTTAGCCTGCAATTCAAGAACCACAGAAAAGTATTTAAAGAAACGTCCAGATGACATGTGTGTGTGTGTGTGTGTGTGTGTGTGCAACCACTGTGAGAACAACCTTTCGCCATATGAATCATATTCACTGCTGCTACTAACACCATAATCAAAACGAGGTCTTGACTGGCGAGAACTCACATCACCATAGCGTGGAGGAGTATCATCCTACAAGATAAAAACCGAACATATCAAACCGTTACTTTTGACCAAACAAAGGTCAATTGAACATGTAGAAGATTCAAAAGCATGAAGTAATTCAAACGAAATCATACAATTGCCGCATAAGGACGCTTGGAACCGGATATGGAATCATAATCACGGCCATGGCCTTCGCGATACACTGAGAGAGGCCTTTCAAGCCTTCGCCCATATCCTTCATCATCATAGCTTCTTCTAACAGCTGTTGTCCGTGAAGCACTTCGAGGTGCATCATCAGCATAAGCAGGTCCATGCAAATCATATGCATCTCTGTAGGAGGAACGCCTTTCTGCTGGATCTCTAGTAGCATACTCAACTGGAGCTCTGCTTCTGGGGGGAAGTTCACGTCTAATAAATTCCCTTTTTGAGGAAGGCCTCGGATATGAATCAACTGTTCAAAATAAATTATATTAGATAACAAGAAACAGGAACCTTAGTAAAAATCAAGCTCAAGCCCACCGAAGAGAAACGAATTTTACTTGGTGGCCTTCGATCATAGGAACGCCCTGGGGGAGGTAGTTGCCTAATTCTCTCTGCAGTACCCATAATGGGCCGCCTACTTTTAAAATCTGTCGGTCTCTGGACTCCACGGACTCCAATGGGTGCTCGACCTCCAACTGGCCTTGAGCTGTGATCGACCATTCTATAAGGTAGAGGACGACTCCATGAGAAACGACCACCCCTTGATACTGTCCTCTCTGTTCTCAAAAATTCTACTCGCCGGCCAAACTTCCCTCTTCCCTTCTGAAGTGGACGAGATAATCTAGCCCTGACTTTGACCTGAAAACGCAAATCGAAATAAATACGAAATTGAAACGAGCACAGACCTGTTATATCCAACGAATATAAATGTTCTCCCAGCAACAACACTTTATCTGCATAAATTAGATTTAATACTGCCATGGTAAATAAACCAAAAAAGACCTTTTTGTCTCCTTCGCCAAGCTCTGTATTATTGATGCTTTCCGCACACTTGACTGCAGAATCATGAGTGTCAAAAGTGACAAAACCAAAATCCCTCCTCTTAGCTGATGGCATATTACGGGCAAGTTCCACCTTCTCGATGTGACCAAATTTCTTGAGATAATCCCTGAGACGTTCCTCATCCCATGCAACAGGCAGACCATCTACAAATACAGTTTTCACCTGAAATGGGACAATACTAGCATTGAACATCAAGCTTCCTCCAAACAGACACGAACATAGAGCACATTCAGAAACAAGGTATAAACCTGTGCCATGATTTCATCGTCAGGCTCAATGAAAGAATCTGCAAAGGACACTTTAGCGATTCTATCAACCCCAAATACAACATCTCTCCTCCTTAAGCACCTATACGCATCCATTGCATCTTTGCGAGATGCAAACTCCAAGAAAGCAAACCCTCGGTTATTTCCCTCGTTATTGCTATCTTCAACTAATGTTAAATCCTCAACATTATCAACTCCGTAATGCTTCAACTTCGCCTTCAGCTGAAATTATGTTTGAAAGTAACGTAAGCATAAAGTTAAGTCTAAAAATCACAAATGTTGTGGAAAATCAGGATACCAATTTACATACATCTTCCTTAGTCCATGTCTTGCATATATTGCCCAGAAATAGGGTATCATTGTCTTGACTTGGGGAAACGCCACATTGTTTCCCATTGACCTGAAAACCAAAGTATGAAAATCATCCATCAGCAACTGAAACCTTCACGAGATCCAGGCGATCTTCACCTAAGATTTCTCATACTTGACGTGAACAGAGAAAATACCACTGGGTTCTTCAATTCTGCAACAGCTCGTTTCGCTTGTTCAACTGTAGCAAATCGTAGGAACGCAAAACCCTTGTTCTTCTTTGTAAGAGGATTCTTCATCAGTCGGACTTCCACCACTTGACCAACTTCACTGAAGACCTTCTTCAAATCCTCTTCAGATGCATCCTTGTCTAGGCCACCCACAAAGACTTCAAACTCCTTCCTCTTGCGACGATCAGTCACTACTTCGTGATGCTCTTCATCTTCAACGACATCATTCTGCTCCTCTTCAGCATCTTCATCGTCTTCTTCTCCTTCAACATCTTCGCCATCACTTTCTATTTCTTCAATCATGTCAGCTTCATCAGTTTCACGAATACCACCACCATGGCCATCTTCCTCTACATCTTCCTCACCTGCATCCCCCTCTGCCAATTCATCCTCATTCTCTAGATCTTTCCCATCATATTCCATTATCGGTTCCTCTTCAGGATCATATTCAAGTTCAGTGTCATCCAGATCTAACCTCTCGCCTTTATCTTCTTCGGCATAAACCTCTTTCGTATCCTCTTCCTCTGCAGTTCCAGAAGGTTTCCAAACTTATTGAACTTTTACATACATAAGTATAGAAGAAAAGTGAAGGAAACTCCGGGATGCACAACAAGCTTGTTTTCCAAAGGAGCAGTCTGACTTCTGAGACTGTCAATTAATAAGGACAAGACGTAAGACGTAGAATGACTGCTTACAAGCTCCATAAATACTTACATAAAGGACTGTCGATCAAGGCACAAGAAAATCTGTGCCAGTACCAGATCCAAATTTCATTCAGCTTTCTCAACGACAAATCAGTCATACCAAATTGACTTGGTTTTTACAACAAAACGCATCAGAATGCGCAAATGATCCACAGCCCACAGACACGCCGTGATAAATCAAAATTAGAAAATGCAGAAAAAACGAAAACACTCATGGATGCATAAATATGCAGCCTTCAGTTTCAACTACGTGAAAAAAATCATCTCGGAAATCTATGCAAAAATAGCATACACCATGTATGAATAAATACAATCCAAGTTGGGGAAACATGAGAAATAAAACGTCGAGGAATACCGAATAATGACATAAAAAAACTCACAATAAAAGGGCTGGCGGATTTAATTGTTCCCATGAAAGGGAAAAACGTACAACGCCGCGAGATAATTAAGATCCCAACATTCAAAAGTGAGGACATGAACAAAAAACTACCATGATTGAAACAAGGGCAGATCGAAAGGCGTACCAACGGACCCATTAGCATCGGGCACAAGCTCTGGCTCGGGAGGCGTCACCTCGGTCGTCTTCACTACCGCCTCCTCTTGGGCGGTCTTCTCCGTCTCAGTCGGGCCCCCTGCAGGCCTACCCCTCGTCGTCCTGGCCCCCGCCCTCTTGACAGCCCCGGAGGACGCTCCCGACGTCTTCCTCACCGTCCGAGGAGGCATCGCCGCAATCTTACAAACAAGAAACTAGGATCTTACGCGCGAACGCCACCGAAAGGAAGATCAAAAACGCCTCCGAGAGCGGATTTTTCTTTTCCGGTGCGACGATAGGCGCGGTAGAAAGAAACCCTAAATCTAATCGTTCGCCCGCATATTTGAAGACGTGTCCAACTCGGATAGTCCTCGAATCCATAGGAGACGGCTAGACCGGGCCGGGCCTGCCCGAAGGAAACCCGGAAGATGATATCCACGTGGCGCTTCGCGAGAAGAGAGAGAAGGTAAAGATGCCACGTGGTCAAACTCGAGGGCCACTTCAGGAGAACCCAACCCGAATGAAGCACTTCTAATTAAACAATTATTTTTTTACAATAAAAAAGTGTACCTTTTTTGGTATTAACTTGGTAAAAGAGTTTATATTATTATCTTGGTAATAACTTATCATTGAAAGCAGTCAAAAAAAGATTCATTTTAAATAGCAAAAAAAGGAGCAAAATGGTGTAAAAATAGTTAAAAAATAATAATGTGCACCTTTTTTGACGCAAGGCCAAGAAACTCTAGCAGAACTCGCTTGTTCTAAACATGACACGTACCCAATAGAATGGCATATTTTTACATATATTTTAAAATTAACGAAAATAAAAATACGATTTTATTCAGGATATTTATAAACCTCAATCTACTTCGCTTCACTTTCATTAAAAAAATAATATCGTATTTTAGAAAATATATATAGGATGAAATGATATGACTAGATGGATACCCAATAAAGCTGACAGAATGTGGCAAGAGAACTGAAGGCAAGAAATAGAAATGGGAGAAACAAATATGGATATTATTATAATGAAGGAAAATATGAATTATTCAAGGAATATATCTTTATTTTGTTCGTCTAAAGTCTAAAAGTCAACCTCAAAGAACAAAAGTAGACACATGAAAGTCAACTTCAATTCATTTTTTGGATCAATTATAATTATTAAGTTAATGTTTGAAAGTAAACCCCATAGAACAAAAAACAACAAATGAAAGTCAACTTCAAGTCGTTCTTTGGATCAATTATAACGAAGGAAAATATGATTTATTCAGGGAATATATCTTTAATTTATTTTTTAAAGTCTGAACGTCAACCCCAAAGAAAAAAGAGACCGATGAAAGTCAACTTAAATCGTTATTGGGAGTTGGTCCAAATAACGACTTTCCATGTTATTGTCTAAGCCTGACACAACAATAAACCCTGAAAAAATTCCCAAGCACAGACTTGGCTGCCCTGGGCTCGGCCCAAATGACGAGATTCGGGCCTCGTGTAAGGACAGGGCTATTGGGTTCAACCTGGTGCAGCCCATTGACATCCCAATAACCCTTACCCACATCCCCTTTGACCTTCAACAGGAGTCAACTGAATAAAAACAAAAAAGAGGAATTTCTCCTGACAGTCAACGATCGTCGTTATTGATCAACTCACCTGTCTATGCTCTCTCTTTTTGCAATCAATGTCATAGCATGGAGTAGGATCCGAAAATCCCACGTGCCAAACACGTTGACCGAAGCGACAGTAAACGAAAGGGACTCTAATGCCCACCCCCCCACTTCCTTATGAACATGCTTGAGAGGGTGGGTCAAACTACCTGATATGGAAGGTTCCCCATGAAGGGGCGGAGGCGCCTCTGAATCCCCAAAAAAATTAGGAACCCTAAACTGGGAGACTCAAGAGAGCAAAAACCATCAAAATATTCGTCCTAGGAGGGCCTAAAATCGGGAAGAGAAACGGTCAAAAGACATGCTCGGGCTGTGCTCTTGGAATGGAGATTAGGGTCTCGGTGTGCTGGTCTGTCCTCTGAGATATGACGGCTGTTTTGGGTTAACCTGGCGAAGCACTTACAGATTTGCAATGTGGTTGGTAATGGCGTCTGGGCATGACTGGGCTTGGAGAAGCTCCAATCTCTGGGAAGGAGGAATGAACTGGAGTATGTAATCTTCATCTGCAACACAACCCCAAGGAGGACTTCAGTCGTCGTTAATCTCACCCAATAATCTAGAGAGAGAAAGTAAGTGAGTGAGTGAGAGAGAGAGAGGATGCAACAAAACTCAACTCTCTTTGACAGTCCCATAAAGCCAGCATAAGACCTCGTCAGCAAATGCCAAGCACACCCCTCCCTGCAGAAAACAAAAACAAAAAAAAAAAAGGGCACGTTTTTTCTCGGATGATTATTCTGGCTGTTTAGATGGCTGTTGCTCGGATGTTATCCGTTTTTTTCCTCTTTTAGCAATTGCATAGTGAAGAAAGAGGTTCCTGCACCTGCCAGTAGTTCTTTAGCTTCACCCTGTGGGTAATGTCTCTAGTTGTCAATCTCTCTGTGCGAACGAGCCGACCCGAATCATCCCTGCGATCCGGAGAGGAGCAAGACCCATGAAACAATTACCAAAAGAAGAAATAAAAAATAAATAGGATCACACGGCTTATAGAAATAAATAAAAAATAAGACCTCACGCCTCCCCCCACCACCAAAAAAAAAAAAAAAAAAAAACCTCTTTCTTATTGCCGTGAATAGACAACTATACAGATGATTTTGCTGGAAGATTTTGTAAATAATGAGACTATCAGTCTTCTCATACATCCAATCACACGCTCCTATCATACCCATTTCTGACGTGTTCAAGCTCTGCCAGGTGAAGAATACAAAGAGAGAACCCAATCTGGAGATCACTGAGATCATGCTGAAGAATTAAAGTGTTCCACTCGAAATCGATTAGAAATAAGTGGAACAGGGCTTTTTTTTCCTCATATAGCATAGTATCACTTGCCAATCTATACTTTGATCCAACTTCCCATGAATGCTGAGACCCATAACTAATCCTAGATACCATTAATAGAGGGGCGAAGGTGCTTGAGCAGATAGAGGCGTCTACCACATGCTGCAGCAAATGATTTCATGCATACGCGTTCATTAATCGTCTGACGGCCATTACAGAGTCGATGTGTTTTATTACTTGTAACTTCAACGTACCAGTAATCAAAGAACGCTGGTTCACAGGATTGTGATCTGACAAATCACTCATATGAGGAAGGAAAGACAGCTCACCTTTCCTCAGAAGAAACTAAAATAAGCAAGTCAACTACGCTATGCGCAAATGAGAATGCTCTAGCACTGCAGAGCAGGTGGTAATATATGCACCAAAAATGGATAGAAATGTGAGCCAAGCGTTTACAGATAACTGTTGAGAAGTATTTACCTGAAGCCGATTACAATATATGGGACACCAGCTAGAAATGATTGAATCTGCAGTTATGGAATAAATGTATAAGTGTTTGGACATTGAAGAACCACACCAAAGTCACGGATTGCATTTCCATGTTTTTTCCAAATAGGGAGGAGAAATCATGCATGCAAACGAACTAAATTAAGTCAAAACACAAGGGTAATTAATCGTTGAAATGTTAGTTGTTTTAGACTCTAATAAGAACATAAATGTGCTGTAAAAATAAAACTCTTATTATTGGGAATAAAAGTTATGGATCATTTCGAATTGCCACCGGAAATGCTTTCTCGAATTACCTGGAATCCAAGTACGACAAATTATTTACTTATGTTTTGCTTTTTAAAAAATGAACACAAAAAATTATCATAATTTTTGCAACGAAAAGAAAATTTCTAGGGAGAAGACTTACGGCTGGTAACTTATTCCAGCGTGATTTTTCAAGACTCTGATCTTGACATGCACAAGGATTGCTCAATTCTGACAACTAAATTCACTCAATGGAAACTATTATGCTTAAAGGGAAGTTTCCAATAATATAAAGAGAGCTAGGAGCACAGAAATTCATATCAGTTACTCGTTAAGAGAGCTACAAGCACATCCGTCAATGGCTAGAATGAGAGAAATATTTACCCAAAACTTCAATAGTTTCTCTCGCTCAAATCGCTCTTCGGTATGGTAATCCAACTGAAATAAATATTTAATATTAAAATTTTATTAAACACAAACCCACTGGTATTTTAACTATCCAAAATGCCAAATCATCAAAATTCAGAAGTTTGACGGAGAAAAAAATGTGTACTAGCCTCTCGGCTTGTCTTCAACTCTACATAGAACCTCTTTCCATCATCAGGAGAATCGCAGCAGTCCATCTCAGCACCCATGATAATACGGTGTGCCCCAAGTTTGGTCCTTAGAACTGAACAGAACTCAACGTTCGCATCAATACCATGCCCATCAACGCCAATGTCACTGGAGGCTTCAGTAGCAAGATTCTCAAAAGAGTAGCCCCAATAGCATCTGAGTAAATGAGTGAATTACTAATACTAAGATTTTGTAGGTTCTGAACACACGTATTTTAAATTTAAATATAACAGCACAATATAACGTCGAAAGAGCAGCAAGGGAAAACTGTCATGATACAAGCAACTAAGGTGTTTCAATAAAATCTATCACAATGGACAACTGACCGTAGACACAAAAAAAAAGGTCCAAGAAAGCCCGGCGAAAGCTACCTATGCATGATGAACATCTGTGACAGATAAATGTTCAATGTTTTTATTACTGTCAGAAAAACAATGGATCTTCTGCAGTTCCTATATGGAATCATAGATTCCATGCAACAAATTATTTCCAAAGTGATCTTAAAGCCTAATGGTGTCCCGGGCTAAAAAATCATGGCAAACTGATACATGTTACAAAACCAAGAGCAACTTTTAAATAGTCCTAGTTGTTAGAAGGGCTAAGGGTAATATTGTAAAGGGCTAAGAGTATTAGTTTCTGCGTTCCTTCCCTCTGTCGTGGATGACAGAGGAAGTTTCTCTTCCATGTCAGTGTTCTCAATGGATCTAGATTTCTCAACACTAGTAACATTATGTTGTATCTGGGTCATTATCAGGTCGACCAAATTTTTTTTCAAAATCTGGGGAAAAAGCAATGCTTGATGAACAAACGGTCTCTATACTGTGCCACTACGCTTCATTCTCCAACCTACATAAACAATCACAATTCATGTGTCGCAAGTGATGAGTCTTTGTAGCTGCTTTTTTTTATCTGATCAGATGAACTTTAGCCCCCGGCCTACTCTATGAAGGAAAACGAGAAGGCTCCATAGACAATCAGATAGCAATATCAAAAGCGGAAATCCATCACTTCAGGGTGGTTCATATATTATCTCTACCTTCATTTAGAACTGAAATATAAATAAATGAAGAAAGACATCAATAATGAAGATTTCTGATGACACAACACACAAATGTTAAGGGAAAGGGAATACCTTCGACGATCTAGCTCACTCTGTGGTCTCTCTGGAATCTTGTGGACATCAAGATAAACAACTCCATTGCGCTTGTGTACTCCCATTTTCCAAGGCTCGTGTCTGATGTAAGCAGTAGCTAGTATCTAGGGAGTTGGTACCAGGAGATCACTTATTATTAACAAACAAGGCACTAACATGCGGGATGCGTCAAGTTTATACAGAAGGCTTCTACATACTAAGGAAACGCATTTTTTTAAAGGAAGCAGCTGATCACCTTGTTCAGATTATTCCTGAAAGTCTGGAAAAGCAAATAACAGCGGCAAACTCAGTAATTAGACAAAATAGTCATATTGGCAACATAAACTTATCAATGGAAAGATGAACCACTAACACTTTGCAAAGGCCAGGAAGGTTACCACAAAATGGATATTTTGTAAGGGAATCTTTTTGTTCCTTATGCAAGAAAGAAGATCACCAAAACCTTCTGAGTTGAACTCTGGAAAAGACAGAAATCATTGCCCTTACAGAAATTATCAAAAATAAAATAAGAACACTGAACCATCAGGTTAACATGTTACAATGCTAATTCCATGACAAGTAGCTGTCAAAAATCCAAAACCATTTAAGTAATATATATCAAACCCAAAAAAAAAAAAACATTATGGAAAAACAAAGCAAGCAGAAACAAACACCTTGATAAACCAAACAAACATGAAACAGCACGAAGAGAGAGAGAGAGCAGAAGCATCGGCAGCGTTTAAATCATCAAGCTTCCTAAGGATGTACAATTGAGTCTAAACAGTGAACCTCACACTCGGCATCAGGTTTTCCGAACTTGAAGACAAAGGCACCCTAAAGAAGTTTTGAGGAAGGGTTTACGAATGTTGACTTAGTCTCCAATAGAGTAAAACTGAAAATTAGTCAGACTGAGAACATTCAATCTGGCTAGTACCAGTGGATCTTCTTCTTAAAAGGGGTCTGATTATTATGCCTTGATTCAAAAGTCTTTTTTGGAAAAATGAAATAGAAACAAGAAAAATAACAAAACAACAACAAACATTCTGAATGAACATAAAGAACGTCATTCCATCATTTTTAACGTACAAACAATATTTAACACACAATGTTCTCTGAACTATGATTCATCAACATTAGAGTACAAAACGTGTGTCCAGAAGCAAGTTGATAAAAAAATTAAACAGTTAAACTAGTTACTTCTTCCCCAAATAGAGCCAATCAAGAAAGCAACCTTAGCAAAAATATATCCCGCTGAAAAGTGGGTGACACAATCAACCACGCTTTGACACGGAAACTGCCATTGGATTATCACTCAGTTAAATGAAATTCACCAAAGGTGTACGGTCATTAGCTCATGTGAAAGATTTAGCCCCTATAATTCAATAACATATAAGATTAAAGGTTACAAAGTTTCAGCCCCTAGTAATATCTTAAAAAATTAGTGGTAAATAAACCCCTCTTTTTCAGGGAGAGAGAAATCATGCAATAGCAGGCATATCTCCCCGTTTAATGTCTAGTTTGCATAGAGCCTTCTAATTTCTGGACTTATTTTCAAAAATAAAACATTATTCAGACATTACACCCAATTTCCGCTTCCTCATCCTATTTTTCCAATTGAATTGGTCAGATAAAACCTGCTCAATCGAAACTAAGCAGGTTTCCCACACCGACTTTTTGATCTTCTAGGGTTAATCTCTTTTTTTTATATAAATTTACCAGGCATTGGCAAATCAGTTCAGCAAGTAAGATCAAGTCAAACTGTGAATTGCACCCAATCTGATCAGCACCAACTGAAACCTAATCAACTCCAACCTGTTCAGGTCTATGCATTGAACTCTTTGTTCAACAGCCTTTAGAATCCTAATTGATTTTTAAAAGCATCTGGGATAAGAATCATGAAAACTGATCCGGCTGATGCAAGCTAGCTCAAGTCAGACTGACTAGGCAACTACAGAGCCCCACATCCTTACTCCAAACAACCGAATAATGCGAGCTCATTATCCAACATTCCTACTATACAAACAAAGGCAAACGTTTTGGCATCCCTCTCTCTTCCTCCTTTCTTCGCTCCTTTTGTGCCTTCCACCTATTCCATTCTTGGGAATTGCCTTCACCCTCGGAACATGCCCACAGTTGTATTTAACTACCGCAAAAGCCTCCTGAGATTTCTTTTATATGTCACTGGTATCTGTGCTACAGGATACTCGTCTTTACAAGCAACTTCACGTTGAAAGCCTTCTCAAACACTAGCTCTTGGTAAAGAATTAAGCAAGAAAATTTGATGAGTTAGCACACTTTCTACACTTTACTGAAGTTCTTTTCTCTGCTCTTTCTCCAACCCAAATATATTTTTTGTAAGGGGGTAGTACCATGTGATCATTAATTATGAAAAGAGTGTATGTACAAGTGGGCGATTCATCCACTGTCCGACATCTTCTTGAAGCCATACTAGAAGCCTACCATCTCGCAAGTAATTCATTTATCTCCTTCCTCACCACAGAAAAACTCTAACTCACTATTTCATCATTACACACTCAAAAGAAACCATAAGATTTCAAGAGTTGCATATAGCCTAGAGGGTTGCATGAAGCATAAGCCACGAAATCATTTGAATCACTTTCCATGTCCAATGCCAATTCCACCTTACTCATCACTCATATAGCTAATTTGGACATGCTCATTGTACAGCTAGTAAAAGTTATGGCAAGGATTCTCCATCCTTCTCATGCAGTGTCTCCAAGAGATAATAAAGGATTTATGTGCATGACAAGCAGAAACAACAGGTCGGATCTGGCTATGACTGACCAGCATGTCTACAAGTGGAAGGATAGTAATCACTTCAAGAAAGATCAAGTAGACATAAAGACACATGTAAAGTTACTGGAATGAGTTCAGTAATATAACAGTGAAAACTCTTATTCCTCGCAAGAATTACATTTCGTCTAGACGCAATTTTTGCAAAAATAAAAACAACTTCACGAAACTAGATAAAATAATGAATGATGAACAGAAGCAAGCGAACAGAGACAAAAATGACAATGTATCGCAAATATCACGAGCACGTAATTAACATCACGACTCAATTATTTTTTATCTTTGCAATGCACATTATGGACAAAACTGATAAACTAAATGTAACACAGTCATACCTCTCTTTTCAATAAATGACTCAAACCCTACATTGAGGTCTGCACCAATGTCGTCACAAACAGTGCGCTTAAAAAGTCTCTGCCAACACAAATGGAAGTAACATCGAGAAAAATGGAGTTCATAAGACATCAAATATTTTTTGCATGGGTCAAAAAACTGTGAGAAAGGAACGAACTTGTATACTAAAAAAAACTCTTTATGGTAACCATAAAGATATATCACAGGGATTAAGATGGGGCCCAACATCATAGATGCCACAAGAAAGAAACTCGTGACAACCAGGTCCAATCATTCAAAAGAAACATATTATCAGCTATGTAAACAAATGCATATAAAAACAAAAACCCCTCCAAAAGAAATATTGCAAATCCCTTACCAAACTGCGATCATCAAAATAGACGTCTCCACCTTCTACACGACTGTAGCAGCCAATTTCGCAAGGCTTTGAATCAGGTCCAGTACAATAAAGAGATTATCAGCCAACAACAGTACGTTAAACAAAAAAGTAAACTAAAGACAAACTACAGTACCTCTTGAATTTGAATAGATTTCCTAGATAAAGTCTCTTCACTCTTGTTGAGTTTCATCTCTGAAACAAAACGCTCATCATTGCGTCCATTTGAGAACTTTGACCCATACCCAAACCCTTGCCTTTGATGATAAGATCCAGGTCGTGGAAGGAGAGCTGGACCTCTGTCATTGGAGTATCCAGACTGTTGCCATCTACCACGCCCGTAACCACCTCTGGTGTGATTACTAGTATTTCGAACTGGAGGCAATACTGGAAATAAAATCCAATTAAAAAGTGTCATGTCAAGCAACGAGTACTTGAGAAAACCAAAAGAAAAGAAAAATGAATTAATCTCATTCAAGAACATCCCAACGAGTCTAATCCTAGATTTCCAGTATTTTACAAACAAAGTCAAGACGCAGCTTTCCCACGATTTTTTTGTGCCACATATCTTGAAAACAAGATAAAGCTCCTTGACTAATTTTTTGGATCAACCGTATCCAAGGGGGGTAGAGGATCTGCTACAAAGCACCACATGATGAGGACTTAGAGACAAGGGGAATACACCGTGGCAAGCTACAATCGGGAACTAGTAGTATAGCAAGACTGCAGACAAGGATATTTTCTCCTATACAGATATAGCGATTTTCATACATGGAAAGGTGCTGAAGTTTGTAGACTATCACAGACTATCTCATTTTGTCACAAGGTTAGCCCAGAATCTCAGTGCTCTTATCTTCATGAAGAATGTCTTCAGGACGATAACTATAGAAATGCAGTCAGATGCTTAATCTGTGGTGGAGTGGGTCATCAGGCAAGATATTGTGCTGAGTCAGAGAATACTCCAACAAGCAGGGGTGGGATGAAACAGGTGGAAGGGATAAAGAATGATAATCATTCAGTACTGTGCAAATGCAACAGAGAATGCGAAGGGTTAAAACAAGTAACATTAGTTGAATGAAGCGACAGATTTTAAGTTTCTCCCGATTTCGGCTAAAAGAATCAAGGGTATGTCACCTTTAAGAAAGATCTCAAACAGCTTATGCAAGGCAGAAGTTCAGCAAAACTTTGTCAAGTTCCTTAACAGAAAATTTAAAAGAGGAAAATTGGGAGACCTCATATGAAAAGATGTTATCTTCCCAGATGAACAAAAACCTGTTGAAAGTTAACGCATTCCCTTTTCATTTGAGGAAGTCCAAGGAAGCAATTCATGGTATTAGAAGCTAATAAATCCAGGGGACTAGTTAATGTTACTGCATCCGGCTGATGTTATGGCTCAAAGGGAGATTTCACGAGACATTAAAAATCTCCTTTGACATTGTTATCAAAGCTATCTTAGCCCCAGTAGACTAGACCCCCCTCTCAATAAAAAAATCAAACTATGAGTGCCTTCCATTGTTTGAGTTTCTTGAAATCTCAATGCATGTATATGTCATGATCGACTACCAGCTAGGTCAGTTCAGCAACCTTCATTCTGGGGAGTGTACAGGAGATCATTCTAGAAGGAAAATTTCTTTTAAACGATTCACCAGAAACAACTAATGGAACTGAAATGTATTAATGAGAGTAATTATAGTCATCCTCGGGCAGAGAAAACGAAAGCAGAGCTTAGCGAAAATTCAACATCAGGGAGATGACCTTGTACACGAATGCTTGGTGAGAATAAGAGATACCAATCATTTAACTAATGAATTCAAACCAAACATAAGTCATATTTCAAGATCTACCAAGTCACTGAACAGGAGAGAGTTTTGTTTTCACTATAATATAGAGGATCTCAAAGTAGCATAAATAAATATTATTTTAGAAGCTGTGATTATCAAGTAAATGAACTCTATATTTTTAGCTTAAGATCTACCAATGTTTGTGCGGTGGAATGTGCTTTTACTGGGAATACTGCGGCCTATTTGGATTGAGAAGAATTGTTGATTAGTCAATATGAGTTCAAAGACTTGATAAACCTCCGCAACATAGCATGTTCTATGCAGAGCAATGGTCCAAAGGAATGGAGATGGGTGAACCTAACTACGTAATCATACTATCAAGGATCATATGTGGGAAGAATATTCTGGATTTATTCCTTCTGACAAAAGTTAGCAACTTTTCTGCTGATTAAAGAGGTTCGAAAGGAACCTTTTTTTGTTAATAAATCCACTGTTAAGTTACAAAGTATACTCTTTTTATAGTAGCGAACTTGATTCATTTTTTTAAAAAAATGTTATAAGTGGAAGGAAAACATATAGGGGTGAAATATTCAGGCCATTGCACCGAAAACAAAGTATTCTGAAAAAATAATCAAACATGGAGCTTGTCAAGAGAGAAGCTTTGTTTAGATTCAACATTATGATATGTTTTTTTTCTTTACATACACAGCGTCTTTATTTCATTAACGATCAGCAAAACATGACAAAAACAGTGTAGAGAATCTATCTTTCCGTTTTATGTTCCACGTTTCCGCTGTATTTGTAAGGACGTAATATCTAGAATGAAAACTTAGTAGAGGGCCAAGAGAACGAACTACAAAGTTCTCCTAGGTCGGAATATTGTCGGAAGCATCCCAATAGTAAACGACATCCCACTCTTACCAGGAATGGGGAAGTTGCTTGTAGCTGGCGTCTTGGAGTACGCTTCATTGTCGGGAGCGAAGAGATCGCTCTCCTCTTCTTCCTCATCACTACTCTCCAACCCAACTCTCGCCCTCGCGGCGGCCGCGGCGGCTGCTATTGCAGCAGCGGTGGAGTCCTCCTCCTGATCGTCCTCCTCCCCCCCGCCGCCGCCGCCACTACTCCTGCTGCTCCCGTTGGCACTGCTCCCACTGCTGCTCTCGCTCCCGCTCCCGCTCCCGCTGCCGGAGGAGGAAGAAGCCGGAGACGACGAACCCCCGGAGGAGTGGCCGCGGCTTCCTTCATCGGCTTCCTCCTCTTCCTCCGCCCCGCCCCTTCCTACTCCATTCCCCCCCTCTTCTTCTTCCTCTTCCTCTTCTTCCTCCGACCTATACCTCTCCCCGAACACATCTACGTCCTGCCCCGAGAAATTCATCGCCTCTCTTTCTCTCTCCCTCTCTCTCTTCTCTCTCTGGAACTATGATGGCTCGGCCGGGAGCTGACTGGGCATAAGGACTAGCAAAGGTTTGAAGAGTCGGATTCGGTGACAATAATCATATGCTCAAACAGGTGACTGGATCCGGCTCTGGGGGGGGGGAAATTCTTCATGGTCAGACAGATCGGGCCCACTTTCTTCGGGTTCAGTATTCAATACTGGGCCTGATTTAGGCCCATTATTGAGCAGAATCCGGCTCGAAAAGTATAACGTTCTTACCAATGGCAATTATAAAGTTTCCTCTTTAACAAGGATATATCAGCAAATTTCTCGGTCATTTCTATTGACTTTTTGACCGTGACCGTTCGGGCCTACTGTTTTCGGCCCACGGATTTATACCGGGCCTGGATAAAGTTTTAGCCGCGGTATTTTTCAAAAATGCTACTTTGACAAGGACATATCAGTAAAAAAAGTTTCGAAATCCCACGGGAGGGGGGGGGGGGACCCACTCAGCCATATTTTTTGAGAAAAAATCTTTTAAATAATTGCGATTTAATTTCATTTTTAGCATATAAGAAAAAAACGGTCACATTGACTTGGAGGTTCCCTGAAGAAGGATCTTGAGAGAACCAACACCCACTCCCCAGGAGTAAAGAACTGAGGCACTTCCACAGGAGACATAAGAAGAACTAAACCCTTGAGAGCCCTCCTAGTTTAATGCATACCCAGCAGACAAGGGCTGAAAACACAGGTCACACAGCTTGCATGCAGAGAAGGGGATCCCTCAGGTTGCGATCTCATCGACCTCCGAGTTAAAAACGAAGCTCGGGAACGTGGTCGTTATATCCCTGCAAAGAATGCCAAGAAACATCAGGAACTTGGGTGATTATCCGAGCAAGAAGACAATGCTAAATCTGGGAAAGAATGTGGGTAATCTGAGAATTCAGTGATGGAGGGGGCGAATGCTGATTAGCTATAAAAAGATGGGGGGACGCTGTGGAATTGTTGAGGGGAGCTAATGGCAGAAGAGACTGAAGAGTTCTTGATTTCTCTTAAAAGGGATTGGTCGTTGACCAGGTCATCAGTCCAATGCTGAAAGCCATGGGACAATAGTACATTGCCGAAAGTCAACTCTGAGCCGAATGGCCAACCAGTTCCCTCTGATCTGTCCTAGAAATCAATCCGCTGTTGAAAGTCGTGGGCTGTTATCTACAACAGGGAGACCCCACCATGCCAGTTCCTGAACGGGTCAGTTCCAGTCAAAGCATCAGGTTGAGGAGTTTCCAATAATAGGCAACTGGGCTAGGATCAAAAAAGATAGATTTAGGTCAAATATTATGTGGTTTGGTAAAGATTCAGGTCCATTTAGTAATATCTACAATGCTCCTGAAACCCGTCAAAGAAAACTGCCGAACAAGTGCACAGAAGAAGGTATTTTTTGTAATATCAACTAGATGTGGCAATTGTGCACTAATTCCATGTTTTGGAGGGCATCACTGAAAATTTCCTGTCCAGGTCTAAATATAGTTACCAGGGAGTAACTTAGTGGGTCAAATAATTGAAAAAATAATTTAGATCAACTTCGATGCAGTATACATGAAGGAGTATGAAGAGAAAGAAATCACCCAAAAAAAAAAAAAAGAGGGGAGAAAATAAGAAATACACCTGCGGGAATTGATTACTTCCTTGGGAATTACACAATGAAAGAACAGCCATTGGCGCTTACCTGAGATATGGTAAAGTCATGATCTTCATAAGTGAGGGATTACGTGAGACGAAGTTCTGCCATTCTTCTTTGTCGATCTTCCCATCCTGGTTTACATCAGCATCAACGAAGGTCTGCTCACAGTAGCAAGACTCGGGTTAAGAAGAACCATCATGAGACTGAATACTGACTGGGCATCAGTTTTTACTCAAAAAGCGTATAGGATTATTGATCTGAGATCAGCGGGACTAGCCTTATCGAGAATTATTTCGATGGTCTCATCAGCCAGCTTCATTTCTGATTCACAGAGGAGTGCTATCAGCATCTGCTTAACCTGCACAAACAGAAGGAAGATGTAGGGTGTTAGGCGCACACAAATGGTTCTAGCCGCTGTGGAGACGGCCAAGAAATGTGGACTGAATGAAGGCTCTCACTCTTCAGATCAGGAGAAAAAAAGTGGAGCTTCAAGTTTTGGAGAATCTAAAGCCGAAAAAGAATGCGATGCCAAATTCCAAAAAATACAAGTATTTTTACACTTTGGCATTTCCTATTAATTATTCCCTTGTTACTTGAATCATTTTCTTGATAAGATTGGAATAGGGCCCCCTCTGGGTATTAAAAAAAATGAAATATTTTTTAATTTTGACAGATGCACACGATTTTATCTTCTTGAATCAAAATAATAATTTTTTAGGCAAAAAATTTAGTCACAGAAATTTCTTTTTTTATTGATTTAAGCATAACTAAGTATGCCTAGCATCTCTCCGAGCGACGAAATTAGGAGACAGTAATCTTAACCATAAGCATCATGAGCATTTAAACAAACAGTACATGAGACAACTTATGTGCTTAATCTACGATATTAAAAAATTATTTATCAGGCGTACCATTGATATAAGAAAAACAAATCTCAAGAGAAATTAGTTGGGTGAGGATACAGAGACCAATAAAAATATTGTCTTCAGAAAAAAAAAAAGAATTACCTCTTGTCTTTCAATAAACCCCGTGCTATCCAAATCATAAAGCTTGAATGAGACTGCAAAGATAATTAAAAAAATCAGCAAACAGAGTGCAAGACTGTGGGACTGAATGAGACATTAGAAGCTTACAGTCCACTTTGTCTTCGTGTGGAGCATTTGGGTGGAAGACATTAAGTGCCCGAACAAAATCGCCAAAATCTATCACCCCTTTGTGCTTCACATCAAATAAGTCAAAGATCTGTTCCAAAACAAAGGAAAAAAAAGTGTACTATAAGACTCCAAAGCAGCAGATCACAAAGAAAGTTTCTACATGGACCATCACAAGTATCATCAACCAACTCAAAAAGTTAGATAGAATGTTCCTCGATTGCCGTGTTGTTCACCCTAATGATACAAAAAAAGTTGAAAGTACCCTCCCTGACGTATCTACCCTCCCGAAACACCTCCCTGAAGTAGCTTTCCTATCTGAATTAAACATAAAATTGATAAACCCAATAGTTAACAAGGAAAAAGGATGGAGAAAAAATAGAATTAAAAAGGCCTGCATCCAATGCCCTGAAGACATTCGGAAAAAATGTCGGATAAGAGAAAGAAATAAAAAATCCACACTGATGACTGTACTTTTATTCTTTAACAAATTTTCTGAGAACCCACAGACCATGACCATAAACTTACACCCACAAAACGAATAGTCCCTCTAGCTGATCGTTCAGGTTTTATTATCTTTGAAGTGACTATTTGCTATTCTGACGGACCAAAAAGTTGCATAGATTTTTTGCTTTTTAGGTTGGTGTTAGGCCACAGTAAATAAAATAAGTAATCTCTACTAGACAAGTAAATTTTGACTAAAGTTGATGAATGGGAGAGGATTGGTTTCTTCACTCGTTTCAAATCACTGGATTCAATAAACAATAGGTCCTCACTTCTGACTATCGCTGGATACTTTTACTTTTCTTTCGACCCAACACAAACCGGATCAGTTGGTTACCTATTCTCCTTTATGAGACATTTATGCAATGATTTCGCCGTTTTACCGTATAGCCACCATTCTAACTTTAGTTTCTAGTGGTAATGCAAGCAGTAACTTTGTCGCCTTGCCCTTAACCTTCCACAATTGAAACGATATCTGACAACAAAACTAATAGATTCAGAATCACGTTTCCGTCTCAAACTAACTCAGTTCAATTCTCAGCCAATTTAAAATGATCTGTGTCTGAATAGATAAACCACACACATGACAGATGAGAGAAACCATGCTTTGGGTGGGCAAAGCCAATAAGACATATGTGACTCATGCCATTGCATGAGCCATCGCAGGACAAGACCCTTCCTGATCTGGCAACCAAAACGTTGAATATTAAAGAAAAATCATGAACGGGATCAATTCTGTAAAGCCTTCAAGATGTCCCATGAGGTAACGAAGAGGAAGAAAATGATGGAGAGGAAGAGGTAAAAAATCGGAAAGGAACAAGAAAGGAAAAGGAAAAATAATAAAAAAGAGATGAGGATATACACCGTCAGTACCATCAGTTTTTGTGTTTTTAACCTTCTACTTAAATTTTAAATATAGAGCAGTAAACAATCAGTATAATATTGGCATAAAAAAGGCTATAACATGCGATTTCACTGGGCAGCGATCATTACTTTCTATAAAAGACCACTGCATGTAACAGAAACTTTTTCCTCTTAAATAGTGCTCTTCCATTATCCTAGGACTTTCCCAGATGAAGACCATCGTTTAACCAAATACCCCTTTATGTAATAAAAAAATTCCAAAAGAAGATGAAAATAATTCATTACAAACCCACGAAGTAAGATGATATACTGGCTTCTTATATGCAAGTTTTAACAAAAAATAACGGGGACAGAGATAATATATTACCCGGTTTGCAAAAAGGTTCTCCTTTTTCCTATTTTTAAATAAAGCTAGCTGAAACTCTTCCTGCGAAAAACAGACATAAATATTAACCTAAGAAAAAGTGAGGTAAATATCACCGGGCACACATAATGAAAGGAAGAACAAGAAGTGATCCATTGATTTTGAATAAGTCAAAAAGAAACAGAGCTCCCAGTGCCAAAACTATCAAAAAATCTACGACTATAATATTTAAGGAAAAATTATAATAGTAATTTCATCTTCAAAAACTGTAACGTAACTCAAATTTCGATACATCTATTGAATGTTCAGTCTATATTATTGGTGAATTGACTTTTGTTTGATATCCATATGGGAACCGGGCTTCCAATTGAGCCTAGATAACTCAGTAACTGTGAAGCTTTTGAAGAGGAAAAAACTTGTAGAATACTTTTCTTTGTAAGACTCTTCTATACCGAAAAATTATGTGATTAACCCAAATGTACATGAAGATCAAAATAACAAGGGAAAAACTTTAACAAGAATAGGATAAAAATTAACGAAATTTCAGGGACACGTTACACAATGATTTTTGACACAAAACGTCTACATATGCCACCATTTTCTCAATTAACAGAGCCGCAAAGTTTGAAATTTTAGCTTTACTACTTAATCTAGTAAAGATAAAATGTTACTGAGTTACCAGTGCTAATGATGTTAAACAGCATAGAAAAAGGTTCTGAACTGAAAAAATAAATTTATAATCCTTGCTAACGCCATTACTGATCACAAAATCGTGTGGAGAAGGTATCGTCCGTTTAGAAAAGTGCACAGAGAGAGATTACGGTTTTATTTAGGGAGAAACATTAAACACCTAATGAACGTGTTCCAGGAGAAATTACACTACCTTGCTAATGAGGCCATCATCAATAACAGAACTACTAATGCTCTTGAACAACTCAAACAGGGCCTCAACTTCACTGACAGTAACTACAAAAGAGAATAAAGGAAAAAGAAAATGAGATAAGTCGCAAGGTAAAAAGGACACAACAGAACCAAGCAGAGGCTACTGGAATAAAACTGTATAAAAATCTAACCATATCGGCTTTATATTTTGACAATGATTTGACTTCAGAAAAACCAGAGTCAGTACAACAGTCTAAGTTTTCAGGACCAATACAATCTTCATGCTTTTAGCTTACCTGAGAGTATTTTCTGTGCTTTTGTTTGCACTAATTACACTAAGCATCACTTATATGTAGTTTTCTCCTTAGGGGCTGCCAGTAAAATCGTGTTATTTGTCTCTTTTCTCTTTTTTTTCTTTTTTTTCTGTTCCTTTTTTCCTTGTTCTTTTTTTCCTTTTTTTTTGGGGTTGTTGGAAAAGGACTTGAAAACGGTTCAGACGCTTTTTCACAGTTGAGAACAGAAGGTTGCATATTTATAAATCTTTAAAAGATAAAAAATATATCCCACAAGAGAGACCTGATATCTGTCAGTTTGCTTGATCTGGAGAAAAGCAAGTGAAATAGTATTCTCGACTATGAGAAACTGATAATGACCATCACCACCAACACAATCTAAAAGTTGCTGGCAAATTATGTATACTTACAGGCCGTTTGGGAAGCAAGAGACACGGGATCTTCGTGTCCAGGGAACTGTCTTCTGTGTTTAGACGAAAAGCAGCCCATTTACCAATCAGGACTAACAAGAACAACTCCAACCTTCAGAAGGTCAATTATCCACCGCCACCTCCGCCATTAGCAGTTGTCTGCAGCGCATGTACATGTCCATATACACCCAACTGCAATACCACAAAAAAAAAAATAGAAAAATGAATGTATCAATAAAGCTTATGACGAAAATAAGCATCCCGGTCAATCGAATTCCTGGAAAATCCGAGCTAGATATTTACTAAATCAAGCTTGAACGGGGAATGGGGAATTTTCCTTCCGATGCTACTCCACCAAATCAAAACAATTCAAATCCGAAATTCGCGCTTCTGAAGCGGAGCTGCAACCTTTGGATCCCCAAAAAACCAAAACGACAGGGAGATCTCAGGAATCAGAATCACGGCATAATCAAGATCAGCAGAGAGATGCCAGAAATAAACTTTTTCCAAACGGGAAATGAATGACGGAGGTGACGTGACCGGTGAAAGACGACGTGAAACACAAAGTGGAAGCGAAGACGAAGCAGGACTCACCTGAAGACGAACGAACCAACGCGCGGAGAAATCACCGAGAGACAGACACAGAGCGAAGGGGGAAGAGGGGGAGAGGAAGAGGCTAAATAGGGCGGTGGCGCTTGCCGGTGGGATCTGACGGCTACGAAGCGCAGTATGGGGAAACAGCCGGCGTTTTATCGCTCTGTTCTTCCTTCGTCGGACGCCGTTGTGATCAGAAGGAGAGGCGGTGGATATTGAACGAGTTGGTATCAAGCCGAAAGTCTAGCCATTCTTGTGTCGCCACGTGTCTAGAAACCCGTGAACTGTCTGTCTATCTCCTGAACGCATGAAATATGCTACGCATCAGACACTGGATCATTGAAACTGGCTTCCCTCCCAACGGTCTCCCTGCCTCGATCACGTGAAGGAAGTAATGAGCCACAACCTTTTTGGAACATCGCGGGCATCGTTTTCAGGGGCACCTCCACAGGCTACATCAAAAGGAAGGATCAAAACAAATATTGCATAAATAATGTATATGGGCTTTTGTAAAACAAAATATACCAGCGACGAAAATCATATTCCATACATAGTCCAAATCCCACAAGAAACCATCCACTTATATTGAGTACTCATCTCTCTCTCTCTCTCTCTCTCTCTCTCTCTCTCTTAAACCCGTCGTTGACCATACATTGCATATAAGACAATACCATATCAATTATTAACCATTCTAAAAAAACGCATATATATTAAAAAAATAGCTTCCTCTTTTTGCTTGAAAATATTATAAGAAACTACTGAATACATGGGTGCAAGTCAACGCTCCTGTATCTTTGGGTTGACCTTTTGAATGCGAGGATGCCAAGTAATGATTGCAGTGTGCTGGTTTGAGGAATCTAAGCCATGAAAAATATCGTGATGCATATGACCAACTAGGAACAATTTATTGTGATTCTTGGAGGTGTCTAGGATCTTGAAGAGTCAAACCCAAATCAGATCGTGTGATTTTTACCACCCATCAAACTGCTTCTGTTGAGACTTTAGTCAACTTAGGGGTGGTGAGATACATATTTGATGAGCCAAGGTCTTTAAAATAATAATAATAATAATAAATGAGGAAAATTATATTAGTCATTAAACGTTTTAAATATGCTTCGCTAGACAAATATCCGAATATTGTTTTTCCAGCTTTTCAGTTAGTTACTCGATGTATCTAAAATTGCATTTTAAATACTTTTTAAAAAAATAATTTACTTTTTTTGGTAGTTTCTGCGGTTTTTCCCTCCCCACTAACCAGTAACAAGGTCCTCTGCTCATCTGGCGCACAAGGGACCACGTTGGATTCCGAGCCTTCATTACGCCACCTCACGCGAGGGATCCTCCTACCTACCAGGGAATATCCCAAGATTCTTTTGACTTCAACCGTTCCTTCTTTTACCATGGGGCCAAAAAGGGCATTAAAAAAGCATTAAAAGAGCATGGGGAGACTCCCTAAATAAGGCAATGGGGCAAATAATAGATATTTAAATACTTCACATGCAGAATATGTATTTACTAAAAAGTATTGAATTATTGTCCGTTGCCCAAGCTTGATTGGCTAGATTCGACTGCACCCCCTAACATCACTAATGGCTACCATTTTCAGCTAACAACTTATTGTCGGCAAGTGGGTGAATGCTTGGAATTTTGGTTGGTATTTGTAACGAAAAATTGACTTTATGGTTCTTCTCCTCACGGTCAACCATCAAATGAATGGTCGGCTGCCAAATTTCCTTCTGTAGGTAATGTCATGTGCGCGTCATCATCCATACGGCTCTCTTGAGGATTGGGCATAGACTTCTCACCACACGACTTGTCAGCAGTGTGATGGTTTAGTTCTTCAATATGGAGTAATGTGCAGATAGAAACCTTTAATCTACGCATGATAAACAGGTAGCCTAGATAGAGTAAATAACCGTGGTCTGAAAATAAATAAATAAATAAGGTTGAACATAGACTTCACTTATTCTGGATGCAAGGTTTTTATTCATGTAAAAAGAGAAATTGCTATAACACTTTTATAGCTTGATGAGTTTGGATTACCCGAATAACATGAGAATAATTTGATGCTCTTATTTATATGTCAAGTAAAGTTTCTAATGTTTCCTCAACTTAGGCAAAACAAATAGATTGATGAATCCATCATTGCTAATGTTGGTAAACTTGACCACAATACTAATGCCATTTTAAACCATAATTATTGTAACAATGAAAAATGATTTTAGATAATAGGTCTTATATTTCATACGGCATTAATATTTAATAATATGTAATAGAATTAGAATCGAGCAATGCTAAAAGTTGCATGAAATCTCATATGTTTTAAGTGAAAAATAAATAATTTTCAGGTATTATATGTACCACTGTTTGGACAAGAGCATGCAAATTTTAGTAATTTGATTAGAAATGCACATGCTATGTGATGTTTTTCTAACATCACATGAAAAGTATGCTTATAACGTTGACTACGATTGAAAAAAATTCCCACATAAATGGGGGGAACTAGGTGACCTAAAATGTCTAGAATCAACTAATGAATACACCGATTAGTCTTCCTTATTAAAACGACCTTCAAAGTAGGAAGTGACCTCTTATATGTGTTCACAGGGAACAAAAGGCATGCTACTCTTGCCTTATTTCCTAAATAGGGCCACACCCTCGTTCACAAATCACGACAGATTTCTCAAGAAAATTCAGCTACCAGTTCCATAGGTGACATAACTCAAGGGATGTGCGGTCCCCGGAGAACATGGTGGTCATAAGAGAGGAGAAGTTGGCCACGTGTAACGTCACCATCTTTCCACATGTGAAGCCTTGAATTCGTCACCCGCCGTACTAAAGATTTCTCTAAGATGGGCTCCGGGAGGAGATGCAATGTCACCTTCTCACTGGATTTACAGGGACAGGCAGAGAGAGAGAGATGGATGAGCGTAGTTGACCGGGGACGTCAAGACATATGTCGAAATGTTTTTGGATGTGCTTGATGGGTTTCCTTTAAAGATTTTCTCTAGGATGGACTCCGGGAGAAGATGCAGTGTCACCTTCTCGTTGCATATACAGGGACAGAGAGGGAGGTAGGGAGAGAGAGAGAGAGAGTTGACCGAGGACGTCAGGTAGGACGTCGAAATGTTTGTGGATGTGCTCGATGGGGTTTTCAGGAGGAGAATATTCTACGCGGAGACAGACTACTTTTTGTATTGCATTATTGGGGCGTCGTGGGAGGAGACTGAACGGGAACAGGAACTGGATCAGATGCAGACGTCAAGCATATGATTTGACTGGTGTAGAGGACTGGCTTACCCACAATAGAAGTCTAAGGCACCATCCTCCTACGCTATCGGCCGACGAATTGTCATCTTCCGCCTCCCTCTGATGGGACCTCTCCGACGGGGTTCTCTGCGGTGGCCACACCCGCCACCTGTCACCATGACGTCGGAGTCCCGAGCCAGCAATGGTTCGTCGCTTGGAAGCGACTCACCCTTCCCCTTCCTCCGCAATTCCCCCCATGCCCACTAATTCTCCCCCTTCCAATCTCTTCCCTACGAGCTAAGAGGAGAGAGACAGGATAGAGAGAGAGAGAGAGATAGAGAGAGAGAGAGGACTTACCCGATGGAGGAGAGCTACGAGCTGCTGAAGGATCTGGGGTCGGGGAACTTCGGGGTGGCGAGACTGGTGAGGCATAAGAGGACCAGGGAGCTTCTCGCCGTCAAGTACATCGAGAGGGGCAACAAGGTGAGGACCAAGGAAGCTCTGATGAATCTGGGACCCTTCTTCTCGGGGGTGCCCTTCGATTGAAACCGTTACCTGTGATCTTCAGATAGATGAGAAGGTGCAGAGAGAAATCATCAATCACAGGTCACTGAGGCATCCGAATATCATACAGTTCAAGGAGGTACGATCAGTTCTTTCTGAACCCTTTCGGATTCATAAATAGCGTTGTTGGAGCTCTTGCTTGTATTAATCTTACTCTTTTTTGAACATGATACTGATATCTGGTAAGATTTTCAAGATTGAAACAAACAAGATGTTAATTAAATTGGCTCACGGCTGATTAATATGGATTGAAAAAGTTCGCAAAACTGACCGAAGGGTACTCACAGGTTATGCTGACGCCGACGCATCTGGCGATTGTTATGGAATATGCCGCGGGGGGGGAGCTCTTCCAGAGGATATGCAATGCCGGTCGATTCAGCGAGGACGAGGTTCGATATAATATGATCCTAGATCTTCTTCTTTGTTTATTCAATTCATAGCTTCTGAGGTCTAATGCGGTTCAGGTGATAAACAGGCAAGATTCTTCTTCCAGCAGCTGATATCTGGGGTCAGCTACTGCCATTCCATGGTAAGCCATGGACCGAGTCACTGACCAGAGCTTGCTCGAGCACGTGAGGAAAATAGTCAACGAGGACTTTTGGGTAACTTTCTGTGAGTTGTTGCAGGAAATCTGTCATAGGGATCTTAAGCTGGAGAACACACTCCTGGATGGGAGCCCTGCACCACGTCTTAAAATCTGTGATTTTGGTTACTCCAAGGTAGATTATTTCACCCATTTTATTATATACTGGAGTTTGCAGTCGATTCTAATTTCCATCAAACCTATATTAGTGGGAGGTTTCTGTAAATGCAGTCTGGCTTGCTGCATTCCCAACCGAAATCAACGGTAGGAACTCCAGCATACATGGCGCCAGAAGTTCTGTCAAGAAAGGAGTATGATGGCAAGGTAGGAGAAATATATCCAGAAAAAAAAAAAAAAACTACCCTAGCAATTAGCATGATTTCTTTCTGTTATAGAACCAGGGCATACCTCCGGTGCCTTCTTTGACTTGGGTTTTGTCAGAAGTATCAGCGATTAGATTTCTACCCGGCGTCCCCTGATTTCTGGTTCTCACTGTCACGTTCTATAATCCATAGATTGCAGATGTGTGGTCCTGTGGAGTAACATTATACGTGATGCTGGTGGGAGCATACCCTTTTGAGGATCCCGCGGATCCCCGAAATTTCCGCAAGACCATAAGCGTAGGTCCTTGCTTTAATCAAATAATCTAGGCTCCAAGGAATTTGAAAATTCTGTAATCACTCACCTTGGCGATGAACCAGCGAATTCTGAGTGCCCAATACTCGATCCCGGATTACGTGCGCGTGTCCAAGGATTGCCGGCAGGTTCTGTCTCGGATTTTTGTTGACAATCCGTTGAAGGTACGCTTGTCGCAATTAAACATCCTCTGGTTGAAATTCTCAGTCGTTTCTAATGCCTCTGTTGTCTCTATTACATCTGGAAGAGGATCACAATCCCTGAAATAAAGAACCACCCCTGGTTTCTAAAGAACTTGCCAAAAGAGCTTGTGGACGATGGGAAGACAAACTACAGCAGTGCAGATGAGAACCGCCATGCCCAGAGTGTTGAGGAGATAAGCCGTATCGTCCAAGAGGCAAGAACTGTTGCTAAGGGTTCCAATGCTGCCGGCCAATCGGCGACAATTGAGACCGAAGACAACAACAACGGCGGCTTTCTGTCATCGTGATTTTTTTTTTGACTCAGAACAAAAAGTTCTCGACATGCAAACAATGACGGATGTAATTCTATATAGAGGAATTGATGGGAAAAGGAACCGTCGTGTACATTAATATGGTTAGCAGATTGTGTCTCGTAAATTCCTGATTCGACTCAGTAGCGAAAAATAGCAAGAGCAGGAGTCTGTCCTGGACTTGGAAAAGGCTAAAGCCATTTCAGATTCTCCAATTTATCGGTCGCCGGAACCGCTTTTCGTTGATAGATTTGTAGAGAGAGAACGAGAGCTCGTTTTGCTTGTTCTTAATCTTAATCAGCCGAATAAAACTCCCTGATCCGAAGTCGACGCCAGAGTTCTCATCCTCTCCCTCTAGGTGAGAAGGCACGGCGCGAGAACGAAGGCCACGGAGCTCACCTTTCTCCGCGACGCGCAGGTAAGCTGGCTGCACTTCGATCCAGAAGGACAACTCAGAGCACTCCCCGTTGACATTGTATGTGCCGATGGCATCCTCGATCGCTATCTGCTCGCCGGGAAGTTGCTAGGAAAGCGGAAGAACAGCGGAGGACGTCCGCAAGCGGCGGCGAGACGAGGAAACCAGAGTACTCCAGCGGCGGACAGTCTGGCCCGAGTCACGACTGCCTCGCCGTCATCTCTCTGCCGCCTCGAGGACCTTCATCTGAGCTTCATCTGTTGCTCCAGCCATCCGACGGGGAAGAAGAACCGGACAGGCGGGGATCCATCTCTCTCTCTCTCTCGACCTCCCTCCCTCCCCCTACAAATCTTTTAAATATTAAATTATGAATTTATTGGAATATTTTTTAATGATTTATAAATGAGGGATTAAAACGTAAATAGTTAAAAATAACGGCATCAATATATTTCCTGATGAACTGACTCACGGCACTTCTTTCTTTCTCCCTCTCTATAATACCCTTCGGCTTGCAAATTAATCGCAAGGGTGCTCTCTCTCCCTCTGCAAACAAATCTTTTAAATCATAAATTATGAAGTTATTGCAATTACATGTAATTTAAGTATAAATGAGGGATTAATATGTAAAAGTAGTAAAAATAACGGTCAAAAATAACGGCACCGTCATATATCCTGATGGGCCGAATGGCTCGGTCGACTTATCTTAGCCGTTAGAATTAACCAGCACGGTAACTTCACCTTTAGGTGAGTTCACCTCCGCCTATTTATTGACCTTTCCCGCGCGCCAGTCGCACGGTAGCCGAAGTTGCAGAGGGAGAGGGCATGCTGCCCTTCCAGGAGCAGATCATAGCGGAGCTGCTAGATGAACCAGGCGGGGGGCTCGTCGTCCTCTCCTCGGGCCTTTCTCTCGAAACCCTCGTCTCCGCCCTCCTCCGCCTCCACTCCCCTTCCCAGGGAACCCTCCTCATCCTTTCCGCCTCCGAGTTTCAGAAGTCCTCCGTTCTACAGTGTCTCCGCCGCTCCCCTGATCTCCAGTCCACTCATGGCGCCCTATCTCCGGTTCCTGCTGAAATTCCCGGGGATCTTCCTTCGCACCACCGCTCCTCACGTTACACTAGCGGTGCGGCTTTCTTTGTATCCCCCCGCATTCTCATCGCCGACCTTCTCACTTCCCGCTGCCCTCCGTCCGCTCTTGCTGGACTCATCATCTTCAATGCTCACCAACTCGCTGACACTTCCACCGAGTCTTTCATTGTGCGCGTCGTCCGCTCTGCCAACAGGAATGCCTACGTCCGCGCCTTTACGGATAGTCCCCAGGCTATGGTCGCGGGCTTTGCGAAGGCCGAGCGCACCATGAGGTGGCTTGGTGTGCGCCGTCTCCATCTCTGGCCGCGCTTCCAGGTACAGGTGTCGTCTGATCTCGAGGTCAGCCCGCCTGAAGTGGTCGACGTTCGGGTGCCAATGACAGGGGCTATGCGGGGGATACAGGGGGCGATACTTGGGGCGATGGACGCTTGCCTCAAGGAATTGCGACTGACTAACAAGGTTGATGTTGAGGATCTCACCGTGGAGAATGGACTCTTCAAATCGTTTGACGAAATCGTGAGGCGACAGCTAGATCCCATCTGGCACACACTAGGTATGAAGACAAAGCAGCTTGTTGCCGATCTGAGGACCCTGCGCAAGCTTGCTGATTATCTTGTGAGGTATTTGCTGGGGAAAGACTCATTTTACCCTCCTTTCGATTGAAATTACTTTAGACAAATGGCTTGCCTGCGACAATCCTGGGATCATCCGAACTTAGGAAGTCTCCTTCCGCCATCTCTACTCTCACAAAAATTCAAATGAAAATATGAGGGCTTCTTTGTATTTTATTTTATCTGAATATCTCTTTGCGAGCGTACGTGTTCGTTATGGATCACTGGTGTGCCCAAAATTTCGGCAGGTATGATGCTGTGACTTACCTGAAGTATTTGGATACGCTGAGGGTGTCAGAAGGGGTCCGATCAGTCTGGATTTTCGCAGATTCAAGTCACAAGATTTTTGAATTTGCAAAACGGCGGGTCTATCAAGTGGTGCGAGAAGGGTTGAAACTCATTGGTGGTGCTGGCATAGGAATCAAAAGGAAGAGACAAAAAGGAGATAACAGGGAAGAGAGCGCAGGTGGGTGATGATTTTCATAGGCTTTTTATTTCATCATAAAAAAAGAACGAGAGTGTAAATGAGTCCCACAATCAATTTTATTTTCATTTTCTAAGTTAGTCAACAGATTCAGCCTTTCACGAGCTGGAAAATATTCTACACATCCGGTGTTATGGATGACTTTCTTTGTTTATTTATATCCTCTTATATTACATTGTTGAGCTCTCCTTTTTCTAAAATAGGGAATGGTGAAAGAGGAATAGACATTGGGGTGGTATTGAAGGAAGTTTTGGAGCAAGCACCAAAGTGGAGGGTGTTACGTGTGAGTGAGTCAAGCAACACTATTATTCTTAGTCACCAATTCTTCCGTGCACATGTCTTTGTGGAAGAGATTTCCTTTCACGAAGAAAAAAATGTTTTTCACCTTTTCATGAATATTAGTTTCTCAATCTTCTTAGACGTTGCTCAATATATATTACCCATCCATGAACAACGTTGTGCACTTTTCTTCTGTGGTATATCAGTAGAATAAGCTTTCCATTCTTTTCATTTAGGAATTGCTTGAGGAAATAGAAGAAGAGAGGCAAAAGAATGTTTTTTCAGGTGATGCTAAACTTGAAAATTCAAATGACAATAGTGGTATCATTTTGGTGGCCTGCAAGGATGAACGATCGTGCATGCAATTGGAAGAATTCATTGAAAAAGGTTCACAGAAGGTATGTAGTGCTATGTACTTATAATATGAATATTTATATTTAGTTTCCGCTATCAGTTATGGTTCATATCCATGAGATTCTGTCTCCTCACTCACACCCACATACACACAAACACATTCTTGTGTGCATACGTCCTACCTGTTTTATGGTATATCTTTGCGTTCGTTGACAATGTTTTCTCTTATACATACCTTGTCTTACACTTGTATATCTCATGGCTAATTAGTTTTGTGTTAAAAATATTAATTATTTGAATTTTTCTTGGAGATCCATGTTAGTCTTTTGGGTTTAGTCTCCATCTGTAATTTTCTACATTGTTGAGACGAGCCTAATACGTTGGTTTGTACATGATAGTAGGTGATAAAATATATTCATCAGAAGGAAGAACTTATATCTTTGAATTAAATCAATGGGCCTATACATTTTACTGTTTATTGATTTTCAATTAAATGAGTCGGTTCTTCAAAAAACATTAATTGACACTCTTTGATCAAACCCAGTATGATGGGATATTTTTTTTATATGTCCGGAATTACGTAGCCATGCTTTATTTCCAGTAAGATCGGATAATTTATCTAAGTGTAACACTACATTATTCTCCAGGTCACTCAGGAGGAGTGGAAGAAGTATTTGCTAGATAAGGTTGAATCACTTGGTCTTCGGAAGAAGAACAAGAAGATGTCTCAAGCTCCTGAAGGTTTTGGAGTTCTAAATGCAGAAACTCCAGTCGGGCGAGGGGAAAATACAGGCTTCAATAGCATAAGCCAGCTGGAGAATGATGCCCTCTTGACAGCAGCATCAGAAATTATCAATTCAGCAGAAGTGAAAGCTGTTTCTGAGTCTACTTCTGATGCACATGCTGAGACGAAGAGACATGGGAAAGGAAAAGTAGGAAAAGGAAAGGCTCGCAGATGTGTAGAAGCTGTTCTAATGTCTGGTGGAAAAAATAAAATAAATAAAATAATGGATGCTACAAAATCTAAGGTAGAAGTCAAAAGCACTCTCCATGGCGAATGCGGTGTAGTGGATGTGGGTGGTTTGGAAGAAAGTACGGATGACGGACCTTCTTCTGAAACTGTTGCCCACAAGCACAATCTCCTCCCTGATCAGACAGTTTGCTCAGTTAATAAGCCACTCCCACCAGTGCAGTTGTATGCACTAGAAAGTGGCCAAAATATACTCGATAGCTTGAAACCCTCTGTAATTATTGTTTATCATCCAGATGTGAGATTTGTGAGGGAAATTGAAGTCTACAAGGCTGAGAATCCTTCAAAGGAGTTGAAAATCTACTTTTTGTTTTACGAGGATTCCACAGAAGCTCAAAAGTTTGAGGCCAGCATACGGAGGGAGAATGCAGCATTCGAATCTCTCATAAGGCAGAAGTCCCTAATGATGATCCCTGTTGACCGGGTATCTGTGCTTTATTTATTTCATACTGTGGTTGTATTTTGTATTCTTTTTCTCTTAATTTCTATCTATTATCAAACCTTTTATTTGTATTTTTTTGACTGCATAGCCTAAATGGATGCCCTTTAAAAAGGTGCATGAACTTTATGAAAGATCGTTTTGCATACTATTGAATGCATTATGGTGTCAATTCCCTGTACAGTATTCTTGCATTTGTCTGATATGTTGGTAATGGTAACAATATTTCCTGTAAAATATTAATACGTTAAAGGCCAATCATGGAGTTCTTAACTGGTGTCTATCTCGTTCATATACTTGTCAGCATTGTAAGGCTTACCGTTTCATCATGGGGTTGGCTTAAAAGAATGAAGGAATTGAAAGATTTAGTGAAAACATATGACACCAAATCCATGGAAAGTGGTATTATGTGCCTCGTCATGATAAATAGCCGCATGGGGATCTGTCATTGAAAGAACACTATTCTATGTGTCCCAGTTTCTGTTATTCCAAATATTCAGGGGTACGGGATTGACCTTCCTCTGCAAATTGGAATGACTAAGCCTTGTCATCATGCTCACACTATTCCTGGAAAATTCATGAAATGTATTACCACAACTAAATATCATCTCATTACGATAAGAGTACGAATCAAATGCTAAGATTATACACGGCACAACGTGATGTAACATAACCAGGACATCTTTATTCACTCGTCACTGAGGTTAAAACTTTTAGTCCAGATTTTATGTAGTTGATGAAACACCATAAAAGATCAGCTTTATGTTTGTCAATTCCCAGACAAATACTTATCTAATATAAGTTAATTATTATTAAAAAAAAAATTAATCCAAAATTAGCCTTATTGCGATTCTTATTACCAGTTTCTTAAATTCATTTTCATCTACATTTGTCAGCCTCTCGATGTTGTTCTAGCATCATAAAAATACCAAGTATGCAACCCAAGGAGCCCTGTATTACATTCGTAAACCATCTCCTTCGATCCATGTCAATGCAATTCTACTTAATTAATTTTTCTTTCCAAAGTATCCCTTGAAGATTGCCTATATTCCTGTTATTTTGGAGTCTTTTGCCACATTGGTGCTATCAGGTGCCTGCCATTTCCAATTTCGTTATTTTGGGTCACTTGTAATCAAATTACTGCCTTTTTTGGGAATAGGGTTCAGGTGTCAGTTTGTTTTCTATGCAGAGGTTGCGGCTTATGATATAAATTTGAGAACTAAATCTCTGTAGCTATCCGGTTTAAGGCAATTTGATATTATTCATCTTCCTTTCGCATTTTTGTTGTTTTTTTTATTTAATCATACAGAACACATTATGTATCGTCATCCTTAATTTTCAATTTCAGGACGGACATAGCTTTGGATTATCTGCTACCAAAGAATCACAATCGTTGGTCTCACAGAATGCAATCACCAGGAAGGCAGGTGGTAGAATTGCTTCAGAAAAAGAGATGCAGGTAATTGGTACAGAGAAGCATGGGGCCTTCTTTTTCCCTTTTTGGGATCTGCATCTCCTCCCTTGTTGTAAATTATTCCGACTAAATCTCTATCTCCGCAGGTCATAGTGGACATGAGGGAATTCATGAGTAGCCTTCCCAACGTTCTCCATCTGAGAGGCATGCGGGTTATCCCCCTGACCTTGGAAGTTGGAGACTACATACTCTCACCATCAATTTGTGTTGAAAGGAAGAGCGTTATGGATCTCTTTCAAAGCTTCACATCTGGGCGTTTATATAATCAGGTGGAGACTATGGTCCGTTACTACGAAATTCCTGTCCTTCTTATAGAATTCTCGCAGGACAAGAGCTTCTCCTTTCAGGTACTGTCACCCTCTAATAATAGTAAATATTTGGGATATTTAGATGCTTTGCCATCATGCTACGTTTCTTGTTTTAAAATTTCAGTGAAAATATCAACTAAATTTCCAGCAATGGATTCCTTTTAATTGAGCTGAGGAGGCTCTCCTTGACCCATTAAGTTGAACTTCAGCAAGCAGGAAGCTTTATAGTTTCCATAAACAAGTTTATTGCCTCATGGGGAATAGATTGCGATGGTGCGATAAGAATTCGGAGGAACTGCTCCATCCTCAGCGATAGAAAATTCATGTTAAAACGTCTGGCTGTGTTGGTTTCCTATGAGTGATTATAGAGAAGGGATCATTACATAAATGGAACCTCCCCCTCTGTAAATTATCTAGCACTCTTGTTTCCATTCTCCATTTGGGTCTTTGTTCCTGACTGATCTCACTATTTTTGTCATCTTTTCGATGAATATGATATGGAGCAGTCGTTTTGAGGATTTTTTATTTTCTCTTTTTCAGTCTGCGAGTGATATTGGCGGCGATGTCTCGCCCACCAACATAATTTCCAAGCTCTCATTGCTTGTTCTTCATTTCCCCCGGCTCCGCTTGGTATGGTCCCGCAGTGTGCATGCCACAGCAGAAATCTTTGCCTCACTGAAGGCCAACCAGGATGAACCTGATGAAACCAAGGCGGCACGGGTTGGTGTCCCTTCTCATGATGGCATCATAGAAAATGATGCAAGGTAAACCTGTGGCCATTTTTTTTGTCAATAATTAAATATTTAATTATCGAATTACTTATTTTGCATTTATATTTATGATATAATTATAATTTTCTTATTCAATACTGCAATTTATTTACGACATGCTTTCTTGGAATGTGGCTTAAATCTGATTAAGGAGCTTACTATATGAGTAAAGGCATAAAATGGGTTCACATTTATTCACTAAGCCTTAGATCATTAGTTATTTGAGTATTACTATTATTTTCGGTTATTCGAATATTTATTTAAGGGGTAAATGAGTTTATATTCGTATATAAATAAGTAAATTTCTGAGTGTTTAGGTGCTTATGTGTTTAAATTAATGTGTATAACTAAATTTGTTTATTTCATAATCCAATCCATGTACCAAACACTTTCAGCATGATGCCTTCAGATTTATCAAGCAGCTCATTATATGGCTCAGCGTAGAAATTTCATTCATATTTATAAAATAATATCTAAAAGTGTTAATTTTGCAAACTATCTATGTTGGATTTATATTTATGAGTATGAATTTATTTTTATGTATTTCAGATTGCAATCTCTGTTCTACACTTATGAAAGAGCTTACTGTGTCACTCTGAGACAAATTGATTCAGATTTTACAAATGCTAATAACTAATTTACCAGTCAAGTATTATGTTATATTTAAATCAAAAAGTATGATTATAGTTTTTATTCATTTCAAACGGTTCCATGGAAGGTAGATGAATGATTGTGCCCATTATATGTATGATTCAGGGCAGAAAATTACAACACGTCAGCAATCGAGTTCTTGAGGCGCCTTCCAGGGGTGACTGATTCCAACTATCGGGCTCTGATGGACGGCTGTAGGAGCCTAGCAGAGCTCGCCCTTCTTCCTACGGAGAGACTTGCAAAGCTCATGGGAGGTCAGAAGGCAGCTCGAACTCTGAGGGAGTTCCTCGATGCCAAGTGTCCGACCATGTTATGATCTCTCTCTCTCTCTCTCTCATTACCCACCACCTGGTGATTGGTTCCTAGGGGCCTCCGATCAGATCAATCAAGGCCATTGAGAATCTGCAGCGTGGTGATTGCTGAGGTACACTCGAATCTCCTTGTTGCCTTCGATATTGGTCTTAATTCTTATTTATTGTGATATTTAATTCACTTTATCTTGGTCTGTGGAAGACTTGAAAAAGGGCATGTATTTGACGGAAGTTAAAGAGTCCTACTGAGTCCATATAATGTTTCCTTGTGGAAAGGAGTCAAATATTTAATCCACTGATGGTATTCATAGAAAGATAAGGGGTGTCAAACCGATATTCTTTGAGTTTGGGTCTCGAAATAAGTCTAGTTAGATACGAGGTCTGTCTTAATATTTTGCGCTCTCTCTCTCTCTCTCTAAGGTATCAATATAGTTTCTATATTTTTTTTAAAAATAGATTGTTAGAAGTAGGCTCTTGTGGCTGTTTGGTTGGGGGTCTGGTGGCTGGTGGAAGGTCCAATGTTACCAATCATTCTCGACATTTATAGATAGAGAAATAAGAGCAAGAAAGCACTGATGAGTGAGAGAGCTTCCTCATCAGTGGCCAAGCTGAGAGGACATGACATTCGGAGACCCTTTAGGAAGGATGGCATCTAGAGACCCTGCCCATAACCATCACATAAAACGGGTATGAACCTTCCACCAGCCAGCAGAACATTGAATTTTGTTGAGCTCCTCCATAGAATTAATGTCACATCTAGTGGAGAGCCAAATATACCTTCACCATGCCTTCTCGTGGTCAGATGAAGAGGATAACCTAGAAAAACATTAGGTAGAGGTCTCCATGAATGGTATGGCATCCTCCACTGGTCACGTAGCACACTACAAATGGGTTCCTTCTCTAAGTATGATCTTTGAGAGTCACAAACTTATCTTTCCTTCTCTTATGAGCCATTTTAGTGGCTGTGATTTTTGACATAAGCTATGTGAGAGGGGGAGGCAGAAGAGTTTTGCCACATTAGTCCACATTGAAATCCATTTCATGCTGATGTAGTGATGGAAAGGAAAGGAGACTAGAAGCAGCAAGCAGAGCGCAAGAAAAGAAAAAAAAAGAAATTCATTCATCTCAATATGGAAATGGAAGGTTTTGTAGTACATTGATGTTTTCTCACATGTTCCTTCACACACATATGGAAAGGCCTAAAACTCCACCTCGAGATAAATTATAAATATTTTTAATAGTCATATTGGATGATAGATAAAATAAATGACTGATTGAAAGAGATTTGGTGAAAATATTTGCCAATTGATAGTGACATTTAACTGAAGAAAGTTTGACAAAGCCTTTAACTAGTTTATTTTGAACAAACTGACTACCAATCTCAATATATTTTGCAAGCTCAGAAAAGATTGGATTTGAAATAATATGAATATCAAAATGTCTTTATAATAATTACAAAGTATAATGGCAATGAGACAAAATTATGCATGTTTAGACGCCATGAAATTTATAAATTCAGAAATATTTCAAAGCGTCATGATCTTTAAATTCGAACTTATTTTGTCGTACATCTATTAAGATAGTGATAGGTGAGAGTGAACAGTCAACTTGGATAATGTAATCAATATACATAAGTAGAGCTACAAGAAAAAATTATACCCTTATTAAACAATGAATAATTATATGTCAACCGAATGTATTCAAACTAAATGAGTGAGCTAAAAAGGTTAGAATACTATTTTATGGATTTTGTGGAACTACAAAGATTTGATTTATGTAAGTTGGAAACATGTCTACCTTGATGAGTAGAAAGCTCCCTCTTACTCTACTATCCTAAATGTAGATCGATGTAGATTTCTTCAAATAAGTTGTTATTACCGACATCAATATTGACATTTAATTGAAGAAAAGTGTCAACTATTGCTAGATGCATGTGCCACCATGAGTTGATAGTTGCAAATTTAACAATAGGAGAATATGTCTTGAAGAATTCTATTATTTATGAGTATATCATTTCACAATTAATTGTACTTTGAGTTATTGAATAAATACATAAAAATGATATTTAATTTTTTAAACCTCTCTTCATCCAATTGCATATTTTTCACTTTGATAATAAAACTATGTATAATGTTATTTGATTTTCTAACTTGGTCTTCAGTGCCTCACGTCATTGAGGAAATATAATTATTTTGATGATAAAGCCAAGGTTCGTCATTAGATGAACTAGTCATAATAATTTTTTATATGATGAATATAGAGAAATGTGGGAGAGAAAATCAAGTAGAGGATATGGTCACTTGATTTCATGAGTGCTATATGAGACAATGTATTATAGTGCAATTCTCAAAGATAAGATGGTGGTTTGTGGATGCAATTATATGTCAATGTTTGTAAAGTTAAAGGATAACTGAAAATATCATGTTTGGTATATTATTTTGTGACTAAAAAAATTCTATTATAACACATGATAAGACCAAAATCCACAAGATAGTCTAATAAATTGCAATAAGCTATAAGTGAATATTTATTTTTCTAGACATCATTGAGCATGTAACCCTTTATACTAGGTAGGTATCCAATGAAAATAAAGTATAGCATGTTGATGAAATTTAGTGTGATGCCAAACAACCAAAGCTTTCAAATATGAACAATCAACATAATATTGATGTAACAATTCATAAGGAGTTATGCTATTAAGGAGTGGAGACAAAAACTATTGATGAGGAACACAATTATAACTATACAATCCATATAAAATACATGTTTTTAAATTATAGCGTGAATGTAATGTGGATGTTCTTTTATTTATCCTTGATATTGTCAAAAAATGACTAAAAATCTTAGGAGTTGCAGTTTTGGTAGAAAAGATTATAACATTGGAGGTGCGACTAGCAAGGACTGATTGAATATTAATCTATCTTTGATGATTATTTTCAAGAGACTAGTGAAAAAAATTGAGCAAGGAACAATAATTAAGATCAAACATGAGTTACATTTTTTTACTAAGTTATTTCATACCTTCACAATTTTTTTTTTCTGCAAAACATGATGGAAAGAATGTATTTAACTTTCCCAAATAGTTTTTAATTTGGTGAGCTATGCAATAATGTAATCTTGATATTGACAATGATTAATCAATTCATAGTGTAATTTACGACTATAGTGAAGTAGTACCGTGAGGGAAAGGTGAAAAGAAACCCCATCAGGGAGTGAAATAGAGCATGAAACCATGAGCTCTCAAGTAGTGGGAGGAGAATATGATCTTTGATCGTGTGCCTGTTGAAGAATGAGCTGGTGACTCATAGGCAGTGGAATTTGTTTAAGTCTCTCTAAAATTTGACCATATCTTGTGCACAGAATCATAAAAAACAATGTTGGTTGATATTTCTCTTTAAACTAAATTTAAAATTGAAAATAACCATATTATTTTACTAGATCCATGCTAAAAGAATAGAAAGATCTTCACTACTTGGTTTGAATATTGAAGTATCAATAAATCCAACAACATTATTTACAATTAACATTACTCTAAGAAGCATTATTATTTCAAGTAAATTGTTGTGATATGAAGATCAACTTGGATTATTAGAATAGTGCAAGAAATATGAATTTGATGGGTCATCTCAATAGATTGACTTGAATATGTCATTGATTAATATAGAAGGTGAACAGAAGACTTAAAACATAGAATCATATAACTAATTTTTCCTTTTTCAAAATTGGCAGAGTAGATATTTGATAAAGATGAGTGATGTTGAAGACAAATATGCTGTTAATGTTATGAACAAAAATGCTTCCAGTCAACCTTGCCTTGGGGATGAATATGCCATTATAGAAATAAGATAGCTAGTCAAATATGGATTTGGTGCCCCTAAGACTAGAGGCATGATAATAAATTATGACATATCACCCTCAAGATTGAGTGTTGGAAGAAAAAGATCAAGCCATTGACTATCTCTAGTGAGAATGAGGATCCAACATTATAAAGTACATAACCATAAGGATTGATTAATTGCCATTAGATTTCTTTCCATCTTTGTCTAATTACTTGTTGTCATGAGATCAGATGGCTGGTGAGCTTGAGATGAATTGGAGGAAGGAAAAAGGTTAGGGACGATGATAGAAACCCTAATCTTGATCCAATTCTAGAACCTAGATTCTAGTAATCAATTGGGACATTGAAGATTAAGCTGAACTTCTGTTAATATCTCTTTGGACAAGAGCCAAAGTTGATTGTACTGATCTAATAGTGGTAGTAAGAAAGAGAGGAAAGTGCTAGAGAAAAGGAAGAATAAATCCATTCATTCATCTCCACTCTTCATTTTAAGGGTTTTGTGGCAAATTGAAATTTCCTGATGTGTTCTCCACACGTGTTTGGAGAAGCATAAGATATGTTTCTAGATATGCTGCTACCTCATGCTGCCAAGAACACAAAGTGCACCTTGTTTGCACCTAGGGTTCTTGGTCATGCTCTTTATCATCTTCATCACTGTGACATTCATCCGTTGAATTGAGGTTGATTCGATCCAGTTATGGAGGATTTTGGGGAGGAGCAGGATAATAAGCAGATTTGTCAGAATAGCCCAGTTTTCTAGCTCTGCAAATCGTTGTTGAGCCTGTTGGCATGGGCCTGTTGGCATGGACCGGATGGCGCCATCGGTGGTCTTCTGCCAAAATTCTCCGGACCCGTTGCGACCCCTTTCCGCGACTTGCAAGCAGAAGGCGGGAGTTTTTGAAACATTGTTTCAGTGGGAAGGGCCGCTCCCAGCCGAGGGCTTGCAGGGTTCGTCCTCGGCTGCTGAGTATTCTCCCTCCGCTGCGCGATGATAGTTGACGAAGGGAGAATCGGGTGATGGTAGTCTGCGGAGGAGAATGCGCAGCGCGATGGATGATGAAAATGCTGTTCCCCATCCCCGGCAGCACTGGCAGCAGTTCTTCGTCTCAGATGATCGGAGGACGCGCATCCCTGATAGCTTCAGGGCTTCCAAGGCGTTTGTTGCCTGCAAACGCCCACGCGACTTCGCCCCCGTGAATTCCTCCAGGTTTGACGATTCAAGATCTCGTCTGAATTCTTTGTATGGGCAAGTTTCAGGTTTTTTTCTTCCAACCTTCTGTTCTATGTGGCCGTCTTTCTTTTTCTTCTTCTTCTTCCAGGATCGGGGAATGCACTAACCCGCCTCTCGGGTCGTCTCCATCTCGGGGAGTTCCGTTGTCTGAGCTTTGCTTGAACGCGTTCTCCCATCCTGTTGCCCATCGTGCACCGACCTGTGTGTCACAGGAATGTGCAACACTTGGGGCATTTGTTGGTTCGGTAAAGCAGGAAGTAGATAACCAGGCTTTCGAGGCTTCCGTCCCGCCGCCGAGGGTCTCAGATGAAGAGTTCGATGAAGCAGTTCTGAAGGAGATTGATGCTATATGCGAGCAGAGGTCTTCCGCAAAGAGGGAGAGGCTAACCTCTTTTGGCAGCCTCCCGTCCAGCCATTGTTTAACTTTGACCCACCATGAGAGACCTCCAGACGATGAAAACGATTCTGATTCCTCTAGAATGCAGCAGATAGAGGAAGAAAGGGAGAATAGCGCGCAGGATGTGGCTACAGGTGATGGTTCGGTGCCTCAAGCGTATTCTGAATACTTGGAGTCTCTGAACGATCGACAGAGAGAGGCGGCTTACAGCGATATCTCCATTCCTCTAATGATTGTGGCAGGCCCGGGAAGTGGAAAGGTCTATTTCCTTATGATTGTCTCCTCACTTGTGCTATCGATGCTTGTAATTGCTTATGGGCTCTTTGTGTTGTGTTAAATTCAGACTTCAACTATGGTTGGGCGCGTGTTGACACTTCTGAAGGAGGTAACTCATCCTTCGAACAGATAAAGATAATTATCCTTTGCCATTTTTTTTAATTCTGTCTGATTAAAACGAGTTTTCTATCAGGGGATCCGCCCTACCAACATCCTGGCCATGACTTTTACTACAGCTGCTGCATCTGAAATGAGAGATCGGATTGCAAAAGTGACAGGGAAAGCTATAGCAAAGGAACTTGCGATCAGCACTTTCCACTCTTTTTGTTTGCAGCTTTGTCGGTCCAATGCAGAGAAGTATGTTAGCTTTAAGTTGCTTTTTGGTTTCCGAAGCACATCCCATCTTATCATTTTTGCTACAAATTTAGATAAATTATGGCGAAAACCAGTAATTGCCAGTAACCCTCCAATGTATTTCCACGACACTCTTTTTATATTCACTTTGCTAACCATTTTAGGATGTACATCAACAATACCTCAGTAACACAATAACTATTTGTCTTTGCTCATGCTCGTTTCATTTCTTCTTGATATGAACTGTATCAATAAGATTAGAACCTCTGATAAAGGTTTTTCCTTTTTTCGGTATGGATATCAGGGCGTAAACTGGGGATTCATGTGGTATGGATTCTTGACATTCGTTGCCATCTGTTTAAGGATTTACAGTACCAATGAAATTGAACCATCGCTGAAACTGGAGAGATTGGGTATTCAGAATTACCAACTTTGGCGTTTAAAATACTCAATAAATTCATCTTTCACGATATTATTTAAGACTGTGGAGAGTGGGTATTCAGAATCGTTAACTTTGAATATGGACTGTCTGGAAGAAACATTCTGGCTTACATTGCACGTTTCTAACAAGTCTTTACCATATGTTTCCCTGAAAACTTTTGTGAGATCGTGTAGATTCTGTACATCGTTATTTTGATGCTTTGTTTTTCTCTAATGCTTCTATACGGTGTATGGTGCTTTCTCGTAAGAAGGACATGAATTCTTTTAGTTGAAGTGATAATCTAATGGAAGTGATGCTTGCCCATCCAAGCGGGGTTGTGAAGATTCTCTAATAAATAGGCCTGGTTTTTGAGCTGTCAATGGTGGATAGAAATCTGCTAATAGAATGGAGCTGTTATTAGGCTGACAAGCGAACTGACCCTTATAACGTATCAAAAGTCCAGAGTATGTTTCACCACCGTAGAGAGAGAGAGAGAGAGAGAGAGAGAGAGAGAGAGAGAGAGAGAGAGAGAGAGCGAAGAGGAATGCCCAATTATCAGCTAAATCTGATTGGTGAATTTTATGTAGCTCAAAAGTTGTAACTAGGATGAGCTAATCCTCCTCTGCATCTAGCATAGGATAAGCCTCATACACTGACTGTCCTAGTTCTACTACCGTTTTTTGTTTCATTTCTTCTGGAAAAAGAAGAACAGTCGTTTTGATTATAGATGCACAACAAGAAATTCAGTACATAACTAAATACTTCATTGTATGTAGTTTCATCATTCAATATACGATCTGACACTGCAGCTTTCTTAATTATGTGTATTTGCAATGGGGTAGTTCGTGTGAATTGGTTCCTATATGTATTACTGTTTGAATGAATATTGGTATTGACCATTCGCTCTGTTTGTTCATATTTGTAGTTTGACATAACAACGCCATTTACCCGTTTGACAAACATGGAATCCATTTTTGCTCGGATTATCTCGTTGTGTAGACCTTTTCTCATTTTGAAAAAATATCAGGTAGAATTCTTTTATTGTGAGATTCTGATGCTCTTTCCTTTCCACGGAATATATAAATTAAATGGGAATGTTTTTTTGGATGAGAAGAGTGGCAGATAAAGGGGATATGAGATTGTCTGTGGATCTTTCACTGTCATGTTTCCTCTACTCCATGTGGCTTGATTGCAGCCATTATGCAAAGTTTTGTCGACGAGTTTTTCGGGGAATCCTTTCAACGCAGTGCTGTTGGAGTTTTCCCCACACCTGTCCCCCCTTCAGCATTGATGTTAGTTGTTGGTTGTGTTAACGACACATGTTTCTGAGATTTGCATGTAAAATGCCATGGCAATATATTTCCACGAGTAATCAGACATTATTTTCGTGGCAATCATAAAGGGATTGCTCATTCTGAACTTCCAGCAAAAACGGGTAATAGACAGCCCACTTTTATCCACAAGTATTTTCAAATTGCACCTAGAAGGTGCATGCTTGACGGATTAACAGCGTTGTGTCACTAGATTTGATGATGGGTAAAACAAGGACCCAATCTTGTGATATTGCAACTTTTAATTTAGGAAGATTTATAGCATTGATGTCATGTGATTGTATTCATAATTAATTTGTGACTATTTTTACAAATAACAAGAGGAATGTCATGTTTTCCCTTTTCGATTCTGAGTTCACTATAGTGAATTTGTTGAATAGTGTTTAACAAGTGAGAATATGTTATCGACTAGATCTTGTCCTGTTCATGATTTGCATACTTGTTTCTTCTGTTAATCAATCATTCATTTCGCTTCACATTCGTAGTTTATTTTTGAACTGGATGCATACTTTTACCTTGCTTTGGATTCAGTTTTTAGTTCAGCCTGAAATAGTCATGCCTTTATTTGCATTCTTTGGCATAGCTGTACTTATGCAAATCTATAACCTGTATTTTTTTGTAACTCTGGATGCAATAGGTTGTGTCGAACACCTGCTTTTCTAATTTATGGGCATGGACAACAGAGAAGAGCTGTTATCGAGTCACTGCGTGTGCTTGAGAACGAAAAGCGTGATAAGTCTGGAAATAACTGTGGTATCATGGATGCTGTATCATTTAAAAAAATGTCAAAGAAGTGGCAAAAATTTGTGACCCAGGTTTGTTTTCTGCAATTGGACATTGGTCTGTTATGTGCATCTATGATTTTGTTTTTGATTTCTTGGAAAATAACTGTTTATTCTAGTTTCTCATTATTTTGTGCTTTTTGAGTCACAAGATGGTCAGGTTATTTTTTTCCCCATTTATTGCTTGCTTAGGTGGAACTTTAAAATTTGCCCAGTTTATGGAAGCAGTTTTAAGAGTGAACACTGGTGACTTGCTGGAAATCAATACTAGGATTGTTTGTTGCTGGAAATCAATACTAGGACAATGTGCAAGATTATTCATGCAATGATAACATCAAACAGTTGGAAAGGCTATAGGACCGTATCTTGGTTTGTTGAACCTTCGAATGGAGGGACAAAGGAGGATACCAAGAAAATTCTAGGTGTTGAGATAGAGAAGGAAGGATAATGTATTGAGGCCTAAAAAGCTTCCTAGGCCGAATGCTGGGGAGAATCTCTATCTACTCCTCACATTCGTCCTAAAGGATAATAATGCACATATAGACTCAATAGCATTGGTTTAGTGGGCCCAAAGTTGATGCAAGACTTAATGGGCTGGTGGGCACAAATAATATCCGATAATTAATGGGTTCAACTAACTTTAACACAAAGAAACAAAAAAGGATTACTCTTTCTCAGCATACTTAATCATGTGCGTCATTGATATAATAATTGAAGGAAAATAAGTTTTAGCTTATTCTACTTAATTGAAGAAGGAATTTAATGATAATTTGGATAGTTTTTTGGTGGAGATTAAGAATGAAAGAGTCTTCTATGTCTAGAATAGGATTGACTGAAAAATAGGCTGTTGTTTGGTTACAACAGTTTTGCTTCACTTCTGGCTTATGAGCTGGGACAGGTATCTGATGTTTTTTACACAATGTTGTTTTACCTGATACATGTAAAAACCTCTTAAAGCTTAAACCTGACTGCGAAACTATGCCTATATTTTGAAGAGTTTTCCTACTAATAAAACGGAATAATTTTAACGTTTAGTTTTATTGTAAAGTTAAGAAAAATACAAGCCCTCACATTCAGTTATTTAGTTTTGAAATTTTAGATATAACTGGATGTATGTGGGGATGCATTCACCAAGATTATGATTCCCCAGTAATTTGTGATGGGACTCCTGCAATTCTTTGCTTCATTGTTGGCAGGATGAATAAGAAGGATAAAACATTTAGCAGGTTCTGTCATATGAAATTTATTATCGTGTTATTTGAAATCTTGGATTGAGAATGCTTTGTTAGATGTGATGAAAGATTATAAAACAGTTTCGATGATTGCATATGCAGAGGAAGACAGGTCGAGTATCTAAAGATACCTGTGATCAGTACTTTGATGAGGTTCTACAAGGTGAATGGAAAAACAAGAAACAATTGGGATGGAGGTAATGAAGAAAGATATGCAATTTGAGATGTTCAATGTAGATACAATATCTTGTGGATCGACAAACTAAGATCTGTCTTTCATCGCAACTAGTTGGAATTCACTGGATATGAATTATGATGATCATTCCGATGTCAAAAAGTTGATGATTTTCCTTGTCCGCCATTTGTATAGTTATTATGGGTTGTAGTGCTATAAACAGGTGCTTAGGTGATTGTTTTTTTGTTCGAATTTTGATTGTTGAGTTCGGTTGATATGTTGAGCTTGGTTATGTGTTCTATTGAATCCTTTGTAGTGGGTTGGAGAAAACTGCTTGGCTGGCGTTTTTATTTTGGTTTCTACTTGCTCTTGTTCTGAAATAAGCGTCTGGATAATGGTCTGATTGCACGACTAACCTTTGTGTCTCATGCTATGATCTCAATTCCCATGTGTTTTACATTCTCAGCCAGACATATGCATCTCTTATGTGGGACTGTGTGCAATCTATGCATTATATGCCTTAATGATTATTTTCTGATCAAGTATCTTGTCCTTCTAACTAAACATTTTACGGATCATATTTACTATCATCGTGGTTTTTTCATCTGGCAATGCTGCCTTATCTCCATGCTTCTGATACAAGATGGCTTGGAGGAAACTGCTTGGCGCACATTGTTTTTATTGTCGTTGTTAGTTGCTCCTGTTCCAGATTGAACATAGGATAGTTCCGACGTCTTGTTATTGGAGTCAGTCATTGGATGCGTGGACTAGATAAACCCCCAATTGGGTGCATACATTATATTTGGTTCCTACACAGAAGGAAAGAATAATGCCAATTGCTCCCTGTATATTCCCAGAGGAAATTCTGACTTGTTTGCAATTCGTGCATTTGTTTTCAGGCTAAGGCTTGTGGTAGAACTCCTGAGATTTGCCAAAAGATGGGTGATGACATGGGTGTAAGTTGATATTATCTTATTTCTTCCATTTCTCTTTTGCAAAGGATACTTGTTTTCTTACCTTTGTTATCATTATCAGGCTAAAGTTCTCCAGAACTATGAAAATATACTAAGTTCCTGTAATGCTCTGGATTACCATGACTTTATCAGCTGTTCGGTGAAGTTACTCTCTGAGTTTCCAGAAGGTAAGCATTCATTATCCATACCTTGTGATGGGCCAGTTGGATATCTATCTCTGCCATGATTGTATTTCGTCCATTTGTCAGTGTATAAAAGTTGCCAGGATAAATGGAAGGCAATAGTTGTGGATGAGTTTCAAGACACAAGTTCAATGCAGTATAGTCTTTTACGTGTTCTCGCATCTCATAATTGTTTAACCATCATTGGTGATGAAGATCAGGTCTGCTATTCTATAATTTCCCTGGTTCCTTTTAAATGTCAGACCCACTCATTTTCTGAGTTTTCTTTGTAAAATCCAGTCAATATTCAGTTTTAATGGGGCTGATGTCTGTGGATTTGATTCATTTCGTAGAGATTTTCCTGGATACAAAGAGGTGAAACTTTCTTATCTGCCTTTCTCTTTCGTTATGATTGTTTGTACATGGTGTGATGGAATGAATGGAGCAAAATCTTTAGGACCTTAAAACTTTGGTAAATGGTTTTTTAAATGTTTTCAGGTTCGACTATGCAAGAATTATCGTTCAACTCGTTGTATTGTCGAGGCTGCGTCATTTCTTATTCGTAACAATATCAAACGATGCCAGCAAAAGGAAGTTGTCACAGAAAATTCCTCAGGATGTAAAGTATCCTTTCTAGAGTTTAAAGAATTATAATAGTTTTCAACATGAGACGTATTTCGATTTCAATTAAAGTATAAAAATAGTTTCCACATGAGACTTATTTCGATTTTGTACTTCATCAATTCACTAACTTTTCCTTGATTATAGTTAGATCATTGTCAAAGAATGCTACACTGAAGATGCTCAGTGTGCGTTTGTCATTGATAAAGTTTTGGAGATGACATCTGATATATCAGTTTCAAAGTGTTCCTTCAACAACATTGCAATCCTTTATCGGAGACAGGTGATTCTTTTCAACGTGCGTTTCTTTAATATCAGTTTTTTTTTTCTTGAATGTCAGCAGCACCTTTTTCTTTGGTTATCCAAAATGCAGGTCACTGGGAGAGTGTTTCAAATGTCCTTTCGTGATAGGAAAATACCCTTTAACAATCACGGAGTTGCCTTCTACAGGAAAAAGGTTCTTGGTCCATATTTTCATTTCAAATTCCTGTCAATGTTGATTTTCTCTAGTTTGAAGGTTATTGATCATTATTGTTTCATCATGTTTAGATTAAAGAAAACATATAGTTCTAAGTTTTTACAAAACTTACTCTGTTTTATTTCTCTTGCAAGCTATTTTTATTGGAGTCTCTTTGTTGCTGTTTTGTTTATTTAACATTATATGTATATGTTCTAGTTTTTTTCCATCAAAGAGAAGACTTCCTTGCAGTATATTTTTATCTTGATATAAAGGGGTATGGCTATATAATATTTGCGTATGTCCTATTTCAGGTACTCAGATATCCTCAATCAGTGTACTTGAAGCAACTGACTGAAATAATTGAAGCTGATTTTTCTTGTGGCATAATCATTCCATATTTGGTGTAGCCTAACCTATCCCGACAGAAGTATGAGATGTAAGCAAATTGGTGATGGGTTTATGAATGAAGCAAGTGACAATTTAGATGCTAAATTGGGTAGCACTGTCTAGAGTTCTATTATGAACCATACAACCAGTTGGGAACCACCATGAGAATGTACACTGGGGCTTGAGCCAATGTAGGTAGGATGAATGGTTCATAGTCGTTTTTAACCTTGATAGGCCAACCTCTGATGTTATCCTTCTCGTATGTCCATAGCTGGTGACCTAACAGTTCTTGCATGGAATGCAAGAGCTGCGGCCCAGAATTTCCCTGTCCAATTGGCTGAGACCAGCCAGGTGAAGAGGAGAATTGAGGTTGCCAGGCAGGAGGAAAGGAGAGAAGCTTGACTTTACTTGAAAAGCTGTGTAATGAAGTGCTGTATAATCCAGCTTGTTGATCAAAGAATTCCGGACAGTAGCATATTATTGAAATTGACTGGTATTAATAACCATGTATACTTTTCAAGTGTGTGATAACTTTGTCTCCCACTTCACAGTTTCTAGGTTGATAATCTAAGAGGGGTGTAGGTTTCTAGACTATTTGAACTGGGGGAGGATTAATCTGATCAGTAGGGAAGCTGATGTGACACAGTTTGACGATCAATAGTTGATAATGGGGGTGGTTCTACTAGCCATCAAGAAATAATGGTAAAAACAAAAAAGGTAAACCAATTTGAGGACTTTGAAGGTTTTTTTATTGGAAAGAAAGATAAGTCCTGACATTTGGTGTCCTGACTTTATTTCAAAGATGAAACGTTGATCCCCTTTGAAAATGCATAATATAATTGCAAAAAAAAAAGTCAGCTTAAAATGGCCTTTAATCTTAGTGGAAGGGAGAGCCCTGACTGGCTGGAGCAGTTACATGTATCTTGAAAGGTTAAAGTGAAAACAATAGGTGGAAATCTTCCTTTGCCGTAATCCACTAATGGTTCTGACGCACACACTAGAGCCTTGGGGAAGGAGAAAAACCATCCAAGACTGATGAAGATGTTGGGATGAACATTGAATCAAGATCAAATTCCATAATAGCTAGGACCAATTCAAATTACTTTGGATTATTGCTAAGAAGCTCATATACTTGCCTAAAGAATATAAAAACAGAAAGGGTAGCCTATTACAAACTTTTAATGACTACTTTTAGTGATTTTTAGTGGCAGCAACATTAAGACAGAAAAAGGATGAAGAAATAGTCACGTTTTCCAATTCAAGTAAATGATTCCTATGCTAATGAAGATCAGAATTGTCATTCCTCCATCAGATATTTATGGCTGAATTTCGATCCTCGAGAAAGAGAAAAATACACTGAAGTGAAAATTGATGGTGGTGTTAATTTTTTTCAATTCTAGTTTAGTTTTTCCTTCCTTTCCTTCCCTCTTCTTCTGTTCTGTTGTTACCAGCGACGTCACATTCTTTCTCTTTTTTGTCTTTTTTCATTCTCTTCTTACTCTTCTCTCTTCCTCTATTCTTTGATTCTATCATTCTTGGTTGTGTTTGCTATTTTGGATGTCTTCCTCTATCTTCTCTCAGAAATCAGTGATAAATATCAATATTTTTTCTTTTTTATTTGCCTGTCTCTACTTTCTTTTGTTACAATCTGTTTTAGCATTTTATAAGGTTTTACATGGCGGTTCTTTTTCATGAATTCCTCATTAAAATATAGGTGACCAGAGCTATCATAGCTATTCTGAGGACCACATTGCCAGGGTGTGGTGATGGTCCCTTTCGTCAGGCTTTCAAGGCACTCTTCGCCTGTGACAAAGAAGAAAAGAAAAAGGTCTAGGTCATTTTGTTTCCTGCCAGTTCTTTTTATTTTGCATATTACTAAATATTTTCCAAATATCTTTCTTCTTCTTTGTAGTTTATCATGTCGTATATACTCATAGCATGTGTTTCATCGTGCAGATAATTCAATATGTTGAGAAGATAGCCTCAGCTAGAAATTGTGCCTTTATTTCTGCAGCCAGTGACATATTTGGTGCAAAGATTTCCGGTACTTTCAAAAGGTCCTGTCTTTTAAGCTGATCATTTAATCTGAATGTTTTGTGAGACCTCAAAAATTATGTTAACTTTGCCATGCACTGTCTTTATGATCTTAATGTTACTAATTTGTTTGGACCACAGGAATTCTCCTTTATTCTGTTGTCTTGCATTATGTGAGGCATACTGGTTGTTCTAACCTACACTTTTGTTGGAGTTATGTGTTGGCTATAGTTCATAGGCTTTTGATATCGATGTGTCTTGAGAATCTTTTGCACTTGTGTGTCTTGTAGCTGTGTTTTTCGTTTGTGTTATCAAAATTGGTGCGACATCCTTGGATGTTCCTTCAGAAAACGATTGGGGGGAGGGGGGTAAGAGTTACTTTCTTTAAAAAACTGGCTACCTAGTTACACATCGTCTTGCCATTCTTCAGAAGATATTAAAAACGTTGGATTACACAGAATTTTTTTTGACATCATGACAATCATTCTCTAAGGCGGTCACGATGTGAAGATCATAAAACAATGCGGGACTGGTGAATATGTTTATCTGATCTCCTGAACACCTTTTAAGAGTATGGCGGGTCATTGGTAGTTGTTTATACCTTTTGAAAAGTTCGAATCTTGTAAGTTGACCTTATATTATACTTGACTATTTAGTATAAATGCTTGCTATTATTACAGGGCTCAGCTTACTCAAGGACGCAAGGTTCTGTCAGCTTTAGGCATGTTATCAAAGCTCGTTTTCCAAGTGAGGGGCTTTATTTACTATGTGCATAAAATTTTAATCCTGTGTACGTATTCATCACTGTTTTTGTGTACACATGTATATACTTGTGCGGTACAGAAGTTGTAGTGTTCCTTTCAATCATATGATTAACTTTGAATTTTTTTCTCTATAATTAAATAAAATTTGCATGCTTTATATTTCAAAATCAGATGGTTTCATAGATTTAATGCAAAGTTGTGGTTTAAGCTTACGATTCCTTTTGATGGCTTACTCGTACTATTTAAAGTGAATCATTCTATTTACTTTGCTATTTTGTTGCTTAGCCTTTGCGTTTCCTTGTTTATAGATGCTCACATCATTTATTGATACTTGTAGGAATTGTCAATCTCTTCAGTTATCTCTTCTGCGGCAAACTTACTACCTCAGGTATGAATTGTGATTTAATAATGTACCTTTGCATTTATCCCTGATGTTTTGTCAAGTTTTTTTTTCTTTTTTATCATGGCTTTATTGGTTGTTCTGTAGGATGGCGCTATCTGGTTCGGAGAATTTAACATACTAAATGCATAGTCTAGTCATGTCTGATCATGCTTAAAATTTGAAGTATACTTGTGTTTGAAAAATGTTAAAATGGCTTCTTAACCTGTTGGACATATTAACTAAGCTATACGGAATAATTCTTACAAGATTGGGTCTTAAGTGAGATTCCTTGGTGCCATTTATCAAGTGGGATTGCCTGGTATCGCATGCATAGTTTTGATGTTGTGCTTCTCACTGAATGCAAGAGTTTTCTGGGATGTAGGTTGGTTTTTAGGGTGAGTACTCATCTTTGGAAGGACTACTCGTAGAAATCAACCATTTGTTTCCAGATACCCTGTCGATCCCTTATTTTTCATTTTAGTTATGATACGGAAAAAAAACAAGAAATTTAGAGATACAAGGGCACTTGTTTCACTGACAAATTAATAGTTTCTGTTGAGTTTTTCTTACTGAAAGATCCATTATTTCTTGCCTTTCTTATTTTCTGGCGTTGGTTTCTTGCTGTGGAATGATGTGTTTCCTTTCTTTCTTGATTATCTGTGTATCAATAGTCCAGACATTGTACGGAGATTGCTCACCTAGTAACGGATTTTCTGTTGATTATCCTTGATCTACCAAGAATTGGTTCCTATTTTGTAGAGATACCTCCTTGAGCAACGTGCGGTAATTGATGTTGACAGTGGAAAATATTTGAATGAAGACCATGACCTTAGATCTGTAAGTTAAGTCTGGAAGCTTGATTATTAACTGGTTTCGAGTTCTTGAATATATTGCTTTTCTCTATCCTTCCTTAAACGGGAGTAAAATTCATCTTCGCCTTTCCCTGCTTATCTCATGTTAATTGATAAACTTAGTTTGAATGATTTTTTCCGATCATAATTCATATATCGCCATTTCATGCTTTATTTTTCCTAATATTATGATTGTCTGCCTTTTTTTTCTTTTTAGTTTGCATCTTTCATACCAGTTCCTGATTTTTCACTGCTTCTTTGCTTCGCCATGGTTCATTATGCATTTTATTTTCGATTGTAATTGAGTTTGCTTGAGTAATGCACTGTTGTCAAACCAATTAAAAGGGTCTAAGAATGGACTTTAAATTGAAGAGGCCTTGATAGTTGCACATTGGGTTTGTTGAATGTCTTAAATATAGGGGATGGAATCATATTAAAAGCTGAAATCTAACGGTTCTAAGCAACAAAATTGAATGAAACGCTGAAGAATATAGGCTCGAGTTGTCTGATAATCTGCAGGGATACATGTGGTGTAATGATTTATTCATGTCAAAAATATGTTTGTATTAGGGAGTGCTGTCCAGTTATCACAAAGGCGAAGCAACACTTTCATATTAAAGGAAACTTGTATCCTAGAATTGAAAAAAATCAAAATGTGTTACCTCGAGCTTCAGTGGTCCTACTGCCCAGCATCTTCAATTTAGCCTTACTGGTTTGTATTTGAGGCCATGATCTTCTACTCAATATGGAACCATATTCTGTGCTTAGCTTTGGTGACTTCATTTTACGTAAGGAATATAAGGTTAGAGTTAAGGTGAACGATTCTTAAGTGCACTAGACAATTGATCATCATTAGTATTTGAAGTTGATGTCTAATAAGAGGCTCTTTATTAATACTCTTTTTATAAGGAATTCAAGGAAACGAATAGAAGAGGACAAGAAGGTTAGCGGTAATGAAAGATGCTGCATCAGACTTCCTTGGGTATAGGAAGTCCCTCTTATAAGCTTTTATATTAAGATAAAATAGTAAATTGAGAAAAAGAGAACAAAAATACTGAAGCTCTCGTAAAATGTCTAATAACAAATTGTTGGATACAGTTAGTCATTGGTGAATAATTGTCCCCTCACATTTAGGAACAATCGACCAATCTTCATGGAGCTGCATTAAACAGTTCATTCTAAGAGGCCTGTGGTACATGATGTCATTAATTATCAATCACTCTAAGGTCCCTAATCGTTCATTGGTGTCGTTTTTGCTACACTGTTTGTTATAACTCTTCATTTTTAGATTGCTTTTTAAATGGTCATTTTAGAAGAACATTGTAGAATGCTAAGAGAAGGGAAAAACACCAGGGAAACCCTAGGACAGGACATCCTAGGACATATACATTTGATCTGTTAGAAATGCAGAACACCAGGACATCCCTAGGTGTTGAGTTAGAGAAGAGAGGAGAAGGAACAGAGGCGCTAAAACTCTAGGCTGAACTGCGGAGAGAATCCATTTCCTCTTTTTTCTGTCTTCTATTAGTCCTGAGCCCAATGTTTAGCACATGGACGCAATAGTATAGGTTGGGTGGACGTAATGCGGGTCCGATACTTAATGGTTTAGTAAGCCCAAACAGGGTTTGATATTTTGATGGGCCCAACTAAAACTCTAACATGGAGAAAAAAGAAAAGGATAACTGGTTCTCGACAGTAATCAAACAAGTCTTTACTTCTAAGTGTGATATTGAGGTACTTTGAGTAATTTGTTATCCTTTGAAATGCATAAAGTTGTTTTCACTTGGTTGTAAATATTCTAAGTTGAATAACGTACCATAAAGCGTATTTAGAGATGCTTGTATTTGGATCCTTGAAATGGCAATTATAATTTACGTTTGTACCTGAGTAATGCCTATACTGTCCTAAGACAAAGAGTTATCTTGCCCGTTGCAAAATTGGACAAAAAAATATGCGAGTCGATCCCTTCTGTGGGGACTTGACTGAAATGGTAGAAAATACCTGATGCTAAATCCATTGGAGAGAATGTTATTGATGGGGATTTTGACTGACCCATATGATTTCGTTGGTAATTTTACTATTGAATGTAATCAAATACAACATGATTAATATGCTTTATGTCAAGCTTGGCCAAACAAGATGCAATCACTGGCTAATATCATCATGGCTATTTATGGTTGAAAGAAGCTAAACCAAATATTGGAAAGATCACGGACTATTGTCCATGATTTTGTTTATAAGTGAGCTGAGGAGAGCATGCGAGACAAAGTGACATGGGAGCACAATGAGAAAGATTTAGAGGACTATGGTCCTTTTGCCATGCCGAATCGAGTAGAGTGTAGTTTGTCTTTGTCCTGTAAGCTGGTTGTATGAATTTTTTAATGAGTCTAGAATAAATCTGGGGATTTTTGCATGTGTACCATTATAAACTATTGGGCACTGTACCCCTGCCTTCAACATCTCAACTTCTTTACTGTAAATTTTTATATTCTTAACCATGCTTAACTCATCCGAACTTTATAAAGACATTACCATTTACTAGGAGGACAATGCCTGTAGTTTAAAAGACACTTTAATTTTTGGTAAGGCTTTTTATGTTGATTTCAAAACTACGAATTTACAGGTGATTCAGTACCTGCTTGATGACGTGGCCGAATTTCAGTCAACATACTTCGATTTTGATAAATGTGAGAAAGTTGCAGCAGAGGAGAATGGGTGTCGGAACACACTTAGTGCCTTTCTTGATCATATTTCTCTTAGAGAGACTGAGAATTTTAGAACTTTGAGATGTGAAAATCAGAACTCTATCACATTGACGACAATTCATCAGGTATAGAATTCATGTTCTTGAACTATTGAACTTTTAGGTGCCATGTTTGACGTAAAAATATACTCTTCTTATCATGAAATTTGACTCCTGTATTCTTCTTTGACAGTCAAAAGGTTTAGAGTGGGACACCGTTTTTATTGTGAAGGTATGGCCCTATATAGGAGGATATATTAGCATCTATTTCCCTCAGTCAAAGTTTCAGTGCTTCTGAAAAGTTTAAAATATACTATTTTGAGTATTCCATTTTTCAGTACATTGATGTTGTGGATTTGGCAGCAACTTTGGCCAATAATAGTGACAAGTATATGTGATCCATTTCATGTTCTGAGAGAGAGAAATGGTTAAATGAACAAAAGCGTATCACTTTTCTAATATTAGATGTGCTACTTTGATTGCTGCTGATTTAGGACGGCCAGATTTGATTTGCTGCTTCCTTTGAAACCTGTTGTTGGTGTTCTCAACTTTGCTAAACTAAAATATGTCGTACCTTTCCTCTCAACTTTAAATAGAAATCAGTCATTCTGTTTGTTGTTGGTTTTTGGATACCTAAAGAAGGGCCAAAATGATGCTGACAACTTATGTGAACTAGTGAAAATTTGTGGGCTTCGCCAGTCCAATAGCTTTAATTTTTTACGAGGGGCGTTGGATCTAAGTTGTGTTATGCCACATGACATTAGATACCTTCATTGGAGATACCTTATGTTGTTAAGTCTTGTCTGCTAATGGCCAGAACGCAGTATGAACTGTGAGAATATTGCTGTCATGCGTCACAGTTTTGACTGAATAATATATCAATCCTATTAATGTTGCTTTTGACTTACCATATCATTACATGTGACATGATGCATTTGAGCTTAAATACTCAGTTCACATGAATGTCTATGGAAAAGTTTGACTCACCACCACCTCTGCACATGCTTTATTTTGGTGCTTCCCTGAAAGGGATTAGACGCCTGAGGTGTCTTGGCCACCTCATTACCTAGTTGGATTTTTAGGTGACGCCTTAAAAAGCCTGAGTTAAATGGTACGTTTCCTTTCCAACCATTTTACAGTTTATCATAAAGGTCTTATGTGCCTTTGTTGCCTCATGTGTGAGGGGACATGTGGTCTTTATCATGTGAACAACATATATGAAGTGTATGGGGTACAGAAGTAACAATCATTTCTGATTGACGATGAGTAGAGTAAACCCTTTTATATAACCTCGTTAGTTTGCGTGCATCGTCTAATAAAAGATTAATATAGGACGTAACCCTGCATTTTTGCAAAGCATATGTTTCTTATGAAGATTTGTTGCTGGTATAATAGGTTTAGATGCTCACTATTTAGTGGATTTCTCTAGTGAATTATGCCATCTCTAGTTAATTAAAATGGTTGTGTGACGTACTTTTCTTAATTTCTCTATTTTGTGGAGATGTAGCCGTGCTTATTTAGGTGCTAATCTCTTGTGTTTAGTTGATACTCTTAACCGAGAAAATAGTTTTACAGTTTGAAACAAGCTTATTGTTAAAATATTCCTCCTTAGTGTGTCACATGATGGTTTAGTGTATCACGCGACTGTCTTAGTGTCTTTTTCCTTCTGTGTGTAAGGTTCAGATGTCCAGGACCTTCCTCGAGGTGTCTGATATAAGTACCAGACCTCTGTTGTGAATTGATTTAACACAATCTTTCCCTCATTTTGAATAGAAGTTCCTTTTCCGCTCTCTACATGAGAAGGTTTTTCCTTGAGGATCCAGAGGAATTGAAGGAAATTCGACACTTATAGGGCTAGTTGCCAGTAAGTTCAGAGGAAATCAGTTCTAATTCTGGGGAAAGAAAGATTTGTCTAACCGCTATAAGTAAAAATTTTATGCATCTGACTTCTAATCTTATTTTTTTAGAATAGTATGGAGCTGGGCTGCATTTTCGTAGGTCATAGGTCGCTTAGATTATCTTAACTCGGCCATCATTTGTTGGACGCATAGAGCATTTCTGCATGTTTGCTAGCCCAAACTCGGCTAGAAATTTCTGCCATAGACAATGGCTACTTTTTCTGGTTAGGAATGTTTTGGAGGCTCATATAGAGTTATAGGGTTTAGTTTTTCCCCGTTGCATCTTTCAGAGTAAATTTTTTTCTGGTTCCTAGAGTCAGATGCCACAGTGCTTCAATTCAAGCTGCTTTTTTACCCATATTTTATAACACCTGCAGCTGTAGCTGGCGTAAAGAAATTTACTGCTGAAATCAGGAGTATGGACTAGATTGATATAATGGGCTGTTGACCATGTTAGCTGTTGTGCATTGTCAGAACGTTAAATATTATGGCCAGTTGATGTTTAACAAGTGCTGTTTTGGCGGATCGTTCCAACACTTTTTCGTCCCTGGCACCTTATCTATTCACTTTAATAATTATTTAGTATCATATAAGAATCACTACGTGGATGTCAGAAGGCTGATTTAATATTCTTTTGTCTAGGCAAATGAATCAGAAATTCCTTTGTCAAATGAATTGAGTACTTTCAATGAGGAATGCGGTACAAATATTGAGGTGAGCATGTTGCTTTCGAGAGTCTTAATACATTTCAATGTTTTTGTCCTATTCCTCTTACTGAAATTGAGAACGTTTATAGGAGGAGCGTCGGCTAATGTATGTAGCAATGACTCGTGCTCGTAAGAAGTTGTACATTCTTTACGTCCTAATGGATTCAAATAGGATGGTAAAATCCTTTCTTCCTGTGCGCTGTCGTATTTATTTATTTATTGATTTTCTATACCTTGTGTTATTTTGCTAATGTTATGGATTTTCAGCTTCTACAACCTTCCCGTTTTTTGAGGGAAATACCAGTCCACCTTACTGAGGGCCAGGTTAGTATTACATTGTCTGTCTTCTATCTTACAACTCAGTGTATTTGGTTATGACGATTGTATTGCCAAGTTTTAATTTTATGGAAGCATTCTAGCTGATAAAAACGAAACTATAATATTTTTGATGTTTAAGTTCTTGTTGCGGTGCTGTGGATACAGCTATAGTATACTTGGTTAAAATGTACTTTTCAAATGCATACCATTTGAAAAGTACATTTTAATGAGGTTGGTCAGTTTGTTTTTCAGTAAATCAATGCTACTATTTTCGTGGTTCCATTGTGTGGAAATTTAGTTTCCTAAGGGTTTTATCTCTAATTTGTGCTTGATGGTTTGCACTCTTAGGAAGTGGTCAATGAGGAAACGCTTCCTCGAGAGTCTGTAGAAAGCAGTGTCAAACCTGCTTCTAGTCCTTCAAAATGCCAGCCATTCAGTGAGGTGACTGGCAACCCTTCACTCTGCTTTCAACGCCCTGAGGATATTGACTACGGCATGAAAGAATCTGCGCAAGCTTGCCTTGGAAATAATTTCCTTAAAAGGTATCAGCCATTTTGTTGTCTTTTTTGGTGACCATTTTGCGCTCATATTCATATTCTGGTTGTACTTCGTGGTTCCAGCAAGTGTGGGAAAAACCTGTAATTAGGAGTTAGTCCTTTTGGCCATTTTCTTAGTTGGGTAGTTTCCTAGTCTGGTACCTTCCTAGTTGATCAGTTTCTTTAACCCAGGTAGTTTCCTCTTCTTGAACAATTGTATATAGCTAGCAATTGTTTCTATGATTTAATAATGACAAGAGATTTTTCCTGATTGATTATCCTTGTATGGTTTGCATTAGTATGTAAAATAACAACGTGGGCTCTACTGCCAATTTCGCAATTTTTTACTAACGTTTTCTGGAGAGCATTTATTGTTCCTTCCATTTATAGAAGCATGTTTGCCTGTAACAATATATTGAAGAGTATTTCCACAATAGGCGTCCAGAGACTTGGTTTCTGGTTTCTCACAACCATTCCTGTCACCATGATCCTTGTAAACGCCTTCTGTTTAATGGCTTGTGTGTAATGAACTTCAATTTGATTTTTTAAGATCTTTTGCAGATTTAATTTGGAGGATCGATCAACTATTTCTCAGTTATTTCATCAATGGGCGAAAAAGCAAGCATTTCAAGTTCCAAGACGGTTAATTGATAAGGTGCTTTTGATCTTCATTTTCCTGACCAGTATGTGCATTTAAAAAACTTAGTTTCTTCATTTATGCAACTCTGGTCTTCGCATTCACATGTAGTTCAATGATTAGAATTACATGTACAGCATGAACTTCTGTGATAGAATTACAGGAACTTTGTTGTTCAATATTAGTCGTTAGCTTGGAAAGTGTTGTCAAGATACAAACCCGATGCTGCTTTTACATTTTTTTGCATTGATATTAACAAGCGTTTAATTTTTAATCTTGCCTACTTCAGTTTTTTCGGTTTGTTCGAATGGCTAAACACAATTTGATTGCATACCTATTCTCCTAAATATCTCGTATCTATGTAGAAGTTTGCATGCCTACTGATGTTGTGTTACTTCTCTCATTTTCATTTGCCTACCTGAAAAGCTGTGATACCTGACTTTTGTGCTGGTTATAATCTCCTGTCTTGATGGATGATGCGGTGATAAAACATCACGGTAGCCCATTTTTCAAATACTTGGCTAGCTTTGGAAGGCCAAATCCTCTTTAGTAGGTGGAGAAGATACTGGTGTACAAATCTTGCATGTCTCAATTAGATGTAGGTCTGTGGCCTGCGATCTGTGGCACAAATTTTTTGTCAGCTTACTCGAGGAAGAAACTGTTGTTCAACTTTGTCAACTGGGAGGCATTTTTATGTATACATTCATTTTAATCCAAAATCGTGTGTAATTGGTTGAATGTCCACCTTAATTGGTCAGACTTCTATTTTCTAATATCATCCTTCAATTTCCAAACTACTGTATATCACATGAAAAATGTAAAACATGCACGTTGTACATTCGTGTCTTTTCTTATCAATCCTTTTGGATTGCAGGTTGGCTTTGTAATTGATGAACGTCTGAGGAGTAAGACAACCAGGAACAAGGTTTCCTAAGTTTTCAGATTCGTGACTTATTCTCTTTCTTTTTGCGGAAGTTTAGTCTTAAATTTTGAGTTTTGGCAGTGTCAAAACCTGTTCTCTTCATTGTTTACTTTTCCTGTCACTTGAAACAGATATGAATCCGGCACCTTTCATTATGGGTTGCATTGGGTTATCCTTGACCCACAACTTTATTGCCTTGACATCCATCATACATGCTGTCTATGTGACACAACCTTATTAATGCATTACTGCATGCATCGATCATCTAGAGACTAATATTACGAGTATATTTTGGTTGAAGATGTCTTAGAAAGCCGATTATGTGAAAGCTGCAAAGGTTGATTCACAGAGGAGAGCTAGCATGTTCAGTCATCTGATAATTAGTTTCAAATGGCTGCATAAAGTTTTTTAGTTCTTCAGCGGATATGAAATGTTTTCCCATCATGAGTACAAATGGTTTCCTTATATGGAACTCGATTGACAGCACGTTTGCACCTTTTTTTTTTTTGTTTTTTCTATTTCCATTGTTTCTTCCCTGTCAGGCATTTATGCAGCCATTCAATATCGGTTTCTTGTTCTTAGGTCTTCATATTATTGATGATCGGTGAATCACAACACACTTTTCTTGAAGCAGAAGAATCTTTACCCGTCAACAGGCTGATGAATTACTGTAGAATGCCTTCTCATATTAGTGATCATCTGTCTTTTTTGCCCATAATTAGAAAATATATTTCAGGATCTTTTACGTACTCTCAAAGCTTCATTGAGTGATGACGAAGCCTTTCAGTATGCACAGTATGTGAGTCATATGATCATATTTCTTCAAGTATTTGTATGCTCAGATTTATCCAGCATAGATTTTATTATTACTTTTTTTTTTACTGAAAAAGCTTCACCATCTGCAGGTTTTAAGATGGGAGAAGATCCCTTTAGAGAAACGTGCTCATTTAATGAGGGAAAAGCAGGTCCGTGATCTTCACATGCTTTCAGTTATAATCTCATCAAGATAAGATAAATCAGACAGAAAATAATTTTTTTTTATAAATACACGAACCGGCCCTTTATCCCCACTCGCATCACATTGCAATGGTTACCTGACATCAACACAAATGTCGTCTTAATCCCAGGAACACTTCCAGAAGCAAAGGATTGAGAATGCAATGAATTCCTCAGGGCCATCAGCTAAGCAGGTTATTGATCTGTGATTCATGTCAAGCACTATTTTTTTCTCTTGTTGAAACCTTATGGGCTTTGCGTCTTTCTTCATGCCAGTTTTTCTTCTTTGCTCTTGGCAAGTAGAATGATCAAATTTACACTATTTTGGGCAATTTATAGTTGGATTAAGGCTGACAGAGGGCAAAATGATCAGATTTTCAACGATTTGACTTATCTTCTGCAACACTTTCAGCATCTCATCTTTTTTTTTTTATCCGTGGTCATAAATCATGTCCGTTTGAGGAAAATTATTCATCACTTTCAGATAATATGATATCTTTAATGGAAACAGTATTTATTGTTGATTTATAACCAGAAAACCTCTGGTTTCCATTCTTTATTTTATTTTATTGGACCTTTGGCTTTTACTTTTGAGATTCTAAATCCCTACCATTTTCAGAGACCTCTCTGATGTCTTTTTCATGGTTGCATATGATGTGGCTGAACCCGTGTTTCTTGTGCTCTCGATCTTGTCCAGATTAATTTTCTCCAGAGTTTAGGTTGCACCATTGTGCCCACCTCACGCCTCCATGCATCGCGCCTGATCGAGCAGTACAAGTCTCTGTAAATATGAACAATAAAACGTTTATAGCCATGCTTTCCGTTCAGAGTCAAGCCACTCTCTCTCTCTCTCTCTCTCTATTTCTGTTCCCTATCTTTTTCGTTGGGATGGTGGAATTTGTTTTTTCTACAGGTAAGTCGCTATTTTTAGGTTGATATGGAGGAAACAATACTATGTTTGAATTCTAATATTATTTTTTCATTGGGTTACTTTTAAGAACTCTGGAAAATTGAGACTATTCCATTTATAATCTCTCTCTCTCTCTCACTCTCTCCCTCTCTCTATCTCTCTATCTATTGCTCCTCTTTAAAGCTCCATGGGTTGTACCAAGAATCGCAATTTATAAGCCGCTAGGATTGAAATCAAGGAATTTCCAAGGTTTCCGAAAGAGAAACCGTATGTTTTTCAAATGGGTTTTGCCGAAAACGTTCATAATCGAGATTCTCATCTGACCCATCATTTAAATACTTTAATTATAAAGATTCGTAATTTTGGGGCATTTTCGCATCTTGTCTGACTACATAATATTCTCATATTCTCTTCTCGCTCTTCTATTTTTAGAAAAAAAAAAAGATGGGGTATTTAAATGCATAATACGGAATCGAATAAATGGGTTATTTAATTCCATAAGCCTATTATTTTAGCCCCAAATCGAACGATTTTTTTTATTTTTCTTATTTATTTAGATTAGAAAAATTTATATCTACTACAAGAAATTCGCCCTGCTCTCATAACCTGCTGGGCTGGGCTGAGTTGAGCCCAATAAGTGAGTTGCTATCGATTTGTTCTTTCTTGGGTCGGTGAGGCAAAACTGATGGCCCGGTTTGAAATTCGGCCCAGTTTTGGGCCGGTTCGGTCCGTTAGCGAGGACATTAGGGGGGAGGTAGTGACCTAAAGAGGCCTGGTGTGGCTTCCCTCTTCCCTCCTCGCTGGTGCCTTCGCCTCCGCTGCAGAATGGCCGCCGAGGAGGCGGGCAACGTGTCCCCGGAGAACCCCGAGTTCTACGCTTCCCCGCCGCTCGCCGACGCTGCTGAGGCTGCTGCGGAAGAGCCCTCGGAGCCTCCGGTCCCTGCTCAGGGGGATGGCGTGGTGGAGGAGCAGGAGGAGGTGGAGGAGTTAGAGGAGATGGAGGAGGAAGAAGAGGAAGAGGAAGGTGAGGAGGAGGAGGAGGAGGAGAAGGAGGATGACAAGGAGGAGGATGAGGAGGAGGAGGATGAGAAGGAAGAGGAGCTGATAGGGGCGGCGGTTGGAGAGGGAGAGGAGGAGACGAAGACAGAAGCGCCTGAGGCGGCCCCTCCGGCGGGCGAGTCGAAGAGGTGGCCGGGGTGGCCGGGGGATAGCGTGTTCAGGATGATCGTGCCGGTTCTTAAGGTCGGGAGCATCATTGGTCGCAAGGGGGAGCTCGTGAAGAAGATGTGTGAAGAGACGCGGGCGCGCGTCCGCATCCTCGAAGGTCCCATTGGCACCTCCGACCGTATTGTGAGTACCTTATTCTTCTTCCTCTCCTGGTCTAGGGTCTTGGAACTGGTAGAAGTGAGAGCCGTCACAGTTGGGATGCTATTTATGACCTAACATTGTCTCCTCCGACCATTTTGGCTCATTCTACGGAATCTATGCCTTTAATCGTAGTTCTTTGAATGCTTTTTGCGTAATTTTCTCTACTTATTTTTACCCTGGATTTTCTCAAGTTGTGATATAGTTGATATGTTCACTACTATTAAGGTTTTGATTTCTGGACGAGAAGAACCAGAGGCAGAAATATCCCCCGCAATGGATGCCGCGATTAGGGTATTCAAACGCGTCAATGGAATTTCTGATGGTGAAGACGGTACGCCGTCTGCTCCAGCTGGCTCTGCAGTGTGTTCAGTTCGGTTCCTTGTCGCATCCTCCCAAGCTATCAGTTTGATTGGCAAGGGTGGAGTGCTGATCAAGTCAATACAGGAAGGCAGCGGTGCCACCATACGGGTTCTATCTGGAGGTATTATTTCAACTGCTGCTACTGAACTTGGTCAACTCCTTTTTTTGTTGAAGTGGGAAACTTACGATCCTCAGTTTTATTGAGTAAAATGATGGGATGGTTGACTATAACACGCATTGAATTCAAAATCCATGTATTTTTTATTAATGATTACAGGACAAGTTAATTTATTTGCTACTTATCTATATTATCAGCATGGGAGGGCACAGATCCGGGACGACGAGTTAAGGAATTTTCTAATTTGAATCATATCCTAAAGTCTTCCCTCATATGGCATAAAGGATGAATTACTTGCTTTTCTTTTTCTATTGAAAAGGTATCTGTTGGTGTTGATGCAAACCCTATTGTATAACAGGTTTACTAAGTTTGGTAATCTACACATCTTGATAATTTCCTTGGCATGGCAAAGCGTCCATCTTTTACATTTTTCCTTCTATTACATGGAATATGGTTTCTTCATCTTTGAAAAATAGTTCTAGTTTCATCATCAAGGAAATGTTTGTCGCTTTTCTCTGTATTATGTTTCATGGTATTTTCTCTTGGTTTATTTTTGCCCCCAAGAAATGTAGAAACTTGACTCTTTCCAAAGGTGAGCCTTGATTCAAACCTATTACCTTCTTTCTTGCTCATCACATGCTTTGCAAATTTCTGTGTCATTCTTCCTTAGAGTCCTTGTTCTAGCTACCTCCGCTGTGTAGCATATTGCTTCTGGTTAACTTAATCTATTCAACCATCACCTGCTCGTGATGTGTTGCTACTTCAATTCGTTATCTTAAATTATGCTCAGAATATGCTGTTTAACTTTGTTTATTCTTCTTTCAAAGAGGACGTGCCATTTTATGCCGGATCAGATGAAAGGATCATAGAGATGCAGGGCCATCCTTTAAAGGTTCTGAAAGCATTAGAAGGGGTAGTTGGGCATCTACGGAAATTTCTGGTCGATCACAGTGTTATTTCCTTGTTTGAAAAGAGTGTAAGTCAGTTTTTTTCCCTTTTTTGTGTCTTACATATATATATATATATATATATTTGGGTCAAACACTGTGTTGAGTTCTTCTCCACTTGTTTCAGCATAGCTCATCTGCCACTTCGGGCACTCAAGATCGTGTATCCGACGCGTGGTCTGATAAGGGATCATCCTTGATGCAGACATCTCAAATGGGAATGGGCAGCGATTATTCGCACCCATCGCAGCGGGATTCTTTATATTTTGACCGCGAAGCAGCTATCGATTCTCGAATGCAACACTCTGGGCTGTCCTTGTACGGACAAGATCCTGCTATTTCTGGGTTGGGCCCCTCTGGGCTGTCGCGGACCAGCGGGGCTTTTGTTACTCAGGTTGGTATTAGTTTCTTCATGTTTTGTTTTGGTTATAGTGTTTGCTCTTTGAAGCCTTTCTGTGCCCCATATGCATTTCTTCCTCCTATTCTTTCATGCCTTTTATGGTAATGATTCTTCCAATGGACGATGGGTGAGGTGATGGCTATGGTGGAGCTAGTCCAAAACTAGTCCTTTTCCGTTCCTCACGGTTTTCTCAACTCCATTCTTCTCCAGATCACAAGAACAATGCAGATCCCGCTCGCCTATGCGGAGGACATCATCGGCATCGGCGGCAAGAACATTGCCTACATACGCCGCAGCAGCGGAGCCATCGTCACCCTCCAGGAGGGCAGAGGGCTGCCCGATGAGATGATGATAGAGATCAAAGGCACTGCTCCGCAGGTCCAGGCTGCCCAGCAGCTCATCCACGTAAGAATCCTACCTCTCATCCACATCCGCCTGTAGTATTTATGAAGGACTAAATCCCACATTATTTGACAACTAATCATGGGACCGAGGAAAGCGAGGAGGTGGGGTTTGAAGGGAATTGGATGATCCTTGTTGATCCACTGTGCAGGAATTCATGGGGGGACGTAAGGAGTCGGTCGGTGGCGGCTATGGTGGCGGCTATGGCGGTGGCAGTGGGTTGGACTCTGGCATGAGGTCTTACTCTCAGCTTTCCAGCACCTACCCATCATTAGCCTCTCAGTCCTATGGCGGTGGGTATGGATCATCCGGGGGCGGGGGCGGGGGCGGCGGCGGCGGGGGTGGTGGCGGCGGCTACGGCAGTTACAGGTACTAAAAATCTGTGGGGACTAAACCAGGATTTCCCTTCTGGGGTACTAAAATCGACACCGAGCTTACTCTCTGCATAAAGTCTTGAGGCAGAACATCTTGATGCTTATTTAACACCAACCTGCCCTTTCCGAGGAAAAGTTATCTGCTAGTAGATTAGGCGTGGTAGGTTTCTCCTTCTGTGGCCGCCCCCCTCGGGGTCGCTGCCCTTTGTTTTGCTGGTATTTTGGCTTCCTTTTGGAGGGCACTGTACATGCTTCAGTCTCATCGATTTCACTCCCCGCTAAGTTTGGAAAAAAAATTAACCGTTGACTAATCAGACCAGGCGTAGTGTTAAAAATAGAAAGGAATCAATTAACAGACTAGATTGGCTCCTGATCCATTTTATCTTTACATTATTATTATTATTATTATTATTATTCTTATTATTATTGCCTAAATGTGTTAAAGCCCGAGATCTGTTGTAAAAAGAAAGAAACTAACGAAGCAAATTCCTGTACACTGCTCCTTTCATGCTTGCAAAGATCATGAATGAAAAGCCTTCCGATTTCACAAATAAAAAGGCTAATAATTTTAAAAATATTTTTTAAAGAGGCTGAAAGATATAATTCATTGAAAATTCAGAGGCCATGTCAGCCATCTACTTAATTCTTCAGAATGACAATACACGATCTAGACAGGAGTGAGAACATAAGTGTACTTCGGTGGAGTATTAAATATTAAATAAATAGGTTAATAAAATCGGAATACAAAAATCCCTTCAATCAACTTTATTTTTGTTTATTTATCTACTTTGCGATCGGGAAACCATATCTAAGCGTTAAAATTAGAGGCTAAAAATAAAAAAAATCACAATTTTCAATAAATTATCTCTCAAATTTTACTTTAACAAAGATCTTAAATCTAAGCGTCAGAACCTTACCCCAGACGGATAGAATATTAGACAGACGAAAATGAAAAAAAAAAAAGGAAATTTCGCCAACCTCATCAACCATCTCTTTTATTATTAATTTTACTAATATTACTATTATTTTTTAATCAGGATATTAAAGTCACAATTAAACTATTGTCAACTTCCACTTGTTACTCGATATATTATCCTCTATGTAATGCTCTATAGTGATATATATTAATGAGGAAAATCACAGAAATTTAACACTGGATGAGTTTGTGATCATACAGTCTGCTCAGCATCATACAAGACTTTGAAAGATCTTCGAATGAATATACATCGCTAATCATTTGAACGCAACAAAAACATAGGAGGCAAAAAGAAACCCCAAAATTTTGCTATTTTTCCTAACATTATCATGGACAAGATCTAACTACAATGCAGAGATTAAGAGGAAACATTACAAATAGAAACATTGATAATTACAAAATAGTGAGCTGAATGTCATAATCCTTGGGAGTCCAAAATTTTGACAAGCGTTGACTTATGCTAGGAATTTGATGACCGACAATAAATAACATTGACGATATCTACAGTGGATGCACAGCGATGTTGAGCATGCATACATCTATGAAGGAGATTGGTTCTCCAAGAAGGAAATGCTTACCTCTCTAGTCAAAGGGATCGATCCGTGGGTCATGCTCACTCGCCATGGCCATCCCTGTGCAAAGGCATGTAGGGCACATGACCTGCAGAAGAACGTGGCCTAATCTTTGTTACTTTCTCTCCTTATTTCTCTCCTTAAGGAACCATAACACTTATACTCTGTCTCCTTTCAATCAATGGGAGAAAGGCAACATCCACATGGCCTGTATATGCACAAAGGTGACAACTAAATTGGGACATGAAGTGGGAAATGGTGGGGGAGAAAAAATCCAATAAAAGTAATAAAAAGTGCCCCATTAATTCTGTTTCCCTGTGAAGATAAAGTCAACTGAACGAAAATACCAGAGAAATAGTTTCCTTCGTTCCAGTACCTTCCCGGATCCTGAACAGTTTAAGCACCTTTCGGTTCTGGGAGGCATCAGAGGTTGGTCAAAACTATTCACCGCGGAAACAGGTTCCACTAGGACAATTGACCCTGTGCTTGAACAGCGCGCACAGGCAAGATATCCTGCATTGACAAAGTAATAACACCTTCAACAAGCATAAAAGGTGCGAGCCAAATATCTGCAAATAAAGGCTGATATTAATAGAAGAAAGTCGCATTATTATGGAAATTGGACGAGAAATCTGACTAATATGATAGCTGGCATCTCAATGAATCACCCTCAAAAAGGAAACTAGAGTAAACATCAACGAGGTAGTTTTCCAGTGGAAGGGAGTAGCTAGTGTATATCATCTTGTTATAGGCAAGAAAGCTGTGGGCAATGCAGGGGAGTTTCTGAAGCTTTGGACAGCTCCTGAAAACACCATTCGGGGTAATTGTGCTAATAGTGTATGTGCACAGGTAGAAGTTCAGCAGCATCAATGTACGATGCCAGCAGACTGTGTGGAGTATATGTACCAGTTCCAAGGCAATATTTGCATCTCTTATGCTCCTGTTGCTTGACATTGTTGATCTCAACGACCATCAAGGCCGAGATTACACCAACCGCTCCCCCAGAGAATGATGCGACAATTGGATCAACCTGACTGAAAATTTGAGAAAGGGATTTGAAAATTAGTGATGTGAATGAAATGATCGATGGTTAAAAGAAGCAGGGGGACACTGATGTGAATCATATGCATTGAATGTATCAATGAACAACATTTATCGCAAAAGGGATACATTGATGAAGATAAGTCGAGCTTTCAAACGAATACAGTTTTTCATATAGTTAGTGAGGAATAAATGGTCTCATTTATATTTACTTCATTCTTAACATAGAAGTCAAAATTGTGCTGGATACTTTCATTATAGGTAATATCCTTTCAATACATATAATATTTCAATACAAGAATTTGGATGATAATGATAGAATATTGGTAACTACATCAACAATCAATCAGACAGAGTAGACAACGACTGGTGAGTTTACAGATGACATTTGAAGTTCAACGACATGATATTACCAAATATAATTGCATTGGTACTTAACCATGTACAAATCCGTCCTAACTGATCAACCGTGCATATACATATGTTCTTAACAAAACTTTATGGTAACCATCACATGTGAGCCAATACATAATACTGCGACATTATTTACATGAGTTGATCCATAACAAGATGCATTAAAGTTCAAGGTTCCTAAGCCGTAGAGAAAACCCAAAAGATGTATTAAAAAATACACAGCTATATTGCAGCTCCATTCAAGACATACGAAAGGCATCGCAAAATATCAAATATGGAAACATATAATCAAAAAAGTTTATGATATGACCAAAATGTCAAATTCTTAATTGCCTGGTTACCTCAGCTGCATTGGCAAATGAACGCTGCGAATAAAATCTGCGTATGATGTCCCCCCTATTCCCAGTTTAAGCTCCAACTGGAAAGATCGTCAAGAAATATAGTACACTTTAGGATTAATGAGTCAAACACGAAGAATAACCATATACGATAATTCAACACGTCAAAAATAGACAATTACATTTTTACCTGATCTACTATTTACATTTTCATAATCATTATATCTGGGAATAGTAATCTCTTATATTTTATTTAATGAACTTCAAAGCCGTACATGGCATTAAATGACAAACTATCAAGTAGGATGCTAGACTGTTCCTTAGCACCATACTGTTGAAAAAAAAGAAAAAAGGTATCAGAGACCTGATTGGATGGAAGAACAAATAGGTAAACAGCACCGGACACCAGGACTTACCCCTTAACAACATACTGATGAAAAATAACAAAAAAAGGTGTCAGAGATCTGACTGGAAGGAAGAACAAATCGGGAAACAATACCAGACATCAGGACTAACCCCTTACCATCCCTTCCTCCTTTTAGTTTTAGACAGGAGATGTACTCATATAACTTAAACCTTAAGAACCAAAAAAATTCATGTCGTCAGTAACAATTAAGTAATAAACTTACGTGGTATTATATTTTTCGACTTTACCTAAGGTAACTGATATACCTAGAACGAGAAAAATTGGATTAGAACCCAGTCTTGACTTTTTTTTGACCAGTTAAAAAGCCAGTTGGTTATATGAACCATATTTGTGTGAAGAAAACCGGTACTCTTCCACAGCCGGCCCCAATGGTAGAATATTGCCGACTAATTATGTCCTAACACCATTCTTTTCTTGTTCCTTTAAGACTGTTTAACTTTCTAGGCTCTTGTCTTAGTCCCATGCTCAAAAAGCAAGGGTAAGAATTAAAAATTCTGTTGAGCCCCTGAATCCTTTAGGCTAAGAGATATCAGATCATCTAAATTAATTGATCAATAGGATTAAAATTGGTCCCATTATACTGCAGCTGACTCCTATTCCTCCACCCATTTTTTCTTTCTTTATTTCTTCTTTCCAGTTTAGTTCCTTCGCCTGAAATGGAGAAGACCAGGGAAAATTTTAGGAGGATAAGATCAACCAAGCGAGCCAACCTAACCAGGTCATACTAGTTGGAATCAACTGACTCGAAGAAGAATGGCTATTTGCGGGCCACTGTAACTGATATTTTTGCTTTCATCCCTCTGTTAAAATCATTATATTAGGTATCGGAGGGTCTGCAAACCCCAGTGCTCATCCGAAATGCACAGGAGAAAACAAAGATGCTTGATGAGACGACATGCAGGGCACAAAGGTATAGAATACAGTTTGAGGAGGTACGCTAGGAAGCTTACTGGAAGTGGAGATTGAGGGACAGTTGAGTGAAGGACGAGGATTGAGATACTTTGAATCGGCAAAAGGGCTAGGCCGACGAAACTTACAGATTGGACCCGGGAAACTTACAGCTGGAGCAAGAAGCCCGCCAAAAAAGATGATCCCAGAAATGATAGAAAAGCATGTAACATAGTACACCTTCAGATTTGCTGGCGTCTGCAATAAGAGAACAATTTAGCAGCTTTAAAAATTTGCTTTAAATAGGAGTTATGAAACAAATCAACATCAAAACAAAGATACTTCCTAACTAAGAAAACTATGGACGTGGATCATTTTACAACAAATAAGCGACTTTAATATACTTACTAAAGGAGGCAGAAAAGGTATGAATGATGGAAAATCAGGAATCTCATTTTCTTGTTTCTCCTCAAAAATTCCAAGCTCAGCATTTTTAATTCGTTGTTGTATCCGTAATCTTCGAACCTGCACATAATCATCAATTGATCAAAGTCCAGGAATAGATTATGAATTGACATTTATGTACATAATTTTTTTTTCATCGTCCTATTCTAATAGATCATGCTTATTAGAATAAAGCCACATCTTTCCAATTTTCAATGGGAAATCTAGGAACCCATAAGATAAGGAATATTAACAGTGGGAACCAGCCTTCAAAATGATGACATGAGGAGATGAGTAAGCTTTACCAAGAAAAAAATAGATTAAAGAAAGTTCTAGTGGGTCAAATGATCAGTAGAATAAAGTACGCTCGTAAATAATGGCTAGTTTGACAACTTACACACTGTAACTCCTCTACCTGGTTCATGTTTCGCTATAAATCGGTGTACTAGGTTCGAGCTTTAGCAAATTTCGCTATAAATCGGTGTAAAGCAGTCAAATGGTATCGATAATTAGTTTCCCTTATGAGAGATATTACCGAGGATAACTTCATTTAAACCAGATTTCACTTTGTTTTTATGTTCTGTGAAGTCAAATGATACGGATACCATTTGAAACGGAGAAATTAGATTTGCATAGGGAGAAGATACTTCAATAGTCAGGTAATTCTACTAGTCAGTCAATAGTATTCTACAAAGGAAGTGAACCAAAGGATGACCACATTAATTCCCTGGAGACTGAACCGTATCCTAGTGTTTGGAGATTATCCTGCCGCTAGTTTTTCCCAGGTTAGGAGAACTTAGGGCGTAATAGAACCCTTGAATAGGAGAACTTTTGACTGCGAACATCTACCCATGGATCATCCAGTCTAAAAACTGGACCACTTGAGCACAGTACATGAAGTCACTAGGGCATTGGATCATCTGGTGCTCAGCCGTTTCACTCCGAACTGGTATCAAGTTGGAGGATTCTAGGACAATCCTGCCAATATTGTCTATAATACAGCAAACATGAGTGTATGCATGGGACTTTGTTCGTTCCATCTTCTTGCTGAAAGTGGATCAAGGACTACCGATCCTAATCTGAATCAAACATTACTTACTGGCCTTTGTTTGTTCCATCTTTCTCCTAATCCTTCTCGTGCCTCCCTCCCAAAAGTGTATTCAGTGCACTCAGCCCTCCACTGGCACTTTCTTGTTGAGTCCAAATTCTTGAGGTGGAGTTGCATGATAACTGATTCACTGAAGGTAAGATTATGAAACACTCTTTCAAATACTGTAGCCATGGTAAGTATGCTTTAATTCAATTGCCTTACGTGGTAGAGAATGAATAAGTATACATTCATCCTTATCATTCTGACGATGAATGAATTAAATTCCCACTTCCAGAGACAAATTACTGAAATTTAAGTGTTAAGTTTTATTTTTAAATGAGAGAGTATACCTCCTCCATATGCAAGAAGATCTTATTTCGTCGGCTTTTGATGTTGTCTTGAATCTCTTGCAACTCCATCTTGGCAAAATCTTGGACAGTTTCAGGTCCTTCGATGATGCAAAAGCTTCTGAAAAATCTAAAATTTTCAGTTGGGCCGTTTGAAGTCACTTGAAAGCTGCATTATGGTACAGCTCTAAAGCCAAAATGAGAAATTGATAAAAACTGACCACAAAAACATACAGAATCTACTACCAAGTCAAACATTTGCATTTCACAAAGAAAATGCCTGCCTTAAGACGCTTTGAAATATAAAAATAGGAATACACGTGAATAACCAAATCGTTTACTCGACATTAGAACATGCGGAACTTTATTCCATAGCTCAAAATAAGCCATTGAATGTTTGACGCGAATTTTTTCGTAATTTAATCAAGCTGACATGGTGACGACCAACAAAACTATCTAAACCTCTCGCCTTAGAGAAAAAATTAACAGATGTGGGTTCGCTTCTGAGCTGTTACTTCCTGCATGCCCAGTCTGAAATAAATTGAAAACCGCGAAGTACGTATCATCGGCCATTGTGAACTGTATAAACCAATCGAAATCTTACCTAAAAGGAACCAACAGACTTTTCTGTTTCACAAAGCAGTTCAGTTGAGACGAGCATACACACCTCTAAACGATAGAAGGGAAGAGCGAGAGGAGAAATTACCCGGCAGGGTTCGTCTCAGCGGAATCGCCGGCAGCAGCATCTCCTGCCGACGCAGATGACGGAGAGGAAGCAGTAGCGGCAGCTCTGGGGTCACCTCCTGCGGCTCCAGCATCGGTGGCCGCGGACCGCCATCGGATCAAGGCGGGGGGGGCCCTCTCCCTCCACCCCCGGGGGACCGCCGTTGGCTTCCGCGGAGGAGAAGAACACGTGATGATCCGCCCGGAGCAGATCATCTCTCTTCCCTCAATTCGCCCGGTGGCCAATGGTCGGAGACAGTAGCTCCCACAAATCTGCACTGAGATAGAGAGTGAGTGAGTGAGAGAGAGAGAGAGAGAGAGAGAGAGAGAGACACGTGCCGGGATGTATAAGGTCGAAAATGAGTGGCGGAACTACAGAAAGAAGAGGCACAGCCTTCCACGCGGCACCGAGGTAACCGCACCTCATCCCGGGATGAACACCAACAGTTGGGGCTCGCCGCTGAACGACCGTTGAAAGAAAACCCGAGTCAGGACTTCCCCCTTACGTTATACACGCTCTGCACCGCTGCGGATTTGACGGACGACAAGCTCATCTTGGAGCGGATAAACGTGGACTAGATGGCACATGACGCCTCCGACGCACACTTTTCCCCCGTTATTTCCCTTTTTTCCCCTTTTAAAATTCCCTGACCACTCAATATCTGGAAATTTCCCAAATTTCGCTTTTACGAAAAATAGATAACAAATTGTACACCAGAACAGACGTGACGATGTAAGGTAACTGACGTCATTAGGCCGTCCACTACTGGGCCCCACACCTCTTGGCTATAGATGAGGTCTTCCTCTACCTGGTGACAGAAAAGAGGCAGAAATCCACAGGTTCTGATTTTGGTGTGAGAGAGCTGCCTGCAACTCTTTTCTTCGTCGAAATTCATCTCTTGTTCCGAGAAACGTGGCCGGAGATCAATGCATTTTGGTTTACTCTCCAAATTGAACAACGGAAATTCTAAGCTGGGTCGAACGATGTCAGGGCGATTGATGACTGCTGAAGAAGTCATGGAGAATATCTGGATGTGGGCGATATTTCTGGTTTCATCGATAAACGGGAGATCATTTTCTTCCTAGTAAAACCCTAGGGAAGGTTGACGGGGGTGGTGGATTCATCGAATGGAAAATTGGACTGCATTAGGGGGAGAAGCAAGTAGAGATTAAACCTGAAGTTCATCGCCAGGATAAAGCTCGATCCAACGTCGGAGCTCTTGACGCCCTCCGCCGGCCGCTTCAAAAGTTGGGAACCGGAGCAGAGCCAGAGAGGAGAGGTCCAATCCGTCGATCTTCTTCTTCTTTTTCTTCACGGGGAGGCGGTGCTCCTGAATGCCCCAATTGGTGGCCACGGACCTGAAATCACCATTCTTCTCGTTCGTTCCCCTCACGTCGTCGGATTTCCCACGCTTGAAGACCAAAGAGTTTCTGTTCCAGGAACTCCCCCTTCTCCCTGGCGATCTCTTCCCTGCTATTTGTGAACGCACCAGCCGCTGGAAACCTCGATCCCCTGAGTGGAGATCCCTGGGGCTTGCGTCGGCGCCGTAGAGTCACAGGTGGGGATATGAAGGGGTTAGGGCAGCGGATCCTGCCGGCGGTCTTGTTGAGGAGTTAGAGGGCGAGGGTGAGCTCATTGTCAAGGGAGTTGCAAGCTCCATCCTCGGCGAACTCTATCTTTCCCTTACGGTCGTCTTCCTCCGCCGTTGCGGCGGATCCTACCGCCGATCTTTTTGAGGAGTTCCTTGTGGAGATTAAAGCTCCATACTCAGCGAGGTGCGCCTTTCCCTTGCGGTCGTCTTCCACCGCGGTTGGGCTGGATCCTGCGGGCTATCTTGTCGAGGAGGAGCTCATTGTCGAGGGAGATGAGAGCTCCATCATCGACGACGTCCACCTTCCCCTTGCGGTCATCTCCCACCGCCGTCGCGGCGGATCCTGCCAGCGATCTTGTTGAGGAGGAGCCCATTGTCGAGGGAAAGAAGAGCTCCATCCTCGGCGACGTCCACCTTCCCATTACCGTCGTCTTCCACCGTCGTTGCGGCGGATCCTGGCGACGGTCTTGTTGAGGAGGAACTCATTGTCAAGGGAGATGAAAGCTCCATCCTCGGCGAAGTCCTCCCTTCCCCTTACGGTCGTCTTCAGCAGCCGTTGCGGTGGATCCTTCCGGCGATCTTGTTGAGGAGGAGCTCATTGTCGAGGGAGTGAAAGCTCACCCATCCTCGGCGAAGTCATCCCTTCCCCTTGCGGTCATCTTACACCACCGTTGCGTCGGATCCTGCCGGCGATCTTGTTGAGGACGTGGAGAAAGAGGAGGAGCTGATTCTCGAGGGAGATCCAAGCTTCATCCTCGGCGAGGTTCACCTTCCCTGGCGGTCGCCTTCCACCGGCATTGCAGTGGCGGAGCAGACCGGAGCTCTCTTCTTCATCTTAATGCTCCGCCTTTCGCGCGGGAAAAGCTAATAGTGGCTATAACGGGTCTCGGATTATCCAAACCAGCTAAGGCGGGAGTCCGTTCTCTGTCAAAAAGCCGCGTGCCGCCCCCGCGGAGGCCCCCCCCGCTCAGGAAGAAAGGGAGCGAGGGGGGGGGGGGGGAGAGAAAGGGATGCGCTCCCTCGCTATAAATTCGTCGGCCCTTTCAAACTCGGTGCTCTCCGGCTTCTTCCCCCGCGGCGGCGCCGCCCGCCTCTTCAGTCCTCGCCGCCTCCGGGTCTCGGTGAAGCTTAGATTCTTCGGTCTCCTCGTGGGTGGCGCCTGCCGCTGCGACGGGCGCGGGGCGGGGAAGATGGGGGCCGCGAGGGTTGCGGTGAACAGCGTTATTGATCTCACGGAGAAGGAGGAGAGGATATTCCAGCAGCTTCTGGGCGTGGTGCGGCACTTCCAGATGGAGACTCAATTGCGGGTCGCTGGCGGTTGGGTCCGAGATAAGGTCAGATGGCGGAGGGTGTTTTGCAGTGTCGCGTTTTATTTTTCGCCATCCTCTCGCCTGCAGCCGTGGTTGCATCGTATTGCCGTTACCGTCGTTGTCGGTTTCGATATAATTTGCGCCCTTTTGATTGTTTAGCTCGCGTCTTTTCTTTCCGTGAACTGTTTTCGACCGTCGTTTCTCTTCTGACGGGGAACTTGTGTATCTACTCTTACCTTCCATATTTCTTGCCGTCTTACGATGATCTAGACTCCAAGAGCGAAGGAGTGGTCATACAGGCAATTAACTGAATATTTCTGCACTATTCTCCTACAAGATTGTGTGACTTTGCTTATTTCTTATATCTTCCTCCAATTCATTGCAGCTGTTGGGTCGAGAGTGTTTTGACATTGACATCGCGCTGGATAATATGTTGGGACGGGAATTTTGTGACAAGGTCAATGAGTACCTGTCGCTCACGGGTGAAGAAAGGCGTGGAGTTGGAGTTATCCAGTGGTAGAGGTTCTCATTTGATTTGTACACGAATGGGTTGTATCTTGGAAATCAGTAGATACACCTCTCCTACATTTTTTCTTTCTTGCTCCTAGATTCGTGGAATAATTTTCGGATTCTAAGATTACTTATGTTATTATTGATTTGCCTCTAATAATGTATCGATTTGACTATGTATCGTCCTCAATCCCATTCTCTGTTTTAAGACGTCTGAAACAAAGTACAGCTTTTCCTCTATCACCATAATTTGGAGCCTGGATTAGTGTGTGGAACCTGGTAGAACGTGGCAACTAGGTTTTGTGGCTAGTGGTATTTTGACGTTTTTCATTATGGACAAACCAACTTGAACTGATTCAAGTTATAATTGGCACAATTATGCAGCAATCCTGATCAGTCAAAACACTTGGAAACCGCACGAATGCGCATATATGACGTGTGGATTGACTTTGTTAACTTGAGGTCTGAAACCTATGCAGAGAACAGTCGTATTCCTTCAATGGTAACTACAGATTATTCATGGCTATTTATTTATTTATTTCCTTCTTCTGCCTTTATGACTGATATCGAATTTATACTTACTTTTCAGAATATGTTATTATCCAAAAGATTATATTCTCCATATATTCCGGGCTATAAATTAGTGCATACGAAGCCATTCTAATGTATCTAGAGACCATTTTTGGCTGACGAACTATTTTAAAGCCAATTTAGTTCATATCTAGTATTAAACATATTATAAATAGTTTTAAAGGACTGCGATTGTTCTTTCACTTCGCTAATACCAATATTATACTGTTTATTTAAATAAATTTCTTAGTTCTTTCAGTGTTACCGTTATTTGATAAATTAGTAGTATTGTGAATCATGATTCAGTTGAGTACCTCTTCGGTTAGGAATCATATTTTGGGAATAACGTGAATTGATATGGGCGAGTCCACTGCAAGTCTTAGATGATAATTGTGTCCTTTAAAGTTTCATATGGACCAGTTAACGATTAAAAACAGATTTGAATTTCTGGTGAAAAGGTCCTCCTGAATTTATGATCTTGAAGAAAGATTTCCATTATCTGGCTGGGATATTGGGATGTTTGATACTAACACTATTGGAGACCGTTATTTAAATTCCATAAGTATTTACCCGATCATAAGCTTCATAATTTTTCTAATTTTAAGGTAACTGGGGTAGTGAAAAAGTATCTGTTCCCTCTTGGCTAGGTTTAAACTCATTTTGTGGTGGGAAATGAACAAGGTGGAGAAATTAAAAATATGAGACTCTTGTTGTGAATAGGATTCAGTGAAAGCAATACGGTTATGGAATTGGCCATTTCAAATTGTTACCATCCCTATCATGTTATATTGCACCAGAAAAAGCGAAGTTTAAAAGAGCCAAGTCACAAAGTTGCTAAAAATGGCATTTAGAGATCACTCAGTTGGATGAAGGCCACCGGATTATGTAGCTCATCTCGTAAACATAGAAAGGGAGGGGCAGGTATAATGTCCGCCACCCATTCGACACTGCTGTCTGACGGCCAAATTGGTTTCCCTATCCTTTCTCACCTATCTCATGGTTTACGCTCCCTCTTTTATTCGGTTCGGCCATTGTCTGTTTTTCTGTCAACCTCTTTTTGACTCTACTTAACGTATTGTATTGCATTGGGCTTTATTGTAAACAAAAAAATGACACTTGTGATATAATCGTATTTGTAATTATGTTTTTTTCAGAATTGATTTCAAGTAGAGGTAACTTACCAGCTCGTCCCATCCTTCCTGTCTCTTCCCAAAACAATCCTAATCTCTCTTGATCCCTCGCCAATGGTTCCTGTGTAGAGATGATAGAGGCAGATCGCTGTGATGTCTGTTGAGTGGGGGAAGGTAGAGAATAGAGAAGAAAAGAAATGACAATCATTTGGTCTGGGCAGTTATGTTTGTGGGAACAGCAATGGTAGTTCCTGGTATGATTTTTCATCTCTTGTTCTTCCTGATATGATTTCTGGTCAAAGCCTTTAAAGAAGGTAGGGGTTGCCAAGTTTTAAACCCTAGTAAGTTAATCTGATTCTAGCCTTCTTTTTATGGTTCACAGCGACATGTAAAGCATGGCACGTGAGTAAGCCCTGTTTGGTAGCAACTCAACTTGATTCAGATACAACCCAACTTGAGGAAATATTACCTCGATTTATAGAAACAGCAGAATGAAAAATGTCGATCAATAAACTGATAACGAAATGAAGCTGTTCCTAAAATTTTTGCTTATTTTATTTTTACTTTCTCTTTATGGTATCTCTATCAGACTGGTTTGGTCCGGTCCAGTTCACTGGAGAACCGCCCTGACCCCAATTCAAACCTACCTCTGTGGGTCTGGTATAAATCCTAGGCCTGGCTTACCGATTTCGAATCTGCCTTGGACTCAAGGATGGTGAATTTTAGCTGTCAACATTTCTTCTGTTTGGTTGTGAAAATTTATGGCGAATAGAATGGTTAGTTAGAAATTTAACAGATGCTATCTATTCAGAATTCACGGAAAAAGAATGATTTTATATTTCATGTCTGCCACTCGAAATGAAATATTTGTTTTCGAATGTTCATCAAATGTAGATTTTTGGAACTGCTGAAGAGGATGCTTATAGAAGAGATCTAACCATTAACAGGTATTTTTTTTCTGTAATGTCTCGCTTTTTCCTTCATTTGTGCACTTCCAGTAGAAAGTATTAGGAACACTTCCACAAAAGCCCAAAAAGGTAGTGTTCAGTTGGTATGCTAGCAGATGAGATAAGATTTCTCGATGATTTCTATAGATTTTTGAGTGCTGATAGGTGGGTTTCATTTTAGATTATTCTTCTTTAACTGAGCAATCAAGAAGGAATCTCCTTTAGTTTTCTCTTGGTTAATTAGAATGCACGTTTCCATTAGTTTATGCCCCTGTGATAATATGCAATCATTGATGGAACTGAAACCTTGCTATGGCTGTCTTTCTCCAAAATTTGGGCGTCTTTTTTGAATTATACTAACATTTGAACCTCTTGTTTTTGACAGCCTTTTCTATAACATTAACACAAATTCCGTTGAAGATTTAACTGGAAGAGGTGACTTTCTTTTCCATTTTCTATATAAAGTTGGGTGTCATTTGGCTTATGTTGCTCCTCTCCCCACCTTTTTTTTTCCAATTTATCAGGCATTGAAGATCTTAGATCCGGAATAATCAACACTCCGTTACCTCCAATGGCAACATTTTTGGATGATCCTCTTAGAGTTCTACGAGCTATTCGCTTTGGTAATTGTCGAAATTTCCCACCTTAGACCTGCTTTATCTCTTGGAGATCTCTGTATAGCTTAATGTTTTCATTGGAGAAGATAGCATTAACAATCTTTCTTGATTTTCTTTTTAATAATTCAAAGTAGTTTTAAGGTCATTTTCTGCTGTCCATAATGTTTTTCTTAGTAGGTCGAACATATCCAAACTCTGCCACAAAATTTCATGATATTTTTCTTAAGTTATTTTTATATCATAACTTTTCTTGATGGATGATAGAATGAAAATTGCATTTTTCCTGATGTTAAAATTTTATCCTGTGACCCAGTCATGTTATCAGCAGCAATATGAAAAACGGGTGAAATAAAATCCAAAAAGAGAAGTACAGAAAGCATGTGCAACCACTATTGAATCTAGCTATTATTGCAATACTGGCAATGATATTTTGCGTATGTAAACACAAAACATATTTAAATTTATTTCCCCATATTGGATCCAGCTTCCATTCGGTGTTGAGGTTGTTGGAAGTTTTTTATCCTCGGGCCATTTATGATGATGGGGTGAGTGCAAGCCAAGAGTTATTTAGGTTTGCACTATCCCGATTCTTGAAGAATGATTGTAGAATGTTCTCAGCGTTCCCATCTTCATCTTTGATTAGTCGCTGCTTTAAATTACTCTCTCTGTTTTTTGGGTAAGCTTTAACCTTAGAGTGGTCTTCTTGATTCAGTTATATAATTTATACCGTGTCTCATCCTTTTCTTTTACCCAGGTGCAAGATTTGGATTTACATTGGATGATGGCGTAAAGAACGCTGCTGCCCACGAAGATGTCAAGTCTGCAATAGCCAACAAAGTCAGCAGAGAGAGAATCGGTCACGAAGTACTTTTTTGTCTTCTGTTTCTCTCTAAAACAATTTTCTAGGCCTATTAAATTTTGTGGTTTGTTGTGAGATCTCTTTCTTCATTTTATACCAATTATCTTGCAATCGCAAGCGATTTTTTCTTTTGTTGCGCAGGTTGATTTGATGATTTCTGATAAAGATCCAGTTAAAGCGGTGACTTATTTAAGTGACTTACAATTATTTTGGGTTGTCTTTTCTCTTCCGCATAATTCAGAGCTTACAATAGTGGAAAGAACTGACAGGTTTGCTTTCCATAAATTACATAAATGTTTCGTTGTTCTTTTGAGCTAGTAGATCTCAAATAGGAAATGATGAAAATATGTAGACATTTACTTCGGTCTGTATTGTAATCCTCCGATAGGTTTGAGTGATGATGAAAGTATGTTATAAACTTATGCTCTCAGGGGGGGAAAAGGATTATTGGCATGAAGTTTTGTTTTAGTCCATGATTTATTGAGCTTTTCAACTCGTTTGAGTCAGACTGAGTTATGAACTTCCTGGATCCTGATTTATCTCTGAGATTTGAGCTTACTGCCTCTGAAAAAGGTATGGTATTCGGAATCAGCCAATGCAAAGTTCATGTCGTTCCAAGTTTATGAATCTTAAAAGTTACTAACATGACTCATTTTATTTCACGATTCTCGAAAGTTAAATTACAATAATTGTACTGATAAATGGGAAAACTTGACATCAAGTTAAGAAATATTGATGAGAGAAATTAGGAAAAGATATCTGAGTGATCCTCGTGTCCACTCTACTCTATGTGGCTGTGGTAAACAGACTGTTCTTGGTGTGGTTGGTGCCACAATCATTAGTTGAAAGGGAAGTATGCCTAGTATGCGGTCCATGAACTCTCATAAACATTTCCAGTACATCATTTGTATCCTGCACACCAATAAATGGAAAAACAGTTCTAGCAACCATGTCTGTGATGCCACTCATTCAGGTCCTCTTTCGTGTGCACTTAAAAGTCGTACTTAAATATATGGTCTCTGACTCTGAACTGCCATCAGAAGCTAGATGGAAATGGGAAAATAACAAGACTTATTTCCTTGGTCAATCCTCACCAATAACTTCATTGACTTTTTCATCTTGTTGAAGTTCCTGTAGCACTTTTCTCAAAATGTATTCCTTTGTATCCCTTTCTATCCTCAAAATAACATGAGTGTAGTCCCCATAATGAAATCATTATCTCTTCAAATCCTTCTTGTAAACTTCTCAGATGTTGTGATTAATGATGATTATAGCTGTTTCCATATTATGCTGATAACCTGAATGAGAACTGATTTGGGTTGACAGAAGGATCTGTAAGAATACCCTCATTTGGGTAAATACTTACTAATGATCCCTTTGATCTCATGTGTTATTGGTTTGGCTCCACTCCCAAAGGGCTGCTAATTTTCTATTTCCTCAGATTTACTGAAAAAATCAAATGAAAAGATACAGGTAGTAAGTACATCGGGTTATCCTTTTGCCGGTCCAGCTGCATCCTTTGATGATGCACCATCGTCTTCTGCTCGATTTCTTGAAACATGATCCTTGTGTCCAAAAACCTCTCTCCCCCATGAAAATATGGTACAAGTATCTTGATCCTCAGATGTGGAAAGAAATATTTTCTGAGCATCGTCACTCGAATAGAAACCGTGCCCTATTTAAGGCCCAAACATGGTTTTCTGCAAGGGGAGACAACTTGACACCCTTCGCCCCTTTTTTTGATACCCTCAATGCCCCTTATTCTGTTAAATTTTCCGCAATGTTGCAGGGAATATTTCCTTTTGGGATACCACACAAGTATATAAATGGAAGAAATCACTACATGGACATTCATGGTACCATGGCCAATATTTAGCTAGCATGACAGTACTGAATATCACGCAGTAAAAGATCAAGTACATGATATTGTACTCATCCAGGTGGGAATTTTATGATTTGGAAGAGGAAGAAGTAAAATATTGTTTCTGGATCATATATAAAATTTTTGAGCACGATACTATGCATTGCCTAATAGAAATAATCTGGTTTAAGGTTCTCTCAAGATATTTGATTCGAGGTTCATCCTCCTTTTGAAGTAATACTATGATAATAAGGATCTGTAATGCAAATAGTTCAGTTCAACTTGGCGAGACAAAGCACATGGAGATAGATTGGGACTTGGTCTGTGGAAGCTGCAGATATTTTTACCCGAGGACTATCTTCAGACCAATTAAATTTATCATTTACGAGGTAAAACATCCATAACATCTATTCTCAACCCCTGCAGATATGCATGCTTGATGCGTTATTCGGTTCCTAGACATCAAAGATGCATACCATTTATTGCTTCTCCAGAACATCTCGTCCAAGGATTAGGACTCAGTAGTTCTCTTCTGGCCTCTACTCTTCTCTTCTTCATTCATGGTGCGCAGAGGGGGTGAAGGTTGTGACTCCTTGAGTGTGTTGGGAAACAGGGGTTGAAGGTTTATAAGCTTCGTGCGTGCCACCTTAATTTTTATTAATGTTTTACCAAGCTTCGTGCATGGCCTCATTTCCTTTGTACCACTTTAGTTTTGTTTTTTCAATTTCTTTTGTTTATAAGCACGCCCTTATTTTGGTGTACTCTAACCTATGTCAGACTCTGTGTGGGATACATGAATGCTGCATGGAATCTTCTCCAGTCTCTTGGCTGCTCAATATTAAATGTGAGTTAACTTTACTTAGTGAAAGAGAGAAGGTATTCTGTCATGATGTGCTCATGTCCGTATTCATCAGCCCTTATTTTTCATTTGGTCACTGAGAAATGCCATTGGAGTCCAGGGTTTTATTAATCTGGCTAAAAGATTCATTTGGTCTCTCTCTCTTTCTTTCTCTCTCCCTCTCTTTCTCCCTGTCTTTTTTCCTCTCTTTCTCTCTCCCTCTCTCTTTCTCCCTGTCTTTTTTCCTCTCTTTCTCTCTCCCTCTCTCTTTCTCCCTGTCTTTTTTCCTCTCTCTCTCTGTCTCTCTCTCTCTCTCCTAGATAATGCTTAGTTTTTATTGTAATCATGACCTGAAGGGTAAACGAATTCAATAAAAAATTACCTTAAGTCATGTCTTGCATTATCATTATACCCCCACATCGTTATCACCATTTTCTTGTCGCTGAATTGGCCGATTCTTTAACTGCCTTGGTCCGATTTTTGGTTCATTTGGGAACTTCGGAAAAAAATAGCCCTTGTCATCTCACAATTCCCCATAAGTTCATGTGTGTGTATATATATATATATATATAAAACTTATCACCTTAAATTCTAGCCATGTTTCACATGTGTCAATTTCAACCTGAAAGACGGCCTTGGATGCCCTGGTTTCCTAGAAATGGTTTGAGATCATGTTTATTATGTTACAGTGAGCACTTGCTTCTGGGGGACCAACTGCTGATGGGAGTGTGTGCAGCTGCAGAGTCTCTGCTTGTAGAACACAGACTTCCCATACATTTCACTCCCGATTTTTTTCCGTTGATTAGTTCCTTGATCGTATATATTTGACAGCTAATGTTATATATATGTTCTTTTTCTATCAGTGATCACCCATGATATAGTCCTTAATCACGAACTATCCACTATCACTTTCGCAAGGGTATCACAATCTCTCAGTGTATTGGATTTTATCTGATGATTTTCTGCACCACTCTTCATCTCAGGACGACCATCGCAGGCTCTACTTGTATGGAGCATTGTTTCTTCCATTGAGAACCTTAATCTTTAAGGATAAAAAATCCAAGGAGGTAATTTTTTTTTCCCCCTTGTATTAGGATTTTTCATAGTTTTTTTAATTTTTTTTTACTAATTTTAGCTTACGAATTAAATTTAGATCCCTGTGGTGAGCCACATATTTCGCGGCTCTCTGAAGCTGAAAGCCAGCGACGCTGAAACGGTTAGTTTCTCATTGCTTATCTGCTCGGACGAAGTCCACCTGCCTGGTTTCACCGATCTTGAGCCTATTAGCCCTTCTGTGGCCTTCTTTTCTGTAGGTGGTTAGCGTGCACAATGTATTGGAGAAGTTCATATCATTGATTGGTTTCTTGGAGTCCAATGAGGCATCCGATCTGGCCGAGGCAGAACTGGGAGATGATTATCTTGATCTTCCGGTGGTTTCAAAAAAGCGGATATTGGCAGGTTGGCAAATCTCTTCTTGTGCTGGATCTTTTTTGCTCTTCTCGTACATAGTTTTTTTTTCCCCTCTTTACGTTTTTTTTTACTATACTTCTGAATTAGTTTGGTTTCTGTGTGATGATATTTGGGGACTTGGATCTAGTGAGCAGCTAGTTTTTACCGCTAAAAACGGTCCCGTTGACTTCATGTGAGCCTGTAAGGTGGCTCTCTTGACTTATTATGAACATTTTGACTTCATGGTCAGCGACCCACTTGAATTAGTGAAGACTTTTTTGTCCAGTGATCTGATCTAATACCATGGCCCATCGGCTTAGTGTGGACTTGGTAATTGAGGCATGCATGATCTCTTTCTTCATTAATTAACGCCAAAGCATCAATCTATATAAACAGGTCTTCAAACATGATAATGGTCCAAGGATAGACAACTCAGATTGAGATAATGAGTCTAATGAATTTGATAAATATCATGTAATGACCATCTTGATAAATAACAAGGTATAATGAGTTTTTGGAATGTAGGCTAAAAGTAATGCCTTTCCATGAGGTACATCTCATTTTTTGGTAATATCATTTATCTGTGAATTATATAATCGTGGATTTTTATATTCTGAATTATTTTGTCCATTACATTATTATCAGAAAAGGTTTTATTTTTTTTATTAGTTAAAATGGTTTGAGCATCACTGTGATTCTTTGTAGGGCTCTTTCTTAGACAAATCAAGGATTTCTGGCGGGTGGCTCTGTTAATATCCACTCTGATATACCCACGAGTTCATCACAACGAAGATTTCCTGGCTAAAAACTTTGAGGTTGAGGATGCCAGCAAGATGTACAGGAGCGTTCATGACACAATTGTCACTGAACTAGGCAAGTATTCTCCGAGCCCAGATTATCTGTTTATGTTCTTTTCTTATCTGCATATTTGATCTGTAATGCTGTACGCGAAAAAACTGAAGACGATGATGAAAAGAAAATCCCCGCTGGTCTTGATATTGCATATTCTTATATAAGAATTTCTATTTCCGCTAACTAATGTAGAAAATCGGAGTTTGGAATCATGACAAGTAATGTCCATTCAAACTATCTTCATAATCACTTGGTTATTATCAATTATAGCTGTTATCTTTGAATTCTACTCATGGTTAGGTACCTTCAGAAAACCCACCATGAAGCCCGTGACGAAAGCAGGGGATGGTAGCGTTCGATTCTGTTAGGGTTCTAAGAATATTTTTGGGATCATTTATTCTGTATATAATGAATAAGGAGATCAAATCTTACCTGAGATTCGCCATGGTAATCGAGGAAAATCACCACCGCATGAACGTGGCTCCTCTCCATCTGTCGGCCTCTTCCAAGATCTGTGAGGGTGGTTGCTGGGATCCATTCTGTATCAGTTACCTCTCTTACACCTACTTTCCGTTTGGAGCAAGTCTACAGTCCGGTTCATGATATTTTACTCGGCACTAGGAGTTGTTGAACCATTTGAGCCATTCCATCGCCATTACCAGAGATCGACCATCTCCTCCTGTTCTTCCTTCGTCCAGTACTCATTGTCTGAAGACCTAACGCTAGCCGTCGTCGTCCTTACCACGTTCGAGAGAGATGACCGCAATTTATCACTTCTTCTCGTCCAATCATTCTAACTGTTTACTCATTGTTTACGATCCAGATCTGGACAAGGTGTGGGAGATGAAGCCGCTGGTGAAGGGCGACGAGGTCATGGACCTGCTGAGACTCAAGACTGGCGGGCCTCAAGTCAGGGAATGGGTGAGCCCTCCCCGATCCTCCTCTTCTTCCTCCAATCGATCGCCACCACTGCAACAACGATCACTCAAATCTCCGTTCCCCGCAGCAAAACCGGCTGCTGAAGTGGCAGCTCGCGCATCCGGCGGCGGAGAAGGCGGCGGCGCTGGCCTGGCTCGAGCACCTGCGATCGAAGCGAGCCAAGCTCTCCTGATTCGCGCAACCGGCCGCAAGATCTTCAGGCATCTCGATCTTCCTCCCTTCTCCGACGATCTGAGTGAGTGATTCTGCCGATTTCTGTAGGTTCCATGTCCACATTGCTATTTGTATCCCTGGTCAAGGGAGATTGATTCACTGTTTATTTATTTTTATTTCTCTCATGAGGGGGTGGCTATAATTTCCCTGGTCAAAAAAAAAAAAAACACTTCGCTGGTTGCGTATTGGGTGAGGGTATGTGGGCTATGTTGCGGCCCACTTTGTCCCATCAGGCCCATATTCCAGACGGCACTCGACCGGTTATTTAAATAATTATTCTTCTCTTTAATCTAGAATTTTGAGAGAGTGAGAGCATATAGGCTGTTGTACTTTCCGGGGGCTGGAAACTAATTTGTGTCCTTTCTTAGGGAGATAAAAATATAGTTGAAAAGGATTGGATTTCGTCGAAAATTTTCCGGGCCCGGCCCGTAATTTCTAGGCCCAACTGTTATTTTCGAATTTACGGGTAAATTTAGAAATTATTATCTGCCGTCAAGCATCGGGTTCTGCTTCTGCGTTTACCGCCTCGGCTTTCCCCCGTTCCAAGGGATGCCGTCACTGCCTCACCCGCTCGGCCCCCAAAGTAGGTGGATATTTCGACAAAGGCGGTAAGTTCATTCGAGGAGATGCAGAAACGGGATTGTTCTTCTTCCACACTGGTTCCCTTACGACCTCTGGGAAGCGGAGGTGAGAGACGACGGCGGCGGCGGCAGTGGCGGAGATGGACGATCCTTTCGACTTCATCGCCGCCGAGGCGGGGAAGATCTCGTCGTCTCAGGAGGAGAGGCTTCGCTCCTCCCGCTTCATCCGCCAGCCACCGTCTTCCTCCCCAGCTTCCTCCTCCAGCGATGGGGAAGAAGACGCCGCGCGTTACAGGATCTCGGCCATCCCCCTCATCATGCGATCCGCGTCCGATAGCCACCGGTCTTCTTCGTCCTCCTCCCCCGAGCGCCATGGCGGCTGTGACGGCGAGGTGGATCGGCCTGGAGACGGGCAGCTTCACGCCGGCGGCGCCGTGGGGGTGGAGGATTTGGCGGATCAATGCAATGGCGTCGACAACCGTTCTGGGAGGAGTGAGGAGACGCATATTAGGGTTTCCAAGAGGAAGGGCACTCCAGAAGAGGAAGCGGATGTGATCGGCTCGCTGGTGGATCTTAGGAAGAGTAAGAGATTGTGCGCCTTCTCTGACGAGAGCACTCAGGAGCCCGATGTGATCTGCTTCTCTGCAGCAGCATCTCGCGCTGCAAGCATGGGGTTGAAGCTCAGCGAAAGCCGCAAAGAGCCATTGAAGCCAGCGCAGAATGTGGAGTCTCAGATTGATCACTCTCATTTGGAAGCTGACGGGGAGATCGTCGCGAATGGTGAGTCCTCAAAGACCAGGGATGTTGACCACAGTGACTTCCCTCTCCTACACCCAGGGGAGGAGGTCCTAGACGACTCCCATGGTGGAGCCAGTGCCAACCCTGCTCCTGGTGATGCTGCTCTAAAAGTCACGTTGGATCTGCCGGCGGTGGCTCAGAATCAGATGGACAGACAGGATTTCATCGGTGCTGCCGTTGGAAATCCCAAGCTCTCTGAGAAAGGAGCAATCGGTTTGCGTAAGCTACCGCCATCTTTCCAGGTTCCAGTGGACGAGGAGGGGAATGATAGTCAGTCCGTGCATACAGGGGGGAAGGCCAAGGGGGCAGATCCCTCTGTGTCGGCTCCAGTCAAGGGCTTGAAGCCGCTAGAGAATCAGCAAGCTCTGGGGCATGGTCAGAGTGAGCAAAGCTCATTCCTGCCAAGCAGGAATTCCCTTGAAGAGGGACCTATGGCAAAAATGCTGCCTTCTGAGTCTGAATTGATTGACTTACTGCTCAAATTCTCGAAGAAACCTGACAGACGTCTTGAAAATGTTGACTTTCTAGAGGTGCTCGCCATGAAGGGCATCCACATTCCTCCGCCCAGATGGTGGCGACCAGGGGGTTATGGCCCGCCGTAGATCTCTGCCATTTGTATCTTAATTATGACTCTGGATTTTTCTCTTAATTCGGGAATGGCTTCACAGGTAAACCCAGCTCTATAAATTTCTTGTGCATCTAATCCATATAATGCGTTTTTCTTTCTTGTAAATCACTAAAGTAACGGATCTACATTAATTTATATTCTCAAAATCATGCCTTTATCGACCCTCATGGATACTTGAAGGAAGTTTCCTAGTTTTTACTATTTGAATAAACCTTTGAATCATATATCCTGTGCCTCATAGTGAGTATCATTTCATATCCCATTCTTGCTACTCACTACGTTATCAATGATGCATTGTGTACGTGCTTGTGTTCAGATTTTTTGCTCCAGAAAAGGAATGGGTGCCACTAGGAACCCTTAGATCTGACCTGCATATGAAGGAGAGTGTGTTTGGGGGGCGGGGGGGTTTCATTTGACAGCTTCTTGATTACTTTGGTAGTTGACTTGGAAATCTCATGTTCAACTGATATTTAATGTGGTGCCCAGCAGAGCCTCCTTGGTAGGATTACTGAAAATCTATGTCTCTAGAGCCAGCCATCTATCATAGCGAACTCGTCCTCTCCCAAGTTCGCTCTACGTACCCTGGAAAATATCTCTTTCCAATGACTTATCAAGTGTCAGATGCCTGGGCATATGCCATCAGATTGGGTTCAGATTTTTGGGAATCCATATCGAATTTTGAAAACCCTAGATGGTGACCATCCCTAAGCTTTAATTATATAATTTTGGTGTATCATGACGCTTGATACCCGTCATAGGTCTTCAAGTTTCTATCAGGGCATGATTTGATTTTTTTCTGAGCTGGCTGCCTCCACAGCAGCCTTAAAAGCCTTGGGTGGTGGCCCTTAGCATGATACATTACGATGGTTGCATTGATCAGATGCGTGTATTGATCACTGAATTGTAGGTGCTATGCTGAATATTATGTGAGAATAAGTCATGCTTCTTAAAGAGCATGACTGAGGCCAATGCGTGTACCTGGCGAAACCTCTGAATGATGGTCGCCCATTGGCCTCAGTCATGCTCCTTTAAGAATAAGTTAACTCAGCGGGATTGGGCGATTAGATAGAGACCAGATCGGCCAGATCACCATGTTTAAAAGATAACGTTACATATATATATATATTATTGTACTCATTTTAATTGAGAATGTAGGCACAATAACTTAGCAGAGCATCATTTTATACTCGTTCATACTCGAAATAAATAATTTGTATGAGAATTGATGGTAGAAATTATTTACTAGATCTTCTCTTCTCATCTATGCACCTTCCAATGCAGCAGATGCACATCTTGTCCCATGTATATACTATTGGACTCATTTGAATTTAGAATGAAGGCACAATAACTTACGGGAGCATCATTTTATACTCGTTCATATGAGAAATAAATAATTTATTGATGGCTGAAATAATTTACTAGATCAAGTTTCTCTTCACATCCACGCACCATCCAATGCAGCAAATGAACATCATTTACGTCATATATCATCCCCATTCCTGCATCAACTTCAATCTCGTTTACTTTAGCCGGTAATCTCCAGATTGACTTCAACTATAAAGGATGTATCAGAAACCTATTCAAGATTTATGAAAAGGATTCGTTTGTGTGGAGAATTTTTGTTTCAGGTGGGTATCTGGACTTATCATATAAAAGATAAATAAATGAGAAACCCAGTCAAAAATTAGCAGCGATATATTTCTGCCTAAATATTTTAAAACCAGTCGTGCATTTGAACTTTCCAAAATCTATATATATATATATATATATATATATATAAATTGAGTATCAACTGATTTGAAGATCTGGGCATCAAAAATAAAAGACATGTTTGAGACAAATGTTTGTTATTTTTTGTATGAACACTGTCGACCCAGATCCCCACACCATGTAACGAATCCTTAGAACCCTAATTCTTAGAGTCTTTTAGGATTTAGAAGCCATGACTCTTAAGTCCCCCATTCTGTGCACAGCATCATCTTTTCTTGATGCATCCATCAACTACCCACGAGAAGGTTTTCCAAGAGCAGCCCAGGAGGTCAACGAGGATGCCTGTTGGAATCTATCAGCTCCACACCAATGAGCATAAGACTTTTTAATTTACATCAGGGTCCTTATTTAGACCCATTTATATGTGAATACTCTGGTCAAAATTTAAATTTTGGGAATGGCCTGGATTTAGAAAATTTCTACTTCAGGGTTCTTACTAGAACTATTTATGGAGATACCCTTCACATTTTTCTAATCCAGGCTTCAAGTAGAAGTATCCCTTCCTAAATCTTCCCCTTGGTTACTAATATTTCTACATTTGCCTGAACAATGAGCACAAGCTGGTCCTCCCCCACACCAAAGCTCCTCTTCTTCCTCTTCTTCCTCTTCTTCTTACCCCACCCCACCTCCATAGGGCTGGAAGATCTTATAATCAAAGGGAGCCCACACCAAAAGTAGCAAAACCGGCAAGAAACCAGTCATCCATAGCCAAAACTTTAGTATATGATATAGCAGGATCAACCTAAATTAGCAGTCTGATGTCTAGATTATTGATTCATGGAGCTTGTTGGTTCCCTTTTCTTTTCTTAATTAATACCAAAGTTCGTCTCAGCTGGTATACAAACCTCACTGGACTCACCACCTTGCATACTAGAATTTTTCTATTTTCTGCCATGGGATAATATTTTAATTATTTGAATGTTTAAAAATATGCCATGCTACCAAGTTTCATCTCCCAACAGATTTTGGGGAAAAAATGTTAGAGAAATAGCTGACGACAAAGAAAAAAAGAAGAAGAAACAGTTGCAAGATCAGGTCAATGGAGATTGACACAGGAACACTTCAGCTAATGCATAAACCTAGCAAGCCATTCAATTAAACACGACTCTCTTAAATATCCTGCCTTTAAAATATGATAAAATATGATCTACCGGATGCCTAAAATTGGGAAACTAGGCTGTTCATATCATAAGAAAAGCTCTTTATCCAGCAAGCAATCCTCCAAAGTTTGCAAGAATTTCAAGTAGTTTTCCACCGAATGAAGACACCAAGATGATGTCTGAAGCGCGGAGTTCCTCTTGATCATCTCTCTAACACTGTTTTATTACATGTCAAAGTCCTCTGAATGAAGTATTCTAAAATCAAGGTTAGATCGGACGGAGTGAAATCCCTGCCAGACAATATGCAGCAGGCCCTTGAGCGACTCCGATCATTTGTGGATCCGAGGCTCACCCTTGGTGCCCCTCGTTTTCCTTGTCCGCGCTCTCAACCGGGGGCAACGTCTGGAGAGCAGAAGACAGCGGAAAGAGGGTAAGAGACTACATCACCATTTCGCCGAAAGAAGACGAGCGCTGGCGAGAGCGAGAGCGAGAGAGAGACCAAGTTAGGCTTGTAGACGTTGTGGACGATGGAGGCGCCGGCCAAGAGGGAGACGATCACGACGGCGCAAGACCAGGCCATTGACGGCGTTCCCGTCGGCTTTCTGCCCCCGCCAAACTTTGTCGAGGCGTTCATCACCCCTACGACTCCGGGCCGAAGCAGAGATCGGAGGTAGTTCACTGGGGTGGAAGATGTGGGAGGAAGAAGAAGAGGGCTAAATTTTCAGACTCCCCTAGCGGTGAAGGGGAGACCGAGAGCGTTTAGAAAGGCCTTTTACATAAATACGCCTAAAAGTGGTGCCTTTCCACAATGTGCTCATACAAAGCCACCATTGGCCACATGCCCCGGATACTTTAATATTAAAATGGTGAAAATATGCAAATATTTCAATATAAAAATTATGAAAATAATGGGACTTGGGTCAACCCAGAAAGCGATCTGATGAATGGGCTTGCTTATATGAGTCCCAAGGTTCTTAGACCAGACCCATAGAGAATCTCAATAAAATCAGTTGGGTCCATCTCATGTTCACTGACCTAGTCTTGATATTTATAAAGAGTAATAAGAGGTGTCTCAATAAAATCACAGTTGTAGCCTTGAGCATATTTCCAAAAGGGTATCATAAAAACGACAAGAACATACTAGAGTCTTGGAGGGCCTTCTCATCTAAATCCTCTCATTTTTAAATAAATGCAAAATAATATTTTCATGTTGGAGCTGATGGGTTATGTGCCAAATGGAATTTAATGTGTTTTTTAGTGATGCTTTTAAAAGGGTACCAAAATGTCAAAACTAAGTTTCAAGTCAAAATGTTAATGCATTTGACTTTTGACATTAAATAAATTTTAGAACCTCTCCTCATTGGATTATGTTTTGAACAGCTCAATCAAGCATCATGTTTGTAAGAAATGCGTTTACAAAACTATTGAGGTTAGTTTTTTCTAGTTATATCTTTGTATTTTTCATTGATATTTTTGAAAAAATAAGTGTTGATAAATTGCCAGCATGCTAGATGAGAACCTATAAGGTACTGAAATAGTGGAATAGGGAAGTAGATAAAGTAGAGTAGTAATCCAATGTTCTAAAAAATGGAGAGTAGAACTTAACTAGAATAGGAGAAAGCTAAGAGGAGGGGTAAGAATTGAGAGGAAAGATAAAACCTAACATAGAGCTCCACGACACCCCAACCTCCACAATGTCTTTTTACCCTTTTCTACCCTTGTCAAGTTCATTTCTGAGTGACCCCTGATGTTCACTCCCATATTAGGCTTCCCTTTGGGGTCTTCTTGCAAGCATAAGTTAGGTCTGATGGTCTAACACTAACCCCCACCACTTTTAATTCTTTGTCCCTAATGTGTACATCAGGTAGACATCCTACATCAGCTCTCATGTGGTTTCAAATAAGGGCTGGTCTTTCCAATGCACGAGAACCTTTGGTCCCTAGGAGATATGATAGACATCAAGGATCTCCTCTAGTTAGACGTCCCAAGCCATGTTGCTAGACAGTATTACTAGAAGAAGTTAACTTTGTTGATGTTCTTGAGCTATGAAACATGAAAGTTGTTATGAATTTTGGATGATGAGGGAAGATAGACATGATAAGCCACAAACCCAATCTACTCTGTGATCTCATAGGGTGTGAAAAAATACAAAATGAGCTTTTTCATTGCAATATTGTGCCAAGTACTTTATATGGTACAACTAAATTATCATGGTCACCTACTTCATATTCTACATTTATCAGCTTGGGCCTTCATTCAAGCTTGCCCATGAGAGAGTTACTCCTTTAAATTATCCAACATTGTGTCTCACTCTAATCATTGCTCTTTCACTACCTACAACTTATGGTATAAGGTCTGAAAGGATATTGTTTCGAATGATTGATAGAAGGATGTATTGTACCATAGTTCTACTCATGGGATCCATCTGTTCTATTGGTTTTGCATGTTGGAAGTAAAACAATAAATGTAAGTTTTTAAACATCGATTTCTCTGATCTATTTGCACATCTGTCTCTTAGTGAAATGTAGTGTTTCATTTGAATTCAGTGTCTTGTAATGAATGAACTTCTTGTCAAAAATTTGTTGAGTAATACCTTATTGTGATTAAATACAATACTTTTAGGAATCCCATGAAGAACATATTAAATCTTTAACAAAGATGTCAACAATGTCTACAACTGAAAATAAGTGTCACATTAGAACAAAGTGATGATATTTTTTTAGCTAATATATAACTAAAAATATAATCTTTTTATCATAGGAAGTTGATAGTCCTTCCTAGGCTTTATTTGGAATAGGTAAAAGATGCAAGAGGCCTACTAGTGTTAGATAATGTAATTGTTGTTGTTCACAAATTAGATAATTCGCAATGAATTTATAGATCTTCTTGTTCATTGCAACCTAAAATAATTTTCTAGTAATTCTCTTTTAAGTACAAGAGAATCTAGAGTGTATGCCCGCTACTCCATGGTATTCTTCTAGTTTAGGAATGAGAATGGAATATAACAATAAGATCACCTTATCCTTGTAGCACAACAACCATTGGACTACTGAATAATGAAACATAGTTATCAAATATCTTTGCAAGTTCTTTATGATTTGGGACAACTTGGGGTCGAAGTCTCTAAGTCACTTCCTATTTGTTGCAAGTCCAAGGGAGATGGGCATGTCACTGCTATCACAAGAAGATCTAAAGTTATTAGCATCTTTGAGAGGGTGTCAAACATCATGTTGCTTGACCTTTTCTTATATTTGATCTCAAACTCATAGGTGATGAGTTTTAAAATCTATTTTTAATATTGTGACAGTGTTTATTTATGTTCTAATAGAAATTCCAAGTTGTAATAGTTTGCATAGGTAATGAATTATTGATCATTGAGGTAGTGCCTCCATTATAAATCGTTAACACTATAGCCATTAATTATCTTTCATATCTAGGGTTGACATGTTTTTTGAGAGATAACACAACTAAAATATTTAATTGATTTCTTCTCCTATGTCAATACCACTCAAAATTTCTTGTCTCGAAGTCTTGATCTCAAGTTCAAAAGGTTAAGAGAAGTCAAGTAAGACAAATCTTGATGTCAAACTCATAACTAATTTAAGGCATTGGAAAAGTTTCTTTTACTACAATAATTTATATAAACCCATCCTCCTTGAGTACTTGATGTAATAATCATGATATGTTAATATAATTGGCTATAAACTTGCAGTAAAATGTTATAAGGCTTAAGAATCTATGTAATGTTTTAGTTGAGGTTGGTGTTGGAGACTCCCTTATGATTGATACTTTATTCTCATTGACTTTCACTCTTCGTGTTGAGACCCAATGGCTTAGGAATTCAATCATTTGATGACTAAAAGAGTTTTTCTTGTAGTTTAAATAGTGTTGGTTTGATTGCAGCAATGAAAATAATTACTCTAGATGGTGTTGATATTCTTTTTTTATTTTTATAAATGAAAATATAGTAAAAAAAATTGGAACAAATTTACAATGGTAAAGGCGAAAAACCTGACTCATGAGGGATTGAAATGTTGGTGGCACATTCTTCAATCAAAAAGATATCACTATGAAGTCATAATATCCTTCATGGGTCTTGAATGTCATCTTAGGAATATACTCTTGCCTCATACATATTTGATATTAGCATGATTGTAGATACGACTTAGAGAAGATTGCAGCTTTATATAATTCATCTAGAAGCTTGTCACTGATTGATATTTAAAAGTGATCTACAATCGTCGTCTAATTGAACACTCTTTATAATCCACACATAGAAGTCAAATTTTGTCTCTTTTTTTTTCTTTGTACAAGTAACACTACACTTGAAAACAAGTTGACTGAGGGGCAGATACATTTGCTGCTAACATCTCATTCACTAGTTTCTCCAAAGTATGCTTTTGTGAGTGAGGATACCAAAAGGAGCAGACATTGATGGGCTGCGTACCTAATTTGAGGTAGATGACATGGTCCACATCTCCTGAGGGTGATGTCTTTTGTAGTGGTTTGAAAACAATTAGAAATTTTTGTCAAAGGGTAAATTCCCATCTTGGATCTCGTTCCTCTATTGTATCATTCATGAGCCCATTGAGTTAGAGCTATGACATGTCATTGACTTCCACATGTTTCCTTTTAATGGTCACCACGTTCAAAGAAATTCCTATGTATGTTTAACAATCTTTAGTCTCTCTGTAGTGTGACAATCTAGACGCCCACCTGAAAATACATCACTAGTAGCCCCCAATGAATATGATGTTATATTCAAGTGTCTGTAGCCATTAGATGCCAAGTATCAAGTCTTGGCTGCCACCTTCTAACAATATGAAATATCCACTATCCAAACTGTCGCACCTCCACACTGACCCCCAAGCATTTTTGCAGCAGTAAACCTTGTTGCTATTGTTAATGTCCTGACCCCCAGTTATCTTGTGGTTAGAGAAAGTCTGATTGCAGGAAAGATATTTGCACTGAGGAGTATCCATTTGGCAGCCATGAAGTTGATCAATTTTCATGTCATTCCATTTGAAAGGGGTAGGTTATAGTGATTTAGTTGGTTTCAAGTTTCACGCCAACCATAAGTGTAGAAGTCAACTATCTACCATCTAGGCTAACTCTAATATTTTCTTCAATCTACTTACCTTGAACATCTTGATTCTGTAATAATTTCTACTTTCAAACCATTGAGCACAATCCCCATAGTATGGACAATGATACTCTGATTAGGAATGCGACAATCGACTCAAACTTGCAATGAAATTCAGTCATTGTGTCATGCTACTTGAGCTTAGAAAAGTTGCTAGTAGATGTCCCCAGAATGAGAGTCATCAAAATAAGCCAAGAGTTGAGTTTGAAAATCCAACCAATCACATAAAAAGTACTATTCAACTGTTCACACATACCATAAGAGTGCATCAACTTTCATTTTCATCACAGCTATTTGGATTTTGTTGTCTTTTGGGGGTGTGGTTCATTCTGAAGTAGAACAACTTGGTACAGCCACTACCTAGAGTCTTTGCCTAAGCAAAAGGATCTCCAATTGAGGGAGGGATGTACCCTCCCCTGTCATGAGCATTGGGTTGACTACATATGAACCTGAAGATGGGGTGTGTGTGGTGTCCAGGCTGGACTATCATACTGACTCTACTCTATGACTAGGTCGTCAACTGGTTGGCAAGAAGAATCTCCTTGCTAGAGTGTTGAAGGACTTTTGAGTAAAAAGGCACTCTAGATTGTATCTGATCTGGCCCACACATTGGTGGAGGAACTTGAGGTTCTAGCGAATGGTGGCAACATCATCTTCCAAGTGTGCAAGCCGAGCATCAAGATTCGGAAGAGTCATCCCATAGCTCTAATACCAAATCTAAGGTATCAGAACAATGGAATAAGGAAGTAGATCAAGTAGAGTAGTAATCCATTATTTTGAAGATAGAGAGTATAACCTGAGAAAAATAAGGGAAAGCTAAGAGGAAAGATAAACCCTAACATGGAGCTCCGAGGTGTGCCCCAACCTCCACAATGTCTTAATACCCTTTTCCACCCATGTCGAGTTCACTTATCAGTGACCCATGACATTCTCTCATATCGGGCCTGCCTTTGGTCTTCTTACGGGTATAAGTTAGGCCCAGTGGTCTAACAGAACCTTAATGCATACTTTGTACCATGATGACCCTTATAGCTATTTATACCTGCATTAAACTATTTTGAATGTGGGGAGTTCTATCTGCTAGACATAATTGGTTTTTCGAAACCAGTTTATTCATAAAATTTGAGTTTCAAAAAGGTGCATGAAGTTTCTCCTTCAAACTAAAGTTGGCTTCAGAAAAAAGGGTAGAATCCAAGTCTGCCATTCTCCTAAATAACCAAAATTTAATTACTCAATTAAAAAGCGGTAATATATTGGGAAACAAAAGCTCACGTAAAATGTTACCAAAATCTTTACTTTAACTAGAAACTTTATGCTTTGGAAGATGACCCTTTTCCTGAAGTGACCTAATCCGGGAGATAAGCAATTAAAAGGATTCGATGTCATGAGCAGCCAGGCCAATCCGTCAGGGAAGTCTGATGACTATCAACACGTCCATGTACAAAGAGTTTCGGTTTCTTGTACTGCAAAAAATAAATTAAAAAAAAAAAAAAGGTTTAGCCCAGAAGCGTATTTGTTATGACAATATTATCAATTCACCTAAATCGGGATGATTTCATAAGATACATGACACATTTTTCCCATTATGTGAAGCATTGCTGAACAGGAATTCCATGGCCCCATAAGTTTGCATCGGGAGAATAAAAGGTTTGAGCTGACTCAGGGACCTCACTGACTTCAGCAAGTCGTCATTTTCATGTTTAGACAAGCCATGCACAATAAAATCGGAAATAAATTTAATTCCCATTAGAAGATAGATAAATATGCAATGAGTACTAACCAGCTCGATTGGGGGGAAACCAATTCTATATTTAATGCCAGCGAATCCATACTCCACAAACAAGCACGTATACCCCTCTATTGTAGTATGCTCGCTGAAACAGGGGGGAAAAAAAAAAAAAAAGGAGGAAGTAGATGCATATTAATGAGAAGGCATAAATGATGAAATATATTGTTCTTCATCGCAGGATATTTTTTCTATTTTCATGCAAGAAAAGAATATACAGGTGCCCTTCGGCATGTGATGCACTCATGGAGGGAGCTCTGAATTATCCATCACCCATCAAACAGTTCTGCATTAGGCACCAGATTTAAATTATTAAAATAGTATCATAATCAGGAGTTAAAGTGATGCTCCGAAACACATGAGTTTTTTTTTCTCAATTTTTTTAAAGAGGGTTGTGGGCAAAATATGGACCAAATCAGGTGGTTCTGATGAAATTTTCATGGTCCAGTAACCCATTTTACAAAGCCAAGTCTATGGGCTAGATTAAGGATAAACCTCTTCAAAAAAGAGACCAGCTACATCATAAGCCCTGATAGGGTGAAGTTCACAATGAGTCCAACACTCTCTCTATATTTAACTATAACCAGTCAATCCCTAAATTCTTGAATGACAGAGAAAAAAAACTGAAAAAAGTATGGAATTTCAGAGTCTCTTGGAATCATTTCGTTCCAAAAGGCAGAAGATTGCCACTTTGCGCATGCCATCACCGTATAATTATCAGGTGGAGCCAAAAAGTGAGAACTGTGCAAGTTACCAAAAATATTGATTAAATGAGAGGGGGAAAGAGGTCTACTGTAGACATACGATCTCAGCGTTGAATTAGGGAACATTAATCAAACAATTCACATATTTGGGGAAAACCCAACATCCTACATGCCTCCATATAAATGAGGGGTGCTTGTTAACATGATAACATAAATATCCAAAAAGAGGAATTAGGAGCGGATATGTACAGCATTTTATCTTAATGGATCAGGACCAGAGCCTAACATCTGCTACAAAAAATAAAGGGAAGAAAACTCACCTCAGTAGAAATGTGAAATTTCTGTGCTGGTACTCGGACAAAGAAATTCCTTCTTCTTTGGAGTACCTGTTCAGGTCATACAAGGAAAGATCTAGATCAATAAATAGGATCGACATAGATTGAAACTATATCCAATGGGTGCCATTGTTTATTTCTGTTTCAAATTTCTGAGCTCATTGATCCGAATTATCTACTGTAATTATTGAAACCATGTTCCGATTAAGATAGGATTCCATATTTACTGTAAATAGAAATGCTATCATCTTTGAAGTGGAAAGAAATCATACCTCCACGGGGAATTATTTTCACAAAACCGAGAAATTCCATTGATTGCTGCGAAGCTGTCAATGTGAACCCATTTATCTGACGTATCATTTAAATTTTGCCCTGATCAAAGAAGATTAATTAGATATCTCGAAAAGGTGAATAAGATGATTTCCAAACAGAAGCAATATCTATAACGCCAGTCAGAGGACATCAACAACCCACATTAGTTCTGTTCCAGAATCACAACATCCGCACGTATTAATGTACAAAAATGTCAGTAGGTCCACATTTTGCTCTAGTAGTAAAGGCATCCTCCTCAATTGGATTGCTTGAAGAATCATTTGTGCCATATCTTCATCGGACAGAATTCGGCTAGAAGTTCATGAAGCTACTAACGAGTAAATGCTCTAGCATTTTAGTAACACAATCTCCAATTCATGCAAGATTATCTGAACTCTGAAATTCATGATAATGTGATTTACAACAAAATTTCTGTCAGAATGGCATCACTCCACAAAAACAGGGATATTCAAGACAATGTTCACGATATTATCCCGATACTAAGCATTTATCAAGTCTAGGTACCATTCCCTTGAACAATGAAGTAGATATAAATGGGTAGATCCCATATTTTTTTCCAAGCACAGGAATTTTTCATTGCCAATTATGTTTCTGAAGAGTTGCATGTGCAGAAGACTGATGTAAGGAACAAAAAAACTTATAAAAAGAGCATACCTATATGATGCAAAGCTTTCAGAGCATTAGCACTTGGATAATTGTTGAAGGATGCCATAAATATTAGGACAGAGAACCCTAGACTAAAATCACGAAACAAAAAGATCAGCGTGAAAAAAATATTAGCAGCGTTGTGTTCAGTGATCAAACCTGACTAGAAAAGATCCAAGCATAGCAATGTAAAGCCATCTCCACATACCCTTCTTTCTATTATTATATCTGCAAAAGAACAAAGATAAAAGCTAAAAATTCTTCTCGCATCGGAACATAGATGATTCATCATATATACTATAACATAATGAATCTTCTCCTTCTCCAGAGAAAGATTAATAGCTTTGACCCTGAACATAAAGTAATCAATTTTTTGCTTTACTTTTCCCATTGCCATGCTGTTCAGAGCACGAAGGGTATTTTATTTTTTACTTCTAAAATGTTAGGTAGAGATCATAGCCCATGCGCACATGTTCAGACATTGTCAGGCACCGTGGACAACGTAAGTTAGCTCCAACAAAATACTAAGAAATTTCGGGGCACGAAGGATATTTGATGTTTTACTTCTAAAATGTTAGGTAGATACCATATCGCATGGATTCATGTTCAGACATTGTCAGCTACCGTGGGCAACTTAAGGTACCTCAACATAATACTAAGAAATCATCAGAATTTGCAGTACGATAAATCCACCTCAGAAACTTTGAAGTAACAGAGAAGGTAGTGAAGCCAAAGCTTTACGGTACATACAATCTGCTAGCTGCAATTGCCGCACATAAATTGAAAATCGGGATAGCACTGAATATGAAACGAAGCTCCTGTGGTACGAAAAAAAGTCCCATATCAATCCACGAAATTTAACTAACCAATTGGACAAAAAATATAATCGGCTAGAACAGACCTTGTGAGCAAGTTTTGAGTAGAGGATAACAAATGAGAATACTGGAAAGAAGTACGGCCAAATTCTCCGATCAAGTAGCACTCCAAGCTGTAAACATTAAAAAATACACAACATGATTGATTAAACAATGCCTTCAAATGTAAAAGTAGAGTCCACTCGCCTATTTCATCCATTTCGAACAAGTGCTCATCAGTCTTGGAAAGCAAGGGGTGATTTAAACCCGTCAAGTACAACCTTCAGTGATTGAGAATCCAAATTTGATGGACAGCAAACATGACAGATAGAAACAACATTGTCACTTAACCCAAGCTAACTAACCCTTGCACTAATCTTACATAACCTACCGCAGTGTCTACAGTGCATCAAGCACAACAAGATAGACTTAAGAAACCACAATATGGTCGATATTCGCGGGATACAAGACAGGTCAGCAAAGACTGCAACCCTCTTCAAAACATGAGGACAACAGGTAAAGAAAAGATAAAGTGGAAATAGAAGTCGAAATTTTCTGTGAAATGTACATTGCTAAGGTGATCTTCATTCATTCAAGATTGAGGATAAGGTTTATTGACAAAGCAGACTGATTATAAACATCAGAAAAAAAAAAAAACCAGTCGAGAGAATTCAACAACAACTCTGACTGATCACGGTAAAATAATTTAACAACTACTGTAAAGAATTATTTGTAACACTCCTTTTCCCAATGTTCACACTAAAAACCAGCTTAATCAAGCGAGAAAGCAATGCAGTGGCCAATTGTAATGTCATGTGACCACCATAAAAAGAGTTTATAAGGGAAACATCTGACCCCCAAAAAAGACAGAAAACCTTAATTTTTTGCTATGAATTTTTTATTCTACAAGAACCACACACCACACCACTTACAGATGATTTGCATGTCTTATGAGACTTAATTAGGGCTTAATCTTAAGTTCATATCTTCTCTACTTACCAGGCAAAGAGGATATGCTACAAGCAGTGAGCGCGGAAGAGCTGAAGTGAAATACCAATGAAATGAATGTGTCTAAAAAAAGTGATGTCAAGGAAAAAAAAATATGACAAACTCAACTTGAAGAAAAAAAACAGCAATGCAGATAAAACAATAGCACGCCAATAAGCGTCACAAGTCAATAGAAAGGAAAAAAAAGTTCTGAATTCTCTAGACCAAATGTTACAAATAATGAATGGAAAGAACTTTCAACCCGCAATGTTTTCCGAGTTCCAGAATCAAAAAAGTTCCAATGAGTGGGAATATGTGACCCTGACAAAAGTGTTTGCCTTTAGTTCCTTTCTATGCACAAAAACAAGAAAATAAAACTAACACGGACGTGGGATGCTATACACATCCGATAATAATTCCAGATGAGCTCGAATTTTCAAAAAATATGAAAATTTGCATCCCCAATTCCAAGCTAAATTAATTGCTTTTCATTTACTTCGATAACATCAACTAGAATCGAAAGGATTGTAGCCGTTCTTCATATTTTACACGCCCATCAATGTCGATTATGGATTTCAGGATAATAATATAGTCTTGTTATTTAATTATACATGGATACGCCCCATTCATGACTTCGATTCAAAATAGTGTTGAACCAGAAGACTTCCAACTCTGGCCACACTATTTTCCGCCACATAATTGAGTCAACAACCAATGTTAAGCCTGCATTAAGGGAACACAAAGAAAGACATCAGCATAAGAAATATTTCATACATTTAGAAATCTAAGTAGAATTAGCAAACCTATGCATAAGATGGCAGTACTGATGCAGCATTTCACCGATTCCATAAAAGAGATTGATTGCCTCTGACAACAAAAATAATATTGTCATATTATTATTTGCACATATAAATGAATAGCAAAAATAAACAAGGTAGAACAAATAACCAACCATTTAATAATAGAATATGACATGAAATTAAAGAATATCACTTTGATCACATATGATTGAAAAGCATGATTCAGAGTCATTCGTGCAACAACAGAAATTCAAAAGATACACAGGAACCCAGGTTGGTATGTGCTTGGTGGGGATAATATTTTTCCAGCAACCTACCCCCAAGCTAGGATCAGCGCATATACTATTGGGCAGGAGGCCCAATGACACGTGTAGGCTCAAAGGAGAGCAGCCGTAAAGAAAAAAGAACCTCTTCTCAACACCTATGAAAAGATGATGATGATGATGACGAAAGAAAATTTTAAACCAAGATATAAATGTTCTAATTCATCGCAAGATAAAAAATCTTGAAGTAAGAGTATTGACCAGAATACAGTAAAATGTATATGAAACAGTAAACTGACATTCCAGAAGACTTGATAGTATAGCATGCATACTTGTGCTAAAGTGAACTCTCGTGTCAATGAACCTTCTTGAGCTATGTCAATGGGTGTAAGACTAGGAGTCGGAAAGGAACACAAGACTAATTCTATCAGTATTTTGGAGACTCTGAATTCAACTAAGCTCTGAACTTGGCCTAACAAATGTGTAATTGGTCAATAAAGAGCGTTTATGGAAGCAGCAATGGGCATTGTGAACGTAATTGATGAATCTTATGACTTGAGACTGAAGAGGTATAATACTTTTGGTTTATTGATGTTGAAAGATTGCAAAGTCACAAGAAGAATCTAATGAAATTAGAGAAGCTATATTTACACCGAACATCCCAAAAACCGACAATAAAAGTGGAATACCATACCAGTAGAAGTCCAAGACCAATGGGACCAAGAAGTAGCAGCATATCACACCTAAATACGAGCACTGCAAAGGTCTGCTACCACCAAAATAGTATCATGAGATATAAGAAATATTCAAAGAATTTCAGATAACCATATAACAAAGATTATTCATGTTTAGCATGATAACCATATAACAAAGATTATTCATGTTTAGCATGCTTCCAACAAGGAACTTAGCTTCATCGAATAAGAAAAATAGACCATTTACAAAGTAACTCTCTGTCATTGCTGTAAACAAGCAGCAACAAGAAGCTGATAACAAGTAAAGTTCTTTATGGAGGGAACAAACAATCAAAAAAATGCGACAATGATTATTAATTTTTTGACTTTATGTCGTTTATCCTAGGGTTTAGCTTCCATGTAAACGCTTTATTCACGTAAAAGCTTGATAACTTGATTAGTTTTCATGCTTTTTCTCATAACTTAAGATAAGCCTCAACAAAGACTATGGTCACATATCAACACCATTCAAATTTTTGGAAGGACAAAGAGACCTTTTATACACAATATACAAGTTATCAACATTTGGCCATGCTAGTGGAAACCCAATATACAAGGGGAAGAAAGCTACATGCAGTGATAATTTGACTGCATGACAAAGTTCGTACATAGCCCTAAAGAACTAAATTTGGTCTATGTTGCGAAATTTCGAACGAAAGGGGAGACCGACAACATTTAGACAATGCCACATGAGAATTACACTGATGATTCATACAATATTGTTTACCTAAAAATTATGACTTATGAAAGTGAACAAATGAAAAGAGTGAATACTCAAAAAAACAAGGCAATGGGGCAAGGCAAAATATACCAGACATCTCAAAGTAGCCAAGAAGCTTCCTTCCAACCAAAATGCATATGCTAAGTTAACTGTAAAAGACAGAAAATGTCAGAACATAATTAAAATGCCTCGTCAGAACTTGTGTTGTTACAGTTATGTGTCACCGGAGCAAAATTCCTTTTGTTGGGTGGAAACTATCCACTACTGTTCCACATAGGCAAGAGATACAAGATGTAGCAGCGATAGCAGAAGAAAACATACAAAATGGTACATACCAAGGAAGCCATTATGGAAACGGACCGGTTTTTTTGTTAGACCGGTTCACTGTCAAACCGGTTCATTGTTGTACTATGGGTCTGGTATATAAACCAGACCCGAGCCAGACTTAATGTGAAAGAATCTATTTTCCTCCACCGCACACCTGCCTAGGGTTTTTCTGTTCACGACAGCCTTACTTATCTAACAAGATGCTAAAAAAGAAAGAGAAAAGGTTAAATAAAGATGTTGTTCCTTTCCTTGAACTAAAAAAGAAAACTAAGAAAAAAAAGAATCAGTCGAGTTAATTGAGAATTTAAACTCCATGCACTGTGTTCTTGATGTGTAATTTAAAAATATAAAGCGAGAGTGAAGAAACTAGCCTTGTACAAGGGGAAAAGGCAGTACAATCAATGAACATTACACCTATTAGATTAACAGTAGCATGAAAATAGTACCTACGGATCCAAAATCTTGCAGACATGAGAATCCTCCAGGGGAAAAGACAAGGCTTATGCCTGTGGCCAACGTCACCGGACTTTCCCCTCAGTCGGCTAGACAAAAAGGGAAAAGTAAGGCTCATCTAGACAATTTACCTTGACCCCACCAACATAAGGAAGCCAATCACTACAATTGCAGGGTACTGGAGTAAAGCCCGCATTACATAGAAAAGTGGTCCACAGAACTAGAGAGATTTATAAGAACATAACACAAAAATTCTCCCCAGATAACACAAAACATCATTCGGCCCTCAGGATATTCTCCTTTTGTGTAGTGCCCAGATAAAGTCCATGAAGGTCCAGGAAGAAATGATGGGTTTGACTCAAATAAGTTCATTTTCCATTAACTGCAGGTGTGGAACGACACCTTATCTTGGAAGACCAGGAAGAAGGCATTCGCTCTTCTTTTTTCTCCTCAACTAAACAATGGCCTATAACACAATAAGCAGCTTCCTGCCAGCTGACAACTAAGTCCTTGAATTGTTAGTTAGGCTATCGGGCAGCCACGTGTTCAGCTCCGGGTGAATTCAAAGATCTAGTCTCTAGGACTCCTATAGCTTTCATATTAGCCGATCTAGATCACAAATAGACATCATGTTCCAAGTTTTTACTTGGCACTAATGGTCATCATCGCGTAAGGCATAAGCTCCTCCAACTCAGGATTTGACCATAAGGATTTAAGGAGGTGATGATTTGTAAATTTGATAATACCAATAAACTCGTTTCCTTTTAAAGAAGCAGAAGAATATCAAGAACCTTTTGCTAAAGACACCACTATCCTAAGAGAGAGGATACTGCATAAAGTACACTAGAACCATTATCATCAACAGAATAAGGGATCCAAAATAAATGAGAATCGTATTTTTTTAGTTAATTATTAAAAATGACATATAGATATAACCGTGTCTGATTATATAATTACCTAAACTAAGAGCTAGCACATTCGGAAGAGGTCGGGTACAGTAATACAGAAAATGGAATTGAACTGCAGTTAATACAGCAAAGAATCCTTCAACCACATTGCCGAATTTTCTTCTAACCTGTTCCATCCAAAAGTAAAACCTACGTCAATAGTAGAACCCGTTTTTCTAGAAACTTGGAAGTGGAAAATGAAAGGACTTGATCATTGTTCAGAACGAAACCAGAATTCATAAAAAATTCATACCTGAAGGCGGAAGAATCTCAATGTGGACAACAAAATGCTACCTAACACCAGACGAGCTAGAAATACAAATGGAAAGAAATAAATTGTATGATTTATAGGCACAAAAAATGAGAAAATAAAATGAAAGTGTAAATAAAATCACAAAATTAGGCTATCTCCGGCGAGAGAGGAAAGGACAAGGAAATGCAACGCTCAATCTTTGATACTGTGACAGGCAGTACACCTCATGTTCTTGATTACATCTAAATCAGATGAATATTTACATATATCCTCACTTTGGAAATTAACCAGCATGGAGTTTGCTAAACCATTGTACCTGTCTAGTCATATTAGAAGAGTGTTATGCCAACTCGAACTATTTGCACAATATCTATTACATTTCCAGGGAATCTTCCACAGAAATAAGAAGAGAACATGAAATAAGGCATGTGTCAGAGTAAGTTGTATTTTTATTTTTATTTTTTTTATTGTAATCTTTTGTTTATTACTTGAGTGTCAAACCATACTGGACTGTTCCGGTTCAACCCCTGTACTAGGGTTCTGGTATAAAAACCAGTTCCAGAAGTTAATCGATGATAACCACGTCTTATTTTTCACTTTCCTGTTCGGGATTAGTGTTTTGGGGATTTTTCCGCCTGTGACACAGTCCACAACACTATGCTTGTGTTCTATCTGCATTTTGATGTTCTTCAGCTCCAGTTTTTACACGCTTCATTGGTCAACTTTAACATATCCATCATGCGTCCTTCCTTTCTTTGTAAGGTGTCACAACAAGACCTCCATTTTCATTCCCCTATGTAATTCTCTTTTTGCATTTTCCCTTTGTTTGCCTCATATTTTTTAAGCTTGTTAATTAGTACATCTGCTCCAAGGTCATGGATAAAAAATGAACAGGGTGATTGAACTTCGTCTAGAAGGAATTATACCCTGAATATATGACCTATCATCTCTCAGCTGAAGCTTCCTCAGGGGTGAAACCCCAATGGAAAAAAGCAAATACATTCACAAATATGTGTTTGCTAACACCTCAGGTATCCCACACTGAGACGAACCAGTGATGTGTATCCTGTAGTTACTGCTCTCATTATTTACTATTTACTCTAGAGAAGAGTTTTCTCTCTAAGGGAATCGAAATGAACGGGAAAAAAAAACTCACCGATTCCACCTGGATGATTATCTACAGATTGAAGATTGAAAGCCAAGGAAACCATGCCCACGCATACAAATCTAAATGACAGGATTGTTGTGGCAAACCTAGCTTTTATCAGCTCACCCTGGCATGCTCATAGTCTTAGAAGGATGTGTATGCTGAGGGTGACGTGGAAACCAAACCAGAATCATGCATACACGTAAAACCTCTTTGAATGTTTATTCTCTGCTGAAGGAAACATGGGAACTAAACAAGAATCACCACACAATTGAAAACTCCACAGAATTATTTACTTGATAGAAACTGTAGAAAAATACATTCAAAAACTCTTTGAGCTATTCCAATACATGTGATATAGCCACAAACAAGTAAATAAATGATAAATTCTGAAGGTGAGATCATTCATTGGAAAACAATGATTCAACAACTTTAGAAATATATCCAATAGGAATAATTGAGTGAATTTACCTGCTATGAGAGCATATAGCTTCGGTAGAAGCAAGAGTTGCATCAGCAACGCCACAGGTAATGTTAAAAGTGACACTACAAGAGCACCTGTAGAAAGACATAGTGACCTTACATCAACTTTGTTCACAAAATTCTTATGTTGAACCTCTCATTCAGAATATCTCAAAACATCAGCCAAAAGTTTTCCTAGTTCCCTGAGGCAATAAAGCTGAAAGGTAAATATAGACTATTCGATATAAAAAAAAAAATCAGCTCCTAGCTGTTGGAAACGCCAGAAAGCCCTAAAATAGAACCAGTCTAATGTTCTAAGAGAGGAAAAAGTCCAGAACAATGACCGTATCATGAAAGATGGACACCAAGTATCAACAAGTACACTAAGAAGTATGTTCATCAAGAATTACCTTCGAAGTTCAGTTTGACCTTATATACATTAGATATATATTTTTTCATCCAGCACACATATCTTTATAAACTTAAGCTGTGGAGCAGAAGAAAATAACACCAAGCAGACAAAGAGGTATAGTAGAACACAGTTTGACATTTGGTCATAAGTCATCAACATAAGAAAGAAGAGATTCTTCACTTCGGTAAGGGATGTAAATAAATATAAATCATATGTCACCATTTTGATTCAGTTACTCAGAGAATGTGGAACAAGGGACCATTATTGGCAGCAACGAGCTGAGGATTTAAAATACAAAATTGCAGAAGGAATTATTTGGACACATACCACTATGGACTGCACACAGCTTCGAGAAGTGATAATACGAGGGTATTTTGGTCATCTTGCTAGAGTGCAATGCAGCAGTGTCCTTTTGTTTTATTATCAATAGAAATTATCTTCTCCTTTGGGGGATTCTTTCTCCCCAAGTTTTCCCAACCCACTATGATTCATTCCCCAATTTCCACCATTATGAACTGTACAATGCAAAAGAAAAACATGAAATACATGGGATATTATATCATATAACATCCACTCAAGCCTTGGACTCAACAACGAGCCTTAGAGTCAGAAACAAGTATAGAGTTAATAACAGGCACACATCAATCAAACTTATCAAATCAAGTTGGATGAGAAAATGGGAGATAATGCATCCACTCAACATGGTTCTTGAATACCCTCAGTTATCTTTTTAGTTTCATGATCCACATTATGTCTTTTGTAGTTGTCACCTTATTGTGTTTAAAAGTATACCTATAATATCTTTGAAATTCTCTTGTACATTTTCATTATTTATATATAGCATTACATCGTTACTAGGTGCATCCACTTACATTACAATATCCTATTCCTTTCTTATTGTTCATTTTTAACACATAGGGTGCTAAAAAAATTCTTGAAAACATCATGAGAAACATACTCGCAATGAGCACCGAATGTACGCTAGTCCAAATTTTTGAGTCAGACAACCGTGGGCCTCCGCAGTTGACGCTTTAAAGCACCAAATAAATATATGGTGCTCATTGGAACCCACCACAGCTCTAAGAAATGATATATGCATAGCGTCCCATACAAAGTTCATACAGTTGTGTTAACAAAAATTCAAGGGCTTTTCCAAGAAATCAACTGGGTTGCTTAAACAAGGCTCTTCAAAAGGCTGAAAACTTTGTGTTCAATTCAATAACTTGTTCGAGAAACTTTTCAATAACTTTTTGAAGAACATTTTTGTTGGGATCCTAGTGACATTGATCCCTCATTACAGGCAGATATTCCACAGGAAAACATTGTGTTTTGCAACCCAAGAATATTCTGCTAAGCATTCAATCTGCATGAGAGCACCTATCGTATATAGTCAAAGGATCTTGTAAGTCTCATTTATTAGGCTCTACAACAGATCCACGTTGATAAATTTATTAAAAATGTAGCACTGCCGAGAGCAGGCATGTCTACACATAACAGGGAATGTGAATTAATTTTAAAGGTGGTTATGGAACATACCCACGAATGTACGGGAAACAACACCAGGAAATTCAAAATGATCATACTGCAACAAGGAAAGCCTGTTAGTTACCAGCTTACGGCGGTCAAGAAAATAGAGTAACGTATATAAAAGATGACAATGCAAACCTTCATAAGGTGATGACGATGATAAATCATGTCATGAATTGCCTTGATGATCAACATTCAACATGAAAATATAAAAATTGGTTACCTTAACAGTGAAATAAAAGAAAAATGCCAAGATGAATGCTGAAAAGAATAAAGGCAAACCAGATGCAATTGAGCAACATAACATGTGACTACATAAAGTTGACAGAACAAGAAGAGGGGTAACAGCATGAAGGCAACTTGTGATAGATGAAACGAGGAACACATGGACATGAAAAGAGAAAAAGAAGGTGATAAACTTGAACGTTGGATGCATATCAAAAACATTTAAATAAATTTATTTTAAAAAAAAGACAGCCATACATTGATGATGAAGAAATGGTGATTCCTCTCGATCCAAGTAGAGAATAGAATTTCAGAAATGGAGAAAATTAACGATTCTTCAGAAATCTGACAAAATCTGAACGTAATCAAAGGTTCTGATATCAATATGAATACTCCTCTAAACCCAATCACCCCAATATTACACTCCATTCTCTCATGACCATCCGCAACGACACCTCTGAATTCGTCCATCTGATATTAATCCATTGAAAACCTTATTCACAAAGGATTTCGTTCAGAAATAACTTTTATTGCTCACTATTACTCTTCGTTTGTCATTGGCGATCGCACGCTTTCTTCCAACTATCGGCAAGATTGAAACACTGTGAAAATGACTATGTTTCCGGCCATCAATGGCCGGTGGGTTCCCTTACAAGATTGTCTCGATGATATCAGTTTTTTTTTTTGCAACGCATTCGCGCCAAAATTGGCGTCAGCAATCTATTATCTCCACATTTGCGGGCCATCGATGTAAATCAACAGTGACTACGGGTGACAACAATCCCAATTCAACGGGATATCCTGCCCAGGTGAGAAAAAAAAGAGCACCCAGGAGACTCAAGAAAGACTAAATGGCTGTCAACGAATTGGATAAATACCTGAACGTTAAAGCTCTCCTCGACCTTCGTGTACGGCACCATGAACACGTAGAAAGCCGCGACGGAACCCAGCAACAAATCCCAACCTGCAAGATGGATCACCAGACGCCGCCGGCCCAAATCAGAGGATAGTAAGAAAGGTACAGGACGAGGGAAGACAGAGACAGATGGGGCGAAGAAGAGAGACACCCACCGAACTGTTGAAGAAATTTCGACGAGCTTCTAGTAGATGTCGAGGCATCGGCTGCACTAGTCGCCATGAGAAACTCGGGCCGGAAAGACGTCCCTCTCTTCTCGGCTCTAACTCTTCGCTTCTGAATTTCAGAATTTCAGAAGAACACTTGCAATTTTTCTCGAAGTTCTAGCATGATTTTGGGCACTGTCTCTGCAAGCTAGCTAGTTGCTCGACCGCATTAAAGTATGAGGGCGAGGAATCAAAATATAGGCAACCAGGGAGGAACGCGCGATTCAGTACAAAGCCATGTCAGACCCATGCGAAAGCACGGGGCAAAGAAGAGACATTTATGCGTAAGGACGAAGATGTGCGCAACTGTTACGTCACCCGGATGATACCATTTTCGGGGAGTACATCAAGCTAAGCATCGAAAACAGACTCAGATCGATTGGGATGAGATCAAAGATCCGATTTTCCAAGTTAATTTTTTAACAAAATGCTTGGTCTCCGTTCCTAAATGTGACATAGTAACGTATTGCATAATGCCAAAAAATGAAATAAACACTAGATAGTTACAATACCAGGTGGAGATGTGTGACATTGATCCTTTGTTATGTTAGAATTATATATTTTATCATATATAAGACTCATGGCCTACACCTTGATAAGTTAATGCCATTAATGAGAAATAAATGTGGTGAGGAAGTAAAAAAAATATGATTAAGTTGCACGTATGGATTATAGTGGGGGTAAATTAGTGATTATTTTATCAACAGCTGATTTCATGTGTTTAAATTTTCTAGAATTTTTTTGAAATGAGAAACAATAATTAGGGTATTTAGAAATCAAGAGGTGTTTATTGTTTCTTAGATATCCCTTTTTGTCCAAAGTAATCTATCCATCAATTTAATTTTGTGATTTCATGTAAGAGAAAACATTGTTCAATAGTTTTAGATGAAATTATGTCTTAGAAAAAGATGTACAAAGAACCTATTTCTAGTAAATAATACCTCAATTAATGCTATTTAAAATAAACTTATGCCAAATACTTCCATTATATTTATTTTATCAACTCTCCTCAATAAGGCTATTTATCATTTCTTTGTGGCATTAAAATCATGCATTGTTAACAATTATTTTGAGTCACTCGATACAACATTTGTGGTGCCAAGTGCCTTGGAGGATTTTATCTAGACACAAATTGCAATACCTTGTTTAAATTCATTTAATAATTTTCCTTAAGTAATTTACCAAAATTGAAATTTCTACATTCAAATGGTGAGAAACACTTGAATACCAGACAAAGTTCAAAACGTCACATTTCATCATCTATTAGTTGTAATACAAAAATTTAAGTGTTTCAATAGCTGGACAACAATGAACAATAACTTCCACATAACTAAAATAAAGCTATGTTTTATTAATCAATAATGAAAAGTGTTGTAATAATTATCCCAAGAAAATTTACTCATGAGAACCGTGACTTGGATCTACCAATTTGACTTGGCGTGAACGCATTGCCTTGCCTTTAGTTTGGTCAAGGGATAATAAATTAGATATGGTTTGATATCTAACCAAGAACGTAGGTATCAATCAACACGTGGATATAGGTTAATAAGACCAATACACTAAATTCATGAATATCTGATATTATTACCTACGCATTTTGGTCTTCCTTATGGCACTAAGCTTCAATAATTATTCATGTTCACCCCTCCATTCTATTTGAACCTTAATAAAAGAGGAAATTGAAAAAAAGGCATGCTTTGTAGCCTTCTTTTCCGTACTGCTGACTTTAGTTTGTGCTTAAGCAAATATATGGACATATTAGGGTTTGATACTTATGAACCTATAAATGTTATCAACATATTGCAAACCCTAGAACATACATAATGCATTGTCATTTGCAAAACTAAGGATTTAAAACCATGTAAAATATGAAACATACCCCAAGTTCGTGAGCAGAAACATTAAATTCATGGAAATAAAGTTTTCCTCTTAGTTAAGATCATGAATGGGTTAAGCCCTGAAATTAAGTCCCATTTTCCTGTGTATTCACTCACTATCTGAATCCCCAAAGTGGCAACTTGCCCATTGGAACAACTTGAAGAACGTACTTCCAGTGCTCCATGGTAGACAAGGATTGCAGTATGAAGTTAGCCATCGAACAAAGTTATATAATATATCAGATCCTGCAACCTGCAAGAGAATATGATAGCAATGAGAAGACCAAGATTTATACAAATAGTAATGTCAACTTAGTCACTTGAAATATTACTTCTACCTGATGCCTAGCCAAACAATAAACCAGCGGATGATCCTCATCTTCTTGTCTGCCCAGTGAAGTTCTTGGTTTTAAACCAAAAAAAAAAAAGGTAATAAATTTTCCTATGCACTGTTTCCTTGCTAGCAGGTGAGCTCGATTCCACTGGAGATTGTCAGTGAATCTCTCATGATAGAGAGGACTCTCCAAGCAAGCTTCTCATCCTCCAGTGACCAACTGCAGCAGAAGTAGACTGTGGGTTCTTTCGGGTCAGCAGGCTCCCCAATTCTATGGCAGCAGCTTTCTTTCAAACAAGGCTGAACCCGAAAAGACCCCAGGGTCAGATGATCTGAGCCCAGTCCGGCACTTGTGCAATCAATTTTCTCCTTCAGTTTTAGAAATAATAAACTGAGCCAAGGGTCTTCAATCTTCCCTCCAGCAGATGATGTACTGCAAGTCAATTGATTCGATGGCATCTGTTCCAAGCTGCATATGTACACAGGACAACAGTAGGCAAACTGAACCTTGTTTTCCAGCACGGAGAGGCTCTCCAAAAGCTCATTATTATGTACAGCCTTTGCTCTTTTCGTCTTCTCCATTATTAGGATACCTTCAACTACTGTTTCCCCTTCTGTGGGTGATATCGGTGTTGATCCAGAATGGGAAAGGTCAACACCGTCAGCGGTTAGGCTATGGAAGTTTGAATTAGTGTGGCTTCTTATAAAAGCTTTCGAGGCATGGATTTTGACCAACTGGGCTGTTGGAATGAGAACGGTTTCTCCATTCGCAGGGTAGCAGCATTGGATGCCCAGTTCAGATTCGATCCTCCCTTTCAACGAGGCCATTTTGGGCTTTTCTCCGTGCACAAGGATTACGTGCTTTGGTGAGAGAAATCCGACCAGATCCATTATCCCTTTGGCGTCTGTGTGAGGGCTGAAGGAGAGCTGATGAATCTAATGAAAGAAAAAACTTATTAGAGCACAGGAAATAAAAGAAAGGAGGAAAAAAAGAAGATGAAAACAAGTGGTCTGACCGAGTTTAGTGTGAAGAAGCAAAGTGGATGAAGCTAAGAATGCGTTGGAAATTGAAATGCATTAATGATATCATAATAAAAAGTAAGAGAACACCACAACCGAAAATATATCTAGGTAAATTCGGACCTGACCTCTGGTTTTTCGGCTGAGGCAGCTTGGCTTGTCTGACCCAAAACAAAAATAGGCACAATTGTCTGACCAAGTCAGACTGCTTGACTTGATCATTCCTATCTCTAGTCAAGGGCAAGATCGAAGCTATACTTCCTACATTTAGTATGATGTTAGCAAGCGATTGCTATCGTAAGGTCCTCAATTAGGTGGTAATATCCAACATAATTCTCTGATGATGAGACTTACGCCTAAGTGAAGGGCCAACCTATGATCAGTGCTGAATCCGACATTGGGCCAAGATATTCTGCAACACCAATGGCATTTTATGTCTAGGAGCTCACATTTTGTTGAATCAAGCATTCAATGATCCAAGCTAGAGAAAAAAACTAACTTGAAATTGGCATGAAGAGGGAAATTGAACATTTCGAATACTTCAGTGAGGATACATCGACTTAATTCCACTAAAATTATGCTCACGAATTATGTTCTTATTTTGAACATATTACGACAAATTAAAATTATTAGAAAGCAATTAAAAGTAGTGTGAAACAAACACCTGGCATCGCACTTCAATGCGGGTGTCCTTGTCCAGATCAACTGTAGTGGCTTTACCTGACATTAATTTATGGCCCAATGTTCCAGCAAGACAATAACTGAAAAGGTGAGAGAGGAAATGTGAACGATATAAGAATGACGGTTATTTACATATTTCCGTTCAAATTAAAATAGGTCATAACATCAACATCGGCTGATGTTAATGATCTGGGTTTAGCGATCATGGGTTCACATAAAAGCAATAGCCAGGCAGATCAAAACAGAAAGTTCCAACCAGATTAAAAGGATTGCCCTCCGGGAGCTGAGTGTATGATACACCAAAGTTATGTGAGGTGACTGTATTCCAACCACTTGGGTGGGAAAAAAACATCAATATTTTTGAGTTCTGAACCTATCCGTTCCAAATCAATGAGCCCAAATAGGCAATAATAGTAGGTGAGGTCTACAGGATATGAACCAACTCAGAAAAAAAAATTGACGAGGTAATTTTCATGCTGATTGAAGCAGGGGCAACAAAGTAAAATTAAAACAAAAAACAACGTTTCTCGGGTAAGGTTCATATCTAACTACTGATTAGGGTATGATGCCGGTGTTAGATAGGACAGGCGACCTAAATTTTCGTAAAAGAAATATTCAGAAGATTGCTGGCCAGATGCCTCAGAAAATACCTTTGTAATGCTTCGAAAGGGTAAAAGTATTCAAGTAGCGTGTTTCAAAGTCTGGCCAGTTATATGATCGACGAGGTGTTGGGGGAGGAAAGCGTTTTATTCTCACAGAGGAATTGCTACTGATGGGATTTGATGACAACAGTTTAGAGGCGGAGAGGCTATTACTTTTGCACAAGTTGCTGCTTTCAGTTGAAATGTAGTACAGACCAGTTTTGATTGCCTTCCCAAACTAAATGTTCTCATCAGATAAATAAAGACTCACCCAGGTAATGTGACAAGGTTCTTCTCAGATGGAGCCCATTGTTTGAATACTTCAACAGAGAAGCCACCAGTAAGCATTCCAGGAGTGGCAAAGAGAACACATGGACCGGGATCATTAATCATCGATGGCTTGAATGGGCATACTGAAACAACATATGACTGAGGTTAAAAATAAAAAACACCAATAGGCATAAAGAAAGAAGATGTCCACGGAATTAGAAAGCACTAAACATCAATCATTCTAAAGTTTCCTAGATCGCTTCTGCAAACATCTTTAATATTCTTTCCTAGCCTGTGCTTCAAAACAAAAATACCAAAAATCAATAGGATATAATAAAAATCACATGGTTTTACATATTCAAAGAAATAAAAAAATTTGAAGCGAATATTCGTTAATCGAACAATTATGATAGATCCATTTGTTCTGCATGAAAGTTGTCAGAGATTTGTTAAACCGTGAGAGTTTCTTTGCCATGCCCTTGGCCCTTGCCTCGTTAAGCCAGCACTGAGTCAACTTGGTTGGCCTCACGATGGACATGAAGAATTACAACAATGTATCTTACATAATCAAAGGATACCCTTTCCCACAATGTTATCCCCAAATTCATCCAAAAACAAAGATGATTATCCCCAGGTATGACAGTTATTGGCACACACTTATTGCAATAAATTAGCTATAATTTGTCACTTGTCTGACAATCAAACTGGTTCCAGCTCCAATCAACAGTAGTGCTCCATTAATGAGATCTTCGAAAGGAAATGAAAGTGCCTCATCATGTCGAACTATCTAGCATTAGATTAAAGTATATTATAGTAATCAATGACAGGCTATAACCTTCATTATTGATCCACATAAGTATTAACACTGTTGAATCCTACATTCAGTACATATTTGAGACATGACGATCCATTAATGACGATCAAAGATTAACTAGCTGATAAAAAGGAGAAGAACACGGGTATCAAAAAGGGGAACAATGTTCGCGTACATGACATACACTTGTAAGAGCTATATGTCCGTACCCCACTTTAACAAATTCGTTGACTGCTAAATAAATAAACTTCATCATGATAAGGGCCTTAGGATGATTAAAATCTTTCATCAGGTCGAACTATATGATTAATATCGAGATCTGCCAATTGTACATGCTTGATGTACGTGAAATGTAAACCCATACATCTCCATAATCCTAGGATAAAAATAAGAGACAGTTAAATTAGGCTCATCAAGGTACCAAAACAGTACTTTCGAATAGAAAAACCAAAGTCATTTTCAATAATTAAGTCATTCATGAATTATAATTCAGCGCAATAAACTTTTCTAAACTGGGTAAGCATACCATGTTTGAAGTCGAATGCATTTTTTATGGCAGAAGTATCCTTTATCCTACGGCTAGTCCACCCAATAAACGTCTTATAATACATATTCGCTTGAATTGTCAAACCTGGGAAATAAAACAAAGTAGAAATTGGAAAGTAGGACCGTGGTTAAGCAATAAAAATGATATATTTATAAAATATAAAATAAAATTGAATTTATTCCAATTATATTCCTGATTATTTGAATATAGTGTTCATGTTTTTGAAGTCTTGAAATTTCAATAGACAACTGGATTTATCATTTGAATTGAATTTGGATTTATATGACACGTTTTAGTGTGCATGTTCTTAAACAAATAAAGATATATATTTGGGTCAAATATTGTTAAATATAATTTGTTTGACCAAACACAGGATGTAAACATAAGCAGATAGAACGAATTGGGCGTTTGAACCTGATGGTTGTTAGACAACATGAGGGGAACTGAGTAGAATTCATCCTAGAAATCTATAACTTAGAGCTCTTACTTTCAGAAAGGCAAAGGTCTTAGACTTTAAACCTTAGACACACTCTTATTAAATATCTCAATTACAGAGTCTAACGTGCTAAACTTCAAGGTTGTTTGAGCATACATTTGAATCTCAGTATGGGAGGATCTGCGCATGTGCAGAAATAGCATAGAAAAAAAGGAAAAAGAACCTCAAACGAATAAATAGAACCGATTTAGAGCGATGATAATCAACAGGCTCTAGATGATGAAAATAATGATTCATTAAAAATATACCTGAGACAAGAAAAAGGATAGAGGAGTGAATCCACATTCATCTTCTTAGACATCTAGGATTTAACTAAAATTGATAGAAACGAACAATGGGAAGAAGTTCCAAAGCAATACGCAAAGGAACAGCAAGAGCATTGTTTGTAGACATTATATGGATGGAGATAATTGTGAATCTTTTTATCACCCATGAAATAGCTTGTCACATTTAGGTTATCAGTAAGAACTGACAAATTTATAAAGAGTACCAACCACCCTCAAGAAAAAAAGCCAAATGCCAAACAAAATTCCAAATGATGTACGAAGAAAACATGTTACCCAAGAAAATTTGAATTTCATAACCTTAATTTGATACTAACAGTCAACATTCACTAGATTTCGTCCTATTTGTTTCTTTGAGTTTATTACTTTCTTTTATTTCTGTTATGTCCCTATGAAATCTAATATGGATTCATTGGGACTTGTTGGAACCATTAACATCTGTACTTCAGAACAGCACTAGGAATGAAACTGTTTTTTTCCTGCACATATTTTCTGTTGCTCTCTAGGTGGCGGTCTTGGAATCCTAACGCCAGAGTCAAAGAATTGGCACTCACCATTATGAATCTTGTATATAAGTTTAAGAACAAAGCGATGAGATTTTATGAAACCAAAAAATGACGCAAATCGAAGTAGAATGGCTTAGGGGTCAAACCCAATGCCAAAGGGCGGAAAATAGTCTACAGAATCGTCTGATACACTGTTACGAATTGATGTCCTATGGTGAAGGGTCTTTCAGGGTGGATCAATGTGCACCGTTATATCAATATTGGGCTTCAGTCCCACTTTCCAAGTGTGATAACAGCCTTGAAACTAGTCATTTAAACCATTGAAGCTAGTCTTGGAATGGTTTCCAGTGAAGACAACAATACATAGAAGAAGCCTATAAAATTAAAAAACGGATTTAGATGTCAATTCAAACTCCTTTAACAACTCTAAAATGTTAAAGCCTAAGAGGAAACGTATTTTAACTCATAAACATTTCAAAAAAATTATCCTGTGATAAGGGTCCACAAACATATGCTAGAAGGAAGAAGGCCCAAAGTCTAATAAGTCAATAACGGTTAGCATGATTGAGGGAAGGCACAACTATGGCAAGGAACAGTTATGGCAAAGAGTAGTTATGGCAAAAGTAGTTATGGCAGGAGACTTACTGCCCACATAAGAGAGGGAAAGGAGAGGATATAAGGATGCGCGGATCAGGAAGGAGAGGAAGGGGAAGATTGGTGTTAGATCTCATGCATCTACAAGGAAGGGGTTGGAGGGTTGTATGCGACCCTCCATCTGTTCTGAGTTCTTTTACTGTGCTTTATCTTTGTTTATTTCTGTTCTAGAGATTGTTTCTTTCATCTAATACAAATTATTCATAGTTCTTTGATCTGGGTTCTTATCATTGGTATCAGAGCCAGACTGGGTTATTCCTGTATGATTAAAGGGCTTACTATTGCGAGGATGGAATCTTTGGAAGCTGATCTTGAAGCTCTTAAGGAAGACAAGAGGGGTACAAAAAAAATGCTACAACAAGTCACCCAACAACTAGCAGATTTGATGACACGCCTACCACATGAACCTCCATCGGAGTAGTCCCAGAGACAACCAGAACCACACTCACTCCAAAATCCGGAGCAAAGGGAGGGTATTTATAAGCCCAACTGCCAGACTGAGCTTCCAAATTTCACTGGCGATAATCCAAATGGATGGTTACCATGGGCTGAGAGGTATTTTCGTATTAGCCAATGCCAAAACATGATCGTTTAGAAGTAATAATGCTGAGCATGGAGGGTGATGCCCTAGATTGGTATCTGTGGATGAAAGATTGCTTTCCATTCCGTGATTGGTATGATTTTAAAATCCTAGTGATCGATTTGGTTCATCAGCAGCTAACAACACGTATCAGAAACTTTTGAACATGAAACAAGAGAGTTCCATGTTGGAATATAAGGTAGAGTTTGAATGACTCTCAACCTATCTTCCGAACATACCAACATAAATACTAGAGCATACCTATTTGAAAAGACTCAAGCTTGAGATCCAATCAGAATTATCTATGTCCAAGCCTATTGGGTTACGTGAAATTATGAATACTTCAGTGTAGGCCGAAGCTCATATCCGTACTCTATGGCAAGCATGGAAGCAAGAACAACCACGACCACCCAAACATGTCATAGCTGCTTATGCTCCACACCAAGAAAGGCCTCCTCTGATATCTAATTTCAGAAATGAGCAATCTAATTTGGAGAAAACCCAAGTGACCACAGCTAGTGCCTCAAGTAAAGATAAGACGTTCACATATACTCCACAAAATATGAGCAATAACAGGGGAAATAGAAGATAGATATAATTGACAGAAGCTAAACTACAAGAAAGATGGAACAAAGGACTATGTTTCTATTGTAATGACAAGTTTGGACCAGGCCACAGATCCAGGTAGGACCTTAATTTACTTATTGTCTAGGAGGAGGAAAAGTCCCAAAAAGACTTCCAAGAGGAAGATTAGGCTCCACTAGAGCATTGCTCACAAGAGGAAGGTATATTCACAGCCCATGTCTCATTAAATTCCGTCATGAGATTGACTCAGCATCGGATTATGAAGGTAAAAGGCATCGTGCAAGATAAACAGGTAACCATTCTTCTTATAGACACTGGTGCTACCCATAATTTCGTCTGTAATAAGCTGCGGGAAGAGCTATCCTTATATGTCAACGAATTCTATAGCTATGGTGTTGTGATGGGCAATGGGCATACCGTGCAAGGTCATGGGATATGCCATAACATTCCACTCAAAATCCATGATCTCCTCCTTATTCAAGATTTTCATCCCTTGATCTAAGTAGCACAAATGTCATACTAGGAATATAGTGGCATAAAACACTAGGGTGGATACATTCACACTATGGGCAATTAATCATGAAATTTATGCTGAACAACACGATCTACACCATTCATGGGGATGCAAGTTTTAAACAAAACAACAATATCTTTCAAAGCAATAGAATGTGAATTAAAAAGAAGCCACATATGTCCACTAGAATTACACCAATTGTTAGGTACCGCACTGGATTTTAGTTCCCCACTAAAATAGTCATAGATAGTGGTCAGACTACAGAAATGGTTCCCACAAGTCTTTGAAGTTTTGTCAAGGTTTCATCTATAAAGAACAATTGATCATGCCATCAATTTATTACCGTGTACTCAGCATATTAATCTACACCCATACAGGTACACATAATTTTAGAAGGATGAAATAGAACGGCTTGTCCATGAACTATGTATTGTAGGCATCATTCAACCTTCTAAAAGTCCATTTGCTAGTCACATACTACTTGTAAAAAAAAAGGATGACAACTGGCGATTCTATATTGATTACAGGGCCTTAAATAAATCCACGATTCCAAATATGTTCCCTATTCCTATTGTTGATGAGTTGTTGGAAGAGCAGCATGGACTGTCATTTTTTTCTAAACTAGATTTGAAGTCTGGTTACTATCAAATCCGTATGAAACAAAAAGACATCCAGAAAACCGTTTTCAAGACTCATGAGGGTCATTACGAATTTAAGGTTATGCCATTCGGGCTCTCTAATGCCCAAACCACAGTTCAATACTTAATGAATGATATATTTCGACTTTATATATGGAAATTCGTATTGATATTTTTTGATGATATCTTAGTATTTAGCAAGACTCATCAAGAACATGATGAGCATTTGGATAATGTCCTATTCTTGCAGCTAATAGCCTTTATGTCAATGAAAAAAATGTCAATTCAAGCAATCTCAATTGGAATACCTCGGCCACTGGATTTCTACAGACGGAGTATCTACAAATCAAGGAAAAATTGCAGCAATATGAGACTGGCCTACTCCTGCGAATTTGAAAGCATTACAAGGATTCTTAGGAGTGACTGGCTATTATCGTTGGTTTGTCAAATGTTATGCCACTTTATCATGGCCCCTAACTAGATTGCTCAAGAAAAATTATTTTCATTAGGACTCTGATGCTCAAGAAGCTTTCTATAAACTAAAGTTGGCGATGACTTCCACATCAGTTTCGGCCCTGCCTAATTTCTCTCAAAAATTCTTAGTTGAGACATATGCTTTAGGGCACGGCATAGGTGCAGTATTGATGCAGGAAGGACAACCAGTAGCTTATTTCAATCATGCCTTCAAGGAACACTCTTGTCTAAAGTCAACCTAAGAAAGAGAACTCATTGCCATTGTGACGGCAATTTAGAAATGAAAGCATTATCTCATGCTCCACCCTTTCATCATTCGGACAAACCAATATAGTTTGAAATTCATATTTGACCAAAAAGAAATTCACTCAACATATCACAAATGGGTCACTAATCTAATGAGATTTAATTTCAAATACAATATAAGGAAGGCAAGAAGAATGCAGTTGTAAATACACTATCTAGAGCACCACAATTGGGAGAGGCAGGGTGGCACCCATGTGCATTGCACAAGGAGTGGATGTAACCACAATCAACAAAGAAGTGAAAGATGACTCACAATTGTCCAAAATCAAAATCACAAATAGAAGGCTCAACTTCTTTTCCACATTACTCAATTCAACAAGGGTCACTTCTCTACAAAGGTCGACTGGTGTTACCTCTTATATTTACTCTTCTCTCCACATTACTACGTGAATTTCATGACAGCCCATTAGGAGGTAATGTTGGATTTTTATAAAACCTACTGACGAATTACTCAGCACGTCCATTGGCCTGGCATGAAGAAAAAGATCAAACAGCATATTAATGAATACATTATCTGTCAATTGAATAAGGCTTCGACCTTGTCACCAATAGGACTTTTGCAGCCCTTGCCTATTCCAAATATGATCTGGGAAGACCTCTCCATGAATTTTATAGAGAGTCTACCTAAATCCAAAGGCAATGACTCCATTCTCGTCAGAGTAGACAAATTCAGCAAATTTTGACACTTTATACCCCTCAAACATCCATTCACAGCCAAAGACATTGTCCAGATCTTTGCAAAATAAATCATCAAGCTGCATGGCATTCCAAGATCTATTGTGACTCATAGAGGGACTGTATTTACCAGCACTTTTTAGAAATCACTCAACAAATTTCAAGGCACAGAATTGAAAATGAGTTCTTCCTATCACCCATAAACAAATGAGCAAACATAGGTGGTGAACCGAAGCTTAGAGAATTATCTCTCATGCTTTACTTATGATAAACCTAAGTTATGTAGTGACTGGTTACATTGAGCTGAACTTAGTTACAACACTTCTCATCATTCTGCCATCAAGATGACCCCTTTAAAGCAGTGTATGGATGGGACCCTCCCACACTTACATTATGGATCTCCTATGTCAACAACTAATGCAGTTGACACTTATCTAAAAGAAAGAGATGGTACACTTCAACTTCTCAAGGAACATCTCTTGGCCACATAGTCCAAGATGAAAGCACAAGCTGAAAAACATTGAAGAGACATAGAGTTTCAAGTGAGAGACTTGATTTATATCAAGCTCTGACCTTATCGTATGAAATCATTAGCCAAGAAAGCTAATGAAAAACTGAATCCCAAATTTTTTGGCCCTTGCCCTATCAAGGAGCGCGTTGGCCAGATGACATAAAATTAGAACTTCCCAACTCCATAACTATTCACCCAATTTTTCTCATTTCTCAACTTCGCAAAGCACTAGGGAATTCTGCTTACTGTCAACCAATTCCAAGCATACTGACTGATGCTTTGGAATGGAATGTGACCCCCCAAGATATCCTCACCATTTGAAATTCCTCTTTTGACACAGAAGTCTTGGTCAAATGGGCTGATCTCCCTAATTTTGAAGCTACGTGGGAACTAGCTTCACACCTCCACCAGCAATTTTCAGACTTCCACCTTGAGGACAAGGTGAAGCTCATGGGGGGGAGTATTGATAAGGCTCCACGCACATATGCTAGAAGGAAGAAGGCCCAAAGCCCAATGAGTCAATGACTGTTAGCATGATTGAGGGAAGGCACAACTATGGCAAGGAACAATATGACAAGGAACAGTTATGGCAAAGAGCGGTTATGGTAAGAGCAGTTATGGCAAGAGACTAACTGCCCAAATAAGAGAGGGAAAGGAGAGGATATAAGGATGGGCAGATCAGGAAGGAGAGGAGGAAGAAAATTGGTGTTAGATCTCATGCATCTACGAGAAAGGGGTTAGAGGGTTGTATGCGACCCTCCATCTGTTCTGGGTTCTTTTACTGTGCTTTATATTTATTTATTTCTGTTCTAGAGATTGTTTCTTTCATCTAATACGAATTATTTGTATTTCTTTGGTCTGGGTTCTTATCATCCTGTTTCCTATATTTTGAGGGCCGTAAATATCCCGAGTTCAAAGTGGGGCTTTGAAATAAGGCTTGATTTATGCTATCTGTTTCACGTTTATGTGGAAAGAATGTAGGAGTCATAACTTGAGATAGTATTTCTGTGGCAAAGACAAGGGTTTCGACAATCTAGCGCCAGTTCAATTAGTCATTCCAACATGATTTTCTTGCAGGCATGTTAGAGTTTGGGAATAGTTCTTGTGTGGATCAATAAGAGAGAATTTAGATCGGTGAGCTAGTACAATATCAACAACTGGTTGTATGAAGGCGAAATAATAGCAGAGTGAATTCACAAGGAGAAACATAGGGAGTGTGGTAGACTGGACAACTGACAGAATAAGTCTAATCCTTTCATTCTTCTCTATTTGCATTTTCTTTACACGTCCTCTCACTCCTATGGTTTGTATCTTAATTTCGAAGGTTTAGGTTAAATTCTGAAAGGCAAGATTCACCTCCATCTTCTTGAATTTACTATACAAGGAAATTTCGTTCTTTAGCATCCACACAATGTAGAACATTTTGTGACACAGCATCTACCTGGCATCCTCTCAAATGTCTCTTGTTCACACATACTTCAACTTTCTAGGGTAAAATGACGTATTGAATGGCCAACGATTCCAAGCCTCTACTCCAGTTTGCACCCATTGCAGACCCAATTTCACAATGAAGAAGTATAAGGAGCTGTATTTTTCAGGGTCTTTGGGAACAACTTAGTAAAGAGTTTCTTGAAACTTAGACTTGTGAAGTTAAATTTTCGCTGTCATACGTTCAAGATGAGGCTTCATATTTAGAAAATTCTGGGTCAACAAAGTCCAAGAACGATCAATAGAAAAACTGATGGCACTCTACAAAGGTTCAGAAGCTCCCAAGATTTATCTAAACCAGATCCTCAAAAGAACCACATAGTCCGGTATTGCAACTATAGTTCATATTGTAATCCAAAATAGTTGGTCAAGGAAAAACCATTCCTTAATGTCCACTTATGATGCCCCTTCTGACTAGCATTCCGTAACAGTATATGCACCTTTGAGCAGGTAACGGAAATACAATAGGTCCTAGAGAAGCAGCTTTACTGACGTGATGAATTCACTTAATATATTTAATGTATGTAATAGACAAGTATTCAGTGTTGACACAGGCACTTTTTAAGAAATCGAAAATCAATTTTGAGAGACTTCTACAAATTTAAATTGAAAAGATCTGAGATATATGAACATTTGGAAAATGAAGACTGCAGATTTATGCAGTAGAATCCGTGATCTCGACTAAAATCAGCTTGGACTTAAAATGATGATGACGATGAAAGGATGATAATGATACTGATAATGACCATGACCATGATAGCATGAAGATTTTCACAGGAAAGAAAATACGACGTCCTTTTTTGGATGTACGTGAAAAAATGTTGATTATATAATGATGCTACCGGCTGAAAAGTAGATAGGAATATTAAGGTTCATGCGCTCCCAATAATCATCCAATAGAATGCAGAGTTCCTGATTCAGAAAAAAAGCTGATCAGAATCAACAAACACTAAGGTCATCTTGAAATCAAGGCAAGTCTTAAGCTCAAAAACATAGCAAAAATGTATTCCTGACCAACCATTAGAAGGCAAGATACCAATAAAGTGACAAACTGCTGTATGCACTTCAATTGCGATATGTTCAAGCTCAAAAGAGTTTAATATGTAAAAAGAAATAGGCAGAAAGCATATTGTTCTGAACTACGTGTTATGGGTTTACTTATTAGGGAAAAAATCAGATTCCTCATTTTAGGACCCAACAGAGCAAATAAAATTCTCACATCTACGATATGTTCTTGGATACCAGTTCAGGATTTGCGTTTAGGGATTCTCACAACTAAAATTCTCATAACCAGTCCATTCCTTCTGAAGTCCACTGCCAAAAAGAGTTTTAAGATTCATTTGCTTTTTGAGATCTCATAGCTACCTAGATAAACCTCAATCTCACCATCCTTGATACATCACTAGGACTTTTCACTTCTTTTTCCTTTCTCTTTTCGAAGGGTAAGGAGGGAACCCTAATTTCTTTTACAGCAAGTTCTATGCGCCTTTGCTTTCTCCTTAAACAGCTGACTTCGTCACCGAACTACAAAATCACTTTGAAGACCATAATTTGAGTTGGCTAGAACAGAGAAAGGATGGTATAACTCCTGTATGAAAAGGACAAAGCTTTGCTAAGCAAAAGGATGTACAGTCTAAGGATTAGAATTGTTTTCTATAGTAGTAAATGATTATAAAATGTGGACAGTATTAAAAAAGATGTTTTTCGCAAACAACAGAATGAACGAATTACGGGATACAGCATATTCGATCATAAGAAATACAAAATCTAATATTTACAGTAAGGAAACATCAAGAGTATGGGGAACAGTGTAGACCAGAAAATAGTCTAAAAAATGACCAAAAAACCAGTAGAACTTAAAAAGAGTCTCTCAAACTGTTTCACCTGTGCACGGCCTAAAGCAAACGCTGGAATAAGGACCTTCCCTCCCCCAGAAACACATTTATGAACCTGAATATCAATTATGGAAACCAATATCAATAACTTTTTAAGAGCATTTTATAAAGAACCTAAAAGAGCAAACATTTATTCACAGCATCAGGCAATATAGATAAATTAACTGAATCAAGGCACGGAATTCCAGATGGCAAGAATTAAAGAAGTGCACAAGCAATACTAAGACAAAATAATGTTGCTAAGAGAAAATCGGGTAGCTGGTTAATTATCAAGAAGCTCCTGTTGATGAACTTTCAGTAGAAGCTCTTGTTGACAAAATCGAATACACTCAAGCTACCAGAAACATCATAGGAAAAAACAAGTTAATAGCGGTCTTTTTTTTCTCATAAACTATCATCCAAAGCCTACTTGGATCAAGTTCTGTCCAGTTAGATATTCTGACTACCATGCAGACAAAGCCCTGAAAACTTGAAGCATTCCCCAACTTCTATCAGGTATAAAACCCTGTGATGCTGCAAAGGTATATAATATCAATATCATACCTCACTTGAATACCAAAACAATCGAATTTAGGACTAAAAGGATCAGGGGTAAAAAATTTCTAGTTGTTTGCAAAGAATTCATTTATCTATAAAAGTAATTCAACTTTTTCTCTTTAAATGTAGTTAAAGTATTAGTAAAATAGAGTGAATATTTATAATATTATCAAGGTGGTTATTCCGAATAAATAGAATTAAGTTATTTTTCAAATGTAACCAGATTTTAAATCAGACCAAATTCAGTCATCTCCATAGATCTTTAAAAAAAATCATTTTAAAACGCTAGCAGATTCTAGTTCAAAAACATTGAAAACTGAACCAGTTCCATCCAACATTGTTCTCCGGTCCCAAAATAAGCTGGAGAGTTTTTCAAACCCCAACTACTGCAGAAATGAGATAAGCAATCAATGTGACCCACGCAACCTTGAGATATTAATTGATCAAAGAGATCTACTGACTAGAGAGGGCAAAGACCAAAAATACATTGACAATTTAAATAATTCTAAAATTTTGAGTGGAAATAAATGAAATATGAAGTGTACTACTGCATCAATGTATGGACGTGTTTTCTCCAAAATACTACAGTCAGGAAGGTGTGGTCATACAACTTTCAAGAACTCCCTCTCTCGAGCATATTTTGAATCACGTATTGTTGTTGCATATGTTGATCTACAACAAGAAAAAAAAAAGAGAGAGAACAATCACAAATGCACTGGAGTTACTAAAGAATGTTTTCTTGACAAGAAAAAAAATCCAGGAAATAAATATAAAGGACCAACATCACGAGAAAGAATGAATGCGGCGTGAAAATAGTGGGCTGAAGAGCAACATAATAATAACAGCAGTTGAAGTTTTCACTGGATGCTTTTTGATACGGATATCTGCTCCTCAAAATGACTCATATATCCAGAGATCTAAGGGGCTTCATTGAGTGAAATGAGTAAAGATGTTGATATTTCCATCCTAGATCTACTCTGGCAGCCGTTAGAATGTCGGCTGTTCATTATCTCAAAACAACTTAGCAGTTCAAATAAATTCCTTTCTTGGCAAATGGAGAATATGAACCATCTGATGTTAAATAACAATCAAAATATTTTTCCATAGCAGACAGTTCATTCAACCATTGTATCAAAATACTGGTGTTTCCGATGAACCCCAGAGTTGATTGATATGCACATCTCCCTTGATATTTCACCTGACGATTTTTAGAGCAAAACGTTTTCCATTCGGTTCCCCAGTTGTTTCTTAAGTAAGATAGCAACATGAAATCATTAATTATGAAAGAAAACAAAATTCAATACACATTTATACCATCGGCTCTCAAAAAAGAAGAAAAGAACTCATGTTCAATATCAGAAGGCATACACACAATAGAGTATGTTTCTCAAATTTTCAGGATTCTCAAATGACAGCACAACTTTTATCCACTTTTAACTAATATAAAAGACAAACTCTAACAACCTAGTGGTTCATACAACTGAAAGTGGTTATTCTGTCCCTTCCAAACAGTCAAAGTATTGCATATCAAATGAGCCACAAAGTGCCTGATCCCTTTTTATATGTCAACTCTGCTCCCATCTTCACAATGTCTTTTCCATACTTTCATGTACGACGCTTTCAGTGCCTAGCATGTTGAGAATTTCCATCAACTGTTTTAGTACTTATGATCGTAGAATCCAACGACGCTCATTATCTTTTATGTAAATCTCACTTATCAGTATATTCTCCAAAAAAACACAATATCCGATGATACAACTTCATTCCCCCAGACGTCACCCATTTTCAGACTTAAAATTAAGCCTCCTGTGATGTGTATGTAAATCAGGTTGTCTTCATAGGTCTGATAACCCAATTCTCCAGAATATGATGGGGCAAGATTTCTTAAAACAATAACTATTAATTTTCCATTTTTCGGTGTGATTTATTTTTATTGCATATATTATGCCTACATGTAAAAGTAACTCTTGTCATTAAACGAGAGGACTAATTAGGGAGGAACATTGCTATAGCTTAAAAAAATCATCGAGAATCCTGAAGATATGTAGTTACAGTCTAAGATCCTAAGCAAAAACAAATTATAACCCTGACGAAGGATAGCATTCTTACTCAGTTATAAGGAGGTCCAAAGGCAAATGACAAATTTGAGCAGCACCAAGATGACGGTCAGGCGTCATGTTGTAGTCTCCTGTATAAACCATAGTAGCATCTCCCACCTTCACGTAAAACATTGCTGCTCCAAGAACCTAAAGAATTGTCACAAAAAGCAGAAAACAAAAATGAGGCATAAATGATGAAAAGAAATGATAGTCCATAGAATGTGGATAGAACCTAGTGCTTACCCAAAAAAAACGAAAATAAATAAAAAGCAAGTCCATTAACTAAAGGGTATCTATTCAGGTGGAAGCATTCCATTCTCTGACTTCATATTTCATAGATAGACCAAATTAGTTGCTGCACTAATCTTCACAAAGAGTTTTATCAGCAATATTTGATAAAGGAATGACGTGATTGCCCTCTCGTAATCACTAGCCTCTATCTCAGAGAGGAATTGGCTCTAGCTTGATGTCACCATCGTATGTCTAAGAAAAATTGAAATGGACATATTAGACCTTCTCTGAAGCAGAGGTGCAGACTAACGGAAAGAAACATGTCAAAGCAGGGGACTTGGGCTTGAGATTATCAACTATTCACTCAGACCCTGAAAGAGAGCTGGTTGATTCCCAGATCAAAAAGGCTGAGGTCAAGGGTCCAAAAGGACCCATTGTAAATGGCATCACCAATGTCAATATACTAGATGCATATATACAATTTCCTTACACGTACCAACACAAGTTATAGAGCAAGACAAGGCCAGGGGACATGCAAATATGTACTAGAAGAAGTAAAAAGGTGATGACAAAAGACGCAGCGTATTTATGATATGAAATACTCGTTTGTGACCCACCACTATAAGATCTATAAACAACAGCGCTGTTATGAAACAAGTAATTCAATAGTCCTATTATCCCAGGGTTCAGTGGCAGGAAGAGAACAGAGCAATATATACTTTGTTCTTCAATATGAGCTTCACATTGCCACACTGTTTCAGATAATGGAAGAAAATTTCCCAGTCAGGAGTCCACTCGAAGGAAATGTAAGAGAATCACTATCTTGGAAGATATGCACTTTTTGGATATAAGTAAAATCACTAACCAAAAGCAAGAAATAGAGTGCCAAAAGCCAACAAATACGTATGGAAACACATAAAGGAGAGAAAAGAAAGATAGTTTGAGCTTTCCTAGTCCAAACTGGCCCCTGAACTGTAGATTTGTAGGTTTTAAAGTTCAAAGAAAGAAGGGTTGGCATCCAAAGGTCTTGATTGTCCAAGACTACTGGAATTTATAAGCTCTCACTTGCCAGCGGAACAGGACATATCCATGCTTAGAATGTCCAAAAAACTCAAAATAAATGGAGGTGGAGACCTATGAGATTTGGTAAGTCGAAACCAACACCAGTCAGCATAGCCGATGGAGGATTAGGAATTGCTAGGTATATGACAATATCGAATGAATGCTCCTCCAAAGTTTCCATCTGAGCAGTGATAGAGGTTTATGTGTCAGATGAAAATAAGAAGATTGCTCGCATTGAGACAACATGTCGTAAGGACTTGACAACTGCATCTGAAAAATCGGTGTTATCTGCAGAAGATACAGAAGTAGTGATAATGGTTAATTATCATGTGGCAGGTGTGGTGATGATTTATGGGGCATCCATGGGTGCACTGTCATATCAAGAGAGAGCTTAGAGATGCTGGGAGAAACCACGCTTAAAGGCTTCAAAAACGGAAATGATGGCATGAGACACAAATCAGGATTATCCCCAGTGAAGTAAAGATCCATTTTCGTGGACAGTAATATATGGTCCAAGCCACCTCAACAATCTTGGTAAAGGATTCATGGAGTGACTTCTGTTTCACCCTGGTACCCCCTAGTAGAAGATAGTTAATCAATGATAGCATAGAATGCTTCAGGGATTCGAACCAGAGAACAGAGCTATTCGATCAAAAGTTTCAGAGGGGAGAATTTTGATATATACTATAAATGATCGTTCAAAGAACCTACTCTGCAACCCCCATTCCTTCTCAGTCTATGAGGAAATAACACAGTAGATGCTTTAAAAAAGGCAAGGAACATTCAGCTAAAAGATTCACATCCAGTGTAAGGCGCCCAAGATAGAATTTCCCCCCAGTATCACCGACAACCACAAGTATCATTAGCAATTATCAAACAGGCTACCGGTGCCAACTGTTTGTTGATCCAGAAGATGAGACGTGTTGATGACGCTAAGTATGCTAATAGCAGTACTGATGCTGGAAACCACACTGGCCAAGTAAGATTGGATCGAATCGGCCAGAAAATTGGCTGACCTCAGGCGGTCCATGAATTCTCTTCTTCAGCGCAGTAATAGTTTTTTTTTTAAGCTTATCCTGAAGAGGAGGAACCACTCACCCCTACCCTCAACGCACCCAAAGAAAAATTGGTTTAACATGGCCAATACCAAGAACCGTGAAAATGCTAAAATTTGGCCAAACCTTTACAACAGAGCATTAGCAACTATAAACTTGCCTAAGGAAGTTTGCACTTGCAATTAAAAAATGGGGGGAAAATGACATAGTTCAGAAACGCACATGACCAGCATAATATGCACGGATTTGGATATCTTTAGCAACTTGCACTGTTTGCTTTATATCCACCGTTATAACTGAAGCGCACAGAAATAAGGTCAAATCAATAGCGAAAAGTAAACATGGGAATATTCCACAAAGCAAGCATATCAGCATATGAATGAATGTAAACAAGAAAAATGAGGAAGTTGGACGCGCTATTTTATTCTTAAATCTATAGATTACACCACGCTGAACCAAGTCAGGATTGGAGATTCAAGAGGAAGGAGTGACATCAGTCAATTGGTTTCAGTTTTGTGTCCCGGAGAGAGTGAGAATAGGTAAGCAGGAAAATAGATTAGCTTGGTGGTCTCCCTCTGATGTTTCCTACGCAATACAAAGTTTTTAAACAGTCCAAGAAGGACAAGTAGATGTTTACATGTTTTCTAGTCCAAAAGAAACATAATGCATAGATGTGCAAGTCTCTAGCCTCTATCAAAATCATAACAACCATTTTAAAGAGATAAATAGATGAAACATGATCTTTGAGAGGGTAGGAGGCCAATCAGGTGTACTTAATCAAAGTATAAATTCCAGCAGATTCCAACAGCCTGCGAATATTTCTGGTGGCGTTTGTGGACAGGCGTGGGAGTCTGTTCACCATCCATGAGATCCTGTCTTATCATGCAACAAGCACTCCCCCTCCTCCCCAAATAACCAAAAAAATGGCGATCTCAAAGGGATTAATTGATGTGAATAGAAGAAACTGAAAAAAATATAATCCTTTTTCCTGAACTACTGAGAAAACCAGCTGACGATAAATCTCTCCATGAATCCTGAGCCAAAGAGAAAGGAAATATTCATCTATGGGAGTAATGATATTCAAATGGCAAAGGATTAGCAGGCCCAAAATACATGAAGATTGGTCAGAATGCTAGAACTTGAAAGATGGCCCAAGCCATTTCAAAGCATCAAGATCACACATAATGTAGACCAAGTTGAGAAGTTTACTTGTGGCACAATTATTTTTAACGAAATCTGAATGTTAGAACTTACAAGAAAAGAAGGCAAAATATACAAAACACCTGTTGATGGTCGAAAAGCGGATCACACATAAGATAGCAAGCCATGTGAGAAGTTATAGATTTGTAGCACTGTAATTCTTTACGAAGTTCAAATGTTAGAACTAGAGAAAGGAATGTGAAGTATACAAACTAGCGTGTTCCTTATTGAAAGGAGGGTTGGTTGCCCGAAGTCAAATCTGATCCGATTCACTGCGGATCAATTGGAAAATACTTGGCACACTCGTGAGGAACCAGCAAGGTTTCTTCCACAAGAAATAAAGATTCAAAGCTACATTATTTAAGCATATTCCATGTAGTGAAAATTGTCACTGGAAGTAGAAAGTTCCAAACTTGTATTACTGAAATCAACATAATCAAGCAAACAATAAGTCAAAGTTCGTCTATGACTATTCAATTTTCTAATATAATGCCATGGGACATCCCTCTGGCTCAGAAACAGAAAATAAGTCAAATAAAGGTAGTTTCCCACCTTTAAAGGAACAAAGGAAATTTAACCGCCGAGTCAGGATTGACCAGCTTAATAAATGACCGGTATTCTGTAAATCCAAGACAGGTAACAGGGGGTGAAGAACGGGTTTCAATTAGTATAGCTGAGGTCGGCTTGATAATCAACCAAAAACTCGACCTCTCTCCAGAAGTAGTTCACTTTAGGTTGAAAGACAGTGAGTAGTTCCGTGAGGAATCAAAGCAAACTTCAGCCAAGGAGAATAGCATCACAGTTCTGGAGGCCATTCAATCAGCATTTTATTTCTCATAGAATGAGTTACAAAAGCCAGAACTTCATTTCCAGAAAGATTTTAAATGTGTCCTATCCCATGCCTTGCTTCTACATTCCATCATATCATGAGCATCACCTACCACCAGCTCCCGTCAGTCACTGAAAAAACGCATATGCTACAAGGGAAAGCAACCGGTATTGCAACACAATTAAAAAAGAGTGCAGATGGCCTAGATTTGACATCCGTTTGATATCTTTCATGTCCACCACAATTTTTAAGATATATTTAGAAAAAACCCTCAGCTATCTGTGACTTCTAAGTGGTTAGTACACACAAGCAAATGAATATTTTTAGGAGGTGACAGTTAGATCCTAAATATATTGATACCATTGCCTCTGACTACCGACTAATTTTTTGAAGGTATTAGCGACCATTCATGAATGATTAATAAAGGAAACATAATATGCAGAAACTCTATTCCTAAAGGAGAAAAACTAAAGTACACAGAATACAAAAAAATATTTATTTATCCAAAGCATCTACGGTTTCCAGGATGATATCTAGACGGGTTCATGAAAATGATAGTCAAGTAACGAAATTTAGACACAATAGGGACGTAATGAATGCACCAGGAAACATCCATAGACGCATTTTGCATACCCTTCTTCAAACAATTCATTATGTGATCACCACTGAATTTCTCTTCGTCTCCTCTTTGCTCCTTCACTTTCCGGTAATCCTCCAACATCAGAGGGGCCAACGCTTTTGTTGGATACTAAAAAATATAAGCAATAATATTATGGGCTATCTATTCACCACATCAATAAAAAAAAATCGATTCAAAGACTCAAAAATATTTGACTTGGAAACAAATGTAACACATGAATGACAGAGAAAAAAGCAGACTAATATCTTTTAAGAGAGTACCGAACAGAGATAAAAAGAACTATACTGAAGTACATATTTATACTAATGCGAGATAGTCTCTAGGAACTTACAGTCATGTAGATAGGTCCATTATACCCACAAACCTCTGTAAAATAAGGAAGTGCTCCAATGTGGTCCAGATGGCTGAGATATATAATACATCAAAATAGTTAGTTAAAAATCCTCTTTTGACAGAAAAAGGATAACGTTTTTTCATATTGTTTGGAGCTCACTCATTCAAGCAGGAAACTAAATTCTCTTCATAAATGACAACAATAAACCATGGAAAATTAACTCCATGGGAGCGAGGTCAATATTTCTGCCTCTTTATCGGAGTCACTATGCCAGTGAACACATTTTTCTCTAAGAAAGATTTACATGATATTGAAAAATATTATTTCCATCAGCAATTACTCCAACAGAATAATTGATGGCCTACTATAAATGTAATAAATGTTTCCAACGTAGACAGCAATGTATTATCCGGAATCAGATGAATGTCTCCTTAACCACATGACGAAGTCAATAGAAAGTTCAATGTACATAACAGCCACTTTAAGCGTACGAAGTAATCGTCATTTAATACAGATTAGAGCTTAAGAGATTGGGCCCAATGTTTAAGGCATTAACTTATCACAAACAGCGCAATTTTCCTAAAAGAAATTATTTATTTCCATAAATGAACAGCTTTTTGGACGGTACAACCATTATTACAAGGTATTCACTAAAAAATCATTTCTAGAGAAAACTGAGTGATATAGAAACCATGCCAGAAGTAAAAGAAAAACCGTTTTATGGTTCAAATTGTTAATATTCCACGTACTTTATCAGGCACTATGTCATGGAAGTAGTTCGAGAGGGTTGAAAAGTGCCTAAGAATGCCTTCATGATATTAGCACCATGCTGAGACTAGCATTTTATCACGCACCAACACAACAGGACAAAAGTTCCGGAGAAAAGTGAATAGGACATTATAAGAGATAAAATAGTTACAAGTGGGTGATGATGACACAGGAAATGGCGGAATCGAACCTCCCTTCCCCGGCGTGGGGAATGAGGGAGAAGTCCGGGAAGCTGCGGGCGTCGGAGTACCCCATGTGCATACCACAGTCGAACATGATTCTCTTCCCGGCCACGGTTGCCACCACGCAACTCTTCCCCACTGTCTGCCCCGCCCCTGTGAGTTATCACCGGTGATCACAACATCAGAGAGGGAAAAAACCGGATGAAGAAGATCGGAGGACCGAAAACTTGCCGAGAACTAAGCACTCGATCGCCATGGAGACGAGCTCGGATTCCTCCGAGCGGATGGGGAGAGGGGTCGTCGAACGGTGCTGCCTGGCGAAGGAAGAACTCTCGGCTATGTTGGCGGGAACGAGAGAAAACCACAGCGGTTTTGGGCAGTACAGAGACTCCTTAGTGGTTAGTTCGGATACAAATCGGCTGTAATCAGAACCGATATAATCAAATCTTCGAATGGATCTGATCTGAAACGCAGTCCCGGAGGTAGAACAGGTGGGGGCATAGTTCTAAATACACCATGTTGGGGGATATTGGCGGAAGTATATTGTGAGGAAAGGGAGGGCGAGGGTGGATCCATTTTAAATTATTTTTTTTGTAACTATTGTTTCTAAAATAATAAAAATTGGCCTTTCTTGAATCACAAAATAAGATCATTTCTTGAATTGTTGATATGTAAAAAGAACCCTAGAAGCACGAGTTAAACGTTTGATTATTTAAATTAAAAATTAGGAATTTATTATTTTTTTGATGATGTGAAGAATATATAATAATTGGAAATATATTTTAGGACAAAATATATCAATAATAATATGAAAAATACATATTTTTTGGCGCACAAATATGGATGTCAATCATTGACTCACCAATATTGACCTTGTCCTTCTGTCCCATGTTTATCAACATGTAGCTCTTATTATGGGTTGACTTTCACTTGAACTAAGATCACATGATTGCACTGTAAATGTATGGCACATGAAGATGGGTCTGGCCTAGATGATATATTAAGAACCAGGCTCACTTTTTTTCTGACCGTTGACGTCTCTATGTCATGCATGTTCTCCCCTTCGAGCCCATTTGTGTTTCCTCAGATTTTATTTATTAATTAACTTTAAAATAAAGATTAGCAATTTATCATTACTCAATGTCAATATCAACTAACAAATAGCCATTGGATTAAATGGTCAACTCAAATTAACGTCATTAATTGGATATTTTACTTGTCTAATCTAATTAGTTAGCCAATGTGTTCATGCATATATGTTTCATAACTTGAGTATTTCATAATTTAATTTCCATTAAATAACAGCCCACATAAACTTGAAGCGGTCTGGATGAGACGTGTGTGATGGTTTGTATATGAATGTAGAGAGAGAGAGAGAGAGAGAGAGAGAGGCACAAATACTGCTGCTTGCAAACAAGAAGCTGATCATCAGACATTAATCTCCACCCAAACACGCACACCAGAATCAAACAACAATCTCTCTCTCTCTCTCTCTCTCTCTCTCTCTCTCTCTCTCTCTCTCTCTCTCTCTCTCTCTCTCTCTCTCTCACTCTCTCTCACCCTTTATCCCCCCTGCCTTTAGAGGGGGGGGAGCCTGTTCTCTGCTGGGCACCACCAAGATTGCACTGGTTTGAGAAGGAGAAGATCTCGTGGGAGGGGTACTGACCCTCACGATGAGGAGTTCTACTCAGCTCCCCACCCTGAAGCCATCCATTCTCCAGCGCCTCCCCAAAGAACCCTAATTGAAAGCAACAAAATTTTAGCATAGCAGGGACAAAGAAAGTCAACGGCACTTTTATTCCAAATAACGACATTGACGACTAAAGTTGCACCAAAAAAAAGAAGGGTCAACCTCCATAGCATCTCCTGATCAGACGGCTACGAGCGAGCCAGCAGGCTGTAAGAGGGCAGGTCCTCAAGGGTCAGAATGTCCTCAAGAAGCAACTCTCTCTCCAGATGGCGGCACGTGGACTTCATCACTGACTGTTTTGGGCACAAAGCAAGTCGTCAGATATGATTCGGCCACTGAGAGGTGGGGGGGAGACCAGATGGTGGCACCAGGCTTACGCTGAAGTCCATGTAGGATGCATGCATGGCGAGCCACTGCTGGTCCATCATCTTGAATGCTATGCAGTAGAGGAGATCAAACGCCCGTTCATCCTCTGCTCATGTTAGAACAAAGATATGAACCAATAAGAGACTTAATCTTCTGAATGTGAGGGAAGCGGGAATCTGATCTGGAAGGGTTCTCCTTCTCGGGTGAAGAGATCAGCTGTTTTAGTTTTTTTTTGAGAAAAAAATAAATACCGAAATAACCCACTGAAAAAATAAGTTAATAACTCGGATATAATCAATTATGATTTCCACACAATTTTCTGAAGAAAAATGAAGGGAAATTTCATAAATAGCCTTGGAGAATAAAAAAAATACGAAATTAAAAGTCAACGAAAAGGGGATCAAAAAGGTTAATATATTGTAGTAAATACAGCTTTGATTTCCCCGTTATGATCATAAAAGTTACAATTCGTCATCCACCATTATGCTTTCCATAAATAGCATTCGAGAATAAACCACTTTTTTTTTTAACAAAAGGGAAGGGAAAAAAGAAAATATTTAAATCACCCACTGAAAACGAAGTTAAATAAAAAATTGAAGATCCTAGAACATAATAAGTCGATTCTATTTACCTTTTGATTTTCACTACTATATGATCATAAACTTAAAATGTTCCATCCAAAGTTATCATTTCCGTACAAGTTTTCTTTAGAAAAAGATAAAAGGAATTTTCTTAGGTTTGATCCCGGTATATTTCCATAAATATAATCAGGACATTCGTACTGATGCATTCATTCAACACACCTGCGAGTAGCTTCAAGAAAACTGCTCCCATCATCGAGCGCGGTTTAACTAGAAAACCCCAACAAAAGAAGCGCAATCATTTATCCATGAGGGCGAAAAATAGAGTGTAGCCACAATGAACAGATGGAAACTGATGATATACATAGAACGAGAATACATACCAGCTTGGAGATCAAGCATCTGGATTAGCATGAAAGTGATGTTTACACCAGCAATAGCAAACGGATACTCCCACGTTGCACGATCTCCTTCTTGCTTCTGGAGAAGATCTTGGAAGGACTTCTGCTTGGAAAATGGAATGCAGATTAGATCTTGATCTTCTATTGAGTTTAGTGCAGTGCAGATTTTGATGGCTAAAAAACTATTCTAAGCTCAATGCAGAATGATCTTCCAGGAACTGATCGAAGTGCTTGTAGGCCCTTTTGGAACACGAACAAGGGATAACTTAATCTACCTCTGATACAGATGAATGTGTGCTAGTCTATACAATAAATGCACATCTTTCAAACTATGTAACTATATAAAAATCACATTACTCTTCCCTTTCATTATCTGTTCCTCATTTTCCCATCATCAGATTTGAGCCGATGCAAGGATGCCAAACAACTGCTCGAATTGAGTAATTTCACTTAAGAATTTCATTTTTCATCATGCCATATAAGAATGATACAAAAATCTATGAGCATTGTAACCAGTAAAATAAGGAAAGGAAGTTAAAGCAGACTAAGAACATACTGGGAAGTTCTTCGCAAAGAACAATAAATTCTCCAATGATATAAAACCTCCTCCTCTGCAAGACATGTTCCAAATATCAATTTTATGTTTCAAACAGAACACCGCCAATTATTTATGTCGACGTCCACTAGAACTGCACCTGAAATCTGTGGAAGGATCCTTTCCCTGCCAACCCATTTCCTTCCATTGTTCAGATACTAAACCTTGCAGTTCTACTCCAGGAAACGCAGCATACCAGAGTGACCTCAGGGCCTCCTAAAAAAGAGGAAAACTTGAAAACGAAAATTAGGTAACTATCACATCATTTTGAAAAATGAAGAGGAATAGAATAACCCTCGAGTCACCATATACCGCGACATAATAAAAAACGAAATAATCATTCCCTTCTAGAAGCAGATTTTTATGGGAAATTTAGGACGTAAACGCTGGCAAACATTGGTTGTGTACTTATAGAAAATGTATTCAAGATGAAGGCTATAAAAATAAAAGATAATAAACTTCGAAAATATATATATGATTTAATTTAAGATTACCTGGTGTTCAACATTCGTGCTGTCATAGGAAACATCAATGCGACTTTGAAGCCTCTGAAGACATTCCTCCTTTTGAAACACAAAAGTCAGAGGAAAATACTAAACTTGAACAAAAAAGGGACTGATTTTGCTGAAAAAATAGCTATCGGGTCATCAGGATTCAGTAACTAGTTGCACAACTTGGAACGTCTTTGAGGAAAATTCTTTGATCCCCTCATGGCGAATGCTTTTTTCAAAACAATTCAAAAGTTTCAACTAAAATATCAGTACTTCAATGCCACCAAATAGAGCTTTATGGCTCAGGTCTGTACCCCATTTGCCAAATTCAGTATGACCACAAAAAACAAGGAAATATTGTTCTATATCCGTTCATCTTATGCTGTTCAAATGCTTATCTTGCCTCCCTTCTTCACGCAATGAGAGAAGAAACTACACCTCTCTCTCTCTCTCTCTCTCTCTCTCTCTCTCACTCACTCACTCACTCACGTGCGGACAATAATGAGAAAAAAAACAAAGGAAAAATATTACCTGGAAAGGTGTAAAGTCAAATGACAGACGGGCGTCATTCTCCCTTCCCTGAGCACAAACACATGAAAAGCTTCTACCAATCCATGCAGTCGATCCTGTCACAACCTCAGCTATACCATTTAAACAAGAAAACTTTTAATTGTGAAATTTTCACTCCATCACACATGAGAGTTGAGAAAAATCGTTAGCAAACATAAACCTAGTTCGAAATGCTAATCACCTATAATTGAAATGTAAAGGCTGAATACAGAACACATGTTACATTCAATCGTTATAGTAAATGCCTCACAATTGGATGAAATCGTGACAATCTCAAGTACAACAGTGGATCAAAGGTGAAACACAAGCAGCAGCAAGCAAGTGCTCATCTAAAAGACCACCAAAAAAACTCTAGATATTTAATTTCCATCAAAATGCAGCACAGAAACCACCTGTGAGAATATCTGTGCCATAGTTGCACAATAATTATCTATTATCTCTATAATTGCCAGGATACTAATAGCAGTTCGGCTCTAGCAATTACAAGAAGATTGCACCTGATCCTCTTCCTCTAACCCTAAGACATTTTTCATTGAGCCCAGAAGATCTAAACTAGTGACACAGTGCTTCACTCCCAAAAAAACTTGAGTCTTTCACTGCCATGAGTTGTGAACGGGACAATCCTTACTTCTTCAAGTATAACACGACCGTATACAAAACAAGAATGTTTTAGGGAGTGAACCATTGCCCTCGTAACGAGAACCATGTGGTGCCCTTGAAACGATACTAATGAATTTTTGGTATTGTTGAATTTTTTTTTCCCTCAAACAGATCAACAGAAGAATAAAAAAAAATTGGGACGAAAAAAATTATATAGCCCCTCCAGGCACATTTCGGAATTTATCCCAAATTCTCAGACAGGTGAGACTAATAGAGTATAATTAGTCAAAAAATCGAGTATTAGGTGCATTCATCTCTCTTCGAACTATACAGACACTCTCTCCTAATAAAATGACAGGAAGAGGAAGAGCTCTACATACCCGAAGATGGTTGGTAAGTGGTGCCACGATCAATACCATGGGCAATTCTCCTCACAGCCACGAAAGAACCACCGTTCTCGTTCATCTTCCCAGTTCAAACCATACCATTGGAATTCGCATGAATCATCTGGAACGATAATGGGAGGAGCAAAATGAACAGGTAGCGATAAGCAAGCACACTACATCACCCGAAACACGATACCCCAATTCAGCCCCATTCCCCCAAAAACCGAGGCAAAACGAAACATTACCATAAAAGAGCACCTGCTCCTCTCATAATCAATGATGCAGAAGAACAAAAACCTCCAGTCGCAGCGTTCCTGCACGCGAGACAGCACGCTCAGGCTGGGAGTCACGCGGCGGTGGGGTTGGAACCCTAGGGCTTCCCGGCAAACGCGGCCGTTCTCCAAGATCCGCAGAGGAAACCGAAGAAGGGAAGAAGAAAGGAGGGAGGTCAGTGCGGTTGCTCCTCTCTCCTACTCCCCTGATTACAATTTTATAATTTCCAAATTATTATTTATTTTAAAAACTTTCGGTATGTCGGCCTTCTCGCGTCGTGGCTGTCCGAACGGCGGCGCCGCCGGGAGGTGAGCTCTCGACGTGGGGGCCCGGCTGCGGTTAGCTCACCGCGAAGGGCAGCACCGCAGAGGGCGGGGGGTTATCCTCAACCGGCGGGCCACTAGCCGTTACCGATGGGCTGCCTCAAAGTGTTCTGAAGCCATCCATCACGTGGGCTGCCCCTCCGCCGTCCCACGAAGTGCCACGTCTTCCCCTCCACACCAGCACCACGACAAACCGAGCGTGGTTCGGTGGTCATTTTACTGCATCCACTTACAAAATCTAAAATTGTAGACAACCCTTCCCTCTTGCAGGAAATACTCCCACGTGCGGGGTTTCTATTCAAATATGATTCTTATTGAGGTATTTTCACAATTAAGTCTTTAAAAAGTGTGGGCGCACCTGTTGTCGATTGCGGTGGACGTATGCCCACTTGAGGACTTTTTACTAAAATGAGAATAGTTATTTCGTAAATATACCAAAGTCCAACTATATACTACGTTCAGTATTCATTCAATCACACGTAGAAGTGAGGGTAAACGTGGAGCAGATTCCTCTACCCATGATGGGGAGAATCAAAGGCTACAGAGGAACTGATAGAGTCATAACTATTAACATTTATATATCATTCATACTCGTTCCACTAGGGAGTCATGCATTTTTTCCACATTATTTACTATTAATGGCAACCCGCCTCCCCATTGAGGACTATTGGGTGAATATTTGTAAATTGAGGATATAATAATGTATAAAAATATAATTAATATGGTCATAATATGTCATTCTCAATATATTATGCTTTATTTATGGATTAATTTATTCCAAAAAATATAGAAAAATAAATGTTTTTGAGAGTATATAAAATTAAAAGGGAACATGGCATGAGCACATGTAGACCCAGCTTGATGTGAGCTCTCAACTTTGCAAAAAAAACTTTGCTTTCCTGCTTTATGAAACCATGGGCAATTCAATTTATTCCCTCTAGCTAGTGGGTTGGGTTAGGTGGGGGTGGAGGTGGAATAAAATAGATGATTTGAGGAGGAAGAGGACAAGTGAGTCATTAGTCAAGACAATGATGTGTGATAGTTTTGGGAAGTAGTTTATTGTTGCTTAACCGATTGACGTTTCTTACAATGATATGCTAAGAATGATGGAAATTTTGGGTTGAGAGATAATATGTAGATTTTTCAAAGATCTATTTAAGGAAAGTTTTTTTTTCCTCTAAAAAATAGATGAATGTTAATAAAAAGTTGCCTATGATAGTAGCATATAAATTCTCACATTCTGATAAAATATTAGAAAAAAAGAGATTAAGAGATTTTGAATGACCATCTTCTAATTTTCATCATCTTATCATTTTTTTTACATAAAAATGAAGAAAACCCCAGAAAATGGCAAGAATTATAATCTAACACTGTTTAGATCATGACTTAAAAAATTCTAATGGTGATTATCTTAAGGATTATGGGTTTGACCTTTGATTATATGAAAATTACATAGTATAGTGGATAATAATACACTTATCAATTAATCATTTATTTTATGTGATTATGTAACTAAAATATTTCCATTTATTTGATGCATATCATGCACCTTACAATGATCATTATCCCACAACATAAAGCCTCAAAGGTGGCTCAATTGGATGTAGAAAGTATCAAGGCTGATAGGTCTTCTTTATTTTGCCTATTTTGTCATCATCGACATCACCATATAAAAAAAAAAGAAAAAAATATTTGAACCATATAATTCCTTGAGATTTCCAAAAAAGAAAAAAAAAGAAAGGAAACCCACAATGATCACCAAACCCTCTGGTTCTCTGCAATTTTATGAAGACAGAGACGTGGTTCGGCTGAGACCAATTCCATGTCTCAACAAAACCCTAGAAATGATAATGGAGGGAAAGGTGGTCTCCTCTTCCCCCTTCAATCACCATGAAATTAATAGAAACTTTTTTCCCATTTAGGAGCTCTACAACACTTTTTACATTATTCTACTAATTATTGATTTATGCATAAATATTACACCAGTTTATTTATTTTTAAATAAATGCTTTCAACTGGTGGGTGGGAAGAAGTCTATGACTCTTTAATTACCCAACAAATTGAGGTTGCAAGTATTTTCGAAAACTATTTTTTTTATTGACAAGTGTACCTACATTACACCATATGAAACCCTCATTTCTCCAAATGGGGGTGGGGGGTGGGAGGAGGAGGAGGAGAGAGAGAGAGAGAGAGAGAGAGAGAGAGAGAGAGAGAGAGAGAGAGAGAGAGAGAGAGAGAGATCCATAAGCCCATGGTTGGTTCATCATCATCCACGTGGAAAAAAAACCAGGAGTACTCCCCCACAAGGCAAAGATGCAAACTTTCCATAAATGCTTAATTATTTATAGCCGGGCCAACACGATTCTTCGTTTTTTAGCTTTGATGGCATGAACTCGTAGGTAGAGAAGGTCACTTCCAGGGGGGCTGGCAGCGGTGCTAGCCATAGCAGCGGATGGGGTCATTGCAGCCCTTGGCGGCGGACTGGCGGAAGCCAAAGCGGCCACCTTTCTCAAGGTACTGCTGGTGGTACTCCTCCGCCCTGTAGAACTTCTTCGCTGGGAGGATCTCGGTGACGATCTTCCCGTTCAGCAGCTTCTGCTGCCGCTCCAAGGACGCCCGCGCCGCCTCCTCCTGCTCCGGCGTGTAGAAGTATATCCCGGAGCGGTACTGTGTGCCCACATCGTTGCCCTGCAGCCAGAGACAGTGAGTGAGTGCGTGAGTGAGTGAGTGAGTGAGTGAGAGGGTGCGTGATTGAGTGAGTGAGTGAGTGAGAGAGTAAGAGAGAGAGAGAGAGAGAGAGAGAGAGGGAGAGAGAGGGAGAGAGAGAGAGAGAGCGTGAGTGAGTGAGTGAGTGAGTGAGAGGGTGCGTGATTGAGTGAGTGAGTGAGTGAGAGAGTAAGAGAGAGAGAGAGAGAGAGAGAGAGAGGGAGAGAGAGGGAGAGAGAGAGAGAGATGTTTCTTCCTGTTCTATATTGGCCATATGCTAATTTAATATGAGAAACTTAGGGATATGCCCCATGATTTAGCCGAAATACCAGACATGGGATGACTACATTTTGGTGGCCAGTGACGATGTTGGGACTTTTGACTTCCAAATTATGAAGTATCCAGAGAGTATCTACATGCAAATTGGAGACTGGTGTAATATTTAACAGGAAAATAAAAAATTAACTCATGAGCTAAAACTGGCACACCAAAAAACATAGCACAGTGAAGTTCTATGAATACCCACTGTCATTAACGGCATCAGAACATAGATTCAAGACATTTAATCGAATGTCTCCAACCCAAATGAGGGAGATTATGCAGCCTGTAGATCAATCTCAATCAGCAGAACACCTTTAACTGGTCTCGAGTTCCAAATTATTCAGAATTTCAAACCCAGAATCCCTCGATGTCACATCTGTCTGTGAATTCCTCTCGGCAATCTTATCAGAATTCCAAGCTTCATAACCTTCATTGCTTCTTGAAACCAGTCACTGAGAGCGTCTTTCTTTGGGTCAGGTTACTTTTCCCATAGTGGATTTATTTAATCAGCTTAAATTGTCGGGGGAACATCATAGACACAGTTAGAACTAATTCTGCAGCAGAAAGAAAGAAGCAGGCAGTTCTCATAACTAATGACGCTTCCATCAATGGTCAGAAAATCGAGCTCATGAGTTATCAAACAAGGCTAGTCTACAAGGATCAATGAGCATGGATCTAAACCCGCAAGTCTAAAGCAGCTGTTTCAAAACCAAGTTCAATCTAGTACAAAATGTCCGTAAAGGGCTTTTTTTTTTCCTCTGCTGATGTGCTTCAAACAGGCGGTTACACTGGTTTCCCTGATACCTCAAAAGTTTTGCAGATCAAATAGGTGTTTGCTTGATCCGCAGATCAAAGACGACAATGAATCTTATGTCGCTGAATTTTGAATTTAAAACTTGGAAGATCAGTTCAGTGGGAATTTTAATCCGTTCAATGTATTCTACGGTCTTTCCGAAATCATGAATTCCGTTTAAGCTTACTCCGACGACCTAGGTCTTGGACAATCCAGAGAAAAACCCTCCAAACCCTGTATCATCCATCTCTCAGAGGGATGTCCCACCTAAACCCCTTTCTCTGCTGGATCAGTCTCTCTTCCAATAGCTGGCCCGTTTTTCGGAACAGCAACGGAGAATTAGCGCTTAATTGACTCTATCTATGGGATTAAAAAAAATTCTTCCACCGAGGCAGCTTTTCTTGCTCTCATTACATATCCAGAACCACGGATTCGAGGAGTACAACAATGTAGAACACTCAATCGCGTCAAAAGTACAACTAGAAACACTCAGAATGAAACCACAAGCATTGATCAGAACATAAAACCCTAAAGATTCAAAGAAAAGAGGGGGAATCGGACCTGGCGATTGAGGGTGGTAGGGTCGTGCCGCGACCAGAACACGTCTAGCAGGGTGTTGTAGCTGCATTCTGCAGGGTCGTACTGCAGCCGGACCACCTCCGAGTGTTTACTCATCCCCGAGCACACGTCCTCGTAGGTAGGTTGATGCGTATTCCCCTGAGTGTACCCTACCTCGGTCCGAGCCACCCCGGGAACTCTCTGAAAAACGAGCTCAACTCCCCAGAAACAGCCTGCGCCAAACTGCGCGAACTGCTTCCCCGGCATGGGAATGTCGTCATCAGGCCCCTGTGCGATGGCGGACGCCGCCTCAGCGTCCATTCCCGCAGTCGCGCGGTTGCCGGAGCCGAATCCGATCTTCCCCAACCAGCTCATCGTCCGCAGCGGCGAGAGAGAAAAGGAAGAGGAAGACGAAGGCGAAGACGAAGAAGGGGCGGAGAAGCTGATACGGCGGCGGAATGCGGCGACGGAGTCGCCGGAGAGGCGACGGAGGGAGGAGGAGCGAGGGGCCGCCGCAGGGAGAATACCGGAGGAGATGCCTGTCGCCAACATGATGGCGTTTGTTGCAGGCAGCGCCGCGTGGAGGAAGACGATGGTTAAACGCCGTTTGCGGTGTTTGTACCGCGATTGAATGGGGGGCTCGCCGTTGGGGGGGTAGTGGATTAGGTGGTGGCGCAGGCGGTAACCAGAGACTCATGTCGTCGCATTGGCGCCACGTGGATGAGCACAGACCGCACGTGTTACGCCCGTTGGATGAAAGGTCCAGAGGGGCCGCGTGGTTTCAGTGGAGCCTCGCGTTTCATCGTAGATTCGCTCGTTAATGGGCCAGGCCCAAAAACCAGGCCCAATTGAGAAAGACCCTGACTGTCGGCCGATTAATATACACAATTGCTATATATAAATTTTCGGAAAAATATAAATTTATGGGTTGTTCCGCGAAAAAGTCCGCGTAATTAAAAATTTCATAGCTAACCAGCCACGTGGCGGCATCCTAGATAGCAGTATCCGCGAGCGTAGTGATCGGACGGTTATTCTTAGCTTAGGGGCGAGTCAGGGTCCTACGCAGGCCCTTTATAAACCCCCCACGAAGCCATTTCGTGAAGCTGAAAACCCTAGTTCATGATTCCTTGAGTCGGCATCGTCCTTCGCCACCCTCCATCTCGGCCGGATCTAATGGCCGAGGGCTGCTCATCTCCCTCCCACCTAGCTGAAACATACTCATAGGGATGGAAATGCCTCGCCGGCGGTCAGCGTGATGATATGTGTATGTCGCCCCAGTCTTACGGGCGGCCTCGGCGGCCCCGTGGTGATCGACATCTCAGTGTCTGACTCAACGCCGATCTACGTTTTCATCCCGTTTCGTTATTTCCTGAATTCTCTTCGGTTTTCTGTTTTGATGCCTCGTATGCTTGATTCGGCAGCCTGAAGCGGCGGGGATGTGAGGATTTTCTTTCCATAGACCTTTTATCTCCTGATAAACAGTGATGAGCCAATATAACATGCACTACCATCTGATCCCCCTTACCGCAACTTCCGACGCTCCATACTTTCATCCGTTTCTTTTACGATTCAACGCAACTCGCTACTCAGATGGTTATTTTTGCAGGGCTTTTCAAATGTTCGATTTTAGGTTTTTCTTGCACTAGGAATCCAGACGTTTGAATGCGCTCTCGCCACTTCATAATGCTGTGTACATTCAACCTCAAGATCCGGTCTTTTCACGGTAGTTAGGATCGGCCAGGAAACCGATGAACAGCATCCCAAACTCGGAAATCAGCACGCATCTTTGTAACGCATTGCCATTTGGTATCTGATACCACGACTTAAATCTCCGATAGTGTGGTATCTCGTATAAATGGCGTAGATTAAACCAGGTTTAGAACAGGCCTTGCGACACTGGTTGCTTCATTATAACTCATAAGCTTCCTGTTACTAATTTCCTGTTTACAATCGACGACTACACAAATCACTTGAGCGATCTGTTCATCACCACGCATCTGGAGAAGTTTCTTATTCGTAACCGTTTTAATTTTTCAGTTTCATCAATATTCGTTTTCGTCCTACTATTTGGGGGGGGATAATGAGGAAGTACAATAAGATCCAACACTTGAACAGAGGTTGTGTTATCGCACATCTATGTGACGTATCAACTTAAAAACTTCTGAATCTCGTTATACAGAGACTTTTTAGTACGGTATTTTCATCGTGAATTGGTCCTGCAGATCATCAGGTGATGACATCTGAAGTAAATAATCTTAGGACACCTTCCAACACACTCCAGCTCGCCTGGGTTGTGGATGAGAATAAAATCTTCTCTGATGATGGTCTTGCGTTTTCTCGGTCCGCGGCTGGTTTTTTTCTTTCTTGATCCTTGGACTGATTTATTCAATCGTCAACTGGCTGCCCCTTATTCAATCTGATGAAGGTTTTTTCTTCTTCTTTCTCTTTCTACATTGGTGCCAGAGTATTTTCTGGAAAGAAATGCCTTGTCGATATTGAATTGGTTGAATGATAAGGGTCTGAATAATTGTTTGATTGGTTAAAGTACTGTGAAAGAACAGCTCGCTGAACGTTATTGGAAAAGAGTGATTTCTAGTCACTTAACACGTATACATTCATAAGAGTTTCGGGGCTGGCGGCTGTATGTACAAGACTGCGGTTGGACAGGACGCTAAGATAGAGCTGGGTCATGCAGGCGCGCCGGCAGTTACCTAGGGACTTTGCCTTTTCTTCTTCCTCCTCTCTTGTCCTCTCTCTAGCGCGTTCCTCAGCTGCGATATCACGGTCCACAAAAGCGGACAATGAAATAGAGATCCTGAGATGGAATGCTGGTCGGTGCTGCTGAGATGAAAGACTACTCACCGTGACGACTAGAACGCGGACGAAGACGCCGGCGAAGTCTGTGTACAGTAGGAGGGCGTCCCTGACATGGTCGCGGTCCCCACGGAGCGCCCTCTCGATCATCAGCTGGGTGTCGAACACCATGTACCCGAGGAACAGAAGCAGCCCGAAGTATATCTGCTCACGAGGGTGGATAGGGTGACAACGAGCGGTGGCGGATGAGCGCAGTGATTAAGGGGGTGGTAGATGGGAGATGCTTGCCTCGGCATTGTAGAGGGCCGTGGAGCCACCGAATGTGGAGGACGCGAGCTGCAGCCACAGGAGGATGGATAGGCCGGAGCCGAGCAGGCCGCCCAGGAAGAGGAACTGGCGGCGCTTGGCCAGCAACGCTGCCGCCGAAAAGCAGCCGAAGGCCAGACCGCTCCCCACTAATGCCGTGACGAGGATTCTGCAGTCATTGAGGCTTAAAATCTACTGACGAAGTCCAAGATATATATAACCTTTTCAAAGGAAAAAATTCCAGCTGACTTATTTGGGTAGTATCAGATGAAAATCAACCGCGGCCCTCTGCTTGGACTAAACAGCAATGGATAAGGGGATCTTAAAAGAAGCGGTAAGATTAGAACGCATCATTTTGGAGTGGAGTGTACGTTTTTGTAGCGGTAAGATTATTCGACCTAAAGCCTTCGGCCAATCAGTGGATAAGATGATAGGAGCCGGAGGTCACGTCCACCTCCTTCCGTCCAGTAAGACTACTGGGCCATTAACGTTGACCATAGTCTCCCAGAAGTCAAAGAAGAGGCCCGGCCCAGCGCAAAGTCAAGTGTGGCCCACGGAACATGCCACGAGGAGATCTAAGGCTCATTACAAGCAAATTCAGGAGAAGGAAGGATGTGATACCTTGGATCAAAGTCTACAGCAAACCCAATGAGAGGACCGATTATAGCCCCTTGGAAGAGAGAAGCCGCCATTAGAAGGCCAAACCGCTGTCTCTGTGTACGAGCCAGTGGTAGTCAACGACAGACGAAATAGATACGAGTTTCCACACCAACAAAAAGGATGGGAAGCGCGATTTTACTTGTTCAGACGGAGGAGTGGCCAGCAACCAGACGACGGTCGCTAAGCACCCGATCATGGTCGTGATGCCTCCGACGTCGTACAGGATGTCCAGATATGCTCCCGCCGCGGATGCGGCCACAGCAAGGCATAGCGTGAGGTAAACCTGCACCGCATCGTATCTTTTTATTACATATGAAACCCACTACTTGGAAAAAATAGGTAAGTTACGGATCAACACAATCAGTCGCAGTTTTCACCCATAATTACTGGGAATGATTTAGAAAACCGAATCCAACAGACTTCAGCAGCACGCGACGCATCACCGAAAAAAGGATGGCACAGAAAACGGAGATGTGCATCCGATGAAACATCAGAAATTACAGAAAAACTCCAGTTACGGTTGTTTGTTTACCCAATGTCACTATAAATGATTAAGAAAAACTGAACTGGACAAGCTACAGAAAGTTTCAGCCTATCAGAACTGAAGAGAACATGACACAGAAAGAGGCATGCGCATCCGACGACACAGCAGGAATTACATGAGAGTTCTGTGAAAACTAATCAGAAATTCAAACCTCCGAATGGATTGTAACCTTCAAGACCGGCAATCCCCGTCGAAATGGAGTAAAGGCATTTTTGATAGAGGGATGGAGAGGAAAGTTAGATTTGAGAAATCAAAAGAGCATGACAGGGATTTTAAGGTCGAAGGTTAGACTCTGGATTAACCGTGTGAACCTGTGAAGGAACATCCAGGAATGAATCTTTTTCTCAGCAGTCCGCTACGAACTGGTTGTATCCAAAATAAGCAATTCTCTCGAAACCGAAAGATTCAAAGAGAAGACGCAAACCGATGCACAGTGAAGTCTGAAGAACAGTGGAGCAGGAGTAGATGATGGCCTCACCTGTTTTAGGTGATTCTGTACAGAGGCGTTGATTGGGCCGAAGTTCTTCATAGACTCGTAGCTCCAAGTGGTGCTGCTAAACACCTCCGACTGGAAGAAGGAATCCATGTCCACGGATCTCTCGGAGAGGAAGAGGGAGAGAGTTCAGTTCAGCGAAGGGAAAACGATGGAGAGACGAAGTATTTATAGCAGCAGGCCTCCGCAGAAGCTTCAGGAGAAAAAAAATAACGGATAAATCCCTCATGCATGCAGTTTTTACATTCCCTGCCGCTCATCGCAACCGCCGAGGGACCCTTCGCGAGCCTACCCACCGACGGCGTCGCAGCTGGACGTGGCTCGCGTAACGAGGGATCTTGCTTCCATCGAATCATCTTTCGCCACGTCAGAAAACACGTAGCTGATTCCTTCGGAAAGCGAACATCTAGATCGTTCCAGAGGTGCTAAGCTTCCTCTTTAGTTTATCCCTTGCTCGACCGATGCCCTCCGCCGCTGTTCACAGCTCTCCCCGCCACCTCAAGCGTCCGTCACCGTTGCGGGCCGGGCCGGGCTGAATATCTTTCGGTTGGCCGGCCCTCGTAACGTCGCGGAATTTCCAGGCCTAAGCCCAGTAAAAGCCCGGGTGGCCTAAAATAATGTATTTTTTAAATTTTATTTATTTATTTCTTAGACATTTATTTTGACATTTTGACGATATTTATTTTAGGCATTTAAAGTTTGCATTCGGTGGCTTAGAAAGGTAATAATATGTGAAATTATTATAGAAATAAATACTAAAAAATATTAAGATAATTTTATTGGATAAAGTTCGTGGGCCGGCAGTGTCCGACATACGGATTTGGCCAGGAGGGAAACCATTCTCAACATTACTAGTAAGAATGGATTTTTATCTCTGTAATAAGAATGCATTTTGTAGAATGCATCTGTAATCCTCTCGTGAGGCCTCTCTCTCTCTCTCCCTCCCTCTCTCCTTTCAACTCTCTCTCTATCTCTCCCGCTTCCTGCTTATAGGCGGCGGCCAGAATGCGAGCACACTGCAGCATCGACGCCTACCGCGGCCAGGGAGGAGGCGCCCTGAAATCCTCTTTCCTGGGCCTACAGCGGCAGCTTCCCTGCTGCCTTACCATCCCCGCTTCCTCCGTGGCCTTCCCGTCCGGCGGGAAGGGGTTTCTCGTCTCCTGCCGGGCTGGTGGCGGCAGGAAGGGCGGCGAGGGGAGAAAGGGGGAGAGAGCCAGGGGGAAGAACGGCGGCGGCCTCCAGGGAGCAAAGGGGAAGGAGAATGTGTGGAGCATCGACAACGATCTCGCAGCGAAGGCCGCCGATGCGGAGAGGCGGCAGGAGGAGCCGAGGAGCCGGCGGAGGACGAGGACCCTCAAGGGGCCACGGAGGAAGGCCGGCTCTAGAGTTTTGGTCTCCGCGGCCATGCTCATGGAGGTCGAGACCGTTCTCCAGACTCAGGTCAGTGATGGATTCTCTCTGGCTGAACAGTTTCTTCGAGATCTTCATGTACTTAAGGCGGAACAGCCATCTCTCTGGATTCTGCTGAATACTTTATTTTGTTCCGTGTTTAACATTTCGGTGAATTTTGATTCCCAATCTGAGGTTCTTGGTGGATATTGTCCAGGAACCTGTGATCATACCGGTGTGGCCTACCTTCGCGAGCAGTCTGAGTGGGATTTGGAAGGGAGTTGGGGCGGTGTTTTCCCCAATAACTGCGGAGATGGAGCCGATCGGGATCAGCAACAAGAGCGAGAATCTCTACGACTGCTACGTTCTGTCTCGTGTTGAGGAAGTACCTTCCGGGGGCCAAGCTTCCGAGATAAGGAGGAAGACGAACTGGGTGACTCTGAATCCCTTGGGAGAGAGGGAGAAGCATTTCCGACGGAGTGAAAAGAGTAAGGAGAGAGAGGAATCATCCCACGTTCTCCACTCGAGCCCTGATCTGCCGAGCATCGAGTCCTTCGATCTAGGAAGGAGTGAGGTAATGGAAGAAGATCACCTCGGCAAGGAACCTGGTCTCGTTTTCTTCGAGGTAGACCTCCCTGAACCTTGCCCTTCATAGCTTTCTAAGGTCTCCACCGAGGAACTTAATGAATTTCCTTGAACTGAAGATTCCAGTGCTCTTAATTATACAATTTCTCGATCTTCCCTGACATATTTTTTCGCTAAATTTTACAATCATATGACACAAAAAAAGGGTAATCATTGAACACTTTTGGCCCAGGTAATCATTGAGCCCAGACCGTTCCTCCTGAAGAACGCAATGAGTTCACTCTCCTGAAGAACGCAATGTTACCCAGTTGCTCTCGATTATACAGTTTCTTGATCTTCCCTCGCTTTCTTTTTTAATAAACTGCCATAATCATGTGATAAATTAGCCCTATTTAGAAGTCACATGATGTACGAATTCCTCTATTAGATATGGATTGAGATCAGTCTTTGATTCTTGCATTATTCAGAAGCTTCATCTAACCAGGTTTGTGAGCATGACGCATTTCTCTTCTATTACTATGCTTGCCAGCTGTTTATTTCCTTTTGTAGCATTTATTCATACCTCAGAAAGACGTGGATAATATCTGATATTAGCATGTTTTCTTTCCAAATACGGGCTTCACGCGGAGCCTTTTTGTAGTGGATGGAGTCTTAGGTCCTTTTCAGTAATTAACGATGACACAATCTTGGCTTGATTGGGGAACATGTAAATATATTTTTTTTCTGTATGAAGAAAAACTTGTATTTATCCATCAGTGGTCTAATTTTTGGTGTGTAATATATCTAAATCTATATCTATATATCTATATATATATATGCATTAAGTTGTGTGGTTTATTTTTGACATTTATAGGATGGATCTTATTCTAGAGGTCCAGTGGAGATACCAGTTGGAGATTACGACGAGTCCAAGTACTTCCTCTCCCCAACTTTCAAGTTTGAGCAAGTAAACTTTCCTCTCTACGGCTTTTTTTTCATTCGAGTGTTTTTGAGGTTTTTAAAGATCGTTTGATCCGATTTTCAGAGCATCGAATTTGTACTGTTTCTTGTTGTTATTTTAAAAATAAAATGCCTCCATAAAAAGTTGGTATTTTGGGTAGATGATTAATGATCCGAGAGAAATTAGTGAGAAAAAATTGCAAACATTTCATCTTTAAAAAGGTGCGTGTAATTTTTCTTGACAGAAGCAATTTAGCGTGAGGAGTGTTATTTTTCTTGATTTATTTGACACTTTAAATATGATTCAATATTATATAAAAACCCATCTTTCTATTTCACATGACTACTTAAATTTTTCAGTAGAACTTTGAGAGCAATTTTTTTTAAAATTATTTATCTATTGAAAAATATAGTAAATCATTATTTACCTAGATTCGATCGTCCAATTTCCCAAGTGATGAGTGTTTCTTTACGACATTTTATTGGAGTTAATGAACGACTCGGAAGGACTTTTGAGTGCGAAGGATTTTTCTTGTGTGAAATCAAGTTTGGCTAAGAAATAAATAATGCTGGAATCCAGTGTCTAGTCAAGGGATGCCACAAGCGTCTCCGCATCGTCCACACCATCGAATTCAGCCGAGGGGGAACCGACGTCCAGATCATAAGGGTCGCCGTGTTCGAGGAGGAGTGGATCAGCCCGGTCAACTTCCCCGACGAGAGGTAGGCCTCGTAGACTTTTGACTCATCTCCCCTCTCTCTCTCTCTCTCTCTCTCTCTCTCGGAGGAAACGTCAAACCCACCTTCTTCTTCTTCTTCTTCTTCCTCCTCGGTTAGCAGCGGGCCGCCGCTCGATCTGAAGCCCTTCTCCCAGAGGCGGCGGACCCAGCCGTCTGACCTCGCCGGCGCCTGGAAGGTGTTCGAGATCAGCTCCACCCCGATCTTCAGCGAGGAGCAGGAAGACAACGGCGGCGGAGCGCCGCCGCACGTGTTCCTCTGCATGGAGACCCTGAAGAAGCGTGGACTCCCCGACAGCCCGGTCTACTTCGGGGAGGAGGAGGTGGTTGACCTGCAGGACGTGACCGTCCTCTGGCTGCCCGGCGGCGTCACCGGCTACGTTGACGTCCGGCCCGACGGGGTCCTCTGCATCGGCGTCGGCTGGTACTCCGACGAGGGGGTCAACCTCGTCATGGAGAGGGACTATGCCACCGACGGCAAGCTCAGAGAGGTCCGCTGGAAGACCGAGGTCAAACGCCGGTGGGCCCCCTCCACCCGTACCCCCGTCTCTCTCTCCGCTGATCATATATAGTATTATCTCCTCCTCATCACCTTCACCTTCTCCTTGTTACACAACTTGTGCAGTCTTCTTCTCCCAACTGAATTGGGGGCAAGAAAAAAAAAAACCCTTTCCTTTTTTGCTGGGGAAATCTAATGAAAGCAGCAAGGGTTTTAATCCGTTGACAACTCAAAGCATTTGGGATGAAATCGTTGACTACTATGTGGCAGCCACTCATTGCCTCTGATCGCGGAGCAGCGGCTCGGAGACGGAGGACACTACAAAAGATAACCCCTCAGATCAAATCATATCCAAAAAAATCGGAAAGAGCTCTTCTTGTTAGTGGGTTTACTCTTACCTTCACCTTCAGGATCGCCGGCCGGCGGCGGCTTCCAGCGGCGGCGGCGGAGGATTTCCATGATCTCCGCTTTGACCAGGAAGGAGAGTAAGGCGCCGGCGACGAAGGCGCCGACCATCAGCATGAGGAAGACCGGGCCCCACCCGGTTCTCGAGAGGACGCCGGTCAACAGGGGGCCAATGGCGGCGCCGGCGGAGCCCGTGCCGTCGATGATGGCGGCGACCGTGGCCAGGGCCCGCGAGTTCCCCCTGAGGGAGCTGTGGGTTCCCAGATCAGCGGAGACCGCCGTCGTAATCAAGGCGTACGGCCCGTTGACGAACAGCCCGCTGACCATCATAAGCGCCACGTTGGCAGCCTTGGAGGAGCCCCCGTAGTGGCGGTAGGCGAAGAGGGAGGGGATCGCCAGGTACATGAAGCTGGCGGCGGTGGTGGCCCGCGCCCGCAGCCGGTCGGAGATGTAGCCGGCGAGGACCCCTCCGGCGATCCCCCCCACGTCAAACAGAGTCGAGAGATTCCCCGCGGATTTGACCGACATGTATTCGCCCCCGATGGCTGCAAAAAAGGTCAACGATTTGATTTTTTTGTTTTGTTTTGAACCACAGGGTCAACAAAGATGTGTCTCAACGTTGAACAGAATGTGGATATTTTTTTTTTCAGATAGATGGAACAGAATCATCAAAACTAAGTGCATCTATACAGAAAGTAAGCTCGTCAGAGGCTATTGGATGAAAAAGTCAACGGATTGGAAACTTTTGGATGCAAGAGAGATTTTTTTTGAAAAACTTCAACGCTTTGTCTGCAAAAAGTCCACGGTTTGATTTTTTGAAGGATAGAGTCCATCAAGATGGATCCCAACGTTGAAAATCTGGAGAAAAAAGGTTTTAAATGGATAGAACAGAATCTTAAGTAAATGTATCTGTAGAAAATAATATCGTCAGTGACTATTGTTGATCACCCTGAACATAAGCTTACAGAGAAGCTTTGGAGACATTTTGGATGCAGGACAGAAGATCTGAGATTTTTTGAACAGGGTAAATATATCATTCTAAATAGAAACTCTACAGATGAAAATTTTCTAAATAGAAACTCGCTGAAAATTTGGAGAAAACTTTCAGACAGAAACTCTCCTGTTCTAAATATGTATGGAACTCTCTTCATCAATGACCATGAAAGTTCGTCATCAAATTGATCACCTGAACGTACTTCACTAAGAAACTCAACAGACTGGATACTCCCGTTCTAAATATGAGACAGAAAATCGGGAGATTTTTTTTTCAGAAAGATAGAACAGAGTCTGAAATGGGAATCTTCCGTTCTAAATGTGTATGAAACTGTCTCCATCAATAAGCATGAAAGTTCGTCGGCAATTATAATTCACCAAGAGACTCAACAGACTGGAGACTTTTGGATGCGAGACAGAAAAGTCTGGCTCTACCCACTCAACAAACATAATCAATAATCAATCCGCCTAATCATCAATGATTTCAGTTCTTCCGATCACAACAGGAACACTGAAGAAGCCATGAATGTACCAGAATAAATGAGTTAAGCAGGATCATACATGGAACTGCAGTCATCAAAGAAGAAGAAAGAGAGCAAGGGAGATGAATGGCGTACCAGTCTGGCTGAGGTAGAAGGGCAGCCAGTAGAGGAAGGTGTAGGCCACAAGCTTCGAGAAGAAGAGGCACATAGCGAATGGGACGACGCCAGGGATCTTACAGGCGGCGACAATCCCAACAGCGTTGCCCCTGTTCGAACCCCCGGGAAGTTTCGCCGCCGGCAGCGGTGGCGGCGGCGCCTCCTCTTCCTTGGCCACTGCCTCAGCTTGCTTGCTCAGGCCATGGGGACTCGGCAGCCCTACGTCCTCGGGGTAAGCGGGGAGGAAGAGATAAACCATGGCGCCGCCAGTGGCGATGAGGCCGCCGGGAAGGAGGAAGGACCATCCCCAGCCATGATCGAGCACGGAAGCTGCGAGGAGGGAGCCGCTGATGTTTCCCACGGAGGTGTGGGCGTTCCAGATCCCCATGATCAGACCTCTCTTCCGCTTCCCAAACCAGTTCCCCACCACGGCCACGACAGATGGCCATCCAGTGGCCTGGAAGAGGCCGGCGAGGACCTGCATCGCGATGTAGAACCCTAAATTGTGGATGCTCCAGAAGAATCCCATGCCGAAGAGGGCGACGAAGCAGCCGCTGGCGATCATCCCCGCCGCGAGGAAGAGGCGCAGATCGAGGCTGTCCCCGAGGTGGCCGGCGAGGTACATCCCCAGCGAATAGAAGACGAGGAAGGCGAGGTCGATCTCGCCGAGTTTCACCGTCCCGTCGTCGCCGTCGAACGGCGGCCAGCCCTCCTTCTTCCTGTGGAGTTCATCGGCGCTCCGGCGGAGGAAGATCTCGCCGGCGGGCCACGGGAGGAGTCTGCCGGAAGCAGCCGGCGGCGGATCGGGATCGAGGACGCTCTTGACGATGCTGGTGGGCTTGCGGGAGGCGTGGTAGCAGGCGTAGGCTATGAAGGTGAGAATCAGAACCAGGTACTTGAAGGCCCTGCGCCGTCGTCTCGTCTCCTGCTCGCCGCCGTCCCCGGGCCTGAAACTCCTCCTCAGGCTCCTCAGCAGCCTTATCCCCGGCGGTGCCTCTCCTCCTCTCATCCCCCTTCCTCCTCTTCCTCCTCTCTTCTCAGAAAACTGCGCCGAATCACGATTTCATCGATGGACGGCCGGAGCAGGATGGCGATAGCCTGTGGAGACTGGGAAGGAGAAAGACGCTACGTGTGGGACAAGAGGGAGGAACAAGCGACTCTGCAGAGGGAGGAAGGAAGAGGAGCGAGAGAGAGAGAGACACACACACACTCACAAAGAAAGAGGGAGAGAGAGAGAAAGACACACACACACACACACGGACACACAGAGGGAAAGAGGGAGGGAGGGAGAGAGAGATCCACACACACACACACGCACACACAGAGGGAAAGAGGGACGGAGAGAGGGATTCACACACAAACACAGAGAAAGAGAGAGAGAGACACACACAGACACACAAACAGGAAGGTGAGGAAGAGAGACAGGAAGGAAAAGGCGCCGAGAGAGAGAGAGATGGAGAGGACGTGGCGAATGGCGGGAAGGCGGAGGAAGACAGCAACGTGGCAGGAGATTTTTGGGCCACGAGGGAGCGTCTTGATCGTTAGATGGAAGCGACATCAATCGTGCGGTCGGGTAGTGGCTCACCTCCTAGTACGATCTCGGCAGTCGATGCCGATCACGCCGTAATACCGGATAATTCCGGATCCTACATGGGACAAACGAAACCCGATATTTAAACGTGCTTTTAATAAAAAGAAAAGTAGAAAATTGATGGACCCAAATGAGCCCGGCCCATAGCAATATGGGTCTATCCGGAAAAGGAATATCTGGCCCATTAACACCCAAGATGATAAACCCGTCTTAACGGCTGATGGATGATTACCGTCCCGGGATTTACCGGCATTCCAACGGCTCCCCTCTCGAGCCCACACGTCGTTACGAGGCTCCCGCCCTCCGCGGAGAGCGAGCGAGGGAGAGAGGTCTTCCTCCGAAGTAACCCTCCCTCCGAGCGAGCAAGGGGAGACCACAAGTAACCCTCCCTCCGAAGATTCCCGCCTTCTCCGCTGGCCTTCCTCTCTCTCTATCTCTCTCTTCTCTCTTCTTTCCTCTTTCTCTCTCTTCTCTCTTCTCTCTTCTCTCTTCTTCCTCTCTCTCTCTTTCTCTCTCTCCCTCTCTCTCTTCTCTCTTTCTCTTTCTGGTCTGTATCTCTTTCTTCTTTTCGTCATCGACGGCAGGACCCGTGGTTCAGCGTGACATGGAGACGATGATGGGCGGCGGGGGGTGCAACAGCGGCCGGCTTTTCTCGGTCTACCCGGAGGAGCTCGTTTTCGAACGTAAGCCTCCTCCTTCTTCTTCCTTCTCCTCCTCCTCCTCCTCCTCCTCCTCCTCCTCCTATGTCTTCTTCTTTTCTCCACCAGGCTCCAAGATCCTCCTCTCCCTTGCGTTTCTGTCGTTGTTTCGCCGTGTTTCCGAAGGGTGAATGTGAGGGGGGCCACATGAACCAGCATACGACCTGGTTTACTAATTCCTAGATGTTTCCATATCTTCTGACTGGTACCCAGTTCAGGATTCCTAGTGCTCTGATCTGGGTCGGTTTCCTTTTGTCGATATCGTATCGTAACCTCCTCACTTACATCACATTTTCTCCTTTGGTAATGAACCCATTACCGTACTGTGAACATGGTCTTTTCCCCGGACGAGTCACTGACTACCAGGACCTGGTTTTACCGTTTCCTGGTCATTTCAATCTCCTCTGACCTCTACCCATCCAAGATTCCCTAGGTTCTAGACTGGGCCTGAGTCTCCCCCCCCCCCCCCCCCCCCCGAATCAGATCATCAGATCATATTATCTTCATTTACGTCACATTTCCCTTGATGGCCACGAAATGCAATTATGGCCTTCTCTCCCACAGCGGAGCTCGGAAAGGCATGCTTCTGCGACATCAAGTTGATCAACACCACCAAGCACCACGTTGCATTCAAGGTTTGCCCTTTCCCGTCTGAGAAAATTTGGACCTTGATTCGCCAAACAGGTGAAAAATTCTATTTTTTTTTCTCTTCAACCGTATAAACTCTGCAGGTGAAGACAACGGCTCCAAGGAAGTACTTTGTGAGACCCAACAAGGGAGTGGTGCAGCCATGGGACTCCCAAACCATCACAAGTACCACATGAATTTCTCGACAAGTTCTTCGTCATGATTTTCTTAATCAACCAATATGAAACTATTTAATGAGTATGAGGTAATTATAATCTTCAGTAACTCATCAAGCCCTAAAGCAATATCCCGAAGACAAGAGATCAATGGACAAGTTTCTCATTCAGAGCACAATTGTGCCCGCCACAACCGACTTTGATGAGCTCCCACAGGACATAGTGAGATTTCTTCTCTTTTTCTTCTTCAAGCCTCACTTTCTTGGCAAAACTGGAAAATATCTCCCATTTTTCTTATGCAACAGTTCACTGAAGATGACGGTCGACAAATAGAAGAACAGAAGCTTGGAGTGGTGTACACAGCAGCCGCTGAAAGATTGGAACAAGAAGACGAACCCTTCGGCATGACTCAGATGCATGTGGGTTCATGAGTTTTTTGACATTAATCTTTATCAGCCCAGAGCTTCTTTAAGTTGAATTTTTTTTTCTTGAATGAACAAAGCTTCAACTGCTTAACAGAGTCGATGAGGGCTTGAAAAATAGTCATTGTTCCGGTTTCATACTCATATTTCTTGGATGTAATCTGGTGTATGTTCTATCACCATTTCCTCTTGTCTGTGTGTGTGTGTGTGTGTGTGTATGAGAGAGAGAGAGAGAGAGAGAGAGAGAGAGAGAGAGAGAGAGAGAGAGAGAGAGACCCAAGAATATCCTACTATTCCAATTTATTTTGTTCCGACTGTGTGGCACTCGTCTTTGTTTTTGCTTTTTGCTGAAAGGCCTACTTTCTTGAGAGTTACATAGTGATCTATTCATCCTTGGTCTTAGTGTTCTAGTTAACTCTAAATCCAGTTGCCATATAGTGGATGTTATTTCTAATTAAGACTCTAAGGACGGGACGGGTATTTACTCTAAACCTTGTTAGCTTTGAAAATCTTGGTTCTTGATGTGGGTATTTCTTCATGTAGGTCCAATTGGAACGTCGGCTAAGGGAAGAACTAGATGCTGCTCTTCGGCAAAATCAACAATTGAGAAGAGAATTGGTAAGGAAAACTTGAAATTGCAAGGGTCACAACACAAAGGAAGATACAAAGTGTTCTTGAGAACAAATAGTTCCCATAATTACCTTGAAGTAGCTTTAAGCCCCTATATACATCTTGAAAACCAAACTAGTTGAATTCCCTAGTCATGTAAAATTTATGAAGCACATTTCTTAGTATTATATTCTTCTAAACAACCCAAATTAGTTTTTAGGACCCTTTTTTCTCCTACCACATTTAGCTCCCTAGGAATGTGCAGATTCTCACCTATAGAATCATGGAAATGAGATTGATTCGATATGATAATTTATTATGAAAATAACTTATGGTCTTATTTATAACTTAGTTCTTTGATGAATTGACACATGTTGTCATGAGTTTGTGCCATCATGCCTTGATTTCTAAGATCATGCCATGTACTTGCAGGATAGTGTGAGGACAGCTCGTCGAAGGAAAGGAGGTTTCTCATTGGCATTTGCAGTCTTTGTTGCTTGCATTAGCTTGCTGCTGGGTTTCATCTTGAACCTTCTATCAACCTAATACCAATGAAAGGTTAAGTGATCTAGTAATATGACATTTTGATATTTTCTTAAATTTTTTTTAAGCCACAAATTCATTTATGAGAAATCCCATTGTTTGACTTATTTAAAGTAAAACTCTTAGAAAATTGGAAGCTAATAGAACTAAATCGTGAGAGTTGTAATTTAGTAGGGGCCTATTTGGTTGTTGCAGATGACTATAATGGAGAGAATAATATGGAAAGAGATGAAAGAATAAAAAAGTTTAGGTAATAGGATGAGACAATAAAGTGGGCAGGCGAGGTTAGGAAAGATGGATATAAATAGCGATAGCGTGAGAAAGAGGAGACGATGCTAAGTATGTTCACAGGAAAAGAGAGGAGAGAGTGGAGAGGCAGAAATAACACTATAGATGGAATAGTGACTCAATATAATTTGAAGTATTTGGAAGTAGCTACAGTGCTCGATGTAGGAATTAATGACCACTATATTGTTACCTCTCTCATCAATGAGGGGTTGACGTTTGTAGATGCCAATACTCTTGACCCAACATTTAAGTGTGAAGATGGCATAACAAGACTTCATACGCTAGACACTTAGAAGTGAAGGAAAAACTTGAACATAGACTAAATTCTAGACACTTGAACCCATCTCCTGACTTAGAGAACTTCTTCCTTTGACAATCTCCCCATCCTTTTCTCCACCTCTTACGTAATGCTACTCTACGCATTTGGTTAACAAATGGTTGTTGATCATGGTCCACTATCTCTATATATGGTTCCATGTTGGACATCCTCAACCTCTGCTAAATTAAAGGAAGGTTGACCTTAACGTGGTGATTGCAACTTGGATGATTTCTTTCTAGGAATGTGGCAGTCATCCATGAGCCTATCAATGCCCTCATATTTGAAAATAATGTTGTGCTCACAATTAAAATATAAAAATTATTAGTGAAAATGGCTAAAGGGTTCCCATGTAGCTTCAAAGGTCAGTAGTCCCTTCCATTTAATCAATATTTCATGAACAAAATATTTGGGTGATAGTTTCTCATTTGTTTGTTGAGCCAACATATGGACGCAATATGATAGTAACCTCAAATATATGAAATCCCCAATGTTGAAGAATACTTCTCTTTTTTATGCTGATACTTGTATTTATTATGCTGATACTTCACATTATCTTGGACATGTCCTAGATGATCCTTTAGTTGTGTTAACGCTTTATCTCTTTCTTGCAGTTGTTGTCCAATCTTTATCACTGGTGCATGTTGGTGTTCAAAGTGCATTAATGGTGGGGGATTTTGACCATACATGATATGAAAATGAGTGGTTTTAGTAGCAAAATGATATGTGGTATTATACCAATATTCGGATTGAGACCAGCTATAAAGGTGATATGAAGAAAAAAAATGAAGATAAGCTTCCAAACATTAATTTATAACTTCTATTAGACCATCTGTTTGGGGATGATATGTTGTGTTTTGATGAAGTTTAGTGCCTTGTAATTTAACTAATCTCATCTAGAAATGGTTGAGGAAGATGCAATTACGATTTGAATAATTGTGAGTGGAAATTCATGTTGTCTAGTGATATAGTAAAAACAAATCTTGGCTACATCTATAGTGGTGTAGGGATACTTTAAAAGGGAGAAATGAGTGACCTTGTTCAGCTTGTCAATGACCAAGATTACCATGAAGTAAGTTGATGGTGGCAATCCTTCAATAATGTCCATGAAAATTGAATATCAAATTTGTGTTGGAATAAGAAGTGGTTGAAAAGACCCATTGCACCAATGCCATATAGTTGTGTTGCTAAGTGAGAGAATTATCCACATTTTTTAAATTATCTCATTTCAAGCAAGTCAATAAATTTTAGAATGAAGGCATTTATAAGTGCACTATCATGATATTCAAGTAATAATTAAAAAATAAGTGAGGAGCCTTTCAATAGAAAGATACATCTTTGTAGAATAAAATTCCACCTTGTTTTGGATAATTTGGTCATACATGATGATGATGTTCTAGATTCTGGATAATTTACAATATAAATGGGTGACTTTGTTACATATCCTCTAATTGTTCTAAGGAGATAAGGGGACATGTTGAAAACACTTCCAAATCAAATACTTGTGGAACTTGAGAGAGAGCATGTTCCACCTTATTCTCACTTCCTGATTTAAACTTAATTTTTAACTAATAACCTAGTACTTTGATGAGCCAATATTGTATTCATAGGTGATTTGACATTGTACCAACAAAAAATTCAGATTGTGTTGGTCAATGTAGATGATGAAGGGAGTCCCAATAAGATGTGCCACCACTTTTGCACCGAGAGAATAATGGCCGTGGTTCCCATTCATATACAAGTCTTAGTTGGTGTTACGATGATAGTGTTTGGCTGAAGTAAGCAATAGGTGTCACCCTTACATTAAAACTGACCCCAACCCATATCCAAAAGCATCGGATTTAAGCTCAAATGGAATCATAAGATCAAGAAGAACTAAAATCAAAGTTTTAGTGAGAGCTTATTTGAGATTGTTGAATGTTGAGGTGGCCTCAATGGTCTAGTTCTCCCATAATTTTTGATGAAGCAATGATAATAACAAGTGAAGCATAGAAACCCTCAGGATTCTTTGATAGTAAATGGAATCAGTCAATTCTATATGGCATTGAACTTGGAGTGGTCTACTACTATGACTTCTGCATAAATGATGTCCCAAATAATCCATTGAAGTCATGACAAATTGACATTTTTCTATATTTATGTATAGTTAGTACTTGTAAGATTTCTAAAACTTAATGAAGATGGACTTGGTGGGATATATCATTTTAGCTATAGATGAGGACATTATCAAAGAAAATTGAGGACAAATTGTCATAAGAAGTTAGAGAAAATCTTGTTCATGAGAGGGAGTAAAAGCCTGCTAGGGCATTAGTTAATCTAAAAGGCATAACTAGAAATTCATAATGTCCTTGATGAGTATAAAAACTAGTCTTCAAAATGTCTTCGTCCTTCATATGTATCTAATGATAACTAGATTTAAGATCCAATTTGGAAAAAAATAAAAACCCCATGAAATTCATCAAGCAACCCATCATAAGGGAATTGAAAATTGATTAAGGATAGTTACTTAATAAGTTTTTATTATCATGAGTTAATAATAAATGAATAATCTATTTTAAGCCTTAAGTTATGATAAATATTCTTATATTTATGTTAAATTAATAAAAATGTTTGTATTTGATTAATATGATTTTTTGGCTAATTATGTGGATTCTATATAATTTTTATAATCATATGTTTGAAATAAATAAATAAATAAAATATTAAAAAAGGTAAGACCCCGATGGCTAGACAAGCCTACACATGGGTTAGATGTGTAGTTAGGGGACCCATTGGCCAGTCATACTCACATGTGGGTTGGGAGCACAATTGGGTAGAGCCATGAGTCGAAGGCTCAAGTGGCTATAGACTAGTCATTAGGGCATGTTTGTCACTCCCATTCCATGTGCCTTGATAGGTGTGGGACAAGGAGTGGATTGTACACCTATGAGGGAGAGTATGTTGAAGATGAAAATATGCATTGATATATATCTATCTTAAAAATCGAGAAACAACTGATGTGGGACTAAGCTCAAGTCAATGTTTGGTGTATTTTAAATATTTTTGTATATTAAAAATACCCCTAACTCATAAGAAGAAAACACCTCTATGATATTACTTGGTAAGAGTATGTAGGTAATTTATATTTCTCTCTCTCTCTCTCAATTGAGCGATTGATGAGGGTTGGAATCACACTAAAGCCAAAATTCATATTTTTATCTAATCAAATCATGATTTTTTAACAAAAAAATCAATAATATTTACAACAATCAATAATTTTCAAATACATCATTAACAATCTAGCTATTGAAATCACTTCATCATCAATGGTAATTTCATCAATGATATTTGCAGATCATCATTAACAACTGACCAAAGATTGCAAATACAAAAATTATGAATCTTTGAGGAAATAACCTCCAATTGATTGATGAATGAGCTGTCATTGAGAAGAGAACAATCTATCATGAGACGTGTTGCCACCTCCTCAAAGTATATTAGATGTAATGAAGAATTTTTTTTTATTATAGAGAACTGAGGATGAAACTTCTTAAGACATACTCCACCTCCATCAAGTTTATCTCCACTAGGTGATAGTCACTAGAGATATAAAAGTTATTGAATTTTTATTCCACCATGTGATAGCCATTAAAGATGATTCATTAGTCCATTTCATTAATTTTTAGACTTCACAAGAAGATCTAGAGATTATCCATATTGTTCGTGTCCAAGAAAAATCTGAGCCTGTAGACATTGCACGACAATCCTCATGAATACTTAAAATTTCATTGATCATCACCATAATGCTAGAACTCTATCTTTCTTGTTTTAAACTTAATTCTTATTTAAATCAATGAGATTTTATGCGATTTCAAATTTTGAAAATCTTCTTTGATTATGAAAGATGTGTTCCAAAAATGTGTGATCTTTGTTACTTTATTTATAGCTAATGCCAATTATAAGTCTCAAAAATTTGTCAAATAATGTGTTAAATGATTTTTTGAGTTTGTATAATATTCATATAGGTATCTTCCTCTAAATCTTCATTTTTAACATCAAATTATTATAGATCATCTATACTACATTACTATCGCAATTCCTTTATATGTTTGAGTATATCATTTCATGACCAACTACATCTTGTTTGAGCATCTTATATATATCTAATTTCATCTAATATTTTTATTTTCTTTTAATAACAACATTAGTTTTTTTTTTCCTAATGCATTCATCTCCTTATTAATTCTTTGTTTCCATTCCTCTTTGAATAGATCTTTGAACAATATGAATGAGATTGTAATCGTATCTAGGGCCATTAGAAAGTTTTTATAAGATAGTAAAAGTCACTTATATGATAGGAAGTTTGAAAGGGGGCATAATGATTTTGTTTCACACTCCCTTATCTAAGAACAATAGGAAA